GATGGTTTTGAATGTTTGGTTATTAGAATTTCTCTTTGTCTAGTTATTTCGCTTACCAATATTTGGTACCATATTACTATATTTTTTCTTCCGTTTAAATTTTCTCTTCTAGAAAGATTACTGATACATGATTTGAGTCTTTGTAAGCACAAACCCTATCATAATGGACTTGAGGAGGTGTTCAGGAGCCAATTATTTGGCAGCGAACGAGCCAAAACCTTTGTACGTGCAAGATCCAATTCTTGATATCTATTTTATCTACATATGAACTATGCGGTTGAATATTGACCAGTGGTTGAGGCTAGCTTTGTTGAAAGGGCTCACTTTGGATTTTCATCGTGGTTTATGTTACAAATTAGTGAAGTTTTCTCAAGGAAGGGGAGTTAATGAGATCAGCCACCTCTCCCCTAAAAAAATTCAGCCTTATACCTCAAAAGCTTACGATTGAAGCTAAAAAGGTGCTCTTGAACATTTAATCCGATATGTGATTACTCAAATGATTGTATATTTGACAAAGAAAACAAAATATAGGGGCAGATATAGGAAGAAGCCATTTTAGCCTTCCAATAAAGCATCAACTTGAGGGGAGTATCTACCATGCAATAGTGTGTTCCTTGAGCAACTTATTACGAGCTTCAATATCTTCTCCAGGTAATAGAACGGCACTACTAACGTTCTTATCAACGGTCACCATTCCTCTTCTCAAAGGCGAGTAGGTGATGATGGAGATCTGATGCTTGGAAGCTTTTTCCAAAACCCTATATCCTATGGAAACAAAGAGGTCAATCTAGTAGCAGCTCTACACTCTAACAGATAATACAAATATTTTGGAAGACGAGAAGCAAGCGATCAGCTTTTTATTAATTTGTTCTACCACACGTTAAATAAACTCACTTTAAAGTGGACTTGATATATTCGATCATTTCAGCATATTTTGGTTTGAAAGGCCAATGGGAAGCAATATGGTGTATCTCGGTGTCCAATTCTTTAGCCCAATCAAACACCAAACCTGGATTCTTCAAGAATGGAGAACCAACGAATGCAAAATCAATCAAACCTTCTTCGAGCAATTCATTAACTCCCTTAGCATCATGCATCGAGCCCACACAACTGACCAAAGCTTTATCACCAACAGCCTTCTTAATGGCAGTCGCGTATTCTAAGAACATACCAAATCCTTTCTTGGGTCTATCGGCATTGGAATCATTGCCACCCGCAGAAACATCAATCAAATCAATACCTCTTTCAGCCACTATTGGAGCTAATTTAACTGAATCTGCAATATTCCAAGCGTCAGGATTTGAATCATGAATCTCTGACGCACTGAATCTTAAAAAGACAGGGTACCCTTTTGGGACGTTGGCCCTGACTTCATCAATAATTTCCAATAAGAGTCTGATTCTGTTTTCAAAGGAGCCCCCATATTGGTCAGTTCTCTTATTAGAATGAGCAGACATAAACTCATTAATCAAATAACCATGAGCAGCATGAATTTCAACGAAGTCGAAACCTGAAATTTCCACCGATCTTTTAGCAGCAGCACCAAATTGCTTAATTATGGTATGGATTTCATCAACAGTCAAAGCTCTTGGGGTTGGGACTCTACCATTTGGCCTGTAAGCAACAGCCGAAGGTCCAACCAAGTCTTTTTCAATAGCTCTGGGATCCCAGTTTTCCAAAAAGTCAAACAAAGCGGATGTCATGGCCTTTCTACCGGCATGGCCGATTTGAAGACCAATCTTGGAGGTATTGGCATGTGCATAATTGACAATATCCTTAAGCTTATAAGCTTGCGTGTCATTCCAAATTCCCAAATCAACCATTGAAGTACCAGAATTAGGTGCAACTGCCATTACTTCACACGTGACAACTCCAGGGCCTCTGGTACTCAACCCTCCATAGTGAATCTTGTGATAGTCAGTGACCTCGTTTTTGTCGGCAGTGTATTGACACATTGGGGAAACACCGACTCTATTAGGGATAACCATGTTTCCAATACGAAGAGGCTGAAACAACTTGGGCGTTTTGTCAGATAAGTGCAAAGCCGATCCAACCACTCCTTCAGGAAGTGGATACTCGTAAGGTAATCCCTGGGCGATACTATAGGGAGCAGAAGAGCCGGTGGCGGGCTCTGGCAATTGTAAGGATTCGAATGTCATTATGATAGATGCTTTCTCACATTCCAAGGAATTGCAACTGTTTATATATGGCGCATTTGTAAGCACCTGTGTGCCTGCATACAAATCGGTACATTTTCCTCGGGTATAGAGGCAACCATGACTCTCTGATTTGTAAGATACTGTTATTATGTTGGCCAAGTACCCGGGGGAGAATAGTTTCGGGAACTATGTATCATTCTTTCTTATTATCGTCTTGTGGTAAGGTTTTGGTACTTTATTAACAGCTGTTCAATCCGGCCAGCTCATCGGGCAACGGAAAAGCCGCACGCTGCGGGCAACTTAATTGCTGCAACAAATTTGAACCTTTTGAGGAACCACAAGAGAAACTTCTTCAAATTCAACAGATGATGTACTTGTGGATATTTGAGTAGTGTCATTACGGAAATAAATGGCTAGAATGCATAACAATCTCAAGAGACTCAAAGTGTGACAAACACCCTCAAAGCGCATAAGCCTGATTCATACACCCAAGACAGGTAGGGAGCAACAGGAAGGGCTATGATTAACCAGACATTCAAATAAACATGCTACTCTCCAGCGTTCTCCTTAAACATGGGCTCGGCGTTGTATCGGCAAACGCTTTTGTGAGAAAAGATTATAGACTTGCAATGATATGGCATAAATATCTATCTGCTTTAGTGGTCATTTGGGAATATGTAGGATTAGTTCATGTTAACTCTACTTCAGAAGAAGTGAGACAAGAGTAGGAAAGCTGGTCTTCTACTTCTAGAAATACTGCCTTTTAGGGTATCAAAATAGTTTACTATCTATTTATTTCTATTTATGCTCGTGTGTAGCTCGTGTTCTTGAATGAAAAGAGATGCAAACACACCAATTACTACACAGATAAAGGAAAACAATAGAGTCTTTTTAACTGCATATTCGTAGCAGCATCTTAAAGCAACCTGGACATATTCTGGCGCCTTGCTTGCATAACTGGTGCTCTGTAAAGCATGCTTAATGATATAATCGGACATAACTTGGTCATTGACAATGCTGGGTATTTTCGAGTTGAGCATACTGCGTAACGAATACTGGAAAATAGCAGACGAAATGGAAACACCCAAAGTCGAGCCTGTAGCTCGAAAAGTGTATGAAATCGACGTGGTACCAGCCTGATGACTTGCTGGAACCGCGGCTATCAATGACATTAATGTGGCTGTCAATATACCCGAGTAAGCCAAACCACAAGGAAGTAATAAAGTGAATTGTCTTAAGTTACTTATGGTTGGATTGATACTCAAAATGTTCAAGTTACCCACGATTGCAAGGACTCCAATCACAATTATAAGATTGTAATACCTACCAGTCCTCTTCATATATATACCAGCACCGACAGACCCAAGGGAAGTGCCAAAGAAATTAGGAATTAATCTCATTCCTATTTTGGTGGTATTATAATCCATAACTGAAATATAATAGATTGGCACATAAAACAAATAAGTAAAAACACCCATCGTATAAAACCAGTTTGTCATGGAAGATGCAAGAATCGTTCTTCTTCTTAGTAAGGATATAGGAATAATCGGTTGCAATGGGGTATGCGATTCAGCCCACACAAAAGTACCAAACAAAAACACTGACGCCAAACACAAGCCAATAAAAGGTTTCGAAGAGTACGCAACTTCTTTACCACCAATAGAAGCAGCAGTTAAAAGCACCAAAAGGCCCGATACCAACAAGGTCAGTCCCAAAAAGTCCACTTTAGCTAATTTTTCTTTAAAGTGACCTGGGGACCCCAAACCAGGCGACCCTTTAGGAAACTGCAAGTTGAAGTAAAGGGACACACCTAATATACAAGCTAGTGGAACCTGCAAACCGAACGCATATCTCCAACCAAAGTAATCGTTAATGACCCCACCAAATATACCACCAGTAGCTACACCTAAACCATAAAACAGGTTAGTGTAACCTTGATAAACCCCCCTATCACGAAGAGGAATCAAGTCAGACAAAATGATTGTGGTTAAGGTAGTCAATCCCGAACCCCCTATCCCTGCTATAAATCTTCCAATAACAACAAACGTCATAGAGTGGGCCATGCAAATCAAACAACCAAGAGCAAAGAACACAGCACAACCTATTAACAAAATCTTCCGTCCAAATATATCAGAAAGCCTTCCGTGTATTGGCTGTAGCGCCGAACACGAAAGTAGATAAGCAGTTGCAATCCATGACATGTTCCCAAATGAATTCAAATCGGAAGCTATGACGGATAAAAGTGTGGATACAACAGTAGCATCAAGGGCTGCTAAATAGGCACAGATATAAAGACTGGAGACTACAATACGTAGTTTGTGTCTGGGCAAAGCGTATCCTCCGTTCTGGTCTATATCGATGTCAATTGCACCTTCATTCCCATTGACGTTATCTGCGGCATCATAAGCACTCGAAGGTTCGGACAACAAGCAAACCTCCTCAGACTCAACGTTCGTTTTTTTGAAATCTACTAAAGTAGGATTTTTATCAATGTCTCTCGACATCTAAGTGAATAGTGATTCAGAAGGTATAGAAAGAAGGAGTAAAGATGCAAAAGATAGTGGGATATGACGCATTCCGCGAGATAATGTGTGGTAAAATGGCTTTGCACGTCTTTTTTGTAAAAGGCTAAGATTGCAAATCTTGTACTGTTTTATCTGCTTCAGATTTTATGTCTGGCGTAAAGTGACTTGAGTCCGGATAAAATGAGGCATTCCCTTGAGTATTCACTTCTTTAACGAAGCTTTTGTTTGCAAACATCATTTTTTATCGATTTGTTTTTGGTTTCCTTGTCAGTAATTCACTTTAGATTCAAATTGTGCGATATTTCCAATTTTCACTGATTTTGATATGCCTGCTACCTTAAGAGTGGCATATGTGCCTGAACATTTTTCAACACCATTGTTTTTAGCCCAGGAACAAGGGTTCTACGGTAATATAACTATCCAGTTTGTACCAGTGATCGAAGGGAGTGGAAGACTTATCAAGATGTTGAATACCAAGGAAGTCGATATCGCCATTGGGTTGACTGAGGCCTTTATCAGTGACATTGCAAAGGGAAATGAAGAATACAAGTTGATTGGGACTTATGTTGAATCTCCCTTGTGCTGGGCAGTTAGTACCGGTTATGATAGATCTGACATCACCCAATTATCTGATTTACAAGGAAAGAGAATTGGGGTTTCGAGAATTGGATCAGGTTCTTATATCATGTCATTTGTTCTTGGCTTGCAAGAAAAATTTGCGTCTCCTTTCTTTTCTGATCACCCGGTGTTGTCTAACTTCAAAAACTTACGAGACTCGGTCAATTTGAAGTTCGGCAGCGCAGGTGATGGAGAATTGAGTGACAGTGATGCATTCATGTGGGAGCATTTTACGTCTAAGAAGTACTATGACACCAAGGAGATCAAAAAAATTGGAGAGATTTATACTCCATGGCCTTCTTGGGTGGTAAACTGCAATTCCAAACTCTTGGAAGCCGAAAAACCGGCTATTAAGCAGTTTTTGACGGGTGTTCGGAAAGGAATTGAGTATTTCTGGGCTCACCAGGACGAAGCCACTACCCATATTGCCACACATCTTGACTACTCGAAAGCGGATGCAGAGAAATGGATTGAAACCGTCAAGTTCAATAACAGTGTCGGAGATGAACCAATTAACAGAAAAACAGTCGTAGATAATACTGCCAAAGTGTTACAAACCGCTGGAGTGTTGACTGATTCTGACGATGTGATAACCCAACGGTTGTCTCAGGGTGTTGTCTTTAGTTTATAGGCGAATATCTAGAAGTAAAATAGCACATTTCTCTAACTCTTGTGTTTCCTCCACACATCGCGAATCTCATCGGTTGATTTTATGATTAGATCGGATTTGTCTATTCTCACCACTATGAGTCAACCGTTTTGGAGTGAACTATCTATGTCTGCGCTCCGTGATGGCTTCAATCGAGTAAACAAACAGGAGGTTGATAGGATTAATGGTTTTTTAAGCAATCCTCGCTCTGGTTGGAGTGGTAGTGATGCCTTTTTACCCGCCAACCGATCCCGTAATCGGTACACAAATGTGTTCCCCTGGAACAAGAATCGAGTTCATTTACCAGTATCCTCCACTAGCCATCTGACACAACGACTGGACTATATAAACGCGTCTCACATTAAGCTTGATACTGGCTTCAATTATATTGCTACCCAGGGTCCGTTGCCGAACACGGTCCACCATTTTTGGTCGATGTGCTTCCACGAAGCTGTCCGCCACCACGATGACCTTGTGGTAGTCCTCATGATCACCCCACTAATGGAAGATCGAATGGTCAAATGTCACAAGTACTGGCCGGATCTGGTTGATCCTGTTCTTGATATGTCAGCTGACGTTCTCATAGACCAACTCGATTTCCCTAAAGGGTTAAAGGCCTCATACGTCAGCTGTCAAGAATTTCCAGACTATAAGATGACCGAGATCTTGCTCGAGTCTGGCGATACACAGAAACGTGTTCTTCATTACTATTACCATAGTTGGGCAGATCTGAAAGTCCCCACAAAACCACAATCTTTGATTGAACTTCTGGATGCGTTGAGCAAGTTGAAGAAGGAGTATAAAGTTACCAAGCCAATTGTCCACTGTTCTGCTGGTGTGGGACGAACTGGGACGTTTATTGCGTTGGACTTCTTACACAATCACACTTCGTATCTAATGAAGTCGACGTCCAGTGATGTGATCCATGATGTGTTGAAGAAGCTCCGTGATGGGAGAGTAATGATGGTGCAGACTCTCAACCAGTATATGTTTTTGTACGCATTTTTCAAGAAAGATTTAGGGTTGGATAAGTAATATACAAAGAGTATTCTCGCACTAATGTTGTATTTGTAATATTTTGCAACTAGTCACATCAGAAAAAGAACCCACAAGATGAACTTTATACCAAAAGATAACAAAGAAAACTTCAAGGCGAGTTTGGAACATGACGAAATGTCTACTAGGCTGGAATATGTCTTTAATTTTGTGCATTCGTACCTGGATTTTGAAGCTGCGTTTGTAACTCCCTTTACGAATGAGTATCAGATGCTTCAATATGGGAATAAAATTGTCAGTGTCAAGTTGATTGTCACATCAAGTGTACTAATTAACTGCCTTACTTCCATTGATCTGATCAGAAAGGTGCTGCTTAGCGACTCAAGTAAGGCTAGTGAAGCTTTCTTTGAGTGTACAAAACGATCATTTGGTAATTGGGAAGTCAGTATTACTGGTACCACAACTGAAGTGACATACTTTTCAGAGGTTTTACTTCTAACTCAATTGACTTATTGGAACTATGTTAGTATGGAAATTTCAAAGGATCATTATGGCCAGTTTATGGGGTCAGGAATTGTTAAGGAGGAGGATGTTCGTCTCATCCCCACTGGCCACAAGGGATTCCTTGTTCATATATCCATTTCTCCTAATAACTTAGAAAGATTAATTTCCGTGTTGACTGCTACCAGCAACCACTATGTGATAAAATCTCACCTGATTGATTACGAATCCCTCCCTGCTTCTTCAGGGGATTTCTCGCCTGAAGAATACAATACTCGCTGCGAGCATCACAAACAAACCACTGACGTACACACTGAAAAGTACATCGAGTTGAGGAAGAACGAAGTGGCTTTTCTATTGGGCAGAAACGGAGAAAGAATCAATTCCATCAGGGAACAGACTGGGTGTTTTATATCCATATCCGCAATACCTAAACAAGCAGATTTGTTGTGCAATAGAAAGGTCATCCAGACCCTTAAATTGGCAGGAACACCAGGAAAGATCGATTCAGCTCTCAAAATGATTCAAAGTAATTTGTCCATATATCGGGAGAATGATTCAAAGTTTTTATAAGCACCTAGCCATTATCGCGTATCATCATCGCCTCCACAAGATTGCAAGTGTCGCGGCGACTTTGCACCCAAGTTTAGAATTTGCTGCAAAGAATAAAACGTTTCCGGGTAATTCACCAGACCAAAAAAATTTTTCAGGTTATGATGAAAAAGAAGAGATGAAAAGTTGAAAAAAAAAAATTTTCATTTTTACTTCACCTAGTTAAAAAAAGAATATAATACAATATGGCTGACGGTGTTTTCCAAGGTGCTATTGGTATCGATTTAGGTACCACTTACTCCTGTGTTGCTACTTATGATTCTGCTGTTGAAATCATTGCCAATGAGCAAGGTAACAGAGTTACTCCTTCCTTCGTTGCTTTCACCGAAGAAGAAAGATTGATCGGTGATGCCGCCAAAAATCAAGCTGCCTTGAACCCAAAGAACACCGTTTTTGACGCTAAGCGTTTGATCGGTAGAGGTTTCGAAGATGAATCCGTCCAAAAAGATATCAAGTCTTGGCCTTTCACTGTCTTGAGCGACAACGGTAACCCAGTTATCGAAGTTGACTACTTGGGTGAAAAGAAGACTTTCTCTCCTCAAGAAATCTCCTCCATGGTCTTGACCAAGATGAAGGAAATTGCTGAAGCTAAGATTGGTAAGAAGGTTGAAAAGGCTGTTGTTACCGTTCCAGCTTACTTTAACGATGCTCAAAGACAAGCCACTAAGGATGCTGGTGCCATTGCCGGTTTGAACGTCTTGAGAATTATCAACGAACCAACTGCTGCTGCCATTGCTTACGGTTTAGGTGCTGGTAAGTCCGAAAAGGAAAGACATGTGTTGATTTTCGATTTGGGTGGTGGTACTTTCGATGTCTCTTTGTTGAAGATCGAAGGTGGTGTTTTCACCGTTAAGGCTACTGCTGGTGACACTCACTTGGGTGGTCAAGATTTTGACACCAACTTGTTGGACTTCTTCAAGAAGGACTTCCAAAAGAAGACTGGTTTGGACATCTCCGGTGACTCCAGAGCTTTGAGAAGATTGAGAACTGCTTGTGAAAGAGCTAAGAGAACCTTGTCTTCTGTCACTCAAACCACTGTTGAAGTCGACTCTTTGTTCGACGGTGAAGATTTCTCCGCTAACATCACCAGAGCTAGATTCGAAGACATCAACTCTGCTTTGTTCAAGTCCACTTTGGACCCAGTTGAACAAGTTATGAAGGATGCTAAGATTGCTAAGTCCGCTGTCGATGAAGTTGTCTTGGTTGGTGGTTCCACCAGAATTCCAAAGGTCCAAAAGTTGTTGTCTGACTTCTTTGATGGTAAGCAATTGGAAAAGTCTATTAACCCAGATGAAGCTGTTGCTTACGGTGCCGCTGTTCAAGGTGCTATCTTGACTGGTCAATCCACTTCTGAAGATACCAAGGACTTGTTGTTGTTGGATGTTATCCCATTGTCTTTGGGTGTTGCCATGCAAGGTAACGTTTTCGCTCCAGTTGTCCCAAGAAATTCGACTGTTCCAACTATCAAGAGAAGAACTTTCACCACTGTTGCCGACCACCAAACCACTGTTCAATTCCCAGTGTACCAAGGTGAAAGAGTCAACTGTACCGAAAACACTTTGTTGGGTGAATTCGACTTGAAGAACATCCCACCAATGTCTGCTGGTGAACCAGTGTTGGAAGCCATCTTCGAAGTTGATGCCAACGGTATCTTGAAGGTTACCGCTGTTGAAAAGTCCACCGGTAGATCCGCTAACATCACCATCTCTAACTCCATCGGTAGATTGTCTTCTGATGAAATCGAAAAGATGATTGAAGATGCTGAAAAATTCAAGTCTTCTGACGATGCTTTCGCCAAGAGACACGAACAAAAGCAAAAGTTGGAAGCTTATGTTGCTTCTGTTGAAACCACCATCACCGATCCAGTTTTGTCTGCTAAGTTGAAGAAGTCTGCTAAGGACAAGATCGAAACCGCTTTGTCTGAAGCTTTGGCTGCTTTGGAAATCGAAGACTCCTCCGCTGACGACTACAGAAAGGCTGAATTGTCGTTGAAGAGAGCCGTCACCAAGGGTATGTCCACTCGTTAAGGTTAGGTAGGCCTATATTATCTACTTTTTGTTTATATTTAAGGTAATAATAAAAAACTAATATACATATATATATCAAGTTTCCAATCTATTCTTCTTCCTCAAGAATATAGTTACCAAACTTGTCCATTTGAAGCTGTTTGCTTCCTTTGCTTAATGCTTGCACGATCTTTTCGTTCTCTTGCTTGGTCTGTTCCTCTATGTCTGCTTTTCGTTGTTCAGCTTCCAAATCATCGAAATCATCCTCATACTCCTCTGAATAGCTATCTTCCTCAGAATATTCTTCATCGTCAAATCCTTCATCCTCTAAGTTCACATCTCTCATTGCTTGAACAGCCGCTTCCAAGTCCTTAGCTTCCTGCTTCTTGTTTTTCTTCACATAACCAGAAGCCTCTACTTCGACATCAAGATCTTTGATCCTTGTGACGTCTCTTTTGAACTTTGGGTATGCATATTTGAACCCATCACCATAGCCGTCTGTATCGAACATAGTCTGATCGTCTCTTGGGGAATATCTAAACTTTTTTTCGAAAAAGGCTTTAACACCCTCGACATCTCTTTTAAAGTATGCTTCAGCATCAACATGCTTTGTGGAGACACACTGAGGGAAGTCAATGACAACAAAGTCAAAATCACGTCCCTTGGCATCTTCTTCGTTTCTGATGATGATATTAAACTCATTGAAGTCACAGTGAATTAATCCATGATTCGCAAGTCTCACAATAAAGTTCATCAAGTCAGAATACAACTTCTTGTAATTGGGATGTTTTTTAAGATGCTTCATGGTCAAACCATCTATCCACTCCATCAATACCATATGTCTTGATGCATCAAAAGGCTCAGGAACATTGAACCCATTGTCGTACAATACCTTCATGAATTGATGTTCCTTATTTGCTGCCAATCTGGATAAATACATCCAGTTGGTAGTCTTTCTGTTTCTTAAATAGTCACGATTATTCTTCACTGTCTTGAAAGATGTTCTTCCCAACCTATGAATTTTGAGAACCTTTTGCTTTCCAGCTCTATCACTGGCAGAATAAATATCTGATTCTTTTCCTACGCCAATAGTTGATCCTACAGAATAAAGGGTATCTCTGCTGTTCATACTGTTAAGCGCAAGGTAATCATAGCCGTTGTATGTGATTCTAAAACCGTCGTATTTTGCATTTCTTAAACGGGCTAGGAGCTTTAATTTGGCCAAATCACCAATAGCTCTATTAGTGGCAGTTGGGCTCTTCAATCCTCCAATAGAATGGATCATTTGTGTGGGCACCAACTCATGGTTTCTGGATCCCAACTCTACTGCTTGAAGTACTCTGAAGTCATCCGCAGTCAAATGCCGCATATGAGAGGTATCTAACTTCATGGTGTGCAGTTTTTTTGGATACTAAGCTCGATAAGATGAGGTGAAAAAATCCATCGCGGTTGCGAAATGAGTTTTGTAAGTCGCGATACTCCGTTCTTATGGCTGAATTCTTTAGACGAGGAAGGTCTTCCAACTTCAACTTCAAGAAGAAACGTAGAAAGCTTCTTAAACTGAAACCTAAGCATCATAATGTTCCTTCAAGTGAGAATTTGCTGAAAATTGGGGCTCCTGTCGACCTTTCTTTTATTGATACACATTCAATATCTTCTTATCCGTGGATCCAACAAAATCCATTATTCCTGGATGATATAGTAACAAAAAAACCTCGACGGGGTATTGTGTCACTTCTGAACATTTGTGCTAGAGTAATTGCAAAAAATTCCTCTATGATAAACAGTGCAATGCTTGAATCCGTTTCTGTACAATGTATCAAGACTATCTGGAACCATATTTTACTGTCACACAATGATACTCTCGGGTCCTTTATCACATTTGCAACGGCATTTGGGGGGTATAGTGCTTTTAGAAGCCATCCGCCCTTCATCGAGTCGACTGAATCTTCCGTTACTCTCAGAAATGATTACCTACAAGAATGCCTAATACCAGGGACTAAAAAACACCGAATAGAGAATCTTTTTAATAATGTCAAAATCAGCAGTTTGTGCTATTATTTGAATAACTTGAGGATTCAATCATGCATATTCCTTGACTTTTCCCAAATCCCCCAACTTATTTCACGACAGGATTATATTTCAATTTTCAAAATCAAAAATCTTACTGGATTGGACGTTTCTAACGGTGTTGAAATTGATGATTCAATCATCTCATTTATGTGTTCTGCTATAAAAGATGACCATTTAAGCAAGCTTCGAGTTATCAGACTCACAAACTGCGAAAAGATAAGTAAACTGGCCATTGTGAAACTTCTTGAAGTATCATGGTCAAAAGGTACCCTGTTGTCTTTGATAATCTGTGATAAGATCTTTAAAGTCGATTTTCATGATCAACTCACTAGGTCAAACGGTATAGCGAGTACGAACTGGTCGATTCTTCCTCATGAAGAAGTGGATACCAAACGGCTTATAAAGTTTCCATTGGCAATGCAATTCCACTATTTATTCTCAAAGTTTAAGTCAAAAATTCCTGAACTTAACGACAAGAATACAAATCAAATCCTACTTGACATTATGTTTCACAACCAGCCGTTCGGATTTGACTCTGCCTACTACATGCTTGACTTTGTTTCAAGAAATAGAATAAACAGCAGACATAAAGTCTCCCCTCAGGCCTGTTGCTTAATGATCGATAAGAACAAGAAGGTCAAGCCATTGATGGGTATCACCACGGAAGATCCCTCGAAGGAAGTCAAGGCTCAGTCAGTATTCACATCTGTTAAAGCGACCAAGAAAAGAAATATTATCAAAAGAACTCAACCGAAGAAGCTAAAAATTAAAATGAATGAGTATATTTGATTTAACCTTATATAAGCTACCTAGAGATAATGCAATTCATGACAAATTATGCGGATTCGTTATTTGGTCTTTTGAGCAAACCGAGGAGACTGCTTGCAGCACTAGAGTTGTGTCCAGCCAGAGGTACCTGGGCTGGAGTTGGCTGTCCTTCTGGCTGCGCAGAAGATGGAGGAGTTTGCCTGTTTCCCGTCAAAAGGCCCAAAAGACTGTTGGCATTTTGTGAACGGTTCAGGTGATGAGATGGAGGTGTAGGACTTGCATAGGTGTCATTCAATGAAGAGTCAGCAGATTGCACATTGGGCTGCGATCCGCCAGACCCTTGTTGAAGCACTGATAAGAGCAACTTTCCACCATTTTCATAACTGGGTTGGGCTGACTGGGATCCTAAAACATCACTAAGAGATTCTCCAGGTTTAAGGAGTCTAACATTTCCTCTTGGAGGACCTGAATAGGTATTGGTACCACCTTCAAGGCCGTAATTCTGGTATTGTTCGTAGTCTGGGCTTAATTGCTTGCGAGTGTTAGGGGGTTGAACCTGTAACTCTGGGTGCCCCTGTTGTGGTTTAACTTGTGGCTCTTCTTGGTAATCTTGAATAGTAGCTCTAATTTGGTCATCTAATGCATCAAAATGCTCAAAGTCTTCGAAGTCGTCGAAATCATCGAAATCTTCGGTGTTTGTAGGTTGGGACAGTTGCTCTTGCTGTGGGATATCTGAAGGATGAACTGGAGTTGGCACAATAGATTGTTCTGGTTCCTCTCCCAACATTTGCAATAACGCCAGCGCGGAACTCTTGGTAGACTCTGGTATATTCTCCAGAGATACAGGAGATGGAGCCTTGGATTTTTTCAACATATCCAATAAGTCATTTGTAGTAGAAGCTTTTGGTTTCGGTGCCTCTGCTGCTGGTTTCAATATTCCTAGGATCTCATGAGCAGGATTTTGATTAGCTTCAGGTGTCTTAGGGGACTGTGGTTGAGGCCTTTTTAAAAGGTTCAAGAGATTATTAGCCGGTGAGTTTGGAGACCTAGGAGAAGGTGAAGGAGTCTTATTCGTTTTACTCTTCAACATATCCAAGAGAGGATTGCTCTTTTCTGAAGATTTTTTCAAAATGTTTACCTTTCCAGGTTTTAAGTTCTCATTATAAGGCTCATCTAAGGATTGATGTAATTTAATTGAATTTGCTGTACTATAGCCGGAATCTGAACTGGATTCGCTGACACTGTTCGATACTTCAGTATCGGTCTTAAACAATTTCAACAACTCTTGGGCCCTGGCCTTATTAGTGGCAACATCTTTAGATATTCTCGTTTCTTCTGAAGGGGATTCAGATGGTTTTGACGATCCACTATTCAAAATGGACAATAATTCTTTGGGGTTCATCAAAGATTTGGAAGGGTTCTCGAGGGATTCTGGAAGTGGAGTACTAAGAGACTGCTCAGAGGCTTGAGGTTTGCTTTGAAGGAAAGGAAACATATCAAAAAGCGATTTTTGGGACTCAATCTGTTCGGAAGCCTTCGCATTCATCAAATATTCGTAAGGAGCAGCCATAGATTGAGGAATACTGACAATGATAGGTTTAACAGGGCTACTCTCATATTCGTCAGACTCTTCTGCTTCAGATTTGACCCCCTGAAGAATGTCAAGCAATTCTCTACCAGCATCAGTATCCTCATTATTGACAGCCTCAGAGAAAGCAGTTTGTTGCACCTCCTCCACTTGCTTTCCAATGCCCATCAAGTCCTTCAACTTGGTTTCGGCATCGAGTTTCAATTTGGTTTCATCCAACTCATTAGTAGTACCCTTAGCTTCACTGATCCATTTGATGATAGGCTTCATAACAGCGGGGACAATGAAATAAGCGTTGGGGTTATGCTTGAGTTTTTTCTGTAAAGACTTGATATCAAACCACTCTATGGCAGCAATCTCATTTCTTACAAGCGGTTTAAACACTGTATCTTCAGGAACATCCCTAGCAAAATATATCTTGTAGTTCTTTCCCCCCATAGTTCTTTCAACCACATCCTCCTCGTTTATTAAGTTTTTGGCACTGAAACCAGTCTCTTCTTCCACTTCTCTTATTGCACATTCCAAGTCGCCTTCATTTTTCGAAATCTTACCCCTGGGAAATGACCATGAGTTGGACTCATATCCCTTAACCAATACCATCTTTGACAAGTCACTGTTGAAAAGGGCAACTCCTCTAACAGGAATACTCGATTTGTACTTCCCAAACTTCGAGAGCGCTTCGGAAGCATCACCCCATTTCCAAACCAATGGGCATTTCTCCAACAATTTGGTGGAAAAAGACTTCATCTTCAATGACGGGAGGGAAGGATACGTTTGGCGTAAAAAATCGGTATAGAACCACTGTGCTTCTTCCACGAGAAATAACACTCTTTCGCTGGAAGATAAATCTTCATTGGGGGCATTGATCAAGAATCGTACGAGCAAATCTTCTAGCACGTGATCCAAAGTTTTATTGGCAAACCCATCTCTTAACTGTATGGACATTTTAGTTGGTTATTGTATACTTCAAATATTATATGTTTTTATACATAGGTCTCTAATTAGTTTTAGCGGTGATGTTGGAACGTCAAGTTCGACTTCGCACCAGTAGGACAATTGCCGGGTAAATTATATTTGTGCGACAGTCAATTTCTTTAGTACGCTAGTGGTAATGAACTTTACACGGTATAACTCGACAAAGGTGCCCAGATTCCTTAAGACTATAGCAGAAACCAGCAAGCCGCCTTTGACAAAGCTGAAGGTTGTCAACAAGCCATTCGGGCTACCTGTTCCTATATTATTGAATCCTAAGTCCAACAGCAAAAGGTCTTTGAGGAATGAATTTCTTGGTAGTGAGGCAAAGGAAATGAGACAAAGACAGTTGGACCACGACATAAAGCACTCACCCTTCTATGAGTCCAAATCGTTCACAAATACGAACGGCAAGATCTTTTCACCACCAATTTCGTATTTTAAAGCGGATAAGTCGTTATTTTTCCCCAACTTTAACGGTAATGTCATCAATGGAAACGAAACACAAATCCACAAATTGTTCAAAGACAAGGTCAGTTTGGTACGTGTATTTTCTACGGTTTCAGGTGAAAAATGCACCGAAACATACTTTAAATCAGTTGATGGAGTAGACTATTTGAAAGACTATGAACAGTTTGAACAAGTGTACCCTAAAGCCCAAGTAATTGATATTAATATCCCTATAGGATGGGCCAAAAGACTTGTGGTGAGTCTTGCCAAGCCTGGAATCAAGAAAAGCTTGCCTGTGTCGAGACAAAACACATACTTTGTATTACCCGATAGTTTGTTCTCCTACGACATTAAAGCTGAGTTAAACTGCGATAATAGTTGCTCAGGGTACATATACTTAGTAGATAGCGAGGGGAGAATCAGGTGGGCCACTAGTGGGTACGCCAGTGACAGCGAGAAGGAGTTGTTGTACAAATGTTTGAGCGGAGTGACGAAGGAGTTAGTCTAACTTGTAAATAGTTATAGCATGCATTCAAATGGTTCACTGGTACCCAATTCTCTCAATTCTTCAACCTTCGATGGACCACATAAATGAAGATGAGTAGTTATTCTTATTCATCTGTCATGGTTTCTTCTCGCAGCACATGATGAATTTGGAATCTCTGACAATCCAACAAATAAATGCCTAACAAGTCGACGACCAGACCTGCTGTGCTAAATTATAGTACAGACACCAGATGCTTACCATCTAAACAGGGTTAATTTCTTCAATTCGCTTATACTGCTCTCACCCATATGGCAGGATGACCGCCCTCAGGGCCGCAGCCCTCATTGACAACCCACACGACTTTTGGTATTTTTGCTCGCCATAGCGACGAAATTTTTCACCCGAAATTTTTCTTCCGTATACAACTTCATTAAACATGTCTGCTCCTATCAACAAGGAAAAAGTTCAAGAACAAGAACAAGAAATCCACAAGATCAGAATCACCTTGACCTCCACCAAGGTTAAGCAATTGGAAAACGTTTCTGCCAACATCATCAGAAACGCTGACCAATCCCAAATTGTCAAGAAGGGACCAGTTAGAATGCCAACCAAGGTTTTGAAGATCACCACCAGAAAGACCCCTAACGGTGAAGGTTCTAAGACCTGGGACACCTTTGAAATGAGAATCCACAAGAGAGTTATTGACTTGCAAGCCCCAGCTGCTATTGTCAAGAAGATCACTCAAATCACTATCGAACCAGGTGTAGATGTCGAAGTCACTCTTGCTGCTTAAGCAGGTTTGGATGTTTGATGTTCTCCAATGCTGTTGCGGCATGATGGGAAAACCACACATGACATTTGTTACTATGGTGCTCTAGGTCAGGTTGCTTCTATTTAATATTTTATCCACTTGTATTATAGGAGTTTGATTTTGCAATTGCTGGCTATCAGGACCATGGTGACGAATAGTAGTTTTGCCTTCGCATCAATAGTATTTAGAATTATACGTATCAAATTAAGATTAAATCTAACAAGACCTTTAATTAGCAAAACGCAGCCTCATCTTTTTCGTGCGATTATATCCAAACCCCTTCTTGTAATTTCATCAACTTCACAATGGTATATGTGCTTTCAATAAAGCCCAGGCTTTTGTATGTTGCTTCTAGACTGCTACAAAACAGTAGAAGAATGATATCGTCATCACCCTACCGATTGATCAAATCTACCAATCCTTTGTTAACTACCACCACTAGGGTCAAACCTCAAGCAAGAAATGGCAACAAACATTTTAAAAAGAGAAATGCCGCTTTGGTTTCAGGATTCATCATCGTTGGTTCATTTGTGACGTTCAATCAGTCCAACTATTACAACTTGGATACAATTCCTCCTTCTGCCAGTAAGAAGTTGTTCCCTTCCAGAAGTTCCACCAGCGCCGTTCCACCAGAAGACAAAAACCTTTATACCAGCTCAAATTCGTCCATCAGTACTAACTATAGCTTGGGTCATCAACAGCATAAGGAGGGAGTGTTTGTGTTGAACGAAGAACAGGTGAGTGAAAAATTAAGACAATTTGAAGAGAGTTACTTTGTGAACCGTGGGAAAGGTGTGACGAGATATGATGTGTGTCAATTGGCATCAAATTCTCCTGTTGAAGACGACCGGTCCGAAGAAATTGTCCAAGTGCCTATATTACAAGACAACAACGTCAAGACCTCTACTGACTGGATGTTTTTCGGTGTATTTGACGGACATGGCGGATGGACCACTAGTAGTAAATTAAGAGACCAATTGATCAGCCATGTGGTTGCTGAATTCGGAACCATTTTCAAGCCAGCCAACGAAGATAACCTTAGATTTGTGCCCAACGGTGCCACAATTGACCAAGCTATCAAGAATGGATTCTTGAAATTAGATCATGAAATTGTTAACAAGAACATGGAAAAGCTTCTCAATGAGAATAACAAGGCCCAGGCTGCCGAATTGTTGATGCCAGCATTGTCCGGCTCTTGTGCATTATTGTCGTTCTACGATACCAATTCTCAAACATTGAAAGTTGCTGTCACAGGTGATTCCAGAGCTATCTTGGGGTCATTCAAAGACAATCGCTGGACGGTTAGACAATTGAGCATCGATCAAACAGGATCAAACCCCACAGAAGTTGCCAGAATCATCAGTGAACACCCCGATGAGTCGAATGTAGTAAAGAATGGAAGAGTATTGGGTACATTGGAACCAACTAGAGCATTTGGAGACTGTAGATATAAGCTTCCAGCCTCCATACAGCAACGGATTTACAAGCAGTTTTTTGGAAGGTCTTTGCCACACAACCTCAAGTCCCCACCTTATGTCACAGCTGAACCGGTTGTCACCACCACCAAAATCAACCCAGATCAAAACGACTTTTTGGTCATGGCATCGGATGGATTGTATGAAATGTTATCAAACGAAGAAATTGTCGGATTAGTTGTTAAGTGGATGGAAAATCAAAAGATGATCAAACCAAAACACTCCTTCTGGAACTACTTTGGCTCCAACGAAAACAAATTACCTGAAGTTCAAGATATCACCAATGATAAGACTTCTAAAAAGCCATTCAGAAAGACTCGTCCTGTTTCTGGTAACAATTATCTATTGGACGATAAAAATGTTTCTACCCACTTGATCAGAAATGCCTTATCAAACGGAGGATCTCGAGACCAGACTTCAATGCTAATTTCGATTCCTAGTCCCATTTCTAGAAGATATAGAGATGATCTTACTGTTACAGTAGTATTCTTTGGTAAAGATCCTAAAGGTGAAGATGACTTGGGTAAACTCGAAATCAACCCTGAAGCGACTGCCGGAGGAATTGATGCTTCTAAGCCAAGGCTTTGATTTAGACATACAAAACTTATATATATATATAAAACAAACCATATTCACTTTATCTTGCATCTTCGCAAATGTATTTTCGCGTTTCGTTCTACACTCACCAACTTGCACATTATATGATTGATCCTGAAACCATAGTCAAGCCGACGAGCAAGGTGCATAACGGTGATAGCTTATGGTATGAGAAGGAACTTCTTGATCCTCATAATGAATTAGTGTGGGAATTGCTAGACCTTGTCGATAATGATGAATACCCAGATATGGACCGGTTTTACAATGGAATCTTCAATTCTCCAGAAGCCATTGGAAGAACCGCTTACCGATTCATGAGATCAGGAATCGAGGGTCAAATTGACGGATACAAGGAGGTGGTACGAGCAGCTGATATCGATAATGCAAACTCTTCTAACTCACTTTCTCTCAATAGAAAGTTCTCATCAAAGACTGAAGCCACTCAGGGCAAATCTACCTTTTTGCCCTTCAGGCCTGGTGGGTTGGTCGATGCTTCAAGTTCAAAAGAGAAGGATGAAACAGCATTTTTACACAGAGACAAACAAGGCTTATTTGATATCCCCCAAGGGTTTGATCGTGGTCTCAACCTTCAACAAAGTGATGGTGTTGATGAAATTACTGATTTGGACAGCAAGCAAGAAGAAGAGGCTGAAAAAGATTATGATATTGGTGATAGAGAAGATGAAATAACTACTAACAACTCGTCTAAAGAAGAGCCCATTTCGCTTTCTGTTGATACAGACGAAATTGACGGGTTAGTATCAATTGATTATGCTGCCATCAGAGCAGACATTGCTAAGGAGAAAGAGGCCAAGAAGTCCTGGGCCCATGTAGTTGATTTAGGTCACAAGGTCCAAGACTTTGAGGAGGTTGTGCCAAACATGGCCAGAAAATGGCCTTTCGAATTGGATACCTTTCAACAAGAAGCTGTGTACCATTTGGAACAAGGCGATTCTGTATTTGTGGCTGCTCATACTTCAGCGGGTAAGACGGTAGTGGCCGAATATGCCATTGCCATGGCAGCCAGGAACATGACTAAAGCTATTTATACCTCTCCCATCAAAGCTCTTTCGAATCAAAAGTTCAGAGATTTCAAGGAAACCTTTACAGATATTGATGTTGGTTTAATAACTGGTGATGTTCAAATTAACCCGGAAGCAAATTGCTTGATAATGACCACCGAAATCTTAAGATCTATGTTGTATAAGGGAGCTGACCTTATTCGTGACGTCGAGTTTGTTATATTCGACGAAGTCCATTATGTCAATGATATAGACAGAGGAGTTGTTTGGGAAGAAGTGATTATTATGTTGCCTGAACATATCAAATACATTTTATTATCGGCAACCGTTCCTAATACCTTTGAGTTTGCCAATTGGGTCGGAAGAACCAAACAAAAAGATATTTATGTTATATCAACCCCCAAAAGACCTGTTCCCTTGGAAATATCCGTATGGGCGAAGGAGAACCTTTACAAAGCTATTGATGCCAGCAGAAAATTTCTGGAAACGGAGTTTAAAAAGCATAAGTTAGCCTTAGAAGGATCGGATAAAAAGAAGGCTCCAAGTGTCGTGGAAGGGTATGGTCAAAGAGGCGGGCCTGGAGGATCTGCTAGAGGTGGGAACCGTCTGGTTGCTAGGGGTGGAAGAGGAGGACGAGGTGGAGGTGCCAATGGTCGTCCTGGTAGAGATAGACCAAATAAAAACACTTGGTCTCAATTGGTTCTGTACTTGAAGAAGAATACGTTGCTACCAGCGGTTATCTTTGTATTCTCTAAAGTTAGATGTGAGGAATATGCTGAAACTCTATCAGGTGTTGATTTCTGCACAGCGAAAGAGAAATCGGAAATTCATATGTTCATCGATAGATCTGTTTCCCGATTAAAGAAAGAGGACAGAGAGTTGCCTCAAATTCTTAAAATCAGAGAGTTATTGGGTAGGGGAATTGCTGTCCATCATGGAGGATTGTTACCTATTGTGAAGGAATTCATTGAAATATTATTTGCCAAAACTTTAGTGAAGGTTCTTTTTGCAACTGAAACTTTTGCTATGGGATTGAACCTTCCAACCAGAACTGTTGTATTCAGTGAATTAAGAAAGCATGATGGAGTGAATTTCAGAAACTTATTGCCAGGTGAATTCACGCAGATGAGTGGTAGAGCGGGAAGAAGAGGGTTGGACCCTACCGGTACTGTCATCGTGATGGCCTACAATCAACCACTTACAATGGGAGATTTTAAAGAGGTAACTTTGGGAACTCCTACGAAGTTGATTTCACAGTTTAGATTGACTTACAATATGATCTTGAATCTTCTCAGAATTGAAGCTTTGAGAGTTGAAGACATGATTAAACACTCATTCAGTGAGAACTCAACCCAGACTTTGTTACCTGAGCATCGCAAAGAAGTTGAAAAGCTTCGTGGTCAATTAGAAAAGTGCACCATCGATACTTGCAAAGAATGTGAATTGAAAGATATGGACCAGGCGTACGATGACATGATGGAGTATGAAAAGCTTTGGGGTGATTTGGTGGAAGAAGCACAGAAACTGTCTTTGTTACGTTCGACTGTTCTTAAGGTTGGACGTCTTATATGCTTTAGGGATGCAAAATCTATTATAAAAGTCGGGTTCATTGTTAGGTCGGAATCTGCTACTAATTCTCTTTTGGTACTTAGCTTCTTCCATGGTTTAAGTTATAGTGATGATGCCGAGATTCACAAACTTCCTTATATTCCTATAAAGAAACTATTGAAGAAGTTTAAACCAGTACAGTATTCGAACCCTTTGAAGGTCGAGTCTGTCTCCTTAAAAAAGGTAACTTTTGTGAGCAAGTATTGCTTGAAGTCCAATATCAACAGTATTCTCAGGAACGATCCTCAAGTTTTGAAGGATGCAGAAGAGCAGATTCGCCTTGTGTTAAAATTCTTCACTAAATGGACTCCTGTGCCTTTAGCAGCAGTCACTCAACTATCTTTGCATGAAATTACCCAGACTCAGAAGAAGTTGCTAACCACTTTAGAAGAGAGGACCGCGTTCTCTTGTCCAAACTTCAAGAGTCATTTTGCTCAAATCCACAAGAGAGCTTCCATTGAAGCAGAAATTGCATCTTTGGAAAGGTTGTTCTCTGATGAGAACTTGGAATTGCTTCCTGATTATGAACAACGTCTTGGTGTTCTCAACCACCTTGGGTTTATTGATGCTGAATATAATGTGTTGTTGAAAGGTAGAGTTGCCTGTGAGGTTAATTCAGGTTGGGAGTTGGTTATGACAGAGTTGATTTTAGACAATTTCTTGGGAGACTTTGAGCCTGAAGAAATTGTAGCCCTTTTGTCTGCATTTGTTTTCGAAGGAAAGGCTTCGTCTGAAGAAGAACCCGCCATAACTCCCCGGTTGACACGTGGAAAAGATAGAATCAACAAGATTGTGGAAGACATAACCAATGTATACATCGAATACAAGGTCATGTTGACTTCAGAAGAAGAAGAGTTCACCACCAGAAAAAGGTTTGCATTAATGAACGTGGTCTATGAATGGGCCAGAGGAATGCTGTTCAACGAAATCATGCAATCAAGCAGTGAAGCTGAAGGTACCATTGTGAGAGTAATTACCAGACTTGATGAAGTTTGTCGTGAAGTGAAGAATGCTGCTTTGATCATTGGTGATTCTACTTTACATTCCAAAATGACTCAGGCGCAAGAGAAGATCAAGAGAGATATCGTCTTCTGTGGTTCATTATACTTGTAAAATCGTTCTTAATCATGCATGTAATGGTACATAAAGAAGCATTCTAATAATATATACAAGTAGCCTCATTGTCTTCGATTTCCAATTCTTTCAGTAATGATCTCTATTATACCCAGTTTCCCATTAAAAACCTTTGGAACTAAAAGCTCTTCTACTACCTTCTCTTTACCAAATTTAATCGTTAAAATCCCAATCATAGTGAAAAAACTGCCTATTGCTGAAACGTCTTGGATCTTAGCTTTCCTTTCCTTGGCTTTTTCAGGTTCCAATGATCCAGCTCGCATACTCCCAGTGAATGGTATCACTGATTCATATAGCAAACAGTTCTTCATATACTGGGGAATAATGCTCCTGTCATCTCTGATTTGTGTTATAATGTACTCCAACTCAGGTGTAGGTGTGGATAAATATTGATGGTCTCCGAAGACCAATAAAGTGTCTTTGGTAACAGTGTATACACCTTTACCTATTTGACGAAGCTTCTCGGAATCGTAGACCACTTTTTGCATTGAATCTGGAGTTCCATCTTTTGCTAGTTCAGCATGGGAAAGACCACAAAGGATAACTATGGCTTCTTTTGGTTCTAGTGGAAATGCTTGTCCTATCACCTGTTGAACAAGATCAGTCCTTCTGCTTAAAACGTCTTCATAGTCATTTCCATGGCCTTCAAGTATTTCACGTAGTTGTGCATGCCTCATTATATGAATGTCCTTGTCTTTGCTATCTCGTATTATCGTCACTGATTGTTGGTCTGATGATTGTTCTGATGTAGGGTTGATAAACTTTGTATATGAAGCATCGTATAAATCACGTGTCAGGACCACCGGGGGAGCCCATGACTCGGGAGGAATGCCTGAGTGCCAGCTTCGTACAAGAAGTCGTAGCACTGGTATTGGCTTTATGGACTTAAACATTTGGAGAGGATCTGGCTGTTAATTTCGCAGTAGTATTGTATATTTTGAGATGAGGTTCGCGACCCATAATCATCAATAAATATTTAATGATAGGCTAAAGAGATGAGTTCTAAAAGCAATTCTAAGAACAAGAAAAATGCTTCCACTCCCACTCCTTCTGAAGCTCCACCCAGAAAGGTGAAAATACCTAAAGCATATGTGGTGCGACCAGCTGTTAATTTAAACCCCAAGTCAACTAGCAAGGTTTATATCCATCAAGACATATTTGAGGCTCTAGAGCTCAAAAACTCAGATATCGTCTATATCTGCAAGAGTGAATCCGGAGAACCTGGTGTACTTGCTTCTATTCACAGTGATGCTGACATTATGGACACCAATGTGATATTTGTATCTGCCGGTCTCAGAAGCTTATCTGGTATATTACTAGGAGACAGAGTTCTCATTCTGAAGTATATGAAACAACCACAGTTTGCTAATCGTATACATATTCACTATCTCGGTGAAGCCGAGGAGTCATCTTTGAAGAAAATAGAGAAAGTTATTGATGAGATAGGCCTTGTTGCTCCAGGGTTGCAGATCAATGGTATCGAGCTAGGAGAAACAAACGTGAGTATCCGAATAATAGATATCGAAAATCCACAGCCACTAGAGGATTCTCTTCAAGACTTATCCTTCCTGCTGAAAATTCTGTCTCAGGATGTTCTGTCCGATACAATAACTCCATATTTCCTCTTTCTGAAAGGAAATGGTAGTGTTCAAATCGTATCCACTGATACCATAGATACCACCAAATATCCCAATTTTCATAGAAGAACCAATTTCGACCAGGTTGGGGGCCTTTCTAAGCAAATATCCCTTCTTCAATCTACTATTGAAGTCCCGTTGCATAATCCTCAATTGTTTTCAGAGTTTGGTATTTCCCCTCCCAGAGGAATTCTTTTGCATGGTCCACCAGGAACCGGTAAAACAATGTTATTGAAGTGTGTGGCACAGAACATTGATGCTCACGTTCTCTCAATAAATGGTCCTTCTATAGTATCAAAGTATTTGGGTGAAACCGAAAATGCTATCAGGGAAATATTTCTTGAGGCTAGAAAGTACCAACCTTCAATTATTTTTATGGATGAAGTCGATTCGTTGGTTCCAAGCAGAACTTCTGAAGACAGTGGAGAAACTGAAAGCAGGGTGGTTGCCACTCTTTTGACGATGATGGACGGGATGAATGATACTGGAAGAGTGGTGGTGGTGGGAGCTACCAACAGGCCCAACTCAATCGATTCTGCTTTAAGAAGGCCGGGAAGATTTGATCAAGAAGTAGAAATTGGCATTCCTGATGCTGAAGATAGATTTGATATTTTGTCCAAACTCGTTGGAAAAATGAACCAAGCAAAATTCGACTTGAGCGAAGAGGATATACGAAGTGTTTCTTCTAAAACCCACGGGTACGTGGGTGCAGACTTGTCTGCCTTGTGCAGAGAGTCTGTAATGAAAGCAATTAATAGAGGCTTGAAGAATGGTATCTCTCAATCTGATATCAAACTAACTGTGGAAGATATGCTAAGTTCATTACCAGATATACGACCTTCTGCCATGAGAGAAATATTTTTGGAGATGCCAAAAGTGCACTGGTCAGATATTGGAGGACAACACGAACTCAAGCGTAAGCTTGTAGAAGTGGTCCAACTTCCTCTCGAAGCGGCTGAGACATTCAACAAATTGGGGGTTCTGGCTCCCAAGGGTGTTTTACTTTATGGTCCTCCTGGTTGTTCTAAGACTTTGACTGCTAAGGCTTTAGCAACAGAATCGGGACTCAACTTTTTAGCAGTAAAGGGTCCTGAAATTTTCAACAAATATGTAGGAGAGTCTGAGAGGGCCATCAGAGAGATCTTCCGTAAGGCAAGAGCTGCTTCACCCTCAATCATTTTCTTCGATGAAATTGATGCTATATCGGGTGACAGAGAATCTGCAAATACTAGTGCAGCCCAACAAGTATTGACATCTTTGTTAAATGAAATCGATGGTGTAGAAGAATTGAAAGGAGTGGTAATAGTGGGAGCAACCAATAGACCAACTGAAATTGACCCTGCTCTCCTCAGACCTGGAAGACTTGATAGACATATATTTGTTGGTCCTCCAGACTATGAAGCCAGACTTGAGATTTTAAAGAAATGCTGCTTTAAATTCAATTTAACTGAAGATGTGAGCTTGCATGAAATGGCTACTGCTACAGAAGGATGCTCTGGAGCAGAGGTGACTTTGTTGTGCCAAGAGTCAGGCCTTGCAGCCATCATGGAAAATAACAATGCTAGCAGTGTTAGTAAGAAACATTTTGAACATGCTTTGAAGGGCATTTCTAAGGGTATCACAGAAGAAATGTTGAATTACTATACAGAATTTTCGCAGAGAAGTGGATTAAGTGTATAATTGGACAAATAAATAATTACTGCTGTTTGCAGCCTTCCTCCAACTCTTTTTCAAAGTCCTTGGGTAAGTCTTTATCAGAAAAGTTCAAACCTTCGGCACCAACACCAGGGGCTCCCAAACCACCAAACCCTGGGAAATCACCCGCATCGCCTATAAGATCGGAGGGAGGTTGACCCAATTCTTGCAAAGATTCTAGAAGGCTGTTGACCTTATCTCTCTGTTCTTTGTTCTCGTCGCTAAAAGTGCTACTTTCAAATATCGCCACAATATCATTGGTTATCTCGTATTGTTTGGTGTAATTAGCATGCTCTTCTTGGGTTATGACATCTTTCTTTTCTTTCAAGTAGTCAGGAAACTTGGTGTTCAAATCCTTAATTGGTTCGTATAATACCTCTTTGGATGATAATTGCTCCAACATATCCACCAATAGTTTAGACATGTCTAAATCTCCCGACTCTCCACCTCCCAAACCCGATAACAACTGGGTAAGCATATCCTCAGGGTTGGAGCTGGACTGATCATTCTTGATTTGCTCATCGATGTCCTTGCCTGAATTCTTTAATCTTTCCATGGTGTTTTTCATGATGCTGTCAAAATCTTTGGGGTCTTTGGGCAGTTCATTGTTGGTATCCTCTTCGAAATTTTTAACCAACTGTTCAAATTGCCCCTTTGTTTCAGGGTCCTGAATATTCAACTCTTTGATCAAATCTTCCAATTTGCCTTTGAACTCGTCGTTGATTGGTTCGTCTACCTCGGCCTCTTCCTTGACATTTGCATCATTAAGTACAGTGGATCCAGGAGGCTTGCTCAAGACTTCACCTGCAAAGTCATCAAGCAATTCATCCAAGTCATCCAAGTCGTCTTCTGTGGATTCCTGTACGGCAGTGGCCTTTGTGTTGGTGTCTTTGTGTTCTTCTGACATCAATCGAGGTGGGAAATAGATGATTTTTTTGCTAGCGAGAAATTCGCACATTTGTGGGGAGGATGTGAAAATGGCATACCGATTGTACATGAGTGCAAATTATAGCTGTTTATATTGTTCACAGCTGAAACAGGCCTTGTGACCCAATAAATATTTCATACAAGTTATTCCATCATATTTCTCAACTTCCTGTGGAAGTTTGACGTGTAAAATATTTACTTTATCATTTTGGTTCCAGCCTTCCCATTCCTCAACACCAATTGTGATCGCGATTGATTTCTCAGAAAATTTTACACACCATGTCCTTGACAAAGATAAGGTTGCAGGAAGAAAGAAAACTTTGGAGGAAAGACCATCCGTTTGGGTTCTTTGCGAAACCAGTGAAGACCGCAGACGGTTCCTTGGATTTAACAACTTGGAAAGCTGGAATTCCAGGAAGAGATAACACTCTTTGGGCTGAAGGGACTTATCCAGTAACTATCACTTTCCCTGATGAATATCCTTCGAAACCGCCAAAGGTTAAGTTCCCAGCAGGATTCTACCATCCCAACGTATACCCCAGTGGAACCATTTGCTTATCGATCTTGAACGAAGAACAAGATTGGAGACCTGCCATTACGTTGAAACAGATTGTTTTGGGAATCCAAGAATTATTAGGCAACCCCAATCCCGATTCCCCAGCGCAAGAACCAGCCTGGAGAGCATTCGCAAAGGACAAAGTAACATACGAAAAGAAAATCAAAGAACAGGCTAAACGTTATGTTAACTACCTGTTCAACTAAACTGGAATTGGTTTAGGTCGCATTTAATAGAATATGTAAATTACTGTACCCTTTGAACTGATGTTATACTATGAATGGAGAAAACAAACTACTTGGTTTGATCCCCCTTAAGTAGATCTCTACTCCTAACAGAATTTCCACCGTCACTTTCTCCCAATTGTGAGGTGCCCTTTTCCTTATATGTACTAACAGCAGGAATATCGGCTTTGATTCGACTTACCAACGTCGAATACGCTCTGGGTTCCAACTTTATCAACGTGTGTAAAGGGATAGACATCCATGGTGATTCTTCCTGAGGAACATTCATGAAATAAGCATAAATGCATCTCAAGACAGCTTGGTGGGTAATAATCAATATGTTTTCTTGTCTTTCCAACTCCATGATGATTGGTTCCAATCTGATGACAATGTCACGATAAGACTCACCACCTCTGTAACGATATTCGTATTTATTGTCATCTCTGGCCTTGAAATCTTCGGGAAACTGTTGTTCGATTTCTTCATAAGTCATTCCATCGCAATCTCCGGCATCCAATTCATCCAATGCTTTCCACAGAAGTTTCTTCTTGTATGGCAAGAATGATGAGGTCTGTTGAGTTCTTTGTAACGTGGACGTCCAAACCGTCAAGTTGGTGTGTTGATTTTCGGGTCCTAACGACTTCAATACCAACTCAGGTAACTTCTTGGCGTACTTCCATCCTCTCTCAGAAAGGTTGGCATCACCTCCAATTTGACCGGTTAAATTGTATTCCGATTCCCCGTGTCTTGACAACCAGATGCTTCTGGGTTTTATGTGTAAGTTCATCACATAATAGACAATTCTTGACTCCAAGTAACTTTCGATTCGGTTCAAAATAACATGACTGCTTACGTTAATCAACTTGATGAAACTTAAGTTTTTGTCCACCAGAGCATCCAAGGTCTGATAAATATCCTTGTAGTATTCGATTCTCTTGGTGAAATCAGATAAAGCAAACTCGGAGTCTTTATCTATATAGTCTGGAGAAGTGGTTTTGACATCCAATATGTTCTGCCTGATCAATTCACCATCGTCACACCAGCTTTCCAAGAATAAAGGCTCAATATAGTTCTCTCGACAAATTCTTAAAACCTGGTCTCTTCTGTCCCTGGTGGTGTTGGTGGCATCCAAAATACCCACCACCCCATTCTCGTCCAAAAACCATCCCATCATGTCTTTTATAGCCGACTGAACGGCTTCTTCTCTGTACTTAACTCCTTCTTTGTTCTGAGGAGAGAAAAAAGTAGCATCAGCATCAGCACCGGTAGGCGAAGCAAGCTTTCTTCTGTAGGTTCCCACGTTGAAACACTTGGATTTGATCGAGAGCCATGACAAGTACCTAACGATTTTCTGTGCAATCAAGGATTTCCCTCTGGCTGGTAATCCCACCATGACCACACATACTCTAACATTTTCAACGTGTGAAATAGAATAAACGGGCATTTTGAAAGAATGTCAATAGGGCAGCTCAATATGGAGAGGGAATGGTCAATTAAGGATTAGGAATGGACAATAATAAAGTTGTCGACAAAATGGCTTAGTTTCAATTCAGCACAAAAGATGGTACGATTGTGATACCCCGTAAAATGGAAAATGTCTATTTTGTTTTTTGTCAAACCCTCAAAACTCAAGTCGCACTTGATTTCAGTCAGGGAAGGGAAATATATCGATATATAGAAGAGTATAGGAGTTGTAATGCCCCGGGGAAGAATATGGTAGGTCGATAATGGGGGCCCTTTTGAAGTTGTGCTTGAACTCTTGGGCTCAGGTGATGTTTCAAACTTCTCTGTCGAGGCTGCAAAATTCCCCAATACCACTATCATGCTGCGAACCAGTCCTTGTCCAAGGAGAATTTTCGGACTTTATACCGCTACAAAAGGCACAGTTTACGAATGCATCGCTTAAAGCAACATACTAGACATCATAATTTCAGCTCTATTGTTGCCTCAAAACTATTTAACGTGTTGTGATATCTCTGTCCATAAACTGACCCTATCCACCTGCATATAAATTCACGTGCCTTGCCCATATTTTCGCAAGGCATTTCTAACATGAATTTTTCTGTGATACGGAACTAACTCGTCTATCAGTGGATTGTTTTCTAACGCTATTGAACATGTCGATGAAGAAGTTTTTGGGCCGCCATAGAAAGGCTGGCGAACATGAAGACATCTTGAGTGAAACTTCCAACCTCTCTGCTCCTGGGACCCATGCTAATCGTCAAAGTGTCAGCACCACTGGGTCTGGAGATTCAATTGATGAAATTGAAATGTTCGATGATAATACCATGCAAAATGACCCCAACTTGAATCTCAATCCTTCAATTCTGAACACTCCAACCACGAACAGACTTAACCCTTCGATTTTCACCAGAAATTCTAGCAAGAATGACAAGTCTATCTTCTCTAGTGGAAAGAGAACTATGTCAACTAACCAGTCTTCTCACTATTCCAGCCAAAGTCAAGCCTCCAAGCTGAGCTTATCTAAAGCCCTTGACTATGGGCAAAGGTTACAGATCCTCGAAGTCCAAGAAGAATTACATCAAGATAACCCTGTGGAAGTAATCAGCGAAAGGCTTCATCAGTTGGGTGAAGATATGTCCTTTGCCATGAACCAGTATAATAATTCGATTCTGAACTTGACTAGTGCAGTTATAAACAACATCGACTTGTTGAAGAATTTCACGTCGTTCATCAAAGACTTGAATGAAGTCACTTCGGAAGTGTCTTGGAAGTTTACTACCTACAATAACTCACACTTGAGAAAAATCATGAAAATCTACCTTAACTTGTACGATAACTTGTTACAAGATGAAGTCTTCATCAAGTTGAAGTTGTTATTGGTCAAGAACTTCAACGAGTTTGCAACTACATTGAACACAAGCAATCGTAGAGCCAGTGTACAAAATCCTACCGTGATTACTAAACCTCAAAACTACGCCATTGGGTGCAATAACAAAGAAAGTCTACCCAACGAGGACGTGATTGTCAACATTATTAACAGAATTGCAGCCACGCCTATTAAAATTAAAGAACAAAATGGTTCGTTTATTGCTCCTATTGTTCGTGGTATTGCTAAAGATATGAACATTTTAACCCTTTACTTCGGCTACCCAAACCCTACCGACTATCACTCAAAATTAACGCAGAGTTTACATGACTTGTACGACGATATCCACGTAATAGTCGTGAAGAACTTTATTGAATTGGCTTCAACTAAATCGGCACCTGCCTCTAATTCCGCTAATTTGGGTGCTACTACCTCTCCAGTGCCCCAAGCTCCTGTTCAAATGTTCAAGTTGCCCTTTAGAGTTCCAACAGATGTCAAGACGCCACCAATGTCGTTATCGATTTCGATTGAAAATGCTTCCAGAACTTCGGGAACAGTGGGTGGATTTATCTATCCTATGATCGACCTTGCAAAGCAACCCCATTTGGAATCTTATTCAAACTCCAAGTTCGCTATTTCTTGTGGGCATGTTTGTCTTAACAATAGTGATGATGAGACCGAATATCCTCATGTGTCAGCACCTTCTTCGGTGTTGATTTCATTGTACAAGAAAGCTTTGACACAACAATATGAAAAGTTGTCTAGAAGTGGAAACGACGCAACGATGATGGAGGCTAAGGTTGCCTATGCGTCTGTCTTGAAACAGGTTGATCAAATGTTTCCAATGAAAAAAATAAAATTGAAGAATTCGAAGAGCAAACAAGGATATTATGAGACCAGAAATTTACCAGCGTATGGTTTTGGACAAATTATCTGGGGTGAACGAACATTAATGGCCATGAAGAACTCAAATGAGAAGAGGTTATCTGACTTAGCCATCATCAAAGTGAATAAGAATTTGACGTGTGATCAAAACTTTTTGGGTGATGATATTGCATTCAATGAGTTTGATCCAGGCTTAATGTTCGACAACCTATATGTCAGAAGAGTAATAGACTTAACGAGACCTACTAAAGAGGAAGAAAATGAATTGGACCTTGACATTGATGAAGTAGATGACGAAGCACCTGCTCCTAGAAATAATAATGCTGGCTTACCCGTTTTCAAGTACGGTTCAACGACCAAGTTCACACAAGGTAACTTGAACGGTATTAAACTAGTCTACTGGTTAGATGGAGCCATTCATTCATCTGAATTTGTGGTCAATTCTATTGATAACAACTCTGCTTTCGCTGCTGGTGGTGATAGTGGATCTTGGCTTCTCTCTAAATTAGAAGACTGTGATACCATATCCGAATCCAAGGGTTTGGGTGTCTTGGGTATGTTACACTCTTACGATGGTGAATTTAAGCAATTCGGTTTGTTCACCCCCATGGTGGAGATATTAAGCAGATTGGAAGAAGTTACCAAAATCAGATGGGGTGTTGTGGGAGTCCCTGAAAAGGATGATAGTAAGAATGCGCCTGAAGTGGACACTGAATCGGAAATTGTTAGTGTGTCGAGTTTTGACGAGTCAGATGAAAGTGACGAGGAATTCGGTGGAGCCAATCCTCCGGAAGTTGATTAGATGAGTTTAGAACTTTTCTTTTATGTGAATTAGAAACAATATAAAAATAATCAAACACAGACAACTAAAACTATGGACTTTTCGAGAACAAAGTTGATGCAAATACTTGACTCAAGCAATGACGGCCTTGACCTTCACGTTGATACATCCCCTTGGGACATTTTCGTTTGGGTATTGGGCCAAGGCGTAACCTTTGTAGTCATATTGTTGGTTGACATTGTTACAAGCAGCAAAGGAACTAGAGCCCTTATACGACAAATAGCCATCCTTAACAAACACGTTAGGCTTACCAGGTACAAATTCAACAATATTCGACTCAACAACTGGTACAAGCTCAAGGTTTCCATCAAGCAGGTAGATTGAGTGCAGGGTTGAATTATAGTGGAAATCAGCCGAATTCTTACCTAAGAAAACATAGTCCAAAGCAGCACCTTCGTGTAAAGGGGAAAGACCTTGACCGCTGACAGAAGAGTCTTCGGATTCGACAAATAAATGGACAATTGGGTCGCTTCTCTTTTGAACTGATGTAGATTCTGGGGTTGGTGCAGCGTTGGCAACGGTCATTAAAGCAGCAGCGGAAGCGAAAACAATAGAGAACTTCATTTTTGTGGTTTGGTTAATCAGATAGTCGAGTTGATTGATTTGATTGTTGTAGTAATGATAAATAGAAGGAGGGTCACCCACCTTATATACTTTTCATAAACAGCCTTTTGTGCTAGTTGACGTCTCTGTATGTCTATTTTTAATTTCGCAGCCTATTACATCATTTGCTGCAATTAGACTATGCTCGCATATAATTTCAGTTGATGCCCCTCTTTATAAAACTTTGTCTCTCAACTTCATTGACACATCTCACAAATAATCAGGTGCACTGGTAACATAGTCACTAAATATAGAAATTTAAAGGGACAATGAGACGCTGCTATGAGCCTTGAAACAAATAACTGTCAGAACAATAAGCTTCCCCAGAAAACATTTCACGTCACGCATAACACTCTTCCTACTGAAATAGCAATAATAGTGATTTGCGTTATTTTTGGTGAAGGTGTCTCGGGAAACTATCCACTAACTAATATTATTGTTCACTTTCTTTGTACTGTATGAACCGACCAATATTGATGAAGGTTTCCTCGCCTTTGATTTTCAATTCAGCATACTTGTGCTTGTCAATTTTTTTGTACATCTCCTTGGCAGGTAACTCATATTGTCTTAATCTCTGGTTGTACTGCTTCTGGACGTAGATTTCGTTGTCATAGGCATACGACTTGTCGCCAAAAATTTCAAAAATAAGATTCAAGCTCTCCAACACGAGTTCAACGGCAGCTGGAAGGTTGTGAACCAGTATGAACACCTCAATAGTTCTTAAAAGAAATTCCGAAATTTGATACGTGACTGTAGTGTTGTCAATGATTATTGCCACGGACCCGGAAAATCCAATAATAGCCAAGTAGTATTCCAAGTGATCCGGATTAAAATTTCCACTTGTCCAGTCACTGATGTAATCATTGCATTTTTGAATCAATTGGTTAATCATTTGTGGATCAATTTTGGACTTGATTTCGGGTCCTAATGCTTTAGTGATAGCCCAGAGTAGATTTAAACAATCCTTTTGTAATAACTCATCGTCAGTTTGAGAAACTTCTATGGTCAAATCCCAAATGGCCAGTGAAACGTTGAACCATTCAACAGGCAATGATTCCAGCGATAACAACAACCAGGCCAAGTTATTCAAGCAGACAATTAACTTGTCAGATAATGAAAGAATATTTTCGTTGGCCTGGTTGAATTTGATCAACTCTATAATGGAAGGAACTATCACTTTAAAGATTAACTCGATCAACTCTGGTGATAATTCTGGTGGTTCCTCGAAATTTTCGTTAATTGCCAAATACTCAAACACACTAGTAGTCAAATCCAAGACAATTTCGATATTTTGTAGATTTGCTTTGGCCAAGTCCTTCTCTGCCGACGAACCAGCAATTTGTTGGTCTATATCTTGTGTGATTTCTGGCGCTGATGCATAAAGTGGTTCATTTGCGTTGTCCTTGGAATTCAAGTCACTTTTCAATTGTTCCAAATCTATAGTAGTGAGATTGTTGAAAAGACTCGATAAGATCTTATGGCAAACCTGATTCTTGCTTGAATTCATTTTCATTACCTCATTGATATGGAACGTTATACCTCCAACATAGGCTTTGCCTAAATTGTTGGACTTTTGAGATTCGGAGTGGACAAAAGTGTTCACAGACTCTAATGAAAAGTTGGAAGTGGCCAATTTTTGGATGAACTCATTCGATTCACTGCAAAATTCATAGATGAAATCCAATAAGGTGTTGAACAATTTAATTGATAACTTGTTTGAAGATATATTGAAGTTGATCAAGTCAATCGCCAAGTTCAATACAGGTTCAAGCTTCTCAAATACCATGTCATAAAGGTCATCAGATCCACTGGCTATCACAACAACCAACGATAATAAGTGTTCTGTGAAATCAAATAGTAACTGCTGTTTCGATTTCTCGTCCTCCTTTTGTTTCTTGGTCAATTCTTTGGAAGGTGGTTGTTGCAAGTATTTAAAGGACTCTTGTACCTTCTTCAACGAATTCTCAATGGTGATCCAAATGTTGGATCTCCAGTAATATTTCAAAATGTCATATCCCTCATCAATACCGATGTTTCTCAATAAGCCAAAAGCTTCGACAACAACCTCATCACTATTGTCGTTTAGGCATTGTTCCATGATAATTTGAACGAGTTTCTCTTTTAACAACAACTTTCTCATTCTGTTGTCTTCACAAAGAACAGTTATAGCCCCCAATGCCATAGACCTGTCATTGGTACTCGAAGACAGTAATTTTTCAATCAATGGTAAGATTCTGTTGTTTCTGGTAGTTTCATCTTTCTTGGCTTCACCACCATCACTTACACCATTTTGACCTTTTTTGCCTATCGGATTATGTCTGGCCCTCTGGTTTCTTCTTCCCTTCTTTAATTTACCCATTTCACGATGTGTTGGTGTAGTCTACTGTTATTTTTTTCTGAGATGAGTATAGTCGCTAACTGGGATGAGGTGCAGGAATCAAAATGAAATGTGATATAATCTAATGATAATGTTCATATAAAGTATTATACAAGCTAGAATATTTGTGCTGGGATTCCAACAGTTTAGTAAGGTGAACTACTTGCCAGAGTTGGATTCTTTGTTTTGTTGTATCTCCACAACATTTTCGTTTAAACTTTGTGCAAACTTATTATCCTTCTTAGCCTCGACTTCGGGATGAATGGTTGCCCTTATGCTTGATTTAACATCTTCCCAAGACTCTGGTTGCGTTTCGATTTCAGGAATTTCAACGTCAGTCCTTAAATTTCCATCTTTCTTGAGCTGCTCACTAGATAATAGTCGGTTAGTAAATAGGTCCAATGAACTTTGGAGGATGAAAGGTTCTTACGTACACAATTAAAGGCTGCCAAAACTTTACGCCGGCGTACCAGCTGATGCTTCCAACTAGCAAAAAAGATAATGCCTTGATCCCATTTCCTGACATTATTGGCAGTTTCAATGATTTTGAATTTACGCACTTGGCTTAAGGAATCCAGCTAGAAAACTAGAAATGTCTACAACATAGATAAAATCCCTTTAAAGTGTCTGTGGAATAACAATTGGCAAAGATCGTGTCACTATCAACTTCAAAGTGGACATTATTTGTTTCGCTTGTTTTTTCTAGCAATTGTTTGTCATTGCATGTATATTTTGTGAAGTTTGGATGAAATTTGCAGCTTTTACTTTATTACACAAAATATTTTTAAAATCAAGTTCACATAACCTTGACAAAACCAACATAAAACCCCACGGAAGGATCACCACTTCTTCAAGCACTATGTACTTACCTAATCACTTTATCACTAATATTAGAACATTATCAGGTGTACACCACATCAAGTCCGGGTAAAATTCTCAGAAGCTGAGTATAAAATCGAAAAAGCATCTCCAAATTTTCTTTTCTTCTTTAATCAAAAAGCCAGGGAATATTTTGCCACGACGGGTTAATGCAAATTGTCAAGTTACCACCGTTGCCATATTATAATTATAATTTTCTTTCCCGAGATGAATGAATCCCATATGGAAGTTCGTTATCCGTTGGGTCTCTTTAGTGAGGCGATGGATTTGGAATGTCGATTAATGGGACATATACTCTTTTCTCTATTGTATGTCGAATGTAATTGTTCACTGTAGTACTCTTGGGCCCCTTTGAAGTGCTGGACTTATGTTTAGACATAATCTTATCACCACGGAGCATGCTTTATTGGGTATGGTCCCAAAGTCATTATTGACGACGTAACTAGATCTTGGGAAACAACCCCTTGAACTAGTGAATCAGATACGTCCATTTCTTCGCTTACTATACTGAAAATTTATATTTGATATACTAAAGGTTAAGCCTATAGGTATATAAGACCATTAAATTAATTATACACAGTAAGCCATTTTAAATAAAAAGTTACTTAAAAGAATCTTTTAATGCAATACTTTTAGTAAAATAACTTAACGGAACTTGTTGAAACCAATGTCAGTAGCCTTTTCTCTGAAACATTGTCTGCAGATGTTTAAACCGTATTTTCTGATCAAACCAGAGTGGGAGGAACAGACTCTACATTGTCTAGAACCTTTACCGAAGTTTCTTGGGTGGGAAAACCAAACAGATTCGTGAGCCATCTAGATGAATGTTAGTATTGGGGCCTCATTAACTGACAAAGAAAACGAATCTGAAATCATGAATATTGAATAAAGGGGAGGTGAATTTAATTCGCTTTAATTTTGGTAGCTTTTGTTGGGAGATGCTTCAAGATGATACGACTTTAAAAATGTCAGTCTTCACCCAATAACACCAAGACGTTGTTGGGCATCTCCGCTATATTTGCAAACTTCTCATCATATATATGGACACCACAAACAGAGGTGAATGTGTTGACTGGGACCTGGTGGTCCTTCGATAAAAATAATAAACCCTGGACTGGGTAAAGTTGGAATTGATAGGGACTGTAGTATATCATGATTTCATTCGTTTCTATTGTTCTGTCTTTCAGTTCGACATACTTTTACTAATTGATATTATATGATAATAACTCTGAAGTTAATGAAAAATTTCAAACCGTGAGAAGCGTAAAAATTTGAGAGTGAGAAAGCAGCGAAAAAACCTAGTGACACAAAACTTGCGTATAATGCAGTCACAAAAGTACTCTAGGGGAAGCCCTAAGGAAAAACACGTGAAAATCTCGAAAATAATTTTCTGCCATGAGATGAGATGATATTATCATAAGCGTTAGTTACTTATAAATCCATTACCAGAACAAATATGGTTCAAGGAGGTCACTCACATAGAGCTACAGTCAAAAAGGACCACAAGCCCTTCAAGGCCAAGCATGCTACCAAGGGTCATTTGAAGAATATCACCAAGGGTAAAGTGGAAAAGTCTAGTGGGTCTGGTAAGCAGATCAAGCTGATGTCTAAAATTGAAAGAAAGAATCAAATCAAGCAGTTAAAGGAGAATAAAATCTTAGAAACCAAATTGACTCGTAAGGTGTTTGAAGGTTTCCAAGGAGCTGAAAAGGTGGTAACAATAATTCCCTTGACTAACGATATATCTGCTGCTCAAATTGCATCGAGTCTCGTGAATATAGTTAAAGACCCAAATGAAATTGAATACGAATTTAAACTCCCTTCTGTCACAAACATCAGAGTACAAAGATTCAGATCTAATTTGAAGATCATAGTGCCAGATTCCAATGATTTGTTATCTATTTTGGATGCGGCTAAAGTGTCTGACTTTGTTCTTTTCGGAATCTCTGCCACACAAGAAGTTGAAACTACTTACGGAGAACAGATCCTAAGAGCTGTAACTGCCCAAGGTATTGCTTCTGTATTTGGAGTTGTTCCAAACTTGGTGAGTGCTTTCCCCAAGAAGAACTTACAAAATGATATCAGACAATCTTTATCGTCATATTTCAAGCATTTCTTTCCAACCGAAGAGAAGCTTTATGCCTTGGAATCCGAATCAGACTGTTTGACTTGTATTCGTACCATTTGTCAGAAATTTCCTAAGTCAGTGAAATGGAGAGATGCTAGAGGGTATATGGTGACCGATAACGTTTATGCGGAAGACGGCAACTTGGTGGTGCTTGAAGGAACCGTTCGTGGTGTTGGTTTTAACTGCAACAACTTAATTCATATACCTGGAAAGGGAGATTTCCAAATTGACCATATTGAAAAGGTTTCTAGAGAAATGGGAGATTACATATTACCTGACGAAAACCAGGAATCTTTGGAGGAGTTGAATCCAGAAGAAGTGCAAATGGAAGATGACTGGGACGGGTTTGAAGACGAAGGAAATAACTTGGACTATGGAGTTCGTATGGATGGAAAGGAGTATTTCGACGACGGGTCCAGAGACTTACAAAGAAGAAAATTCAAGGTTCCTCAGGGTACTTCTGAATATCAAAGCAAGTGGTTGTTGGATGATGTGTTGGAAGGTGTCTCGGATGTAGAAAGTGTTGATGAAGATGAGTTCCCAGGATTTGAAGATAATCATTTGGAGGATGATGATGAGATGGAAGCTGATGAAGACGATATGAATGGGACTACTGAAAATGGAGAGTCGGAGATGTTTGTAGACTTATCACCAGAGGAAGAACAGAGACAATTAGCAGAATTCAGAGCCAATGCCAAAGAAGATCAAGAGTTTCCAGATGAGATCGAATTGCATCCAAATGAATCCGCTAAAGACGTATTGAATAAGTACAGAGGTCTTAAGTCTTTGGCTAACTGTGATTGGGACTACGACGAATATGACGACGAAGCTCCAAAGGAATGGTCCAGACTTTTGAGAATCTCCAACTATAAATCCACCAAAAACAAGGTTCACAAAGAAGCCATCAAAAATGCCCAGGTTACTATCGGTAACAAGGTAAAGATTTATATCAAGGCCCCAGCTGATATCATTCAAGATTGTACCACCAAACCATACATTGTATATGGCTTGTTAGAACACGAACACAAATTAGCAGTGGTGAACTTCTTCTATGAAAACTGGGAAGATTTCGAGGAGTCAATTCCGTCAAAGGAAACCATCATTGCCCAATACGGACCTAGAAGACAAGTTATCAAGCCAATTTTCAACCAGGCCAGTAATAGTCCAAATAACGTCCACAAACTCGAACGGTTCCATCACCCAGGAAATGCTTCCATTGCCACCTGTATTGCTCCAGTTCTTTTCTATAACGCTCCAACCATTTTCTTCAGACAGGCAGAAGATGGATCCTTACAGATAATCGGCCAGGGAACCTTTTTGAATTGTGACCACACAAGAGTGGTGGCAGAAAGAGCCATCTTAACTGGTCACCCATTGAAGATACATAAGAATGTTGTTACTGTGCGGTATATGTTCTTCAACCCTGAAGATATTAACTGGTTTAAAGCCGTGCCTATTTATACCACTCTGGGAAGAACCGGGTTTATCAGAGAGAGTTTAGGTACTCATGGATACCTCAAGGCCAGTTTTGAGGGCAAATTGTCTGCTCAAGATGTAGTGGCAATGAACTTATACAAGAGAACGTGGCCAGAGTTTTCCACTCAATTTAATCAGTAACTATTTTTGCATATATGTAGTGTACCATAGAATCAAACACAAAAATTGAGTGAGGTTTGCGCATTTTCTCATATTGATTTTAACCACCATGTCTACGGATATAACTAGTTTTGTACCCCAAATGGCGACACCTCTGACGGTGTCGTTTATCTGTAATACATGTGGGATCAAGTTTATTGCCGCTGACATGCAAAGGAAGCACATGAAAACCGAATGGCACCGGTATAATTTGAAGCGAAGAGTGGCACAACTCCCGCCCATCTCATCAGATGTATTTGCACACAAGATCTTGCAACAGCAGCGGTTGGCTGAGATAAGGGGCGAGGTTGATGAGTTTGGATTTTCTGTTAAGCCCAAGAAAGTTGGCGGAAAATCCAAAACTATGTCAGAAATTATAAGAGGTAGAGTTTTGAGTACTCAAAGCAATACTCTCAACAGAGAATCCAGTCCTGCTACGTCTGTGGTTAGTGAATTTTCCCAATTTTCTCTTGGAGACGGCGTGAGTGTGCACGAAGAATCTGAATCTAATATAGACACAGCATCTGAGTTCAATTTGACAGACCACTCCAATAGTGATTGGGAATTTGATTCCACAACTGAAGAAGAGGCTACCGAATCGGAAGCGGAATCACTTGATGATGGGCTCACGGAGGTGATGCCTGTGAGCTTCTGCTTTTACTGTGGACTCAATAATAACGAAGTAGAAACCAATGTGGAGCATATGTATAGAAAGCATGGGTTATACCTCCCAGAAAGGCCATTCTTACAAGACTTGGATGGGCTACTTACATTTCTCAGTGAAGTAATTGTGCTCGATAAAGAGTGCTTGGTATGTGGGTTTGTTGGTAAGAACTTGGAAAGTATCAGACAACATATGATTTGCAAGGGCCATTGTAAGCTTCCTTATGAGTCGGATGCAGAAAAGAATGTGGTTGCTGAGTTCTACGGCTTTGAAGCTGAGACTGCAAAGAGAGTTGCAGATGGTGAACAAAATGACCAAGTGATTATACACACATCCGAGCATTTTGTTGCAAAGAAACTTTCAAAGACATTACCTTCAGGTCTTGAAGTGGGACATCGAAGTATGTTCAAATACTCGCATCCACCAGCGTCGTTGGTTCGTAATTCGAGAGAATCTCAAAGATCTATTGCCCTTGTGGACCGTCGTTATGCTCCAGGGCTTAGTGCCAAGATACTCAGCAGACAAGAACGGCAGGTTAAACGGTTGGAACAAAGAACAAAGAATCTCGAGACCAGAAGACTGAGCAGCAAGCAGAGCAATGTTATAATGCATTTTAGAGACGAGCTTTTGCAATAGACCTTAAAATATATTAGACTAGTTTGAATACAGTTAACATTTGCATTCTCCCACTTTTCCAACCTTGCAGGTGGGGGGGGGGATCCACAGAAAAGTTCGTCTTATCCGCGAAACATTTATCAACGAAAGATTAGAGATTAGAAATTCACAGTTTTGGTAGGAATATGAGCAAAACTCACCAACCACATCTTGAACCCAGCAAGTTGAATGACACATCTAGTGGCACGCCAGGGCTAATTGCCAGTGAGCTTGTTGCCGAAGAAGAACTTCTTTTGCTGCACCCCAATAACTATAGCTCCATCGCCGGGGACCTGGACTCTATCGTTGCACCAAAAGATGACGATAAGGGCTACGCTTTAACAGGAGTGAAACTATACACTTTCATTACTGCCTCCTTATTTGCTGCTTTTTTAAGTGCTTTGGATGCCACGGTGGTATCGACTTTATTGGGGGTTATAGCATCGGATTTGCACCAAATTCCCAACATGAGTTGGATTGCAACTTCTTATCTTTTGTCTGCAGCAGCGTTCCAGCCATTATACGGGAAAATCTCTGATATTTTTGGCAGGAAACCCGTATTGTTGGCGTGTTCTGTTTTTTTTGGAGTTGGATGTTTCATCACTTCCTTTAAAGACTTCAAGTGTGTGATAATTGGAAGATTCATTACTGGTATTGGAGGATCAGGATTCAACGCGGTAACTACAATTGCTATGTCCGATATTATTCCCTTGAGAGATAGGGGTATATTTCAAGGCCTTGGGAATGTTGCCTATTCTATTGGAGCAGCTTCTGGAGGTATTTTGGGAGGTTTCGTCAATGATTGGCTTGGATGGCAATATGTGTTCAGCATCCAGGTTCCATTGTCGATTGGAATTGGATTGGTTTTCTTGTTCTTTTTTGTGTTACCTCCAGGTTCTCCAGGGTTAGGTTCACCAGGCCACGCTAAAGAGAAATTGGCAAGAATTGATTTCTTAGGATCCTTCTTTTTGGTGCTGTCTTTGGTGACGATTTTATTGGGCACTTCTTTGGCAGGCCAATACTTTCCATACATTTCGTGGACGTTTGGTGGATTAATGTTGACTGCAATTGTACTTTTATTAGTATTCGTGTACGTGGAGTTGAATATTGCCCCGGAACCAATTTTACCAGTAAAGTTGTTGACCGACAGAACCGTTCTCAGTGCATCGCTTACAAATTGGTTTATGACCATGTCGTGCTTCACGTATCTTTTCTACTATCCAGTTTATTTGACGTCTGTTATCCAGTTACCTTCAAGTAAAGTTGGTTTGAGAGTGATTGCCAATTTTGTTGGTGTTTCCACTGGTTCTTTAGGAGCTGGAATCTACATGAAGAGAACCGGTAAATACTATGGATTGAACGTGGTAGCAGTTGTTGCTTACTGGTTTGGTATATTGAGCTTTTTATTTTTAACACCCCAATCTTCTGCCAGTTTTCAATTGGTGATAACGTTCTTGCCAGGTTGGGGGTATGCGATTATGTTGACGGTATCATTACTTGCGTTGATCGCTGCAGTTCCTTCTAAATTCCAGGCTGCTACTACATCCATCCAGTACACGTCCAGGTTCACTGGTTCTACTTTAGGAGTTTGCATTGCGTCTGCAATTTTCCAGAAAATATTGTACAACCAATTGACAGCTGCCATCCCTAAAGTTGTGAATGATGCTGACAAAGCGGCTGAAATTATTTCAAATGCATTAGCAGATGCTGAATACTCCAAAACCGTTTCTGACGCTATAAGATACATAATTGTTATGTGCTATGAACGTGCGTGCAAAGGGGCATTTGCCTTTTCATTCGCCACCGGTTGTCTTACGTGTGTTGTAACATTATTTATCCGAGAGCACAAGTTGCACTCAAACCTTGATAGAAACTAGTAGGTTAATAAAATGAGATACAAGTGGCATGTTCGAGTAGTCCAATTCCCAAAACGGGCGACTGCGAAAATGTCTCGAGCTGCAACAGGAATCCGATAGAAAGCTTTCGAAATTCGCCAGCCGCTCTATGTGCAAATCGCGACTCGAACCCATAAAGACTGAATACTCCAGATTTAGTTGATATTGTATCATTTATAAGCAATAAGCCAATAAGAACATACATATATTCACATTGCTAGAATGGTGGCGGAGACAACCTTATATGACATGCTTGCCATATCTCCTTCAGCAACGTCGGAGGAGATAACTCGGTCATATAGAAAGATTGCTTTAAAGTGCCATCCTGATAAGACCAATCATGATCCAAGACTCACAGAACAATTTAAAAACGTCACCCGGGCCTACGAGATCCTCAAGGATGTTTCATCCAGAAACGTGTACGATAAGTATGGAGAAGCAGGTTTGGATGGTAGGACCAATTCCCATTCGCGTCCTGGTTCCACTGCTAGACCCACTAGTTTTACCCATAGAAGCGCCACCGATGTGTTTTCCCAGGTGTTCAATGACTTCAACAGTATGTTCAACAACCCGTCTGTCAACGCCGCTCCGTTTGGAGATTTCTCGTTTGGAAATCGTATGGGGTTTGACATGGGCATGAACATCAACATGAATATGGGAGGATTTGGAGGGGCACCCACCACCAAAGGCATGACGAAAACAGTGCACCCGGCACCATCCCAGCCACCTGACAATAGACTATTTAGAGGTCAAGATATTTATCACACTTGCAAATCAACTTTGGATGATTTAGCATATGGTAAGACTGTCAAATTGCAGTTACCAAGAAGAGCAAAGTGTGAAACATGCCACGGTGAAGGAGGTTTCAACAAGAGTAGCTGCTCTGTATGTCAAGGAAGTGGAAGAGTGGTGACCATATTGGCAAATCAGTTTACAAAATACCAAACGGTAGGACTGTGTACTGTCTGTAATGGGGAAGGAACTATTGTATCCAGGGTTTGTACTGCTTGTACTGATGGGTTCAAAGTAGTGAACAAACTTATTCAGCTTCGAGTACCTCCTGGAACTAAAGATGGAAATAAGATTGTGTTAAAGGGGGCTGCCGACGAGGGCAAGAATATGATTCCAGGAGACGTGATCATCACCATAAAAGAAGCAAGGCATCCTTACTTGGTAAGGAGGTCAAACGATCTTTATATGGAACATGAAATTGACTTGAAGACTGCATTATTGGGAGGTTTTATTATTATCCATGACTATTTGAGTAAGGGAAATGACTTGAGGATATTCATCAATGTTCATGGAAACCAGCAAATTAATAACAACATAAATGAGGCTATACAACAAGGAGAGATTATTGGAACCATAAACCCTAATATTCCGAGAATTGTCAAGGGGTTAGGAATGCCTATCAATAATGAAACAATCGATGGTAAATTCTTCCAGACGGATGTTTCCAAAACCTCCAGTATTGATATGTTCCATAGGGGTGATTTGTTTATCAAGTTCAATATCAAAATCCCACAGATCGAAAGCTTCAGCCCTGAACACTTGCTTGCCTTGGCCAATATCTTACCTCTGGGGTCTTCCGATACCTCAAACTTTGGTGAGCTTACAGATGTGCACTTGAGTAACATTCCAGATTATGTCGAACCTCAATCCTACAATTCGTCACCCCCAAAACAAGGAAGTATCAGTTCTTCCGATGAACTACGGTCGGCCGGACTGTCAGAAGAACCAGAACAAAAGAAGCGCAGAGAAGGTGCTTGATTGAAATTGCACGGGACCCGTAGACCTACAAGTCCCTCTTGATGACCACCACTGTTTACGGATTCGAAGATCATTCAACTGGTGTCTAAAAAAATAACGAACTGTTTAAATATTGTATAACATTGTATTACTACATTAACGAAGAACTATCTCAATATGAACCCGCGATTACATTTTGGTTGGATCGCGCTCTGATAAACCGTGTTTTTATCCTTGACCCCAATTCACCATGGAACAAAGGAAGGTATTGGACACGTCCATCATCAAGGATCTTTCCAATCACATCTATGAGAAACGGAAGGCCACAGCTTTTCAAATTGAGAGTTTAACAAAGTCTGCTTTGGAAAGAAATGACAGTGAAGAGATATACAAAATCGTCAGCGAGCTTGGCGAACTAACCAATGGAAGTACCAATTCCGCTCGAATGGGTGCTATAACTGCGTTGGGGAGTGTATCTGTGGCGTTAGGGCCATTTGCTATAGCTTATTATTTGGATGACATCATAACTCCTATATTCTCGACATTTAAGGATACTGACCCTCGTGTCAGGTATTATGCTTGTGAGTCGTTATACAATATCGCCAAGGTGGCCAGAGGGGAGATTCTTCTTTATTTCAACGAGGTTTTCGACGTCTTATGCACACTTGTGACGGATTCAGAGTCCTCTGTCAAGAATGCTGCTGATATTCTTGATCGGTTGATTAAAGACATTGTTAGTGCCAAAGCTACGAACTATGTTTCCATATTGCACCAGCAAAACGACTTGAAAACCGGAGAAAACAATGTCATCAAGACACATGTTGTTGATGAATCAGGAACTGCTGTTCAAGTAAACCAGATTCAAGATACTCAGAGAGCATTTTCTTTACCTAAATTCATTCCGACCTTATTGGAAAGGATGTATATAACTGACCCGTTTGCCAAAAAATTTTTGATCAGTTGGTTGGAATTGTTTGACGACATCCCTTCATTGGAGTTGATTACATTCTTGCCGAACTTCTTAGAGCCATTGATCAATTTCTTTAGAAATGGTGCTCCTTCTGATGTTAGAATCGAGACTCAGAATATTTTGAACGTATTTTTGAAGGAAATAAAGTCAATTCAAAAGGTCAAATATGAGGTAAGGAAACGAGAAATCACCAAAGAAAGGACTTCGCCATCAAAGGAAACAGAACTCCAGGCTAATGACAACAAGAAAGATGATGAATACGAAAAGAGTGGAGAAAAGGTTTCTGATTTAGAGAACAATAATGCTAATGGAGAGGCTGGCCAAAACAAAGATAAAATAGGGGATGAGAAAGCTTATGAAGATCAAAAGGACCAAGATAAAGAAATCAACTCGGGCCAAGAGCAGATGCAAGACATAGAGAGTTTGTTGACCAAGGAGGTTAAAGAAATTACTTTGAAAGACGAACCACAGAATGAAAGAGAGTCAATCCAATCAGAAGAAACCAAAGAGAGCTCTGAACAAAACCTTGCCTCCAGTATTGTTGAAGGGAAGAAAAATATCCTACCAGAGGTGGATGAAATTGAAGAAGAATTCCTAGAAGGTCAGAATATTTTCATCGATTACGATAAGACTATCGCTGTTTTATTATCATTCTTGCAACCAGAAAAGACAGAAAAACATAATGACTTATCTGGAGACGGACATGAAATTACATTGGAGGTCCAAGTTATCGTCCTTAAATGGTTACTCGAGGTTATTCAAATCACTCCAATCAGTTTCACCAATTTTTTCCCTGACTGTGTTAATGTTAACATACAAAACTTGTCAGTGGCTGATAACAACAAAGACTTTGAATTAAGAAACCAATTTCTTAAGTTTAACTTGGCATTGCAGTCATTCTTCATAAAATTGAGCGATATGGCCCGGAAACAAGAATATAAGTCAAAGGAAGCGACCCAAGACGACAAAAATATTCTTGAAGATCTCAATGAGTCGAATGACACCTTCATTGAAGTCGACGAAAACTTGGTATTGGGATTAAACAAAGAAGTATACGAGGAGTTCATTGAGTTCCAACTTTCGAAAACTTTGCACAATATCATGCGTCAATGCTTAACATCAACCAACGAGTTGGCTCGAGTGACCCTGTTAGATTGGTTGATTTTCTTGTATTCAAGAGAACCAGCTAGCTTCGTGGATGTAGAAGGAGATGGTACAACGTTCGATCTTACTGCCTTACTTCAATCGGCAACCGATTCTAGTAATGAAGTTATCCTGAAGGTGTTGCAATTATTATCAAAGATTTCAGAAACAAATCAAGATTTTTTCAAAGATTTCATGGTGAAGTTGATACTATTTTTTGAAAAGGAAGTGCAAGACATTAACCTCGATAGCCCCAACTCTAGAACAAGAGTTGCTGGTCTGTCTACATTAACCCGAAGTAAGGTGGAATTTATCATTCGGAAGTTATGTGTTACCTTGGATTCAGAAAAGATTTTTAAGACCATATCTGAAGTATTGACATCTTTGGAAGACGTGAACCATGAGTTTTTAAACATGATTGTGGTCACCTTGAATAATATCCTTTTGACCACCCCTGAGTTGACAAAGTTCAGAAAGAAACTTAAGAATCTTGACGTGTACAAGTTGGAAGACTGGACATTATTTTCAACGTTGTTTCAAAGTTGGAGTCATAACTCTGCAAGTGCCTTATCAATCTGTCTTTTGACTGCAAATTATGACCTTGCATTTTTGATTATTAAAAGCATAGCTGAACTGGAAGTAACCTACCAACTTTTAACCCAATTGGATATTTTGGTTCAACTCTTAGAGTCTCCAATTTTCCTCAAATTGAGGCTACAATTGTTGGAACCAGAGAAAAATCCATACCTCTACAAAACATTATATGGATTGTTGATGATTCTCCCCCAATCCTCCACTTACACAACATTACACAACCGGTTGTCTTCTGTATCCGCGGTCAACCATTTGAACGCGTCTTTACTTGCAGGTGGAACAACTTCCACTCCAATTTCTACCCCAGGTCCTTCCAATGCCTCAAATTCTACGCCTGTCAGCCAACAACTCTCTATCAAGCGGAAAAGAGTATACGAAATGCTCGACAAATACAACCGTATTCAGGAGTCACACGGGGAGCATCTCTTGAACCGCAAACTACGGGAATCGGCGGCCTCGTCCTTGTACCAGACTGATGACATATCATTCCACCGAGTGATTGGAAAGAGTTCAGATAATTCGCAGTCAAAGTCTGACAGGCTTCTTAGTTATGCCCAAAGTCAGTCTGACAAAAAGGATTATTTCACCAACATCGATGCCATTGCTGACCCTAAGTCTGGGAAACGAGTTGGAAGTGGGAGATTTTTGCACCGGTTCAACGGTTCGTAGAACTAGCCATATTGGTAGTGTTTCAGCCCCACAATATACACAAAATCATGCTCGCGAAAGGCCAGCGCAAATTGCAGGTTGAGATATTTTTTTTACAATTTAGATCATAGAACTAAGAATACCGCAATAATATTGTAATAGACGTGGTTGCCAATCATTCAATAGCCAGCACGCTAACACACACATCTGTCACATACTATTTGCGTGTCAACTTTCCTCATAGGATGAACGCAAACCCCCTGCATGCAAAAATGCATGGAAAGTCCATCAAGTTTACACCCTACGATTTGAAGTCCAAAGCCGCCAAGTACAAGAGATGGTCGCCGAAAATGGATCAGTTCTTGATCAAGCTCTTATCAGATGTGGTTCACAGTTATGCCAAAGAGGAAAGACCTCAATTGAACAAAAAGGCATGGGCATACATATGTAACCAACTCAGAATCGCCAACCCTGAAACCGTGTATGCCACGTACACCAAGTACTCATGTCAGCAGCATTTGATTCATGTGATCCACAACCGGTACAAATTGTGGTATACTTTGATGTTGCATAGTAAAAATGCAGACCCAAACGTGGGCTACTCATTCAAATGGAATCCAAACTTGGGAAGTTTTCAGATCATTGTCACGGCAGACAACACAGTAATAACCGATGAGAGCATCATCAAGTCCATAATCTATGGAGAGTCGTTGCCGTTACCACTGGTGGAAAAATTTCCAAAGGGGAATGTAGTGGTGAATGATTTCTTCCTTTCGGATAATTTTCTGTACATGTCTGACTATCACAATGAAGTGTTGCCTATGTTGATAGATTCAGATCCGCTGTACATGGAAGGGTTTGGGAGTATCTATAACGACATTCCCAAGTTCAAATACGAGGGTTTCAACACAGATTATCAAAAGCCGTTGCAGATGATAAGAGCTAAAAGAACACCCGATAAGTATAACGGCTCGAGCTCCATTCCCGCCAGCGACAACTCCTCTACCAGCGTCGTATCATTGGGGTACAACCAGTTCTCGGCTTCTACCACAAACTCAAATGGCCATGACCACCCGAATAATGCAGACCATATATCTCATCTCGCGGGCCTGAGCGTGGACCACCATCAACCCCATATTCAACTTCAGCACAATCACACACACCCCAATCTGTATCAACAGTTGGTGTCGCAGTCGCACAACCAGCACCATGGCCATGGCCATACTGCTTCCAACCAGGTGCCTGACTTATCCTCACATGATGTTTCAATGGAGAAAAGAAGCCTACACGGTGATTTCGAAGGAGATTTGTCGAGCACTGGCATCGCAGAATTTCACAGTCCCCAGGGAGTCCCAGGAGCGAATGATCCTCAAACCTACCAGAAGGACCGGCCTTGGTTCACCAAATTGATGGCTCTCCATGAAAGTAATCTCATCACCATCAACGATTTTTTTACGGTTTTGGAAGGTGTGAGGGACAGCAGGTTTCCCTTGCCTTTACTCAACATCTTGGATCCTGGAGCCGGTGAGTCCAAACTTAGTGATCGTGAGATTGCCAAGAGAACTAAAATGTACATTATCCCTCGGTGTGAGTCGTTCAAGCACTGAGCGACCCGAGTTATGGTTTATGGGGGTTTGTATTGGTTTGATTTAATATGTAATATACAAATAAGTTAGTTGAAAAGCATCTGATTTAATATGTAGTATAGGGAAATTAGTTGAGAAAGCATCTAATCAGTTATGATGTATCATATAATATACAAATAGTTTACAAGGGAATGCATATATGGAAGGCTACTCGGTATCTTTATGCTGTTGGAACTCAAAGAGTTGCTTGGTGGGAGAGAGCCTACCTTCTACTCCACCAAAAGTGACACCAGTTCGGGTAGACATGCTATCATCTCTTCTTAACACTTTACCAGCGGTTGCATTGATTGAACGGAGGTTGTAGTTGTGACCGAAAGATTGGGGCTGATATCTGGTGTGTGAATAACTTGTCGAGGTTTCAGAATCAATTACTGATATCGATCCTTTCATGGAATTTACTTCTTGTGGGTAGTTCACTTTTTTGGGGGTTGGTTGTGTGGTGGGAGATTCAATAGTAAGTTCATTTGAAGGATCCGATAGTTTGATGGTTTCTAAGATATTTTGATTGGATAAGTTTGCTTGTTCTGAATGTTGAAACGTGTATAAGGGGTGATCAGAAGTAATGACATTTTTGTGTACGAAACGATGCTGCTCATGTTTTTCAGGTTCGGGGTCTTCGATGAATGAAGTCAACTGACAAGACAAATCGTCCAAATCTTGAAAAATTGAAGTGCTAGTAGTGGATTGAGTATTACTGTGTCTTTTGGTGCTATCGCTGGATTGTGTGTTGCTGTGTCTCTTGGTACTATCTGTAGGTGTTGATGTTATTGCAGTGGAAGTACTGTCCCTTTTCCCCCCACTACCGGAGTTGGAACCCACATTCTTTGAGGTCCTGCGAAGTACCACACTATTGGACCTGAAGGATTTAAGAGAGTTGTTTCTGCTCAACTCTACCGGAGGAGTTCTTGAAAGCATACCGGATTCCGAAGAAGATGAGAAGGTTTCCACGGATCGGTTCATAGGGACTAACTGGTAGGTGAATCTAGGTTTTCCTAGAGCTTTTTCTAGAACACTTAACTCTTCATCTCGTTTGACGCTACGAGATTCCCGAGAATATTTTTTGAGGTTGAAGGCAGTGATGTTGAAGGGGGAGGAAGCTGGATCAGGGTCTTGTGTTGGCGTGGTATGTCTGACCAAGTGTAATAGATCATTTGTGGAGGCGGTTCGTCTCAGTTTATTATCATGTCTTCTGGCCTTTGAACTCATGTCATCATCGTCAAAGTCTTCGATTGATTGAAGTTTGAAATCGCTGCCAAAAATATTCGACTTATAACTGATCTGGGGAGAAGGCAATAACCCGGAGAACAAAGAGGCATTTTGTTCCATCAAATCATCGGTATTAATTGAACTATCATCAGGAGAATCTTCTGAATCAGTATGGACTAATTTGGGAACGTGGCTGTGTCTGATGTGGTCATTATCATCGTCGCTGGACTTTGAGCTCGATCCATCAGAAGAGGATGATTCCTTTTTCTGATATTCGGTACTTTCCATTTCTCTATTCTGTTGCAAGCGGTATTCAATTTTTGCAGCCAAAGTTCTTCTCAATAAAACTTCAAACAACGCTTTTCTATTCATATGATCAATATCGGAAGCACTTATTATGTTCTTATCGAGCTCTTCAGGGAAGAACTCAGAGAACTTAGGAGGTATATTGTACTGTCCGGCATGTACTCGGGACCTGTATTGGTTATAAATAGCATCCACTAAACTGAATTCCTTATGGTCGGATTGATTTGAAATCCCACTCTTTCGGTAGTCTTGGAAAGGTAAGGAATGATTCGCCCGGCGGATTGATGGAGGAACAATGGTAAAGACATTGTTGTTATTAATATTGAAATATCTGGTCTTCTTGTCCAACAATGGTTTTCTCGTCAATAAGCCTGCATTGGAATAGTTGAAAAGCTTCATTTGAGTCGGAAGTAGTTCCTTCATAAGTTTTGAGGCATTGGTTTGGTTTAAGAACTGCTCAAGCTCCTCTTTGGTTTGAAAGTTAGCTCTTTTGGCTCTGTAACTTCTTAATAATTGATATGCAGACTTCTGCTTTAAGGAAGTTCTTCTTTTTACAGGGAACATAAACTGAATTTTTCGGTTCCATGGCTTCTTTTTTTGGGGGTATTTCTTATTTTCTGAGTCATAGATGGAATCGCTATCAAATGTGGAACCGTTGATATCAAGGGATTTCTTATTGATCATTTTATTTCTTCTTGCGATATTGAACCGATTCCTCAACGAGGCTTCCCGAGAAATAACCGAATTCGATCTTTTCAATTCCTCCTGATCAATCATAGTAATAACCGGAGGAATATCTGTGATTGGGCGTCGGACCCCGTTGGTTGGAGAAATGATGTGTTCTGGCGTGTATACGTTTTTGGGTGTATATAGATTTATCGGAGTCTGCTTCTGGAATTGAGGATTCGAGTTCTGTTGGGGAGTAAGAAAAGATTTTGGATCCTGAGAAGGGTAGGATGAATCATTACCACGATAAAGCACCTCGAATGGATTAGAAACCAGTCTTTTATGGTCTCTTATTGGTGTGGAAGCATTGGCAGAAGACTCATCGGCAGGTGGCAACGATGAGTGGGTTTTGTACAAAAGTCGTTCACCACTACGCCGGGGGTCCAAGGAGTTACGTGGTGAGTACGACAAATTCGATGTCGCTGTCTGGAACGAGCTCAGAGATGAAGGAAGCAACAGCATGGAAAGGATGTAGGTGAAAATTCAACGAGTGAAGGGCTACTAGGGGTATATAATGGGAAGAATTTGACATTTGAGCCGCCCAAATCGTCTAGCTGTCCTTGATCGGCAAGGGCACCAAAATGGGGAATTGAAGGAGGAAGAACCAGCCATGGGTAACATGTTAGTCTTTGGTTGTGGTGGAAAATTGAGTAATGGCTGGCTGCAATTTCCCGATTCAGCATCCGCGAGGAATGCTCGCGAAACCTGAGTTTTCTCGCGAATCCGGAGGGGTTTGGGCAGAAATTCCTGTTTGGACAGGGAAAGAGTGACCCCTGCCGTATCAGGATAGTTTGTTTTCGTCAAGTGGATTAATTTTGTAAACACAACGCTACAAGGAAAATTTTGTATCTGTTCTTTTTACTACACTAACAAAACTATCACCATGGATAAATTAAAAGAAGTATGCATACATCTCCGATATCCAGTCATGAGGTCATGTGACTTTCATTGTGTGACGAGATCAATTGATCGGTAGCTTCAGGGTTGATAGTGGGTTAATGGTGTCCACTATTACCGTCACGTCACGCCTGCGGGGGGCACTTTGAATTTTTATCATGAACTGTTTGACTGCCAGTTGAATGACAGAATTTACTAACAAATGATGTAGAAAATCAACAACTTGAAGTTGGATGCCGAAAAGTGGCAAGAAAAGGCCGACGAATTGGGAGACAAGGTTAAGGAATTGGAACAGGATTCTTTGGAGAAGGATCACCAAGTTCAAGCCTTGACCAGAAAGAACCAAGTGTTGGAGGAAGAAGTTGAGAAATTGGAATCGCAAATTGGTGAAGTCAAGCAAACTGCCGACGAATCCCACAACTTGAAGTCTTCTAATGACAACTATACCAAGAAGAACCAACAATTAGAAGAAGAGTTGGAAGAAGCCGACAAGAACTTGAAGATAACCACCGAGAAGTTGAGAGAAACCGACATAAAAGCTGAGCAATTGGAAAGAAAGGTTGCTTCCTTGGAATCTGAAAAGGAAGAACTGGAAAAGAGGTACGAAGAACTACTTGAAAAGTACAACTCTTCCAAGTCCGAATTGGAAGAAATCAGCCAGCAATTGGAAGCTATGTAAGTTTCGCCTATCCTATGGCATGGCAGGCGTTGAAGTTTATAGTTCAATATAATACCTATATAAATGTATATGTTTTGCCCTAGTGGTATCAAGCGCATTTTCACCTGAAAAAAAACTCGGCTGTATTGCAGGGATATATTCTTTTTCATTTCGTTAGAAATCACCTAAACCTTCAGAGACTGTTACAAGGAGGTTTCCAACAAACCTGGTTTTGAATACCAGTCTGATTTGCCATCAACGTATACCCATTTACCTCAACGATCCCCCATTTTACATTCGATGCCACTATTTGATTCATTGCGAAGGCGACTCAGCCATCGACTCGAATCCCACCAAATAGAAGAAGACTACACGCCAAGAAACTCCCGCGTCCAGAGCCGGTCCAACTCCATTGTTTTCAATGAAAACCTTCGTTATGATGTAGGTATTTACTCATCTCCTTTACAAACTCTTGACCAAGGAGAAGCCATTCCTTCCTATGAAGCATCCCAGTTGATGCACGAACAACAACAAGGCAGTGGCAACGGGAATGGGACAAACGTCCATGGGACTGACCCCCTCCATCATCTTCCCACCTCCACCAGCAATCTACTAAATAGTGATCCCATCACCCCGAATACCAACTCCATGAACGTCTCGAGACTGGGATCTGTGGCTGCGGGTTCAAGCACAGACTCGTCTAACAACTCGGGGGGCACCAGCAATAAGAACAAGAACAAGACTCTCAAGAGTTTGGGACTAAAGTTTTTAAATGCTCGTCAACACTTTGCTTTGGCGTGTTGTCGGGACCTTTCATTAATTCCATGTATCTTGGGACTTTTTCAGTCGTGGGGCAGGGCGTTCTTTGATGCTGAAATCAGAAACTCCACTTCCCTCACCCAGGCAAAGTTACCAGAACACTTTTTAACGGGGGTATGGTGTATCGTTGCTGGGTACTTGTCATATTCGGTATTGGATAGTCTCATGATCCGGTGGATAGTGACGTACCTGACCTCGGCGGCCATCTTGAGAATGCTTTCGATGTCCACCATAATCGTTACGGTGGAACATTACCTTCTTTCGAGTCTATCAGCTGATGGTTATAAATATGGATTACACATCTGGATCTTGATAAGTTGTTGTCATACGTTGGTGTATATTGGCCAGAACTTTGTGACACTGAACTTGGACTTGAAGGGGAAGCAGAAGGCTCGGTTTTTTGATTTTTATAACATTGTGGTTTTTGCAGTCGTGCCAGTGGGGTTGGCAAGTTTCATTACCATGATTGGTCTCCTTAGGTCCCTTCTAATAGTCAGGTTGGACATAGAAAATTCGTTTTAATCCTTCCAGACACCCATGATATGTATATTAGACCCTTTTGTACCACAGTATTATAATATTTATTGGTGCTTATGCACTTGGCCTTAGTCTCAAAACACTGCGACTGAAAAATTTCTCAATTGTAAAACTTTTAAGTCACAAGCCATGGGTGTTCACGTATTTGGTAAATCCATTAAGCACAACTCGTTGGTGTCCGTATGTAAAGTTTCCTAGTAACTAATACAATGATTTCTTACTAACCGAATTAGGTGGGATTGGCCAAAAAGATATTCGGGGTTGGTTTTCTCACGGCAGAAAGAATCTGTGCCAAAGTAGGAATATACCCACAGATGAGAATGAACCAGTTGACTGAGCCACAAATCCTTGCCATAAATAAGGAGCTATCCGACTTGACTATTGAAGGTCACTTGAAGCAAAAGATCAATGACAATATCAAATTAAAGAGAACTATTGGAACTTGGGCTGGTCAAAGACATGCTGCAGGATTACCAGTTCGTGGGCAAAGAACTAGAAACAATGCTCTGACGGCCAACAGGTTGAACAAGTTGGATAGACACACATGAACGTCAAAGCACACGATGGGTCTGACCTTTGGGGTTTCTTGTACATATACATTTATAATACACATTAGAGAAAGCACATCAAGTGTAGAGAGATATTCTACGACCGAGCTAAACTGTCAGAAGAAATAATAGATAGTTCTAATAATGGAATGTTTTTTTCACTATTTACAGTAATCATTATATCGTCTTAGTACCTTCACACCTCAGCTCCAATTCTGTTTCTTGTTTCCTCTACTTCTATTTTTGATCACCTTTTTCACTGACCTCCTTTTCCTCTATCAACTTCTTCAAACGAGACCTTGCTTCGGGAGTATATTCCAAAGTTCTTGTTTCCAATTGCTTTATCGACATCCCTACATGTTCCTTCTTTCTCTGCTCAATTTCTTCGGAAGTACGAGGTTCAAACTTGATGAATTCAAAGTCTTTCCCAGTGTCATATACAACGTAGGCTCCTGCGAATGTAGCTATGGTAGCCACGATGATCCGTCCTATCATTGGAGGCAGCGGTGGTAATTTGGGACCGGCCATCTTCAGGGAATAAAAACTGTCATTTTACAAATGGGTTTCGCGTAGGGCAGTAAATCACATACACAAAGACTATATACATATTAACATGATCATAATTTCTCTTCTTGAATCGACGCTCCGCTTTGAACAATCTTATAGCCCCAGAATCCAATGATATTAAGCACACCGACTCTCCAACCGTTGAATAAGCCAAGGTTTACCAATGATCTCCAGGTAGACTTAAACTTATTGTCTTTAATGTCTGTATGTTTCCACTCATGATTGAAATCAACAATGAGGTCTCTGTCGGGGTTGTCTATCGTTACGACTCTCATCGGATCGAGTTTGAGAGATTTGGGCTGTAACAAAAACAGTACCTGTTGTTTTCTAAGTAAGTTTTCAACTGGCAACTTGATGAAAAATTCCATAATCGACAATAGTAAGTTGAAGATGGTATACCATGACGGCGACAGATACTGATCAATGTTGAATCGGATGAAAAGTAAGTATGGAGCAGACTTACGGAAGATACTGGTTGCAAACTGGTGCAATACTGTCAAAAACGATATAGACATCGGAGGACGAACCAATAACTCAACTGGATAGTTTCTCAAAGACTCTCTGATGGATCTCGTGCTCTGTGGAGTGTGCAACTGCTCACCCATTTCTAGGTCTGCATCTGCATCCTTATTATATGGTTTGTTGAACTGAGTGATCATGAGCCTCACTTTAACCAAGTCCAATGGAATCAATATAATCCCTGTTAAAACACATGCCAGTACCGACAAACAAAGTGACCGCAATGGTTCTGTCAGATGGGTCAAGTCCAAGAAAAATGGGTCTGGAATACCGAGAAATGGTGACAAAAACCCAGTAATCCATGCCTCGATTGTGTGAGACAAACTTTGGTGTATGAATTGAGCATTTAAACCTCTGAATAGGGCGTTTGGTCCGTCTTTGGACACAATTGCTGCAATGATGTCTACTGTATGCTTCGAGACCGGTTGGATTTTATGCTTCTTCTTTGATAATTTCTTCGACTTGGAAGGCGATTTGGCCCGTGATTTACGGGGAGAACCCACCTCTGGTGTGAGAGACGATTTGGATTTCTCCAACAGTTGGAAGTAGTTGACTTCGAAATCCGAATCGTCATCTGAAAACTGTTGAGATACTTGTGGAGTTAACTCACTAGACTCGTCCATCAACCGGGGAAGTGGTTGTTTAGCAGTCTGAACAGGTTTTTTCTGGAAATCAAACGTACCCACTTGTAATACCAATCTGGTTATCTCCAAGGGTTGTAGCACAATCACCTTTACGTAGTTCTTTAAAAAGTTCCAAAACAAGTTCCGCAAAAGGGCCCCTAAGTTGTTCAAGTCAAAGTATTCCAGAAACTCAAGGTCGTTGAAATAGTCCTTTTCTTGACTGTCTTTAGACATGGCAGCCATTCCTCTCAATCCGATATTAGCACCTGGGTTGTATCTGCCGGTAGAGGAGTTGTTGAGGATGGGATGGATTGAACTGGTGACCGAAGCACCCGTATGTGGATCCACAAGTCCCACTCCCGGCTTGTAGATCACCAGGTACCCAGCATCGAAGGTGTCTGGGTTGTAATACGGTCTTAAATCTGTATCGCCAGACATTAATTAGTGATCAAAATAGAATTTGTTTGTAGTCGCGTTGAGAAATATATACCGCTTGGACTTCTATACACGATAATATACAGCATACTTGGGTTAGATCAGGATATCGTCTTATGTAGACCCGTTGTTCGCCTCTTTGAGCGACTCTGATCGGTCAATGAGAAATTGGCCCAAGAACTTTAATGGGTCTTCGGGTGAAGTATTAGCTAGTTCACGTAAACCATCAAGTAGATGAACCGTCACATTTTTGTTCAAGTATCGTCTTACCGTGGAGCCACCAACAATTTCGTGCACTGGATCGGCCGGTGCTATGTCATCTTCTATGTCTTGAATCTTTTGTCGTTTATTCGAAGTCGGAGGTGAAGCCTTTAAGTATTCAGGTTTAGGAGTTTCTGATCTCGGGGTAGTCGACTTACCTCTCGGGTCTAACGCCACCGGCTGCTTGATATCTGAATTTATAAGCTCTGGTGTTTCAGCATTTCCCGACTCAGGCTTTATGTGTGCTTTCAGCATTTGCAGTGTAAGTGTTGATATTTCGGAAAGTGAGAACACCGCAAAAATCAAAATCTCACAAAACATCACACCAACTATCAATGAGCATTGATCCATTTACAGATGTGGAGGAGGATGCCTGGCTGCAAATACGAGTGTTGGACTCGATCATACTAAATGCAGACATCATAACCGAAGAGCTAAAGCTTGATTTTTCCAATGGATTTCAAGAGCTAGAAGAGATTATAACAGATTTAAATGAAGCCCTCAACGTATCACAAGCTAATCCCCAGCAGTTTCAATTGACAGTAGCTGATATCGAGAACAGGCACGGTGTTTTGGAAAAGTTGGAGAAGAAGAAACGTTCACTTTCGAGTATCTGGAAGGAGAAGACGAACGACAGTAAGCGTCTGAGACCAGTGACCGCGATGTCAAACAGAATATCTCAAGATGGATCCAATCCATTCACTGACCAGCATAAAATAGATGGCGAATTCGAGCAGTTCCAGCAACAGGAAATGATCAGAGACCAAGACTTGCAATTGGATACGATTCACGAGACAATGAGGAACTTAAATCAACAGGCTATGATCATGGGGTCAGAACTCGAGGATCAAGGAATGATGCTCGACGAGTTGGACACCAACTTGGACCGTGTGGACAACCGGCTACAAAGAGGACTCAAGCGAGTCAACTGGATCATCGAAAAGAATAAAGAAAGAGGTAGTGATTGGTGTATCGGCATCTTAGTGGTTGCGTTAGTGGTACTTTTAATCCTTCTAATAGCGGTATAAAAGTGTACCTCGCTTAGTTTCACAACATATACATAGGTAATACAAGTATGTTCTTGGTAGTCTGTAAGAATTAGTATAAGAGTTATCATAAATTTATCAAAATAGATTGGTTAATCAGACGAAAGATGGTGATAGGTAGCTAGTTTTCTTCCACATCGACATAAAGTCTCGAGCCAAATGCACTCTAGTCATCATACTAACCATAGTAATCTATTTCATAGTTGATATAGCACATACCAGTAAAAGAAGTTATTCCATTACTTAAGGTGTAGAGAAAAAAAATTTTCCCTTGTAACAAAATCCCATCTCTTTATAGTGCTTTCAGTGCAAGAGTTACCCGCACTGGTCGCGAGACTGGAGTTTGAATTCAGTCGCATTTGCCTTATGTAACGTACCACAACAAGATGTCTTCTCAGGATAGTAAGTACAGATACCGAGTGGAGATTCAACAGATGATGTTCGTGTCAGGTGAGTCCAATGATCAGCCTGTGGAAACCACATCTTTGATTGAAGACATTGTTCGATCGCAGGTGATAGATATATTGGTGGAATCTAGCAGAACCGCCAATTCAAGAGGAACTAGATCAATTGCTCCGGAAGATGTTATCTTCATGATAAGACACGACAAGGCTAAAGTGAACAGACTAAGAACGTATCTTTCGTGGAAGGATGTGAGAAAGAATGCTAAGGACCAAGAAGGAGGTGGAACCGAATCTTTAATTGAGAACGAAGCGGCAGCAGGTCCCACTACTCAAGCTCAAGATTCTTCCAAGATGTTGACCAAGTATAAGAAGCTGAAAATCAGACTTCCTTGGGAGTTACAGTTTATGTTCTCAGAACAACATTTGGAGACCCCCGAAGAAGCAGAACAGGTGGACGATGATGAAAAAGCTGCTACCCTTGCATCGTTAAAGAGGTTAAAAATGGCCGATGACAGAACCAGAAATATGACCAGAGAAGAATACGTTCACTGGTCTGAATGTAGACAGGCATCCTTCACGTTTAGAAAGGCCAGACGGTTCAGAGAGTGGGCTCAAATCTCCCAGGTGTGTGACTCAAGGCCCAATGATGATGTTATTGACATCCTTGGGTTTCTCACATTTGAAATGGTTTGTTCTTTGACAGAAGAAGCCATGGAGGTCAAGAAATTAGAGGAGAAATTGTTTCATAAACTGCATAAGAATAATACTGAGGTGAGCGAGGCCACCAGAAAGAGAAAGTATCTTTTTGATAAACCCAATGACTTGTCCACTCCAATATTACCATACCATATAGCCGAAGCGTGGCGTAGGCTTCAAGCTATTGAATTCAGACAAAGGGCTGCTAGAGGCTATGCCGGAGGAAAATTCAAATCTAAGACAAGATTGATTTGATAGATCTTATATATATTAATGCTGATGATGAAAATACATAATGTGAATTGAGAATCAGGCTAGTGTTTGATGTAGGGTGCAGTCCGCAATGGACGAGTAGATTTGTTCTGAAATTCTCTCCATTGTATAAACATTTTGGTTCTTAGTTCGGTCTGTTTATCACACTTATCCAAACCTGCTTGGAATGTACACCAGTATCGAGCAAACGGCGCAAATTCCAACGTGAACGGTGTAGGAGAAAGCACTAACGATACAGAGCCATCGGGTATGCCCACTGGTTCCGGATCCCAGAACTCGTAACGTTCTGAACCATTGTTAGATCTGGTGGTACGAGGTCCTTCTCTCAGCATCTGCAATCCACGTAGAAGAGGAGGAACGGGCCTCGATCTCGAGCTAACAAAGTCGTTCACATATCTTCTTATTGCATTGTGAGTGTGGTAAGAATCGAAATCCAGGTTCGTGGGATACGCATCGAGTGCTTTTGTTTGTAATTCGGTGATGATTCTTTGTTCATGTGGTAATAGGGCTTGTTTGAGTCTTTTACTTTCATCAATGTAGTAAATGTCAATGAATTCGTTTTCTATTGTGTCGTGGTTGAGTTGAGAAGCCACATTCGTCTCTGTGAGATCGGCTATTGAAAGAAGATCCAAAGAACTTGCGATGTGCTCTAACGTATGCACCTGTGGCTTGACTTCACGGGTTTGGTTAAGGGTTATCCGAATGATGTTCATTTCATCACCTTTGTAGTTTGGCTTTATTTGATTATGACATATCATTTGGCAGGCAAGTAATGCTTGTCTGACATCCATGTTCTTCGAAATTCCTGGATTGGTGATCAAGTTTTCAATCACCAAAGAATCAAGATCATAACCGCGTGAGAAACAACATCCCCACAAGTACTTTTTGTAGGTATCATTCAAAGCTTGTCTTCCTTTGTCGAAGCTGAGAACTGCATTTTCTTCATAAGCATACTCATATAGTGCCCTAGGAATGACAGATGGGTCTGTACAAGTAATAACCATGGGCCGTCTCGATATCTCCAAGATCTCTTGAACAACAATCCAGAAAGTCCTGTCTTGCTCAAACAAGATATCACAGTCCTCTAGGAGAACTATACCCTTTTGGAAATCACCATCTTGATCATGTTCATGAACCAATTGGGTTGTACAGAGCTCTTTTAACATTCCTAGTATATTCTTTCTTGCACGAGCTTGGCCAGCATTTATCTCGTGGATGTACCCGTTCATTTCTTTCATAGCAGCATATATGGATGCCGACTTACCTGTACCAGTATCTCCATGAACCACAAGTAAAGGCATAAACACTTCCTCATCTGTTTCTTCCTCGTACTCGAATGGAGAATCAACGATGAAGCCTGCCATTTCATCGTCTTTTTTCACCTTTCTTTTCTTTAATCTCCTCAGTCCCTTGAAAGACTGAGTCTTGAGCCTTCCAAATGAATTATGCAACCAGATTTGAAGACGTGTTTTCGTATCATCAGGCAATAGCAACGCTGATGTTGAACTTGGTTCAAATAATTGAGGCCAATTTTGCAGTTCTACTGCATCAAAGTCAAATGGATTTTTATGCAAGGCAGCAAACACAGGGTCTTCTTGGGGACAAGCCTTTTCAAGGTGCTGGGTTGCTTGGCAAAAAGATATTGAATAGGGAGTATGTGAGTAATTTATACTTGTCAGATCATTCTCCAACGTGAATTGATATGAATCTTCTATGTTGTGGAAGTGCAGCCTCCTGGGTTTGAGACCAGCTAAGAAGTCTGAGTGTAACGGTAAGTTGTCCTCAGCAAGGTCAAAAACGTGAAAATCAGATGCCTTTATAACTGGTGGATCCAACTCCTTGAGTTTCTGAAGTGGAGTTAGACGTACAGCAGCAGATGCCGACTCCCTCATCATCATACTGAAGACTGAGTTGACATTCTTCTTTTTTTCATGAAACTCTTGTAGTTCTTCGATCCTAGACTCAAAATGTTGGAGTCTGTGGCCAGGTATTTTCAAAGTGACTTCGTATTTTGGCTTTCGAACAAACACAGAAGTTCCTCGAGATTTCAAAGAGTTTTCGAACCGTTTGTAAAATGCTAGAGCTTCTTTGTCCACATTTAAAGTGACATACATGCTAGGCCTAGGTGTCTTACTCCTCACCAGCAAGAGATCTTTGGCCGTTACTTTTCTTTGGTTCTCAAAGATCTTTGCTTCGATTTCATCAATAACCTCGATATCTGGAGCCACCGATTTCAGTTTGGCAGCAGGTTTGGACCCCGACAAGAAATCCTTCACATTAACCGATTTTCTTTCAGGTCTAAACATTCTCTTTTCGAGATCGTTGATATGGTTGCCTCTATTAATCGTTTGTATCTCCTGATCAGATTCCGTGTTTGTTTCTTTCGGTCTTCTGTTCCCATTCAAGTATGATGATAGGTCCATGGAAGCTTGCAACTTGGTGGTGGACGTGAACGTGGGAGGAACCAGGAGTGATATGCTAGGAAGAACTTCACCCACCTCGTGAAAGTCAGGAATTTCAAGCGTATCTTGTTGGCATTCAGACTGTGGGTTTGTACTTGATAGATCAATATCAGTCAATGTGTCTTCTTGAAGCTCACCTTCGTAGATGATTTGAGGCAGCGAATCTGCATCTGGCGTCGACTGCAGCGACTTAATATCCCCAATGAAGTGTTCGGATCCGACCACATTCGGGCGCCGTAGTAGAGAGTCTATAGTGCCTTTTTGCATTCCTCTTCACCTCAATGTACTATGTTTTGAGGCTTCGCGAAACGCGTTTTGCACTGGTTTATTGATGAAATACAAAAAAAGCAGTGAATGCTATGGGAAGAGAAATCAGTACCAATGAACACAACGAGTCTTAGACACAGAAACAGTGCTTTCAGTGTATGAATGGTGTTCGAAAATTGCTTGTTGTTCGGATGTCGATAAAGGGAGAATATTTCCAATAGGGTGCCAGCAACACAAGCGACCAGAAGTCCAAATCTAACTATTGGGACTAACTTCCCTGCCAGTAAACAATAGACGGGCACAAGCCCACCCAGGTTTGCATTTCCTAAACATATTTACAGCCGTTCGAGTATTCTGGCTGCAAACCCGCGCTGGCAACTCGCGATGCGATATCAAATCTGTCTTCAAAAAGTCGTCCTGCAATGTCTGGGTTTCTGTTTAAACTTAAACCAAAAAAGGCCGAATCGAAAAACAAACTAGGATTTCTGCTCGGGGGCCAGAAGAAAGATGTACCGAAAAAGAAGAATGCATTTGCAAATGAGTCTGACTCGGAAGATGAGGAGAATAAGAAAACAGTCATCGAATCTTTTGATCCTAAGGCCGAGGCAAAAGCCAACAAAACAGAATCTCTTGTCATCAAACCGAGTTTTTTGAGCCGCAGGATACCCACAAAACCAGAACTCCCACGAGAAAGGGCAGCGGATGTCATCGAAGCTTCTGGAGATCTCGACAGCCAAGCGAGACTAGCAGTTATGAATGGGGTCACCATAAGCAGCGGGCCTGTCATCGAAACCCCAAACCCACGGGTAGGTGATGCAGAAGATATGACTACTGAGTCTTACGATGAGGTGCCAGTCGAAGAATTTGGAATGGCTCTTCTAAGAGGAATGGGATGGAATGGAAAGCTGGCTGTCACCAAACCTCAGACAAATACGGCAAAACGTAAGCAAGGTTTGCTTCTTGGAATTGGAGCCAAAGCTTTGAAAGACGAAGATTTGGCCCAAGAACTTCTCAGCTCCAAGGCCAAGTTCAGCGTTCCTTTGGTGAAAAAGAGCCTCGAAGAGAAGTAGTAAATTACGAGACAATATAATGAAATGTACATGCAGATAGATAAATTATTTACAGTTAGACTATGGCACCCAAACCAAGTAACAACAATTGGCTAGCAACTGAGTGGGACCATAATGAAGACTTCTCACTGATGATACGTTCTTCATCCATTTTAACCATCTTGAGGAACTCTTCATAGATTTCACTAACTATAACATCGAAAACTCTTGTCTGGGTCAAGTGCTCAACATTGTAAAGATCTTCGAGCTTCTCAATCACCATGGTCTTCATTGTAATAGGAGGTTTGTTTTCGGTGTCAATTTTGTTAATATATGATACAAGGGACCTTAAATCATGCAAGTTCAAGAATGGAACATTACCAGTGGAAGCCAAAGGCAATTCTTTGGGCAAGGTAGCCTGAAGGTTATAGAACTTGACTTTGGCATCGATAAACACATATTCCAGATTGAACTCACTGGAGACAATTTGACGGTTATCTTCTTGGTCCATATTAAAGGTCTGATATATTGCTTGTAGAGCTCCTTTCATCAACTTTGCATCATCATGAGAGTCATCTCTTTTGGTGATAGGTTCATCGTTCTTGTTGTTAATTGTACCAAGATCATAAAATACTCTGTTGATGATTTCAGCAAATCTCTTGTACTCAATCTTGAACAAAGAATTCTCCTCAACACCCGGACTTGGGAATCGGATATCAGCCACAATCTCTGCTTTCCCATTCAATATCCAATTGAACTTCAGCTGAGGATTGCTATGTGCCAAGCCTCCCATATCAATTCCATCCAATTTGAATCTGATGGTGTTCTCAGAAGGTCTAGCATTATAGTCCTGTTTCTTATGAATTGTGAACATGGAACCGTTTATTGATCCAGTAACATTGGAAGCATTGAAAAAGTCAACAAGTAAAGACTTACCAGTGAGTTTGGGAAGCTCACAGTTGAAGATGGAAAATTTCAATGGTTCATCTTGAGTCTTGGAGTCAAATACTTCAAAGTAAGAATCATGGATCTTGACCAGATTTAATTCATAGTTGGGATCTACTCTTGGCTTTTTCGGAGAAGCCAATACATCTTTTTGGTCACTCATATCGAATTGGAAATGAATCGAGTCATGCAATCTTCTGAAGACAAATGGCGAAGCGGTGTCCACCAGTGACAGGTGCAATTCGTATTTCTTCAACACTTTCCCGTTGAGTCCAAATATTTCCAAATCCTTGATTAACCCATGTCCATCGGACCATTTGCCGAATGACAACGAGAGACTCAAAGATTGAACGTCACAGCTGAAAGAAACATTGGAGTGTTCATTATCCAAACTTTTGAGTCTAATGTTCTTGAAGATGAGTTTCCCATCGTTGAATTCGGGAAGAATACCCTTCTTTTCAAACTCAATTTTGATTCCTAGGCCATGGGATAAAATAGAACTTGTTAAGTACCCCAATATACTGTCATCTTTTTGAGGGCCGGAGGCTTTGCCGCCCTTTTTGTTTTGATCATTGTTGTCGTTATTATCGTCATTATCGTGATTGAAATATGCAAGGATCTTATTGACTAAGCTGTCAAATGTGTGTAATGAGTAGAGTAAAGTGAGGCCAAAGGTCGTGGTTCCAAGAAGAATCCACAACACATTGCCCATGACTACCCAAGAAAACATAGCAGACATATCGTCAATGGAGAAAGGCTTGTTATTTCTCTTTAAAGGCCATTTTATGTGAATAAGTAGCCGAGAAAGTGGCCCGGAAGCCTGAGCAAGCAATTTACTCTTTGTGAGTTGGAATTTCTCCTTTGTGGTTGAGGCAAAGTCGGACTTAGGCTGAGGTTTAGGAGGTTGAATGTTCAATGCCCGATATGTAGCATGAAATGATCGTTGAAACACGTCCGATTGCGTACTTCTCTTTTGTGATCTGAGGATTGCCGGCTGAATGCTGCGATGAATAAAGATTCCCCCGGATCCAAAAATATGTCTGTGACTTTTAAAACTTGTTGAAAGTAGTCCCGGAGAGGTCCTAATTGAGTACATTGTTGAATATAATCAAGGATGCGGGATCTTCAGTGGTCAAAGATGGGTTTTGTGGTTTTAAATGCTATCAGGAAGAGTGGGATATCTGAAAATTTTTCCGCGCAACGCAGTTTGCAAGCTAGAGATTGGTTATGATTGCAGCCACTGTGAATGTGATAATACATGATCACTTCATTTTGCTGCAAATAAGATTATCAAATAAATAGCTAAATTTTTTATGTTGCAACTCTTTAGCTTATAATGGTGGACAGTGTTTTGATGCAAATACCGATATGTCAATTCGTGTCTATATAAATAACTGTAGTGAATTCGATATGAGTTGGATGGTTGACAGCTAGTGCTACAACTGTGCATATGATGTAGGTGAATGAATTCTCTCAGGCAATTATTTGATAGGAATAAACTTAACTGTGAAAGTGAACTAAAAAGTCATCACTTAAAGTCGGCAGCAATGATCTCCATGGCTTTGAAATCACCAGCTTTTAATCTTTCGTTATCTAAAGCATCGGCAAGGCATAACCATGGGTCCCGGGTACCACCCCACTTCAAAATACTCTCCTTATATTTGTTACCAGCCTTCAAACTCCACGGATCCAGATAAAATAGTTCTTTGTAAACTTTGTCAGCAATTGCCCTGTCCAATAAATAAGAATAATAAACGGCACCATATGAAAACAAATGCAAAAATTTCCCATGCCAGGTTGACCACTTGTCAGCAAAAATTCCCAAATCAGATTCTAGCTTATGATAGATGGGAGTAGTATCAAATGTATCGAAATTGTCCACCATGAGAGCCACAGTGTCTGCGTTGTGTAGCACTTGATCTAACAAGGCCATTTTCGACTGCATGAATATTTCGCTATCGTACAAGATAACTTTCTGTTTCTGGTGTTTTTCGAACATTTCTTGATCTAGTGGTTCTCCAGTCTTGTAATGTTTGGCAATTTTGCAAATTACTCTAGGATCTTTAGCAAACGATTCCATCAACACAGAGGGAAGTTCCACAAAATCAGTGGCGGCTCTTGTTCCCGAAAGATTTTGGAGTTTTGTTCTTCCAATCATAGAATGCATGGCATGCCCCATCTCATGAAAAATCGTTTCAACTTGTTCTAGATTGAGTAAGCTTGGACCTGTTGCAAAAGGGAAGATTGATGTCAGTTTATGGAAGTTGAAGACCAATGAAACCACAGGAAGTTGGTAAGTTTCACTGTCATCCAAGTGAACTTGATTTTTGACTTCATCCTTGGACTCAATACCAATATCGGTGTTCAACTGTCTGGAACACACAATAGTGAAGTGAGATGGAAACACTTTCGGGGACCAAAAATCTATGTACAAGTAACCCAAAGTGATCTGGTTTTGGGTATCAAATACCCGAATCTTCCTTACTTGTCCCTTCTCCCAAGTCTCGCCTTTACCCACGGCTTCTGGTATCAATTGAATCTGGTAAATGCTCTCAAATAACTGATTCAACCCTGACATCACCGTTCCTATGGAAAGATACTCCTTGATCTCGTTCGAGTCTACTGCCAGGTTCCGAGGATCGGTCTGAAGCTTGTTTAATAAATAGTCCCTATCCCAAGGCTTTACCTCGTGAATTATTTCATCGTCACTCAATGTCATATCAGCATTTGGTTTGTACGCATAAAGGGATCTGATTTCGTCCATCAACCGGTTCTCCTTGCTATCCAATAACGTAGCCTGAACCTTATTCAAAAATGCTTTAACATTTTCTGGATTCTTTGCCATCTTGTATTCCAATTGATGGTGGGCATAAGATTCGTATCCAAGCATCCGAGCCAAAACAGCTCTATACCTGATGAATCCATTTAAAAGGCCTATCTGATGCTTCGAAGCGTTGTGATAAGCAATCCACACCTTTCTTCGGATTGCTTCTGAAGAGCAGTTCGTTAACACGTAGTATGGAATGTGTTCCATCAACGGAATCAGAACTACGTTAGTTCTACCTCTCTCAAAAGTAGGAGATCTCAGCTGAAAACTAAGGATTTCTTTCTTCAAATTAGCGTCGGAAATGTTTTCAAAGTCACCTCTATCCACATCACACCACATCGACTCCAAATTGTGTAATCCGTTGGAATAGTTCGCTCCAATGACCGAAATTTCCTGAGTCAACTCCACAAAGTTCCTCCTCGACTTTTCATCCATATGAATGCCCGATTTTTCAAAGTCCTGCTTCAAGTACTCGCCCACATTAATCTCTTCGTCCGTTAACTGAGCCCCGATAGCTTCATCGTTTAACACCATGACTAAATTGGTGTACAAATCGACATTTGTGTTCAACTGGTTCATGTATTCAAACAAGATTTCATGGGTTTTTTGAGCGGCCTCTACCCATGCTTGTTGCGGGTGTGCATTTCTGATGAATTCAGCAACGTCGATGACCCGGCACAAGATGTCGCTAAGCTGGTCAAGCTTTCGAATATATGTCAAACGACCCTCTTCTCCATGTTTCACATCTGCCAACATCTGGGCTACCAAGCTTTTGGCATCACGAAGAGAGTCCTTGGAAAACTGAACAAGGCCCTTTGGATCCTTCAAGTGTTCGTTGGTGAAAAGTCCAACGTTGATGGTGCTTTTATGTTTTCTGTTGAAGTCATTGTAAAATCGCTGATCATCAAACACTTTTTTCAAGAGGTCAGCGGGGGGACTGTAAGTCAAGGTCCTGATAGCTACCAGTGACCTGAACAGGGAGTGTTGGGAAAGACACGTTGGACGGACGCCCGGTCCTAATCTTCGTAGTAGTCGATAGTTGAGATGCATCACACAAGTGTATCAGAATTCGGAAGCAGCGAAAATTTTAAGTGTGATTGCATTTGCATCAAATAACGAACTTCAGCATTGGAGTCCTTGCAAATATAATAATTATGGGCATAAACCCAAGTTAACATATCCCAACAAACTGGTACTATATGAGAGCTTCATAAGGTTTGTTTTGACATGCACACTGGGAATAATAGTCAAAAGTAGGTTTGAATCGTGTGTCTTGTAGGCGTGGTTCGAACCAAACACGGTCAATGAAAAAAAATGATGAATTCAGCAGAACAAACGCTCCTTGGAAGAATTGGTCGATTCGGAAAGACTCTGGACATGGTAGAAGTAGCGTATAGTACTCTAGGTCGCCTACGTTGCGGTCCCTATACTTTTATTAGACATATTGACGAGTTAGCATCAAAGCCAAGTCAAAAGCTAATTCGCACCTGGTTCTCAATTAGGAGATCTGGCCAAATTTTTGATTCCCGCTTGCAACTTTCAACAACTGTTCCACTCCGTTTCATCTTCACATAAAGATCGGAAGTTTGTTCCAAATATATGCCCCATCCCTGTTCTCCTAGTTTCGAGTGCACTGCTTCCCCCCTTCATTTAAATCTCTTATCCGATCACAAGTTCCCACTCCTCAATAGCCATGTCGGGGATAGCAGTACCTACCTCCCAACAATTCAATCAAACGTCAAACTTGGCTGCCCCTGCCAATAATGGGGCCAATGGCAGTATGAATTTCAAGAAGCGTTCGGCCAGGGACTATCAATTTGGCGCTACCATTGGTGAAGGGTCGTATTCGACCGTTTACTCCGCCGTTGATTTATTTAATAAGAAGACCTATGCAATAAAAGTCCTTTCAAAGAGGCATATAGTCAAGGAAGATAAAATCAAATACGTTAACATCGAAAAGACCACTTTACACAGATTAGGTTTACAGCATCCCGGGATTGTTCAGTTGTACTACACTTTCCAGGACGAATCTAGTCTTTTTTTTGTACTTGATTTTGCCGAATATGGAGAGCTACTCTCTATTATCAGAAAGTTTGGTTCATTGAGTGAACAAGTCCTGCATTTCTACATGTGTCAGATTATCGACGCCGTCAAATTTATCCACTCCAAGGGGGTAATTCACAGAGATTTGAAACCAGAGAATATTTTGGTGGGCTTCGACTTTAATTTGAAGATTACTGACTTCGGAGCAGCCAAACTTTTGGGTAACAGCAACGATACATCCGAAGAAACAATTGATTTCAATGGCATTTACAAGGATCAAATAAGAGATGATTCCAATGGGGTTGACAGAAAGGCTTCGTTTGTCGGTACAGCTGAGTATGTTCCTCCCGAATTATTGAAAGACAATGTCTGTGGGTTTGAAACTGACATCTGGGCAATTGGATGTGTCCTATACCAGTTCTTCTACGGTAATCCTCCCTTCAAGGGCCAAACTGAATACTTGACGTTTGAGAAGATAATCAACGTTGACTATTCTATCAAGCCAAATATCCCATTACCCAACGATGTGCTTCAAATCATCGAAAACGTATTGCTCCTTGATCCCTCCAAGAGACTTACAATTCCCCAAATTCAAGCTGCTGGCTGGTTTAAAAATGTTCAATGGAATGATCCTAACTTCATTTGGGGAAGAAAAGTACCTAGGTTCGAGCCATACGATCCTTCAAGTATTAAGAACGGGTTCCCTTCATCACCTTTCACAACATCGATTAGAACAGGCTCTAACAGGGATATGAACAAATCGAGCTCGCAGCATCAATTACATTCCCAAATACAGAGCTCCGATTTCAACTTGATTCCAACTATTGGGGCTAAAAAGTCATACGACACTGCTACTAAAATCAAAAAGTTACCTGGTCCTGGAGTCAATTACAGTCCAACACACCAAGTAAATATGATGAATTCAGCTACCGCAAATACTTCATCACCACTGCAGGGTTTGGCGATCCAGCAGTCTCCCCAAAGCATCAACCAGTCTCCATCGGTAATTCCTATCTCGCAAATAACACAACAAGCCATCTCACAACACGTTCCCAACTTGACACAATCTAATTCTGGTATGATTCCTCAAGCCTACCAGCAGAAATCTGTTCCAACCCAGGTGTACCCCCAAAATTATGGGTATATGGCCATCAATGGCAGTCCAAACCAGAAGTCAAAAAACAGCCAAATTCAACAAGCTCCATCCTCTCGTCCAACTGTACGCTCAAATAATTCTTTTGCTGCAAATTCTCAAACTGCTGTTCCGAAGTATCAAAGCAGATCTGTTGCAGAAACACAAAATTCGTCATCTTCGTTGCCATATAACCTTCCTCAGCAAAAGAGTGCTTACAATATGAACCAAGCTTCTGCAGCAGCGGCTGCTATCTCAAATATGAAAATAAGTGATCCCAAGGCACCTTCACCTCCTAAAACATCGTCAGGATCGGTGTCTCCAACAAGAGGTACACCAGCGAAGAAACAAGTCAATCTGCCTGTTCTCAAGATAAAGTTCAAGGAGATTTCACCGCTTTTATTGCCGAGCGAAAAGATCCTCAAGCTTGATGTTATAATGAAGCTGCAGTTGGACTCTAAGGTTCGTAAGGCACTGAAGTTGAGTGACGATGTGATTGAAACATTAATTACAAGCCATCAACGTAGTTTGGACCTGACTGCAAAACCGGTGGTGACAATCATCACTAACATGGCTCGTGTGTTCTTCATCGATGGGGCATTAAATGTGATGCTTATTGACTTAAAAGCCAATCAAGGAGGAGATTATCTGATGTACGACTATGAGTTCGAATCGATTACTGTGGACAGTGATGATGACGTTCCTGAAGATGGAGAAGATGTCTATGGTTACCTCATAATAGAGTTGATCAGAGAGAAAGGAGACTTGATTTTCTTGAAGAGAATCAATAATGATTCAAAACCTATTAAGGATATGGTGGCTGTTGTTGATAAGGCTGGAAAGGAAGTAAAACTTGGTTCTGACTACGGATGGATAGACTGCCTATTGATTGCGAAGGATATGGTTGCGAAACAAAATGCCTCAAACGGCAGCCTGGCCAAACCAAAAGAAAAGGAAGCACCACCCCCCAAAAAAACCAGACCAAAATCCTCCTCTAGTGCCGCTAAATCCACTCCCAGTATCCCAATCAAGAAGGACAAGACGCCGGAAGCTGGAAGTAAACTGAAGGATACTAAAGGATTTGCATACTTGGCAGCAGCCGCTGCCCATAAACACTAAGAGACACTATATTCGACCAATGTATTACTATGTTCAGGCATTCATTATTTCAAAAATATATACACAAGATTCTTTACAGACTACATCATTTGGAAATGTCAATGGCATACTGAAGCCAGTCCTTATATTGACACTTTTGACTGAAAGTTTCAGCCGTTTGGTTCTTCAAGATCGACTCGACAGTCGTTTCGTTTTGCACCCAATTCTCTATAGTTTCGATCTTGGCGCTCTTTTGTTCAACTTGTTCCTGGTAGTCTCGCAGAGCGTAAGGGTTCAATCTCAAATCAAACTTTTGTTGTACATCTTTAATGTCACCGACAGTGGCCCCGATTTCCTGGCGCAAGCTCTGGGCATAGTCAGAGCAGTATCGGATGGCTTGAGCTCTTGCATTCCATTCAGGTACAATCGTGCTGGTAAAGAATATATCGCACTTGCTGGTATCAATCTCATTCAAATGAGTTCTGACAGTATCATCAGTGGCAATTCGGGAGAGCACAAGAAATGCCCTGATACGTGACGAGTTTACACAATTCTCAGGCAGGAGAAGTTCCTGGACAGTTTGTGGAACACTCATAGCTTCTACTTTCTTCAAGGGAATGTTTTTGTTGGAAGACCACACTTTGAATAGATTTGAAAATTAGGAAAAGCTGATGCGGAATGCGAAGCATGTTAATGTAAGCCCCGTCTACAAAATGTACTTGTGGATGAAATTCCAGACTTATTTTACTGTTATTGTAGACTTTGTGTATTCTGTACCCATGTTGGACTTTAACCATATTTTTAAGTTTGACCGAAATTAAACGTCCAATGGACTCATTTGGTTTATCTCTTGTATGTGCCAGCCAAGATTGAACTTCTTTGAAATTCGCAACTTTTTGCAAACACTTACACTTCCGTTAACTTCCTCAAAAACCATTACTGGACGATGGAATTTATCGATCCTTCGGCCAATTCGGAGGCATATAGATATGCATTCGCCAGTGCCATGAGAGAGCATTTGCGAATCTTAAAGGAACAAATCCGGTTGAAAGAAGCGTTAAGTAATGGGGAGGAAGATATGTATTCTGATGATGAGAGTGAACACATGAGTATCCAAACCAGGGACACGATATACCACTTGGATCTGGTTATTGGGTTTGTTTTTGGCGATATCTTGAAATACCATGTCAGGCATGATGTGGAGCAGAGTAAGAATTGGGGGTTCCCTTCGAAAGCTTTAACCCACACCTTCTCCAACATTTTATTAGGAGCTGATACCAAAGAAATGGAGATCCCTCCACGTATTACCACCTCCTCATTGATTGCTCTAGCATCCAAAGAGAGTACTAGCATGGAGTTTGTGGCTCAAAGAGAGAAGGAACTAGGAAGTGTGTTTTATTCCATTCTCAGAAATGCGTTTGAGCTCAACTACAAGTATCTTTGGAGCAAAGACGGGAACGGCACCGAGCAGAGCACTATTATGTTGTCCTCATTTGTTGCAGCATTTCTCAGTCGAAGTGTTGAGTGTTACCCTCAGGTGTTCAGTCGCCGGGAATACTTGGCTGACCGAGTCAACTATGTGGTGAAGGAGTTGGAGAACTATTCACAAGTTCAAACCAATAAAGTGCCTCTTGAATCGTTATACGAGTTTTTTGGAGTTCTTTTGAAATCTCACATAGAATTATTGATCTCAAGAGGAAGTTTGCTTGCAGAATCATCCAAGGTGGTCACTAAACTCCGGGAACAAGGTAACAATTTGATGAGCAATTATGCATATGCTCAAGCCATCAAGGTTTACACCGATGCCATTCACCTTTGTAGCGGTGAAGCTACTAAGAACTTACCTCAGATTTTTGTTAATAGGGCAATTGCATACATTGGATTGACATGTTTCCCAGAAGCTATTATGGACTTGAACTTGGCTCTCAAATACGATATTTCGTTTGTTCCAGCATGGACCCAATTATCATATGCCCAGCTTTATATGGGCAACAGTTTGATGGCTCTCAAGTGTATTGCCATGGCTTTGAGCTGTTGTTGCGGAGAAGTGTTACCTTATAACTTCCCCAAAGAACCCAGTTACATGATCGAGTATCGTGCCAATAAAAAGCGGTCTACTTTACCCCAGTTCGTGGAGCAAATTTTAAAGAGTGTAGAGCTTACGGAGAGGAGAGCGAAGCAACAAAGATTGAATAAACAGGAAATATCGGATGTGATTCAAAAAGTCAAACTGTGTATTAGTCAGTTAGCGGATGCAGCTCCAGATGAGGATAAGCACTATTTTGAATATCCACCCCGATCACTGGAACCTTCTACATTTGTGGACTTGGCTAATAGAGTCAACTCCAACAGGCCAGCGATCTATAATCCCGAAGCATCACAGACTGTCACCACCGCCGCGGCTGAAGCCACCACCGCTATTGCTCCACAAAATGCCACTCCCCGAGGAGAACCCGCCCCTCCAATTGTAGATATCTCCACTGCAATCCAAGGAGTGGTTGGGAACCTGTTTTCGGGACTCCAAGCCAACATGAGACCGGGAAGATTATATCCTGATCTGAACCAGAGTCCTCCCGCCGCTACACCTAGAAGACCAACAAACCAAAGAGGTCCATGGACCATTAACGGCCGGAGAGTTAGATCCATTCCCTTGGATGAGACGTCAGAAGAAACTTCCCTCATCAATTCGTTAGGTCCTCTGATTGCTGAGATCGTTCGAGAGGGAAGAAGACTCAGAAGAACCAGCGAAGGGCAGCCAAATCGGGATACAGAGCAGGAGCGGAACCGGTACGACAACGCTGTCAGATTCTTCACATCCCGAGCATCAGATATCCCTGGGGCCGAGCAGTTTGTTGACGACTTTGCCAGAGTAGATCAGTCTAGTGGGATTGGGCTCACATCCCACCTGGAAGGACCAAACATCTGGAATTCAAGTACCCAGCACACCTCCAACACACGTTCTGATCCGAACCCCAACAATCCCCATCCAGGTATACCCGAGTCGCCTGATCTTGATTGATTATATAGAACAGTATATGCGCATCTAAGCCGTGCAACAGTCGCGAAAATGAAGATAAGATCACTGACTCGCAGAAAAAAGGGACTTTTCAACTATCTTAAATAATGGCAGGTTTGGAACAGTCACTCTTCCAGCTCAAGTTCACTGCCAAGCAGTTGAACAAGCAAGCATCCAAGGCTGCGAAGGAAGAGCTCCAAGAAAAAGCCAAGGTGAAAAAGGCCATGGTTCAAGGAAACCCTGATATCGCCCAGTTGTATGCCCAAAATGCCATACGCAAAGCCAACGAACGAGTCAACTTATTGAGGCTCTCGTCTCGAATCGATGCAGTTGCCTCTCGTGTACAGACGGCCGTGACCATGCGGTCAGTGACAGGTAACATGACAAATGTCATCAGAGGCATGGACAAAGCTCTTCAAACGATGAATTTGGAACGAATTTCCATGGTGATGGAGAAGTTCGAAACCCAGTTTGAGGATCTCGATGCCCTGACGAACTACTATGAGTCGGCGACCAACAATGTCAGTGCATTGACTACCCCACAAGAACAGGTGGATGATTTGATGAGCCAAATTGCCGATGAGGCAGGCATTGAGATGAAACAAGGGTTGAATGAGACCAAGGTCGAGATCAATACGCCGCCTACCAGTGTGGTCACCGATGAGAAAGAGGACAAGTTGGCCGAGCGGTTGCGTGCTTTACGTAATTGATAATGCTTTTAGATCTTAGATGAGAATGCACAAAATGTAATGAGACGCAGGTGCGGAAGAGACAGACACCATACAAAACACAGGGGGGAAAACCCAAGTAGTAGTTATCCAAATTGGTTACATATATGTCAATGCCTGTTCTATATTTTGCTTCGGACCATACCCGTCTTGCAACCGATCGACCGCAGCCGAGTGTCCCAACCAATGGGAAGGTTCAGAAATTTACCACAGCAATGTCTAACTATGGCTTATAAATACCTTCGATTCCGCACACAGTGAAATTAAATATCCACTAACATGTTATCAATCAGAACTGCTTCACGTGGAGTCTCTAAAATCCCCACCAGCTCAATTGGTGCCATCAGAACCAAGGTTACTTTACCCGATCTCGATTGGGATTTCGGTGCCTTGGAACCTCACATCTCCGGCCAGATTAATGAGCTTCATTATACCAAACATCACCAAACCTATGTTAACGGATACAACCAAGCCATTGAACAACATGCCGAAGCCACCTCCAAAGGTGATGTTAAGAAGACCATTGAATTGTTAAAAAACATCAACTTCCATGGTGGTGGATACACCAACCATTGTTTGTTTTGGAAGAACTTGGCTCCCGCCAAAAATGGCGGTGGTGAACCTCCGGCTACCGATTCGGAGTTGGGTAAGAAGATTGCCGAACAATACGGAAGTGTTGACAGTTTGATTTCCCTTACCAACACCAAGTTGGCTGGAATTCAGGGTTCTGGTTGGGCTTGGATCGTCAAGAACAAGGAGAATGGTGCCATTGAAGTTACCACTACCTATAATCAAGACACCGTGACTGGTCCATTGGTGCCATTGGTTGCCATTGATGCGTGGGAACATGCCTACTACTTGCAGTACCAAAACGTCAAGGTTGACTACTTCAAAGCTATCTGGAATGTTATCAACTGGAAAGAAGCTGAAAAGAGATTCTTGGTAAACTAAGTAAATGTTAGCGTATATACTTTATTTATAGTGTTTTAGTACACAGTGATGAACCGTATCTAGAATGTAGCTACCCCTAGTAAGTGAGCAGCATTTTTGGCATCGACCACATTATCGATTTCAGATTCTTTACCCTCTGTTTCGGCAGCTTCGTTCTTCTCCTGTTCCTTCTTTTGCTTGAGGTCTTGCTCTTCGCTTAGAGACCGGAAAGTTCTCAGGGACCAGGAGTCTCCACTGGCCAGTTGGGATTGCAAGAGATTATGCTTTAAGTTGCTCAAGTTTTCCCGGTTAAGACGGGACAAACCTCCTTTGTCATCCACAATACGAATGTCAAGACGGATGTTTTCCAAATGCTTCAAGATCTTGCGATGATGGTCTACTCGGTTCAAAGTGTAGTTCTTTAAGAGCTTGTGGAATTTCAATTCCGTGTGCTGTAGCACCTCATCTTTTTCAAAGATCATTTCCCCAGAGATTCTCTTCACCTGAAGGGTCAACGATTCTTCTGCTTTAGTAGCAAATTCAAGTGATCTTAATGCTTCGTCAACTTTAATAGGGTCAAGGGCCGATTTGCTCTTCATCTTATTCGCATGCAAGTGTTTGATCTTTGTCTGTTGCTGAGCTTGAACGAGTTCTCTCATTATCAAGTGTCTGTTCGTCAATGCTTCTTTAACTTGATAGAAGTCTTCAACAAAAATTCTTAGACCATCTCCCAAGGTCCCCATCTCATTATACAGTTGAATGAGAATTAAATCGGCCTCTATGAGCTTGATCTTCGAAAGTTTTTCCCACATGTTTTTCATGCCTGGGTGAATAAATTCAACCTGTGAAAGATTGGCTAACTTTTGGGATAAATCTCCAATTGAGGCAGCATGTTGTTTCTCCATTTTCGAGTTTTTCTCCAAAAGCTTCTCGAGCTTTTGGCAACTGAGATATGCTGCTTTAATCAAAGGTCGGAATTCAACTAGTTCTTCATAGGCATCGTATGGCACTGCCAATTGTTTCAAAGTCTTACGGACTAATCCACTGGCAATTGATACTTTTCTATTGGAGTTGATAACCGAGTAACCAAAGTCGTTTTCAAGGAAATATACAAACTCTTCGTCTCGAATAATAATAGGATTTCTAGTGATTCTATCGAACCATTCTTGCCACAATATCATCAATTGTTTGGTCTCTTCTTCTCCACCAGTGGGGTATGATGTTTGAACAGAAGGAATTTGAGGAACAAAGCATTCCAAGTTAGAAACTGTCAAATATTTATTGAATTTGACAATTTCCTGGTACGTTCGACGAATTTCTTTGTATTTGGCTTGTCTGTACCTGGGTAAGTTTTGAACTTCGGCATTGAACTTTAAAATCGGATTTCCAGGTTTGTTCTTTTCGATGTTGATTAAAGCAATTTTGAGTTTGTACTTGGAGGAGAATCTCTCTGGTAAAAGTTTATGTAGTTCTTCTTCAGTGAGTTTTCCTTGTTGGTCTGGGGTTGTACTACGTTGACTGTGAGGCTCCTCAGGGATTGGTTCATCGGAGACTTGGGGGCCCGGTTGAACGGCTGGCGTCACATGATGCACCTCAGGCTCTGCAAATGGATTGTTATCCTCGAATTCGTTGGGATCGTAAGGAATTGCCGACGCCATGAGTGAGTTGTAGTTGATTGTCTGACCCTTTTGAAGTCGCAAAGCGTGATTGTCACTGCGCACGACCACCACTGGGACCTGAGCAGGGAATGGAATAAATTACAGAAGGGATAAGATAAGAAGGATTAGTCGTCCCTATGGTTTCGAGAGAGGTATGAGGTAATTGGAAGTTTTTTTTGCCGGAGCAAACAAGTCAAAAGTGAGAAAGTTAAGATCATATTATCTAAACAAATGGCTACTAGATGCAATATCCCACTACTTTAGTCCCTAAAATGAATGCTTATGTTGTCATACATCCTCTTTGAAGAAGAACTCCCCCGAACTACTCGACTGAACTCTTTTTAAAGTCTCACACTTTCCATTCATCACTCCTCTGTTTTAGCAGCTGAAGTTTTTCTGCGCAGAGTTTTTGAGATGAGGATTTTTTTTTGTAGATCCATTCAAGATAGCTAAGATGTCTGCTCCTACAGCAATCAAAAGTACCATAAATGAGCCAACTGTATCACAAGTTGGATTAAAAGATGCACATGATGATGATGATGACGAAATGATCGATGTCAACGCCATACCCACCGGGGAAACTGCACAAGAAGACATTTCATCATCTCAGAAGCAAGAGACTGCTGGAGTAGTTTTTGATGAAAGTGGAAAACCCAAGTTCACGGCTGCTTCCAAAAGTGGCATGAAAGTAAAGCTTGAATCCAGAAAGGTTCCGGTACCACCACATAGAATGACTCCTTTGAAGAACACATGGCCAAAAATATATCCTCCATTAGTGGACCACTTAAAATTACAGGTGAGAATGAACTTAAAAACCAGGACAGTGGAAATGAAAACCAACAAAAGTACCACAGATCAAGGTGCGTTACAAAAGGGGGCTGACTTCGTTAAGGCATTCACCTTGGGATTCGACGTTGATGACGCTATTGCATTGTTAAGATTGGACGATTTGTATATCGAGACCTTTGAAGTGAAAGATGTCAAGACTTTAACGGGTGACCATTTATCCAGAGCCATCGGTAGAATTGCTGGTAAAGACGGTAAGACCAAGTTTGCTATTGAGAATGCCACCAGGACCAGAATTGTGTTGGCGGACTCCAAGATTCATATTTTAGGAGGTTTCACCCATATTAGAATGGCAAGAGAAGCAGTGGTATCGTTGATTTTAGGTTCCCCTCCAGGAAAAGTGTACGGGAACTTGCGTACAGTTGCATCCAGAATGAAGGAACGTTACTAGATTCAACTTCTCATTGCATTATATTATCTGTGTATATTACTTTAACCTTTTCTTAATTAACAAAAAGCTTATCATAAGTCGTCTAGTAAATCTTGAGAGAAATCATCCACGACTTCAGCATTCTCAAATAAATGGGGTTTCAACTCATCTAGAATAAGCTTCTTTTGCATGGCATATGCATCCTCTCCATCCTGATAATATGACTTTTCAATGGTGGTAACCTCAAACTTCAAAGTGTCTCTATATAAATGCAACGCTGCTCTATTAGACTTTCTAACATGTAAAGAAACATATTGACCACCAAAGGATTCACACAATGCATACAACGAATGACGCATTAACTTTCCCGCCAACCCCAATCTTCTATAAGTTCTCATGACTGACAAGGAGGTTATATGTCCATGAGGAGTTTTGTCTTCGGCTTCTGGATCGTCTTCCATTTTGGCCAACACATACCCTACTATCTTCTCACCCTTTTTGATATAGGCTGTGTCACCTTTGGGGTCTTTGACGGTCACGGTGTCCAAACTTATTTCATCATCCCATTCTTCTATTTCATCAAATGTGGTTGCCACAAAGCTACCTTGGGGCCATGATAAAGCGTGGTACATGTAGTATTTTGTCAAGTAATTTTCAGGCAAGTTGTGCAAGTTGGCGTTTTGTATGGCCTGGATATCATAGATATCTGCCTGTCGAATCGTAATCCCCATTTTTCTTCGCTGTTGTTGGGCTATTTACAGATGTTTCAACGGTTGGAGAAGTTGTCGAGGTATGGAAAAAAAAAGAATGTGTAAACTGCGAAATGTCTATGAAGTGTTTCACCATTATACGTGTGATATAATTCCTACGATTGGACTGTTTGCTCTTCTTTGGAGATCACCAGGTCGTCAAACTTTATAAGAAACACAGTTCTTAACGGTGATCCTTCTTTGGGCATGGTATGAGCGGTGACATCGGCGAAAAACCCAGCTGAGTCAAGAGCACCTTCAATTATTCCAGCAATAAAGGCAGCACAGTTCAAATCTCCATAATCCTTAGGAACATTGACAAATTTGGACACTAATGGGCAATTATCTATGATCATATACTCGTTATTCACGTCTTGTGACTTTTCCAATTCATTGGCAATCTTGCCAAAGAGTCCTTTCCACAATGTAGAATGTATAAACTGTAAGATTTCAACAATTTTGATTTCTCTCTTGCTGTACTTCAAGCCTTCTCTAGTTTTAGAAAGTTCCAAGAACTTTTGACCGATTTGATACCCCAACCCGTTTAGTCTGTTTTCTAAATCCTGGATACCCTTGGATTTCTTGTGACTCCAGTTCACAATTTCACAGAAGAGAAATGATAACGATGACAAACTCACTTCGAATGCTTTTTTGTTGATGCTTTTGCTAACACCAGGGTTTAGACTGACAGTTTTGTTGAGTAGTATGCTAGAGGTGGTCGGGGTAATTTCATTGGACGATGCTCCTATCGACGGATTGTACCCAAATTGCGACTTATTCGAGTCCTGTATTGTCATCTTGCTCATGGATGCACTCACAGGTAGTATGATATTATCTTCTGGCATTGTGGTAGAATGAGCAGCGTATGTGAGTTCGGTAAAAATAAGATTGGTTTGAATCGCGAAACAGCAAAAACGTTAGCGTCAATATGGTTGTGCCAGCCACAAGCAGAAAAAGTATTTTAACAACAACACCTTCGTAGGAGCTCACTTCTAACATATCTCAAGACAAAAATGGGAAAGGGCAATTGAACCCGGGGAAGAAGGTTAAGTTTGTGCTTCCTACCAAAGACTCAAGGATTGTTGAACCCGATGAGTATACAATTGAAGAACTAAAAAATGTGTTTTCAAACAAGCGCCAGTACCATTGGGCACCCAGGAATAGATATAATACGACCTTTGGAGCTAGGGTCACATTGGAAAACGTGAGCATTGGTGTCGAATCGGAGAAAGTGGGTGGACCTCCTCTCAGTGAATCTACCTCAAGTGATTTCCTTGAACCAGACTTGCAAAACATCAGCACGCTGTCGTTCAATTCATTGACCAGAGAAACCAACCAAATCCATACCACAATTGATGATGAAAAAAATAAGGCCTTGAAAAAGAAGTCAACTGTTTTCCGAATTGACTTGAGTGAGAACGTCAAGAGAAAAGGATCAAAAACAACTGTACAGCGTATCTCATCTCCAAAACAAAATAGGGGAGACAATACCTCTGCTCTCATTCCTGGCACATGCGAGAAACCGACCACTCTGGAAGATAATGGTGTGATTACAGTAGATGCAAATACAAACCTAAGTAAGACAACCCTGGCAATTAAAAAGCACATTTCAAAGGTGTCCAAACCAAAACCACGGCCTGCAAGTAAGATTCATGCACTACAGAAAGAGCAAAGTGTGATTGAAAAGGGTGTTGAGGCAAATATGTCGTTCAAACCAGTTCAAATCAAGGTTAGAATTAAGACCAAAACCCAGACCTATTTCATTCACAAGTACCAAGAGATCGCTCCAGAAGACCGTAAAAACCTCACTCACAAACAGTTAAATGATCTATTTCCTGTTGAATTACCTTTTTAATTATGGCTGCAAACCAATTGCCATGATATGCTCCGATAAACATGACAACCGCACGACCGCCATTGATCCAGGGAAAGTCGGAGTACTAAACTAAGTTCGCACTGGTGTGAAAAATAACTAGAAAATACGTTGCTGGTTCAAGCTTGGAGACCTATCACAAGAAAAATCTATGAGGATATCAGCCTAGTTATCAATAACTTGTTTTGTTCTCCACAACATAAGCAATATCGAAAGTTTTTTCCGCCATATTTAACCAGTTTTTAAAGCTTTTTAGCATGTCATTAGGAAAAGAAGCTCCTGATAGTCTATCTGATCGAGCGGCAAATATCCCTTCTACCAGTAACGAAATGAATGTCCCAAGCAACCAATCTTCTAATGATCAGATACCGAATGACGGACCTGCTTGTGAGGTCAAACCTATAGTCAACGAAGAGCAACTAATGGAAAAAGTCAAAACGGTGCCCTTATCCAAATTGAAAGATATAATTACTGATCAAATTGACCTTGAAATCCGGTTGAAGCACAAAGAGTTGATGCTAACGGAAGAAGAGATTGGTAAATGTGAGTCTCAAATGATCACATTGAGAAACTACTACAAAGTCCCCCGGGAAAAGTCCTTTGATCTGGAACCGAATGATTTCACCATAAAATACTACGACTTATTGAACCGTTCACTATCAATAAATTATGAACAGCAAGCGATAGATGGCCCAGGATTGCATAATGACCCCCATACAGGCTTTCCCGACCAATCCATGGGAGCTGGCCATACTTACCGCACCAGATCAACTACCTCGTCACTCAGACCTTCGACTTCAATCCTGAGGACCACAACTCTTGGATGTCTCTATCGGAGAACCGACGGAATTATTGTTAAACTCACATGTCCTGACTGTAAAAGGAGCAACTTCTCCCTGGCACAAGGTTTTTTAAATCACAGTCGAATTGCCCACACACAAGAATATACTTCTCAAGATGCTGCCGCATTGATTTGTGGTGAGATATTACCAGGAAATGAGCAAGATGAAGAAGGAGTGGCATCTATCAACAGTCTTAAGGAGAAAAACCTTGATCCCAATACAAATTTGAATGTTAATGAGATGTACTTTAACGGTTTGAGTGCTTCGTTGAACACCGTACATCGGTCCAGTCTCGATAAGTCGGTGTCTCCTCTCGAAAGAGGCGAAGTGACATCCATCAGAACCGCCCCCAAACCCGAGAATAGCGAGCTCATGAAGAAGCTAATCAAGACAGGAGTCACCAAGGATAAAGATAGTTATAAGAAGCTAATTGACAGCTACAAGCCAGTGGCTGGGGATCTCGAACTGTCGAACGAAGATGAACATCTCGAAAGCAGTGAAGAAGATCAAGCAGTGCATGGCCGAGCTGAAGACCGCAAACTTAAGAGACGCAGATCCAGAGCCAATGTGGGCATTGCTAAGTTCACCCCCAAGGTACTTGATTCCTCTTGTAGTAGTGCCAGTGAGGGCCATCTGAAAGCTGCCACGCCCGAGAAAGAACCACATCACCAGCCGTTGCCCAAGATCAAACTCAGGTTAAAACCCGAGGATAAGACCAAGAAAAGGACCCCTGAGGATGACAAGAAGAAGCGCAGAGTCAAGTGAAAAATATATACCTATGTAAAGTAGTACGATTCTGGCGAATGATATATATATAAGGTAATGAATTTATTGAGTGGAATAAACATGTAAGGTAATGAAAGAGTCAAGTGGTTATATGCACAGCGTGTAATCTGGAGCATTTATCAAAAGTACCCCGTGGCTTTAGGCGAATAAGAAATGAAACTTATCGCCAAAGAGCCTAAATCACCTTGAGTGCGCATGGGTAATGCGCATCTATACGGCAAAACCTAATTATCGCCAGTAAAGTGTCAACCGCCTCAATATGTAAAGAACCCAAGCTCAATCCAATAGAACAGTTTTGGTTCCACGTGAAAAGTAGTTTGAAGAGAGTAAAATTACTAGTAAGAGAGACTTTGAGCTCAAGAATATCTGGAGCTGCAATCTCAATTCCCGTAGTCAATATACAAAATAGTATCAATGATTCAGTTAAAGCTTTATCGATTTGTGAAACAAGATAATCTTTTTGAGTAAGACAAAAATGCCAGTGATCAGCGCTTTGATTCAAAGATGTCTACCATTTTTTTCGACCTCCTCTTCTTTCTATGAAAACACACCAAGCAATTAATATCGTCTGCGAAGGCCAATATTTCCCTTCAAGATTTCGTAGCTTCTTCATATACAAAATGCCAAATTTGACTTGAAAGTAATTGTTTCTCAGTCTTACGGTACGAAAATATTGATAGTGAAGGACATTTACTTTTCGCTGAACTAGTAGCGGGCGAATGCGACATTTATTTAATAAAGGTGTTCATTTCATATGGGATTGACTTTATGGATCAGAAGCCACTGTTCCAAACCTCGATCATCCTGTGTGTCGTAATCGTCCGTCAAGGTCGGTCAACCGCGGAGCTGCAGCGCAACCTATTTTGTAGCCAGTAGGAAATATAGTTAGTGTTTTGAGACATTGGTACGGGCACATGAGACGTTGGTAGGAGAGTTGTTTTAATATACCCAAGGCTTCTGGTGATAAAATCCCTCAAGTATGGGCATGTAAGTGATAACTACGTCATGATGCTCCCCATACTCCCGAGGTAGTCGCGTTGACAATGGCTAAAATCGGTGGTGCTGAGGAAAATGACGCAACGTAAATGCAGTCTTTTCAGAACCTCTTGCGAAATCCAGACCGCTCCAAAGCGTGCATACAGGCATGAGCAGGTACGTGATGCGTACAGAGCCAGGTATTTCTGTGCCAGGTTAATGAATTATACTAATCCGTATCTTCCAAATTTACCAGCTTTTATTGTTTTAGCAATACATCTTTCTTCAGCATCGTTTGTATACCTGATCGTTCTTGTGTTACGTACCTAGCCTGAGGTCACTATTGGTTTGTGTGTTTGTCCTTCTCACCACGCCCCGTTTATTTTTAACAACCAGTTTACTCGGTGCTAGGCTTTAAGAACTCATTGCCTACTTTTTTTTTGTCAGTTGTTTGATGTCCTCCTCTCCAGGGGTTTGTTCTCCAAGTTTTATCATCGAACTGTCGTCTTCAGCTTCCTGTTCTCCCGTGGCAGGCATGGCTGGTGCCAATGATTACTTCAACATATGCCCCCAGCCACCCTCATCTGGAACCATCACCCCTAAAGACTCCCAGGCCCTGGGACTAAGTACGCCAGTGGCAACCCAGGTGCTCGAGACGCCTGTTGACTTTTACCCCAAGCGCTTCAACCGGGTTAACTCCCACCCCATCTTGCATAGACGGTTAAACGAGTCTGCTAGCTCGTTGGCCTCCGACTCTACCATTGGCGACTCGTTTTTTTTAAAGAGCAAAAGTCGAATCGATTCCACCATTTCCGATAATACGCTTGTCGATGATTCCCCCAGCAAAATGGCCCTCAATCTTCCCAAGTTGTCTATCAAAGAAAATCACCAGTTTCTGTTCACCAATTCCCCTTCTTCCCCTAAACTAGCCTCGCCCATGTTAAAAAAGTACTTGAGTTCTCCCACCATAAAAACGTTCAACGACGTGGCCAAAAAGCCGGTTCAGGACTACATACCCCAGATTTTGAAGTTGGGCCCAAATATCCATGTGTTGAACCAAAGCGAGCTCCAGTCAATGCTTGCGAAGGTGCAGGTTGTGAAGGAGACCCTTTTGCCAAACTTGGTCACCATCGACGTGAGGTCGTTCACCGACTACGCCAAGTGCCACTTCACCAATGCCATCAATATCTGCTTGCCCAGCACATTGTTGAAGAGACCCAATTTCTCGTTCATCAGGTGCATCAACTCGTTGCCCATATATGAACGGATGATTTTGAAGACGTACTTCAACCACAACGCGGCCAACAAGTTGCAAAACAAGAGGTACACAGATCTCGAAGGCATTCCGTGTGGGGAGTTTGGGTATCCAAGTATTCTCATCTACGATAACTCCAACAACTCATACAACATATACTGGATGATCAAGAAGATTTTGGAAGAGTTCCAGGTAACTACCAGCAAGATCTTTGTGATTAAGGATGGGTTTGCCGGTTTGTTGCAAAACCAGAGCTTCTCGTTTGAAGGTGGCAGCAAGCAAAACTTCAATCTCGACGAGTTACTTGCGAGAGACACAAACGTGTTTAGGGACATTGTCATCAACCCTGAGTCAACCTCATCGGCGACTTTGTCTCTGGACTCAATTTCCCCAGGAAAATTCAGATCCCACCCCCTGAACGAGATTCCTAACTCCAGGCAAGTTTCTCCACTTGAAGCCAGTACTCCTATATTATCGAACTTCAAGCTACCACCCTCAGTGCACTCGACACCTAGCTTCAAAATAAGACACAACGAAGAGGCTATTGGTGATGCTGTGAAGTTGGGAATCGATCTTGCTGCCAAGTACAAGGACCATTTAAGTGAGCTTCCTAGCTGGTTAGGCAGCCAGACTCTCGATGAAGATAACCTCGTCAAGCTGTTCAACAAACTTGAACTCAATGAGAAAAACAGACTCAATAGTGCTTTTGATATCAAGAACAATATCCCACTCATTGGTGCGGGAATCGAAATGGGATACAAAAACAGATATAAAGATATCATGATTTTTGAGCACTCGAGAGTCAAATTGGTGGACTTTGAGGATCCCACCCTCTCCAATTTTTGTGACTACATCAACGCTTCTTACATTGATTCGGTATCCAATTTGGATATCCTTCCAAAGATGAACCATAGTCCTTTCAAGTATATTGCTACTCAGGGTCCTTTACACCACACTATTGGAGACTTTTACAGATGTGTTCTTAACAGTGATATCGCCTTAATTGTGTGTTTAACAGATGTTTGGGAAGATGGTATCCCTAAATGTGATCCTTACTGGAACACTGGAGTTTATTTTTCTAACAACAATGAAATCAAGATTACTTTGATAAAGACTGAACCCATCAATGATCGGCTTGTGTTAAGAAATATTCAAATAAATACCAGTGTGAATGGTGAAGATGTCACAAGACATGTTTTACAGGTACAACTTTTGCAATGGGCAGACAATTCCATCTGTAATAACGTCAATGACTTATTATACATTTTTGAGTTGAGACGTAAATTGATGAAACAATTAGATCTTGGTGAAAACAATACGTTGGTGCACTGTTCGGCTGGATGTGGTCGAACCGGAACCTTCATAGCCATAGATACTATATTGAACTTGGTTAGTATGAACTACAAGTTTGATGCTGGGAGGGACTTGATTCCTTTGGTCGTGGACAACATGCGTAGTCAAAGAATTTCAATGGTGCAGAATCTTCGGCAGTACATGTCTGTGTATGAGTCCTTGATTTGCTCTTTCTTACAGCATGGAAATGTTAACGACCGCATAAATGAATCCCAGGTAATTAATGATTTTTTAAATAGATAAAACAGGGTAATAGACAAAAGCATAGGTTATTATACTGCTGTAGAGAAGACCATAAAGTACCAGTAGAGGAAGTGGTTGATTAACTTGTTAATGTGCAATTTAAATATAGTACATATAATCTATTTAAGCGTTGGCAGCCAAAGCTTGCTTAATACCAGCTGGGTTAGCACCAATAACCTTGGTGACAACCTTTCCGTCCTTAATGAATAAGATGGTTGGCATGGAAGAGATTTCGTACTCTTGAGCAATTTGACCAAAGTCATCAACGTCAACTTTGATGAATTTAGCTGAAGTGTATTCAGCAGAAAATTTGTCCAACATAGGAGCAATCATCTTACAAGGACCGCACCAGGTGGCAAAAAAGTCAACAACAACCAACCCAGAGTGCTTCAAGGCTTCATCGAATTCTTCTTTCTTGGTAATAGTGGCAACCATTTTTATGTATTAGTAATCTGTAGTGTATTTGTTTTGTACGAGATTGAAAAAACCTTCAAGCGATTTCGGTCAATTTATATTGTTAACGCGCGAACCGATTGCATTAATAATTCTGGCGTGGGAATGACCTCATTGTATAATCTAGACCTTCAGTAAAAATTCTGACAAATGTCGCAGAACCCTCTGGAGAATATCTATGTTATTTATCATACATTTGCCTAATCCCTTACCTAAATCGGGCAGGGAATGACCCATTATGGTACTGGATCATAGATAACTATTTTCTATCTAAATTCTATCTCTATTGTCAGCATCGTTATTGTGGCTCATGTTGCAATCGGTTTCTCGGAATTGCAGGTTAACATCCTTTCTGTCGGCGTGCAAAATCAATCCAGCAGAATAACATTTCACTAGCGAAGACCGATTTTCGCAGCCGGAGTATCCAATGGATTTAGATAAAGTTATAGATGACGTTGGGCTGATACCACAGATCTATGACCGGCACATATTGTATGTTAAAATCATCCATCTGAAGAACTTTCTCGAATAACCGGTTTTTGTACTCAAGATACTCTTTTGTTAACCCTATTTTATCTGCTGTGTTGCACAAGTCTCTGCACACCATTTTTATAAATACAGTAAACTTTTCTTTAGCAGCCTCTTCATTCTCTGCATTTATTTGGGGAGGCTCAACAGCCACTTTTTCAAACCCTTGAATCACGTCACACCGTTCTTCTTGAAATTCAATCATATGCTCTATACTCTCATCTGACGACCCAGAGACAAGCACATCCGGATCATTTACAGAGTGGATATTGACCTTTCCCTTCCATCCAACATACTTGAATTTGTCTGAGAAAATAGCCCAGAACGGTATGGGATTGTGGTTGTGGTTGATACCGACTCTATCATCAATTATTATAAACTGAACAGTAGGGAGAATTTCAAGCCATTTCATAATTAAGTCGTATCTGACGTTTTGAGTATTTTGCACTTTATTAATACACTCATTGATTTTGTCACTATCAACTTTTATTTCAAACACTTCCACCTTTCCTCTAGGAATGAAGGAATACAACGTTACAAACTGTTGAACGTAATTCACGTCAGAGTATTGGATGCACACTTCGTGAAGGCCTGGTGGGGCCAGGTATTTAAGAACCACATCTCCGGTAGCTTTATCAACATCGAAGAACGCATTGGACTTTTCCTGGTGATTAGCAAAATCAAGTAATGGCACCAATGCAGTATTTACAACAAAGTCCTGCTCATTCTCTTCAACCGGGTGAGGAATTTCCAACACTCGAGACTTGATCACCTTACTCATATGGAAATACTCATCGAAAGAAGGTACCATGAAACCCAATTCTTGCACTGCCTCTGCAATAGCATTATACTTCTGGTGTAGGGCCTCTTTCTTTGAAACTTCCACCTCGCATAAGAAGTCTCTATCTGTCTCTTTCAGGTAGTATTTTGTATCCAAAGTATCGATATTGGTCAGACTGAGGAGTTCAAGGTAAAGGTCTATATCTGCCAAGGGACTGTCTTGTAAATGTTCATTTGTACTTAAAATGATCATGAAACTGAACATAAAATCAATGATGATTTCTGTTTCGTTCGATCCCTCACATTTACTGAGTACTGTTCGTGTGACTTGGGCCTCTAGAGGACTCAGTTGCTTCAATTTCTCTAACCAGGTCAGTAAGTTCTTCAAGTTGTAAGTAGCAGCATCGGGGATTCGTGCTATTATCACATCCTCCATTGGCGTCTTCGACTCATAAAATAGCCCAGTACCACCTAAATGACTTTGTCGTATAGATAGACCTTCCTCAACCACAATCCCACATTTATTGAAGGTTTGGGGATCTAAGTTGTCTAGGTGCACCTGGTGCAGTTTGAGTTCCCGCATGTGCCGATCAGTTCTGAAGTTAATGATTTGGAGTTTGGCTGAAAAGACCTCGTCGTATAAAAAATACCAGTATCACCGCCTTTCGATAATGAGCTGGCTTTAAACGAAAAGGATCTCAATTGGCTGCCAAATGATAAGGTTTGCTTCAGAGCGTTGCGATAATTGATTCTTGCAAATGCGACTCGCTGCTGAATATCGAGAATTGGGAATGCGTCAAGGAAAAAAAAAACTTTTAGAACCTATAGAAACAACTAATAATGTCTTGGGACGACGAAGACTTCGATGTGCCTACCAGCAAGCCAGCTGTTGCTTCATGGGAAGATGATATTGTAGACGATGAGCCACTTTTAGATTCCTGGGACGTGGATGAAGATGAAGAAGAACTCAAAAAGAAGGAAGCTGAGGCCAAGAAGAAAGCCGATGCCCTTAAGAAAACCGTTCCTGGTAAGGGGAAGAAGGCCGCTGCTAAATCCCAGCCACTGCGTAAGATTTTGTTGGATATTGACAAAGCTGACGAGAAGACCAGAGCTGAATTGTTGAGAAAAGCCGAATTATCTTCTGATTTGAAGAATGCTTCTGACCTATTTGGAGATCTTTCTGTTGGAGATGACGAAGATTTCGACCTCAACGCACATCCAAGAGAAAGAGCGGCCAAGCTCGCTGCTGCCCAAGCCGCTTCGTCTCCCGCCGCCAAACTTACAAGGGACACCCCTCTTGATGTGCATCCTCTTTTCCAAGCAGAGTCCAAACAAGACTACGAGAAGTTGAGAAAGGCCTTAAGTACCACCTTGACCGATTTGTCCAAGGAGTCGTTGTTGAACTACACATCGTCATTGGCCATTGATTTGATCAGAGACTTGACCAAGCCTATGACCTTGGAAAGTGCTAGAAAAGTGAGTTCTACTTTAGCAGTCGTTATCAGAGAAAAGGAAAGAGCTGAAAGAGAAGCCAGATTGAAGAAATCTGGAGGTACTTCCATTGGTGGTGCTGGTAAGAAGAAGGCCAAGCCTGTTGTTAAGACCGCACAACCTTCTTTCAAAAAGGATATGGACGATTATGGCGATGATGACTTTGGTGATGATGACTTTATGTGATAAAATGGTTGTGTTGTAATTCGCAAATCTCTTTTATCTACTCGATTCTTTAGATAAACTAATAAACTAATCTAATTATCTGCCACGTACGTAGCACAGGAAGAGGGCAAGGTGCTCCACGCATCGTCCACGTCAGGTTTCGAGTATGGTTCGTACTTGGAAGCTTTGATGATTACGGGGATAACTTCCCCAGTTTTCATCGACCATTTCCTGTGGTCAACAATCTTGAGAAATGCACTGATTGTTCCTGAATGCGTGGTGACAGAAATCACCGTGTTATTATCCAGCGTGAAAATTTCATCCAACACCAACTCGGCTCTATATCGTACATGTTTCAGCTTCTCATGTTTGGTTGTAGTCCATAATTTGTCGTTTTCGGTAAACCCATCTTCAAAGTTTGCAAACGGATAGTTTTCCGAAATGTAAGATTTGGGATGTCTCTTGCTTTCGGTTCCAATGCCATACTTTTCTCGAGCATTCTCAACCACAAGAGGAATTTGGTCTGAATAGGAAATCAACCCATTCCATGTGTAGTTGAATGTCTGCAAAGTTCTTCTCAAAGGAGAGACATAAAACGATTCTGGAAGAGGTGCTCCTCCTGAAAGTTGATTTTGCCAGAAGGTGTGCAAATCCAGGGTTTCAGAAATACCATCAGGTGTGAGAAGCGCATCGTACCATTCGATACCATCAGCTCCATCTTGTTCTTGCATTACACATTCCCATTCTTCACTTGAATAATTATCTGGTGCGATGTTATGATAGCCTTCTCCATGTCTGGCGAAGAAGAACAACTTGTATTGGGTGCCATTGTCGTTTTTGGCATTTAATTTGTCAACTTCGGAGGTTACATCACTCCAGGTGGTACCTGAAACCAAACCGAAATTGTCTTTCATAAAATCAAAGTCATCGTTGTCCGTAGAACTATCGTCCTGCTCAAAAAAACCCTTGACCACCAGGTATTTACTGGGAACCAAAGCGTTGGAGCTCTCGATCAGTTCATTGGAGATGGCGTTTGACACCATCAAATAGTCTAAACACAAATACACCCACAGAACCCTCATTATTGATAGCAAGTTTGACATGACTTTGTACTCATGTTATATATTGAATGGAAGTTGGAAGTCAAACAATCAGGACAATGCAATTCCAAACCTAAATTCCGCTCTGGTAAGAGCCCATGTGGTCTCCAGGAATTTAATTACCACTGCAGTCTGTTGCATACCAACATGGCGGGCACCATAAAGAGGCGGATGGACAGCTGTCACATCTAATGTACTTTAGGGCCCTATATGCACATCTGTTTATACGCCGATCCCACTTGTTGATTGGAGATGTGCCTTAATTTTGGTGGGGCTAATTGTTAGCGATTCAATTTTGGAATTGTTTCGCGACTTGATGCTGTATGTCTAAAGTATATGCCAATTCACATATATATTGTCTGTGTTCCCTGCGACAAGCTACGTACACCGAAGTAATCGAGAATCTGAAGAGATGCCACTCCATCCATGACCTATCTTTTTGCCCTTCATGCCAGGTGCCCAAATGCAAGTATTGTATCCAGTCGCAGATGACGAAGAAATTCTGTGCCAATTGTATGAGAGATTATTCCAATACAGACGCCATCCACTGCCTGAACTGTTCCACGTGTCCGTTATGTGCAAGCATGTTGACGGTTCTGTTGTCCGATCGAGAAGTCAATGGTGTTGTGGGTAAAGAATTCAATTTCGTGTGTACAGGCTGTGATTTCGTCTATGGAACTGATGTCATTACCAAACCCAAGTCAATATTCGATATTGTAAAGTCCGAGTACCATGAGTCCAATGAACTAAGCCTGCTCTTTCTGACGTCAATAGAGCTCTATAAGAACCGGGCTAAGTTGGAGATTTTAAATGCACAGTTGGTGAAAGACATTAAGAAGGGCCACAAGTATAAAGGTGCTTCTATTGATCTTATTAAGAAGTTGGAACAGATGGACTTGACAGTTCCTGAACAAAACGACTTCAGCCAGTTGGATAAGTTGCAATTATTGTTAAGTTCGATCAAACCTGAACCAATTGACGAATATGAGGATGTTGCACAGATAGATAACCAACGTATCATCAAGAATCAGCAAATGCACTCGAATGTATCACTTTTCAGCACATACATGAACAATAATATCGTCCGGCCACCAGCCAGTATGTTTCCTAATCCGATGTGTTTAACTTCACGTAACGCACAAAGGTGTTGCGATTGCAGCCATAATCTTTTGGTTCCTTCTGACGATTTACTATCCACCAAGTTTGAGGAAAAATGGAATGCCAATGACTACTTGCCTATATTGGGTGTATCTCCCATTATCAACAAAGAATTTCAGGAAAATCTTGTATCGGGAAAATCATATACGTTTTTAGTGAACATTATCAATCCACTTCCCTTCCTGGTCGATATCAACCTTTCAGTTCCCCATGAGTACCAGCTGGATCTGGCTTCAATTAACGCAACGATTCCTGTTTCTGATATCAAGATTGGTGGCCTCCACCCGAAAGACCACATAATAAGAGGCATTCCCACCCCTTATTTGACCAGAGAAACGAAGTTAAGTAGAGCAGAACTAGTGATGCGGTTAGGTAAGTTGAACTCCAACCGAAATGCTGATACTTCTCTAGATGTAACAGACTCGTTAGTGGATCGAAATGACAATTGGTGCCTGATCCCACTAGAAGTATCTATAGGTAGCAAACCTACTATGTTGGGAGCACTCAAAATACCAATATTCCTTACACTCCAATCAAGACTTCCGGAAATTATCAAAGAGAAAGGTTTGTCCAAGAAAACACTTAGTTGTGGTGTTTGGTACGTTGTCAATTTAGGGGAATTCCCTATTGTATCATCGTAGTTCGGCTGTGTACATGTATATTAAATAGGAACAGTATATGTCTGGGCTATTGAAGGTCAGAAGTCTAGTAACAACACTCCCGCGATCTTTGATAAGTGCCTGACATCCAAGGTATCATTGTCTCCATCAGCTGGTGGCTCATTAGAGGTATACTGAGTATTTGGATTGGATTGTATGTCATCTTCATTGAGGGTAATATCGGGAACCTCCTCTTCCACTTCTTCGCCTTCATTACCTCTGATAGTTTCCAAGTTGTCTATTCCATCCACATGGCTCAATCTATCACCATCTGATAACCTCTCATCGTTGGATCGGAGAATACCTTCTCTGATGAAGAGATTGATATACTGAGCAGACAATTGAAGAGTCTTTTGACTTAGTCTGGTATTTTCTTTATTGAAGGCGAGCTCATGGAAGAGTCTCGATATCGTCTTAAGATTTATTATATTTTGATCTTGGTGCTCCATGGTCGCTAAAGAAATTTATCAAGACGCGAATTATTCATTTCTAAATTTCGAGGTCCTCTGAGAAGGATTTTTTTTGCAGCCACCTACTACTATATTAACTAACTAGTGAGATCTTATTTCCAGGGGGTCGATTTTAAAGATTTTATCAGGGTTCATTATTCTGAGAGGATCTACATGAACCTTAATGTTTCTCATGAGGTCCACAGCATCCTCTCCCACCTCTTCCAATAGAAACTGTCTTTTTCCCAACCCAATCCCGTGTTCTCCAGTACATGTACCTTCGTACAGAATAGCCCGTCTGACCATGTTGTCAACAACCTCCTCAGCAACACTCCTTTGTTCTGGCTTATAAAGAATGAAACTATGAGCATTTCCATCACCGATATGCGCAACTAAGGTGTTTTGCAACCCATGAGAATCGATATCATTCTTGGTTTCTTCCAAAAACTGGGGAAGCCGTGACACGGGGACAGCCGCATCTGTTGTCCAAAGCTGAATTGAGGGATCTACCAACTTTCCTTGGTTGATGGTGGACCATAAGGCCACTTTTCGTGCAGACCACAATTCGGTGGTCTCATCGTCGCTGGTTGCAAACTGGAAGTCAGTACTATTTTGTTCACTGCTTAATTGTTTGACCTGATCAACAAGTGACAGTACCACATCTGAATTGGGGCCGCCAATTTTCAAGAAAAGGGTTGGTTTTTCTGTCCATTTTCTGGTAGTTTCTCCAGTTTTGTTGATGCACTCCATCATTTTATCATCCAACAATTCTATAGCATTCAATTGCATACCATGCAACAAGAAACTGTTAACTGCATTGGCTGCATCTTGTATGGAATTGAAAGGAACAACTGCCACTCTCTCAATTTTGGGCTTTACATATAACTTCAAAGTAGCCTCAGTTATGATTCCTAAAGTACCTTCACTGCCAATGAATAGACTGTTTAAGTTGTAGCCGGCACTAGTTTTCCTAGGTCGATGCTTCGTCTTAATGATAGTCCCATCCGCCAATACAACAGTGAGACTTAGAATATTCTTGTAACATTCCCCATACCGTGAAGCATTAGTGCCCGAAGCATTATTAGAGCAAATCCCAGAGATCGTGGCACCTGGGCCGGGATCAATAGGGAAAAGTAGGTTATAGTCATCTAAGTAGTCGTGTAGTGTTTCCCATCCAACTCCACCTTGAACCCTCATATCCAAATCATTTTTATTCAATTCAATCACATTATCCATAAGAGAAATATCAAGGCAAACTCCACATCGCGTGTTCACAAAGTGACCTTCCAAAGATGATTTCCCACTAATTGGAACAACAGGCACACGATATTTGTGGAATATTTTCATGACCTCAGACACCTCTTGCGTCAGTCTAGGGTACACAATGTACTGAGGTTTTTCATGTTTCTCAGGGTGGTACGAGCTGAAATAGGTATCGGCATGGGATGACCTTTCCTCCTCTGAGTTATTCACCACGAGAGATTCGTCCTCCAAATCAGGGGTGCTTGTCTTGAACACTTGTCTGACTTCCGATATGGCCTGATTTAATTCAGTCTGATTAGCGTATTTCGGTGGCTGAAGTTCCGAAAGCTTCAAGGTGGAATTGGTATTGAGAGTCTGCCGCTGTTCTTCCTTCTGGTAGAGGAATGCACCAAACACAGACCCAGTGGTGAATATTAATGTCTTTAGGAGTACACCTTGAGAGGTGGGTTTCGGAGAAACAGTAGAATTGAATCGTTTGCAATTCAGCTGTAAAGAACCCATTGAAACTCCTCTAAGTACCCTAGATGATCTCCTGTTCATTCCGAACATGATACTGAAGTTTAAACAAAGAATGAGCTAGTATTTAGTTTAATGGCAGTAAAGATATGTATTCCGCTTAGGAAACTTTTGCTCCAAGACTCGGAGAAAAAAATAGGTTGAGATATACTCACTTGACTCATGGAAATTAGACATTACATTATATACATATAAAATATCCGGGACGTAGTACATCAGTTCTAGTTTTCACCCTGGCCGCTACCACCAAACATGTTTCTCAATGCTGGGTTGTTCATGATCTCAGACAAATCTGGCATTTGTCCGTTTTCTCCTCCCAAACCAAAGCTTTGAGCCATATTTCTGATCATGGGATTGTTCATCAAGTTTGCCATGGCGTCGGGGTTCAGCATCATCAGTTGGGCCGCTTGCATGAGTTGAGGGTTGTTCATCATGTCAGAAATATTGGGCATTCCTCCGGCACCTCCCCCGAACATGCTGGCAAGGTCGGGTAAACCGCCGGCACCGGCTCCGGAACCAGCTCCGGTGCTAGCCTCAGGAGATGGGGTTTCTCTGTCGGTGCTAGCCACTTCAGAACTGGGCATTTCTCTTTCCAATTCTTCTTCAACTCTACGCTTGGCAGTTTCATAACCTCTTTTCATGGCATCCGAAGGCTTTTCACTTTCCACGTCCAAACCTTTCTTATAAGCATCCATAGCGGCTTTGGCGTCACCTAATGCGTACTTGGCCAATCCTAATCTAGAGTATGACTTGGAGAAGTTGGGGTCTAACTCAATGGCTTTTTCAGCATCAACAACAGCCTGTTGGTGATTCAAGTCCGACGAGTAAGCAGCAGCTCTGTTGGATAAATACACAACGTTGGTGGAGTCCAATTCAATGGCCGCAGTGTACTTTACAATTGCAGTCTTAAAGTCTTTGGCAGCCATTGCTCTGTTGCCTTCCAATTTCAAAGCATCAGCTTTAGCCTTGGTGGCTTCATCGACTTGGTGGGTGGTACCAGTAGTGGCGGCAGTGGCAGAGCCAAGCAAACCCGCTGAGATCAACTCGGATAAAGGTTTGCCTCCCAACTTTGCAGATTTGGTGTCCTTATCGACTTCGAAGGAGTCGGCAATACAGTCGATTGCAACTTCCATAGAGTCGGCATAGTCTTCCGACACAGTCTTATTAACGACTGAAGTCTTCAAAAACTCGATAATTGATAACGCAATGTCCTTGTTGTCGATAGCCATGATATCAAAATGTGATGTGAACTTTGTGGATGGTGTCTTGATCTAATTAAATTAAATTTGTTGATGGCGCGAAAATTCTGGTTCTGGAAACTTCGATGTTTATACAGGAATGGCTGCTAAGTCTTACAAGAAGAAAGTAACCGTTGGAGTTGATGCTGCCTTTGGCTAAGTTGCACAAGATGGTGATGGGTGAATTGCTGAATCCCAAATAGGAGAAATTTGGACTTAAATTTAAGAAATTTGGATGTTTCAGACGCAATTGTATCGTGGTCGAGTCTGATCTCTGAGTTCAAACTCATGATGTTTTTGACTTCCTCTGCTTTCAACAACAATAATCTTTTGTACCTGGACTTTTTATTTTCAAGTCCAAAGGTGAAGAATGCTGCTGGAGTTGAGGTTTCAGGTGAAGAAGAATGATGGGGAGATATTGTACTACCATTTTCCGGGACTTCTTCCGTTGAAAGATCATGACTGTGAAGGTGGGCTTTGTTCTCATATTTCCTTAACTCGGTGTTAATGGCTTGTATTTTCCCAAAGATTTCACGCCATGCATCAAGCTTGATTAAGACTTTCGAAACACTTATTAATAATTCTTCGATAGCCAATTCAATCCAATTAGTAAACTCGAACAACGTCGAATATGAGTTGGTATGTCTATGACCACCAATATATTGAAACTTCATGGTTTCAAGGATGGATGGTACAACTCCACTGCTTACTACCTTAACGAGGAACCTGTCTGAGATACATCTTGCATCAGTTAATTTAATATCATATACTGATAGGAGCTTATTTATTTTGGTGATGTGCTTTTTGTACAATTCCAAATCAGACCAGGTATAGTTTAAAAAGGTCTCAATTTCCGTTATTTGGATACTGGAAAGCATCACTTCCCCTAACAACTTCTTGATCCTCTCTTGGTCATTACTGATATCTTTAATAGTATCAAAAGCCAGTTTGTTGCTTTTCCGGTTATGTGTGAAGGTTCGATAGAAACTGTTTACCTGGTCGGGAGAATAGACAACCAAGGCGTTCAAGTATAAGTTTATAGTTTCTAACAATCGGTTAATCCTATATTTGGAAAACACCGGAACTGTTTGTTTGTCAGCATAGTAGTTCATCCAGATTTTGTCTCTATGTGGGAAGGCAACAAACGGGTTGGCTAGTTCAAATAACTGTACCATCTGTCGTAACTTGTCCAAAGTTTCGAAAACGGTTTGTTCGTCTTTCTGGGCTTCTTTGATTCGAAAAAAGATCACCCAATCCTTGGAATTCGGATCAAATCTGGCATTTGTTGCAATGAGCCGGGTATCATTGGTTTCTGGAGTATAGTTTTTAAAGGCATATGCGTATACCAACCGTTCGATTCTCTTGAACACCTTCGTTTGGGTTGTTGGCTTTCCTGCCAGAAAACTCAAGTAGTCGAATACGTTGTACAAGTTTTTGGGTTCTTCTTGATAAAAGAATATTCTTTTGTCACTTAGAAGCGTTTCCAAATTATCAGCCCTACTGTACTTCACGTACAATGTCAATGGTGTCATAGACTTGTTGTTGACCTGATTAACATTGATCAAATTCAAATCTTCGTTGAGGATTTGGGATTCTTGCAATCCTTTCAAAATAATATGGAGCAAAGTGTTACCGTTTTTATCCATATGCTTGTCAAAGTTGATTCCCTTCCCATGAAGCCCTTTGTATACGCATCTAAAAACTCGAATTACCAAGTTTTGATAATCAAGATGATCGTAACATCTGCATATGCTGAACAAAGGAGTGTGATGATTAAGATCTTTCATTTCCCAATCGATGAGCGGACCAATAGTTGCAATAATTTCAGAATAATGAAATAGATGGTGACCAGCAGATCTGCCGAGATTATCTACCAGGTTAAAGTAAGCAATTTGTTCTTCGGGTTCAGCAGATGAGAACAAGACTTGAGTTATCTTCTTTGATATTTCATGAGCTTCTTCTATCAAAGACACAACAAACATGCTTTGACCTGTGGAAGTGTTCTTATTGAAAAGTATGTCCTCCACCGAAAACCACGCTTCGTTGTAATCCACCAAGAGGTTGAAAATATAAGGGTTCTTGGTTTTAACTGCAAACATAAGACAGCTTTCCCCATTTATATTTCGACTTTTCAAAGAACTTTTAGCTGGAAGTTTCCCATCAGGGTACTGTTCTTGAACACTTGCAAGGATATCTTTCAACCTTTTGACATCCTGTTTCTGGATTGCAGCCCAAAATTCATAATTTTCTTGAGATGCTCTTGTGAGTTCTTTTCGATGTGAGTCGTTGTCACTGGATGATAAATGGTAGATAACAGCATCTAGGTTGCTTAGAATATAGTTGAAGTAACCGTCTGTAGACACATCTTCAGAATTGAAATTCTTAATATAATAAAGATGAGCTTCTAAGTTAACCACTTTAGAATGCACAACAACCATAATCAACATCCCCACAAGCGTATCTGCATCAACCACTAGGTCTTCATCATCATCCTTCTCATCATATGTAGTCTGGTTTTCTGATGTGTCTTTTTTTGTGAGAATGGTTACAGTCTTAGAGATGATCTCCCTTTTAGCAGCCAGACTTGTAATTGAAGGGTCCGATAACCGAGAGAATTCATCTATAGCCAAGGAAATTCGTCTTAGGACAGAGTTAATGAACCAAGGTTCTTCTATTGGAACTTCCAACTGGTTCAACGAAAGACACGATAATTGGTTGTATTTTTCATGAGTAAGGAATTTCAATGCTTCGGGGTCGTAATCATGCTTGTCATCGTTTGGGTAATTGAATTGAAATAGTAATTGGCTCCACATTTTATCATAGAGATTCAACTCCACATATTCGTAGACAAGTTTATTTAAATCAATTTCAGGATTAGATGCAAGTAGGTCCTTAATAAGCTGATAGGTTTTTTCAGATTCGGGGTTGTCATCTTTGATGCTCTCCAGAATTATAATATAAGCCTCTTCAACCATCCGATGAAACTCGTTTTTAATGAAAGACAACTTCTTTCTCGTATGGGTTCGAAATGAATCATAGTTGCGATTGTTATGATGGAAGAGTTTATAGTACTTTTCAGAAACAACTTTGGATAATAGAGGTATACTTCTTAGAAGCATCTCAAACGTGATAGAGTCACTCCTCTTCTTTTGCAAAATCTCCTCCGGGTTGTTTGATGTTAAGGTACCTTGTAGATGGGAAACAAATCTGGGGTCCATGTAGTCTGCCAAATGAACAAAATTGCTACCTATTAAAGAATCTTCAATGTAAATTAGCATGAACCTGCTACCCCTAGGAAAGTAGTCACAGAAGGAATTCAATTGGTCATAACCCAATATCCCTAAGCGTAGACTTCGTTTAAAACCTTTCCCTGTAAACACCATGCCGTTCTTTATAAGGATCTGTTTTCCACTCATAGTGTGATAGACAATCAGTTGATTCTTTGATGAGGTGGTATTGAAAACAGGAGCTCCACTCCGAATTATATGTGATCGTATGAAGTCTTCACTGTTGTAACACAAACTCTTTAAGAAGACTTTTGTGGAGCTCGTGGCTGTAGCAGGATCATAGCCTTCTTCAAGTACAAATGAAGGAGGTACTAAAATGGTATACTCATTATGGTTCACACTCAATTCTTGGATGGTTTGTTTGAAGGGTAATTTATCGTGATGGGGATTATTAAATATGCAGTTAAGTAGTACATTATATAACAACGGCAAGTTCTTGGGTTTTGACGGCGGCGTCATAACACAATGGTTCAAAAAGGTTCGTATAACTGTTTGGCGTTCTTATCGATCTGAGAAAGAACGCGAACTCATCTGAGAGGCTGGTAAGAAAACAAGCACTTACGTCATTGCCTGGAAAATCAGTTGAATTTGGAGTTTAAGAACAATGCACCCTTTCAGAACTATTTAATTGTATTCAGGTGGTTTCTTGTTACTTCTTAAGTAATCAACCTTGAAAAGTTGGGGATATCAAAGATTGCTGCAAATATGTGTTATGATATAAATAAATGTATCTAAATGTAATTAGCTTGTCTCTTGAGTCATGGCTCTCATGGCCACAGACCCAGTATAAATGGATTTTTCAGGTTTGATAGGATAATTGACATCATCAGCAACAAAATCCAAAGACCCAAAACCACCTCCTCCTGGAGTCATGATCACTACTCTGTCACCTTTTCCAATAGTAACACTACACCTACCTGCCAATGACACAGACTTATAGCCTTCATCGGTTTTCTTAAGCCAAGTGTTCTGACCTCTTAAACCGTCTTGCCCACCCTTTAATCCAAATGGTGCAAGTGCTCTTCTGTTCATCAAGCAAGTGACTTGAAGATTAGGATAAGTAAACTCAATATCTCTAATCACACCGTCACCACCTCTATGATACCCGTCACCGCCAGATCCAGCTCTGATACTGAACTCGTGGACAATAATGGGATACCGTCTTTCAAACACTTCGGTATCGGTGATTCTTGTATTAGTGGTGTGTACTTGGACACCGGATTGGCCATGCTTCCTTTCAGCTTTAGGGTCTGTAACAGCAATAGCTCCAGCACCTCCACAAATGGTTTCATAGTATCCGAATTTGATATTGTTTTCCTGGTCATTAATACCAAAAGTGAAGTTATTGCAAGTACCTTGAGAAGCCGCAGCAGCTTCAAATGCCTTCAAAACTACATCAATAATTCTTTGTGTGGTTTCCACATTTCCACCCACCACAGCTGCATCATAAGATGGATCTACCACAGAGCCTTTTCTGGTCTTTAGGGTGATGGGGATCAAACAGCCATTATTCAAAGGAATATCACTGCTTATTAAAGATCTCAACACATACAAAATTGCAGAATACACTATGGCTTTAGGAGCGTTCATATTCCCATACATTTCGTCTCCGGATTCAGTGAAGTCAAACACAGCACTTCCTGTTTCTGGATCGATTTGAATCGTAAGTGCAATAAGTGTACCATCATCCATGTAATCAATGGCTTTCATACTGTTTCCTTGGAATTTCTTGTGAGCAAGCTTCAAAAGATTTCTCACAGCAGTATCAGCCGTAGACTGGATTCCTCCCATATAGAGTTCGATGACGGGTCTGGTGAACTCGTTGACTAAGTTCTGTAATAAGGTGATACCCTTGTAATTGGCAGAAATTTGAGCTTTTAAATCACTAATATTGTCACTTAAAGCTCTACTTCCAGAACCACCAGGGAACTTTGCAGGCTCGTCATAAAAGAGTCTCTTCACACCGGCCTCGTCGAACTTCCCTTCAGTACACAACTTATGGCTAACAATAGCAGCACCCTCTTCGTATATGGTCTTGGAGTCACTTGGCATTGAACCGGCTGAAATACTTCCGATGTCAGCGTGATGGCCTCTTGAAGCCACCCAAAACATTGGGAAGTTGTTCTCATCCAAAACAGGCGTAATCACTGTGACATCAGGAAGATGACTCCCCCCAGCTATTGGATGGTTTGTAACTAAAACATCACCAGGCTTCAAATCAAAAACCTCTTTGCCATCAACAGATTTCTTATAAAGATTCAATTGGTATTTGACTGCAAAGCTCATACTGCCTAAGTGAATAGGAACATGCGGAGCATTAGCCACCAAATTGGCATCCTTATCAAAAACAGCACAACTAAAGTCCAATCTCTCTTTGATGTTTGTAGAAATGGAAGTCTGTTGTAAGGTCCTACCCATCTGCTCTGCAATAGACATAAACCTATGGCCAAATACAGATAACTGAATTGGGTCAATTAAGGTGCTGGAAATTTGGGGTTTATTGTTGTGTTCAACAGTAATTAAAACATGGCTCGACAACACATATGCGGTAGATTGAGGATCAATTAATAAAGTCTGGGTTTCATCGAGGATAACTGCTGGACCTCGTACCTTTGATCCGATTTTCAAGCTCTTAAGTTGAATGATCTGGGTTTCATTCCAACCATTCTCTTCAAAATACACCGGATTGGTGAGTGAAGACTGCTCAACCTCAATTGTAGTCAATTTACGGAACTCTTCGTATGGATTGTGTACCTTTTTGTCTTTGCTTTCAACCACAAACAACACCTGAATGTCATCAACAAGAACTTTTCGGTCCAAAATGAACCCAAACTCCTTTTGGTGTCTTGCAACGAATCTCTTGTCAGCATCGTAAGCTTCCTCCTTGCTGATCAACAAGTGAGTATCTGAACCGACAAATCTCATATTTAACAAGATTTCCACCCTGGTATCAAAAGCTGTCAATCCTTGGTCTTCATAATCCTTTTGGGCCGCATTCACCAATCCTTTAACCTTCTTGTCTATGAATTCAAAATGGTCTTTGTTGTAGGCAACCGAAATTGGTGATTGCTTTTCAATAACAATATCGGCCAAGAATATTCCATAAGCAGACAAAATAGAAGAATACTTGTGGATCGCAACGTCAGAAATTCCTAAGTTCTTAGCCAATGATACAGCAAACTGGCCACCAGATCCACCGAAGCACGCCAAGTTGTGCTCAGCAGTACCGTAACCTTTAGACTCGGTAATGGTACGAATTGGTCTAGCCATGGATTCCACAGCCACATTCAAGAATCCTAATGCAACTTCTTCAGGAGTAAACGCCTTCTGAACATCACCAGAGGCATTGATTTCGTCCGTCAACTCCTTGAACTTTTTGGTGGTGATCTCGTAGTCCAATGGTTCATTTTGGTTAGGGCCAAAGATATGAGGGAAGAATTCTGGAATCAACCTCCCCAAGAATAGGTTAGCATCTGTGACTGTTAAAGGACCTCCCTTTCGGTAACAAGCAGGGCCAGGATCAGAGCCAGCAGACTCTGGTCCAACCACAAAAATCCCGTTATTCCAGAAGAGCATTGACCCTCCACCGGCAGCAACCGTAGAAATGTCTAGCTGAGGTGTTTGCAAGCTGATTTCACTAACAACTGTTTCATAGATGTGTTCCAATGAACCAGAGTATCTTGCAACATCGGTACTGGTTCCACCAGCATCAAAACCAATGGTGGCTCTCTTAGTATCATGGTCATAACAAGTTTCTCCAAATCCCACCATTCCACCAGCAGGACCAGATAAAATGGCCTTTAAACCAGTGAACTTATACCAGGGACATAATCCACCGTTACTTTGCATGAATAGCAATTTGTTTCCAAAGGCTTCAAGTCCACCTTCGAAACCATTGGCAAATCCCTCAAGGTAATCTTTTATCACAGGGGACAAATAAGCATCGGCAACAGTAGAAGAGGCTCGGTTTACAATTCCAATCATGGGTTGGAGTTCATGACTGACAGAAACTTGGAATCCAATCTTCTTACAAATCTGGGCAATCTTGGCTTCATGTTCGGGATAAGCATAGGAATTTACAAGGCACAAAGCAATCGTTTTACAATCACCTTCATCATACAATTCTTTCAAATCATGTTCGATTTTCAAGTAATCGGGTTTCTTTAAGATTTTGATTTTATCACCGGTTGCACCTTCAACCACCATGGGATCAGAATCATCTAATTTCAAATGATCACCTCCACCTTCCGAAAACCCTGCAATGGTAACTCTTTCGTCAACCTCTATAACCATCTTTTGGAGATGGCCCAACTTCTTGGCGGACAAATCGAAAATATTTGGCCTGGTCTGGTTTCCAATTGTCAAAACATCTTTAAACCCTTTGGTGGTGACAAGACATACATTGGCACCTTTTCTTTCCAATAAGGCATTCGTAGCCACTGTGGTTCCCATGCGAATACTTTCAATGGAATGCAAATTAAGCTTTTGAGAACGTGGGATGCTTTTGTTGTGGAGCTTCTCTAGGATCACTCTTATGCCTTCAGTTGGAGCATCTGGATAGTTTTTGGGATCAACCGATAATAATTTGAACACATAATCAGGCTGACCGGGGATTCTCGCTATGAAATCCGTAAAGGTACCACCCCTATCAATGGCAATTTGTAAACCCAGCATTTCAGAATGGAGTGTTTTATTGAGCTCAGGATTATGGAACCTATATATTTGCTAGCGTGCGTTCAAAGGCCGATGGTTACAGAAATGCGATCGGCACTTTTCTTGAGAACTACCGATGTGCTCTTTTTGCTTAAGCGTGTGTTTATCGGCACCCGAGCCATACTGAATGCTGCCATATTTGTTAACTATTACGGAATGCGGTACTGTACCACCAGAGGAAGGCGGATTTACCGAAAAGTTTTTGCGACACTGATTTCACAATTATCGCATATTATTAAACCATCACTACATTCGAACACCAGAATAAGTTTTAGATCACAAATACACATATTAAAGGAGCACCAATACTATATAAAGAAGTTACCAAACGTAACGGAACCATTTTTCCTTTTCTTTGTCAGTCAAGTCTAACGCATCCAAATCGAGATCGACATTATCCTCAGCAGGACCGTACTTTTCATCTCTTTTTTTGTTTTCCATGTAGCATCCAAAGCCATAGGTAGCAATGCTCACCAAAGAGCCACTAGTAAAACCCAAAATGGCGTGGTAACCTGTTTTATAACCCGGAGCTTCGCTACTAATGAAAAATTGAGGTGCAATAATATTGGCCACACAGTACGAAGTGAAGTTCACAGCGTTCACCACAGACTTTTTGGTGTGGCCAGCAGTGTTGGCAAAGCAGATGGCAGTCATACACACATAAGGACCCCAGTAGAAGTAGAAGAAGTAGTAAGCTATTAACAAGCTGATCTTACCGTCCAACTTCATCATCAACACACAACATATCAATGGAACCAAACAAATGGTGAAAGCACTAACGGTTCTGAACTTTTTGGGGTAGAAAAAAGTTGGCAAGGCAATCATCCACGAACTGGCAGTCATAAAAACTCCGGTTGGCATTCCCAATAAGGTGGTTCTCAAAGGAGAATATCCAAGACCTGAAACAATTTGACCAGCAAAAGTAACCAAAGCACCATTGGAGATATTGTTACAAAGGGCAAACACTGCAAGAACCCAAGTTTTCCAGTCTTTGAGGGCCTCCATAATTTGATATCTCTTGAAGTTTGTGTTTTTGGTACCAGTTCTGTTTTCCTTGGTTCTATGAATAGCAATATATTTTTCTCTATCATTCATCCACCAGCAAGACATTGGAGAATCCGGCAACACAACATACAAAGCAGCCGTGAAGAACAAGGTAATAGACGCAAAGGTGATGAACAACAATCTCCAGTTTGCAAGCTTGGTATTAGCATGTCCCACTGCATAAGATAAAATTCCGGTGATGATTGACGAGAACCCTGAAAACCAAATGGCAGTTCTAAAGGGTTGCTCAGACTTCTTGTAGAACATTGCAGTAATAACTGAACAAGAAGGGAACAAGAAAGTCTCTCCCATACCCAATAAGAATCTCATGGCAGCCAATTGAGAAAAGTTTTGAGCAGCTCCCATACACATCAATATAATATTCCAGATCACAAAAGAAGTGAATAAAGTTTTCCTAACAGGCAACTTTTGAATTAACAAGTTAGCAGGAAGCTCCATAATCAAGTATCCAAAGTAAAAAATTGAACCGACCCAAGAATATTTGTTTCCTACCAACTTAAGGTCGGCAGTCATACCATAGACGGCAGCATTTGAAATGACGATTTTATCGGCAGCAGCCAAGGTGATAATAATGGTCATCATTGGAATCAACATCAAGTCGATTTTCCAAAGAAGCTTCCTAGCTTCTTCAGGAGTATAATCAGCATACTGAGGGTGGTCGATCAAGTACTTGGCACCAGCATCGAGATCACCATCGTTTACCTCTCCAAGAGAATCTACCTTGATATCAGCGAAAACTTTTTCACCCGAAGCGGTATCAGCAGATTCAGACATTAGTACACTGTTTAAACAAAATCACACCATATGGCAGACAAATTCTATTCTTTAAATGGTCAAATGAATCAAAGAACAATGTAAAAGTCTTTTGGAAACTGTATGCGCTTTTAGTTGAATTTCCGACGCCGATAAGATTCTGAGAAAAGTGGTTACCGTATGCGACCGCCTATTCCGTGCTTCCGCTGCGACAGTCGAAAACTATTTAAAAGATAATGCTTGCATTTACCAGATAAGGCACAAGAATGGTAGACTCGGTATTGATTGTAGGATGTGGAGTCATGGGTTTATCCACCGCCTTACACTTGGCTAAAAAAGGATACCAAGTGAAGGCTATCGATGCTTACCCAGTTCCCTCTCCTTGGTCTGCTGCTTGCGACTACAATAAGATCATTAGAACTGAATATGCAGAATTGGTGTACACAAAAATGTCCCTCGAAGCTTGGGAGTTGTGGAGAAATGATCCCTTGTACAAAGATGTCTACAAAGAATGTGGTAGAGTGTTGGTTACCCCTCCTCTGCACCAAGGAAGAAAAAAATTCGAAGCAGTTGGAATTGCAAATCTCCAGTCTCTAGGCGGTGGTCAAAGAATTGAATACAAGAAAGGGGGAAAGGCTTTGGCCAAGCAGTTTAAGTTTCTCAAGTACAACACCATGTCGGAGCAGAGTGAGTATAAGTGGAATCCTGAAACCGGTATTGGTATTGCCGGTAAGTCCTTGAAAGCAGTGTATTTGGCAGCCAAAGAACTTGGCGTAGAGTTTGTTTTTGGAGAAGCTGGTAGAGCTGTTGAAATCAAGACTGAAGGAGGAATTGATACAGTGTTTACTGCAGATGGCTCTAGATACAGTGCTGACCAAATTGTCATTGCCTCAGGTGCTTCAGCTGGTAGTCTATTGGACCTCAAACAACAACAATCAGCCACTGGACTTTTTGTCACGCATATTCAGTTGACTGAAAAAGAATACCAAAAGTATAAGGATATTCCAGTTGTATTTGATTCAGATTTGGGATATTTCTTCCCACCCGATGAAGATACTAGAATCCTCAAAATCGCCTTGCCAGGCTCAGGTGCCCAAAATTATGTGCGGTCAAACTTCAGAGACGAAACCAGATCTCTACCAAGGTATAAGAACCAGCACCCTGAAGACACTATGCCTACCGAATGCATGGTCATCGCCAAACAGCTTTTGGCTACCTATATTCCAGAATTGGCCTACTTATCAACCATAAGGCCTGTTGGATTGCCGATACCTCTGATTCGCACTTTATTATAGACAAAGTGCCCTACTTAACAAAGGTATACGCTGCAACTGGTGATAGTGGACATGCCTACAAGCTTTTACCCAACATCGGAAAGTATATTGTAGACAAGTTGGAAGGCAAGTTAGAGGTTGAAATGGACTCGTTATGGCGGTGGAGGGAAGATCTTGAAGGATTTGACCCAACTAAGCTCACCTGGAGAATTGCCGCACAAAGCACCGAATTCTCAAAAATTGACTGGGTTTCGGATCATGACCGAGTTCCCTCTAGCGATTCACACTTATAGATAACTTGATTTGACATAGATATTGAAGCTCGTAGAAAAGGTCGATATCCGTGGGCATAGGCTCAGGCGCCCATGGGCGGTATCGATGATTCCGCGCCAGTGAGATGGCGAGTGCATATAGATGGCGAAAAATCTGGTAACCCCATGCGCTGGACCTGATCAGGAAATTGGGCAGATTGGCAAGATGCAGGAACTGGGCGCATACGGTTTCCGCTCGAAATCTGGTGGAATTTAGTTTTGATATAAAGGAATGGGAGAGTTCGACATTTTTGAATTGTTAAACAATGACAGTGGAAAACAGAATAAGCATTTCCATCGATAGAGGTGGAACCTTCACTGATGTTCTTGCTATCATCCCTGGAAAAGAAGACTATGTGTTCAAGTTATTATCTGTGGATCCAAGCAACTACAAGGACGCGAACATTGAAGGAATAAGAAGAGTACTTGAACATGCTCATGGTGTGAAAATCCCTAGGAATGTTCCCCTTGACACTTCTACGATTGAGAGTATCAAGCTCGGTACCACTGTTGCAACAAATGCTTTGTTGGAAAGAAAAGGTGTACCAACGGCCTTAATAACTACTGAAGGATTTAAAGATATTCTCCATATTGGAAACCAGTCTCGTCCAGACTTGTTCGCCCTCAACATCGTCAAACCTGAGGCTTTGTACAAGAAGGTTGTTGAAGTCGAAGAGAGAGTCACTTTACCCGCTTTCACCGAAGATGCTAAAGGATATGATGCGAAAGACTTGCTCAATGGCCAAACCTATGTGTTGGGTGAAACTAAAGAAGTCGTCAAGATTATCAAACCTCTCAACGTGGACAAGACTAGGGCTCAATTGCTTGAGTTGAAGCAGCAAGGAATCGTATCTGTTGCCGTAGTGTTGATCCATGGCTACAACTATCAAGAACACGAGAAACAAATTGGTGCATTAGCAAATGAACTCGGGTTTGTTAATGTCACCTTGTCCCACAAGGTGTTGCCCATGATTAAGGCCGTTAACAGAGGCCAATCTGCATGTGTCGATGCTTATCTTACGCCTATTGTCCAAGAATACATCAAGGGTTTGATTAGTGGGTTTGAGGAAGGATTCGAAAAACATACCAGGGTCGAGTTCATGATGTCAGATGGTGGTTTGTGTGACTACAAAAAGTTCACGGGGTTGAAGTCTTTATTATCGGGACCAGCTGGTGGAGTTGTTGGACAAGCTAGGACCTGCTTTGATATTGATGATGGAACTCCAACTATTGGATTTGATATGGGTGGTACTTCTACTGATGTCAGTAGATACGCTGGGTTGGCTTTCGAACATGTCTTTGAAACCACCACTGCTGGGATTAAGTTGGCGGCTCCTCAGCTTGACATCAATACTGTTGCTGCAGGGGGAAGTTCCATTTTATCCTACAGAAACGGTCTTTACCAAGTTGGTCCTGAAAGTGCAAGTGCTCATCCAGGTCCAGTGTGTTACCGTAAAAATGGGCCTAACTTAACCATTACTGATGCTAATTTGATGTGTGGAAGAATCTTACCTGAGTTCTTTCCTAAGATCTTTGGTGAAACTGAAGACCAACCGTTGGACAAAGAGGCTGTCATTAAGAGATTCACCGAAATGGCTGAAGTTATCAACGCTGATAATCCAAACATGACTCCCAAGACCCCGTATGAAATTGCTCTTGGGTTTTTGGACGTGGCCAATGTGGCTATGGCCAAACCAATTAGGCAATTGACTGAAAACAAGGGTTTTGATGTCACTAAACATAACTTGGCTTCTTTCGGTGGTGCTGGTGGGCAACATGCCACTTCTATTGCTAGAGCATTAAAAATGAAGAGAATTGTCATTCATAAGTATTCTTCGATCTTGTCTGCCTATGGTATTGCCTTATCTGACGTTGTTCACGAAGCTCAAGAACCATCTTTGACCGTTTATAATTCGTCATCTAAAGACTACTTATTGGACAGATGTACTGCGTTAAAAGAGAAGGTTGCTTTGGAGTTGGCTGAACAAGGAATTTCGGATGTTGATTACCAAGTATTTTTCAACATGGGTTACAAAGGTTCTGATTCCAAATTGATGATCTTGCAATCCGACAAAGACTTCTTGACTTCCTTTTACGACACTCATCAGAGAGAGTTTTCTTTTAATAACTTCAAGAAAGAAGTCATCGTTAATGACATCAGAGTCAGAGGAAGTGGTTCTGTCAACAGAATTCAAGAAAGGTCCCCTTTCAAGGATTTGGCGGAAATAACCCAGGTTCCGGTCGCAGACGGATTGGAAAAGATCTTATCTCCTGTCTACTTCAATGGGGGGTTCCAAGAGTCTAAAGTGTATTTATTAGGAGACTTGCCAGTTGGATCGCAGATTAAGGGACCAGCCTTAGTATTGGACTCCACCCAGACTTTACTTGTGGATCCGAACTCCGTGTTGACTGTTTTGCCCAGACATGTCGTGGTGGACTTGGACTACAACTCCATTGATACCAATAAGAACTTATCCATCGATGCTGTCGATCCAGTACAATTGTCTGTGTTTTCACATAGATTCATGTCCATTGCTGAGTCTATGTGTACGACGTTACAAAAGATTTCCGTCAGTGCCAACATCAAAGAAAGACTCGATTTCAGTTGTGCCTTATTTGATGAATGCGGAAACTTGGTTGCAAATGCACCATCAGTTCCAGTTCACTTATGTGCCATGTCTTTCGCAGTTAAGTATCAGATTAATTATTGGGGATCTGACTTGAAACCTGGTGATATCTTAGCAACCAACCATCCGAAGGCTATGGGAACCCATTTACCAGATATCACGATTATCTCCCCAGTTTTCATTGAAGGGAAAATCCGGTTTTTCGTGGGGTCTAGAGCCCATCATGCAGAGATTGGTGGAACAGTCGCCGGTTCAATGGACTCATCTGCCACTAGCCTTGATCTGGAAGGTGCAAAGTTTGTGGCTTGGAAGGTTGTTCAAAACGGAGTGTTTGATGATGCCGGAGTACAGAAATACTTTGTTGATGACTTAAAGAAAATTCCAGGATCTTCTCCCTCCAGGAAACTTAGTGACAACATTTCTGACTTGAAAGCTGCTATTGCTGCCAACCAAAAAGGTATCAACTTATTGAGTGATGTTTTCAACGAGTACGACACTGAGTATGTTTTATTCTATATGAGAAGTATCAAGGATACTACCGAAGCAGCTGTCCGATCATTCTTGAAAAAGTTAGCCAAACAGAAAGGAAGTAAGCCTTTGACTGCCGTCGACTATATGGATGACGGAGCCCGTATACAATTGAAAATCACCATTGATGAAGCTAAAGGAAGTGCTGTGTTTGATTTCACCGGTACAGCAGAAGAAACTTTCAACTGTTTCAACGCCCCATCTTCTGTGACCTCTTCATGTATCGCCTACTGTATGAGATGTCATATCACAGAAGGAGACTTGCCTTTGAATGAAGGAATGCTTTCTCCAATTGAGGTGATTATTCCACCTGGTACCGTATTGAATCCTAGTGTAACAGCTGCTGTTTCTGGAGGTAATGGAATCACCTCTCAGAAGATTGCCGATGTTATCATGAAGGCCTTGGGAACGGTTGCAGCCTCGTATGGGTGTATGAACTGTATTACTTTTGGTCAGGGTGGATACGATAAAGAAACTGGTGAAATGATTCCTGGTTTCGGGTTCGTCGAAACTATAGGTGGAGGTTCGGGTGCAGGAAATGGTTTCCACGGATTCAGTGGTACCCAGTGTAATATGACTAACACCCTTATGACTGACCCTGAGGTGTTGGAACAGAGGTATCCTGTTGTCTTGAAACAGTTCCGTGTACGTGAAGGAAGTGCTGGTATCGGAAAGTGGAATGGAGGTGAAGGATTGATTAGAGAGCTCCAATTCACATCTGCTTGCCACGCTTCGATCTTAACTCAAAGAAGAGTTTTTAGACCATACGGAATGGCTGGTGGAGGTGAAGGAGGAAGAGGAGAAAACAGACTTGGAAAGATTAGGGCTGACGGAAAGACGATCGACTGGAAGCACGTAGGCCCAACAGCTGAGATCGAAATCGATATAGGTGATATCATCAAGATCTCAACTCCTGGAGGTGGAGGCTATGGAGTTGCAAATGAAGAAAGTGAACCGTCTACCTCGGTTGTGAAACCGTCAACAGTTGTCACTGCTGGTGGCAGTTTCTACCAGTATAGAGAAGCTATGAACAGTTCGCAATAGGCATGTTCACTATAGGTTTTTAGTATATTTTACCATATGTTTGGAAGCAGATGACTCTTAATCTCTCAGCCTGGTGATAAGACTTGGCTGAAAATATATTTGCAGACCTCCGGTGCGAAATTTTTAAATTCAACTGATAACACCGGATCTCAATCATGACAAAGAGCAAAAATCAACGAAGTCGTGGGGGGTGTATATCATGTAAACACAGGAAGAAGAAGTGTAATGAGGTCAAGCCTACTTGCGGAACTTGTGAGCGTATGGGCATCACCTGTCAATATGTCAAAAAGTTGTACTGGAACGACACCAACCAGAGTTCAAATCGTCACTATACCATACGAACAGTACCTCCCAAATTTTTCTTGACCACTACAGTTGAGGACATGAAGTTGAATACAAGACTTCAGAACCCCAATAACAACTCGACGATGCCGTACAGGTTGAAGGTTGATTCTGTTCCCAAACAAGAACATCCTCAAGAGGCACCAAATTTAAACCCAAATATTGAAAGTGATTTATTTGATCATTATGTGGAGGTTGTGAGCAAAAAGAAGGTGTTTGGAAACCTCCAGTTGAATGGGTTTCGATCTATTATCATCCCGCACTGTATAACGTCTCCTTCGCTTTTCCAATCTATAATAGCCATATCAGCTAGTGACTTGATCCGCAGATACCCAACCCATACATATTTCCTGAAATTGACCACCAAGTATAAGAACGAAGCTATCAACTTGATGTATAATCTCCTAGATGATTTTGGGAAGGAAAGAATCGACGAGATTGTCACTAGTATTCTAATCTTATGTTCTTTAGAGATTGGCGAAGATTTAAACAGTAACTGGGTGAACTACCTCAAACAAAGTTGTCTTATTTTCCTGACGTTGAATGATGAAGACATACTCCAGTCTGAAGTGCTTCTATTCTGCTACAGGTATTTCATCCTACGGTATATCCTCCTACTTTCAAGCTTGAACCGTTTGGAATACTTCTATTTTACCAACAACTTCCCCATGAAATTTATCGACACATTTTTTAAAGATGACTCAGTTGACTATATGCTTGGGTGTTCACCTAAACTCATCCAAATAATTGGTGATATCACTCGTTTAAAAAATAATGACGACTCCATCGACCCTTCCCAGGTTGGGGAGATCTATGACGCCTTGTTTGCACTACGTGAAGAACATGAAGACCTAAAACTAAACTTTTGCTCCCAGCTCTACCTTCATACTGTCAAAATCCACTTGGCCAGCACATTTGAGCTGCAGCTCAACTCTTTACATTTGACTATTGATACAGAGTTTCATGTCCAAGAAGTTCTTAAAATATTTCAAAATATTACCAATTACGAAAGCCCAACGTTGTTTCCCACCTGGTGTATTTTAATACTAAGTGTATGTAACTACAATGTTTTCATACGGCACCAAGTCCTTGACACTTGTGTAAGGGTAGAGAAGAACTGGCCGCGATCATCGGCTACCTTGCTAAAAGGTTCAATTCAGGTCATCTGGAAAATCAGAGATTTGACTCCAGGGATGGACTGGCGGGATATATTTTCCTCTTTAAATATCAAGCTCTGCCTCACGTGACAAGTTTAGATATAAATATATGAATTTACGATTAACAGCAAAAGTACTTTGATACTTCTGTTGGACAACTTCCATTTATTCCAATCTACGACAAATTGTTTTCAGCTGCATACAAATTATAATATATATCGAACTATACCTTAGAGAGTCTCTTCCTTCTGAGAGTATGTTCCTTCCAGCCCAATAATCCCCCTACAGCGGCGTACACCACGGCAAAGAATGCTGAAATATAGTGACCAGTTCTCACGTTAGGCTGTTCCTGAGTCTTGAACCAAATAGGATTAATAATAGAATCAGCCGTGAACAGGTAAATGTTAATACCACCAGTAGTTATGGCACGAAGTCTAATGTCATCCTTGAAGTATTCTTGAACATGGGCCCAATAAATTCCTGCCGTACCCAAAGCCCAGCAGGTGTTAAGATATAAGAAGAATCTGAATCCTTTGTTATCAGGGTAAACTGGTGTAGAAGCAAGAAGAATCATCACCACGAACGAAATCACCCCAGCCAAAACAATAGGAGGCCATCTTCTACCTTTAAGCGCAGTGTCAGACCACCAGCCCGTTCCGACTGCAACCAAATATTGAACAGCATAAAGAATTGAGTTGAAATTATTGACTTGTGGAATGGAATAAGTCCCGGGCTTTTTGACATTATACGCTTTCAACCAGAAAATGAATGAGGGCATAGACAAAGAGACAATGTCCTGAGACATTCCATAAGACCAGAATGCCCAAACCTCCCAAGTGGTGAACACCTTTTTGACATCTTCCCACCCAAAGTGGAAGGTTTGGTACTTAGTTTCTGGTTTTCTCTCTTTCAAGTACTGGAGGTCTTCCTCACTGAACACGAAGCTTGGTTTGTTTCTCGCCAAAATGTCTGGGAAGAAAACAATTTGTGGTATCAAGACTCCTACACTGATGATTCCGTCAATAATAAACACCCAACGCCATCCACTGCGTCCCAAAACACCATTTAAATGGGTGTAGGCACCACTTTGAATATAACTGGCAAACATACTTCCAAGAGCTGTTGCACTCTGTAATATCACATTTCTCCTGGCAAATTCTGCAGGAGTATAATAAGTTCCCAACAAGAAAGACAAAGCAGGGTAATGTGCACATTCAAAAATACCCAATAAACACCTCAACACGATCATTTGAAGCGGTGTTTGGATGCTAGAGAAACTAAAGGTGATGATAATCCATGCCACTTCCACAAAGATAATCAACCATCTGGTGCTGAACCTTGCCATTAAGTACCCAAATGGATAACCACAAAGAATACATGCAATATTGTAAGCAGTATTTGCGTAGTTCAACTCATTACCAAATATCTTGAGATCCTCTTGCATTCCACTGACATAAGCGGCGGTCAAGTTCGACTTATCTATGTACTTGATAAACGTAGAAACAGTAGCGAAAGCCAATAATGTCAAATCCACTTTTCTGATCACCTTTACATGGGCTTTGTTGGGATGTCCCCAAGTGTCCCAGATCAAAAACTTCCAGCTTTTTCTGTATGCCTCCTCCTCTTCCGAGACTTTGATCGAGACTGAGTATTCGTCTTCTTTCACCTCAAACTGCTCTTTGAGATCAAGGCTATTAGTATTCTCGGGCTCATTTTCTTGAACTGAAGAGTGTACCAGAATGGCATCTAAAGTTTTTTCAGCTGCCATGGTTTGGCTGTCAAAGTACGTACATGTAAGCCTCTTTTTATACCGGTTGGCGCCCCCTGCCTGCCAATTTTTTTAAAACTTTTTCGCAGCCACGGTTATGCGATCCGATAGCAAAAATACCAGAAATGATGGGAACTGTACTACCAAGGTTTGGGGCACTTGGTGAACCATTCCGATCATTGATATGAAAAATATTCCATCTTAGTTGCATAGGATCTGCGGTCTTAGGTTTTGGTCTTCATCTTGGTCTTGGCTCGGATAAGCCTTTAGTCCTTAGCTCAATACTTAGTTATAAGTGCTTGGTTCTTCTTGGTTATTAGTCTACTCTCTTCTTAATTACAGCATTCACGGCCTTGATCGGGTTCAAAAGTCCGACAAAAACTGTGTAAGATACTTTTCCGTAAGTAATTACGAATTGATATGTCAGACATTCGCAGAATAAATCGGATTATGATACCACCATTAGCCAGTCAAAACGGGCCTATCTCGGAAGTGGGCTTGTACAACGGTCCTCCTTGTCCCCTAATGGGTAACATATCTCCACCGTGGCTTTTGATAGGACTAAAAATCGTTTGAAGTGGGGAATATTTTTAGAAAGTCTCTACCACAGTTTATTGTTCAAACTCTCCACAGTTTCTCATGAGAGCTGAAACATTTTAATTAAGCACTTCGTCGTATCTTGAACTAACTCAAGCAATAATGACCGTTGATCAGCCTGAATACCAAGGAACTTACCTGGGCAACCGAATAACTCTTTCCAAAATAGAGTTACCTAATAAGCATATTGTAAACGGAAATGAGTTTCCTTATGCACTTGCCTTTAATCACTCTGGAGAGCTCTTGGATGATAAGGTTGAATTCTTGAAAGAATTGGGTTCTAATGGTACAGTCGAAAAGTTGTTAGCCAAACATGGAGCTGTATTGTTCAGGGGGGCAGGAAGTGGATCTCCAGAAACGTTTTCAAAGTTGGTTCTGAGTGTGGAAACTGCCAGAGGCCTCAAACCATACGAGCAAATTGGTTTGGCTGGAAAGCGGAACTTGAGAGCAGAAAATGTTTTCACCGCAAACGAAGGTCCCAAGACTAAGAGGTTCTACCAACATAACGAGTATTCGAGATTCACTATTTTTCCCAGTAACATTCATTTCTTCTGTCAAGATGCTCCAAAAGTGGGTGGTGATACTCCAATTGCTCACTCCATTGAATTTTTCCAGAGGTTACAAGAACTTTACCCTGAAATTATTGAAAAACTCTCCCAAAAGAAGCTCAAGAGCTCCCAATTCTATCCTAGCAGAGAGGGTAAAATTTCGTTTAAAGGTAACGAATTTTATTGGCAAGACAAAGATGGGTTTGGACATTTGATCAAAGAAGGGGACTCTGAAGAAGAGAAGAGGCGTAAGGCCGAAATTATGGTTAGAAAGTTGACGTCCGACTTTGAATGGGCTGAAGATGGAGGATTATTGGTTCACCAGTATGTTCCTTTTATCAGAATCCATCCTGAATCGCAACTTCCAACTTTCTTCAACACCCTCGTCGGAAGATATGGTGCTAAAAAAGATGCTGGTGCAACCGAATTTCCTCACGTTGGTACTGACGGAGGTTATTATGCACCTCTTGTATACGAAGACGGTGAAGAAATCGATAAAGACTTGTTGGAAAAGGTTTTGCAAGTGTCGATTGACCTTGAATACAACCACGAATGGCAAGAAGGAGACCTTCTTCTTGTTGATAACATCCAAGTGAGCCATGGAAGACAACCCTGGTCGGAAGGAGAAAGAGTTATCTTGGTCAGCATGTGGGACAACGATGTGATTCCAGAGGTTTATAAGGCTTAGTAAAGGTAATATATATAGATTTAAATGCGAATGGTTTTAGAATTTGCAACTTAGCTCGAATGCGATTTCAAACCTTGTTATCATTTTAATTGGAATAGAATGAAATCATGTCTAAACTATTTGTATGTGAATACCCAGATTGTTCAAAGCTGTTTTCAAGAAAAGACCACTTAAAGAGACATAATTTGAATCACAATAATTCATTCCCACATGAATGTTCCATCTGCCTCATGAAGTTCAAGAGAGCAGATGTCAAACATGAACATTACGCAAAGCACTTTCAACCAAATGGATTCAAACGCAAAAGTCGTACCAAAGTGAATACCGTAACCACTCCAAGTCCTCCTATTTCAGAATCTCTGGCCTTGAACTGGCTTTTTGAAGAAAGTTCCTTTGAAAATAATCAAATCCAGTTAATTAATTCTACCATTTTCGATAACCAAGCCAACTCCATGTTGATGGAATTATTGGGCTCTAATTTGGATCAATTCCCTTCTGTCTTAATCAACTTTTCAGCAGTTTCTCCAGAGTTATTAGCGTTATATGTTGATGCTATCCCTCAATTAGTCCAACATCCCGATTTCATTTCCCTGTCGTTGGAGTACTGCTTGACAGTATACTGGGAGATTTTCCATGTACAATTCCCCATACTTCATAAGCCCCTGTTCAACACTTTGGCAGTGTCCCCTCTATTAACTTTGTCGATGATAATGATGGGTGCAGTTCTCTCGTATTCTTCACAGACTGCTTCTCCGTTAATAGATGCAAGTGGGCTTCTGCTATTAATCGGATCTGAATTACGCTGGCTTATCTTCAGACACAGAAGACCTAATAAGTCTGACCCATGGGAATTACAAAGTTTGTTGATTTTGGAAGTCTACGAGAAACACTATGCTAATAGAGATTTGCACGAACGGTCTTCTATTCATCAGGCTGCTAAGATTGAAATGATGAAAAGATCGACATTGCTAGGTGGTGACCCTTATTCCAGCGAGAGCATGTCTTCTGCTGAGTTAAAACAAGCACAAAATGAAGTCTTGTTGGCGAAATGGGTGGCAGCAGAATCCATGAAACGATGTTTGCTTATGTCTTTTGTGTTTGACTTGACGAGCTCAATCATCTCCTCCCATTGCTCTCTGCTTTTCGTGGATAAACTAAAGCTTTCGCTCCCCTGTGACGATATAATCTGGGAAGCTGACTTAAGCACATTGAAGAATATTGCTTTACCGCAGAAGCCTCCTTCTATAAGATCCTGTTTCAATAAATTATTGCAGGGTGAAAAAATTGAGGCTAGCTCCTTCGGAAATAAGGTGTTATTCCATGCTATTACCTCGCTAATAATTCAATTAGAACAGAGAGACGACACATTGTCTTTGATAAATGGTTTGAAACCAGATATCTTAAATGACAACTGGAGGCTTAAGATTTCTTTTGCGCTTGATTCGTGGAAGTTTAATATCAATCAAGGCTCATGTTGTAATATTGATAGTCTCCTAATTGATTTGAGAGTCAGAAACAAGCCCACTACAAAATATTTTGAGTTGAATGAACCGCGATGTAAAATGCCGGTATATCATATGGCTCATATTCGCCTTCATATCATTAACCATGATCTTCTTATCTATGCTGGTGTACCTGCCAGAATGAATGTGGTTGCGAATAAGCAAGATTATGACAACGTAGCCGAAAGAATGGTAAAGTGGGCTAATTCAGTGAATGGCAGGATGGGAGTTATACATGCGTATCTTTGCCTATTCGAGTGTTTGTTACCCGTGGACCAAGGCGATATAGATTACAAGCCAGCTACCGATCCAATTCCAGAGAGACCTCATGTTATAGTCGACTCTTGCTTAACTATATGGGGATATAATTTTGTGCTATGGGGACCAGAATCTGACAGGTACAATTCAGGAGAACTTGCATTCAAGGAGTCGGGTTCTGAGTATCTACTGAGGATGAAACTGATTCTTGGGACAGCTTTGGCTGAGAATAATGCCCAGGACTTCTATTTAAGTGTGAAGCGGCTAGCCAAATCTTTACTTACTGTGCCGAATACTAGAAATTTGGCAGGTTTTATGAATGAGATGTCTAGAATATACTCCCAGTGTTTTTGGACCTTAGGTCAGGAATACTCCAGGCTCTTTGCTAGTTGTGCCGAAAGGTCGATGGGTAGAGGCGAAGTATTTTGTGCTAACATGTATAAAGAATCTATAGTCTAAATCTAAGTATAATATTCAAGAATCTTTTGATTTGGTTTTTCAAACTCAACTTTAGTTTTCAAGTTTCCAATTTGGTCAATGTGAAAGAAGATTTCATCTCCATCAACAAGGTAAGGAGTGTGTTCAAGTCCCACTGCCACACCAGATGGGGTTCCGGTGAAAATGATATCACCGGGTTTTAATGTTGTGCCCATTGACATGAAGGAAACAACTTTATTGACATCAAAGATCATGTCCTGAGTGTTAGAGTCCTGTCTTTGTTCACCATTGACTTGAGAGTAAATCCTTAAGTTCGAAGTGTCTGTCAATTCATGTTTCGAAATGATTGCTGGTCCAATTGGAGCAAACGTATCAAACATTTTACCCACCCCAAATTGGGTACCACCTCTATCCATTTGCCATGTTCTTTGACTAACGTCATTTCCAATGGTATATCCCAAGATATAATCTTGTGCATCTTTTTCTTCAATATCTCTTCCAGTTTTACCGATAACTATCACCATTTCCACTTCGTAGTCGATTTTTGCTCCATGAATCTGACAAGCGGACGGAACTAAAATGGGATCTTCGGGCCCAACAATAGCTGAAGTGGGCTTGAAGAAAACCACTGGATACTTTGGGATTTGCATCTTTAATTCAATAGCATGCTTAATATAGTTCATTCCGACGCATCTAATTGCGGGCACTTGCTCAGCAGCAAGAGGACTTAACAATTTAGTTACAGTCAAAATTTCTTCGGTCAATTGGTAATCTCCAAAGATGTCTCCATTGATCTTGAAAGCAGTTTTACATTGGTAAACGTCTATTGAACCTTCGGGTAAAATAGCATCACCAAAGTAAGTATTTCCATCGGATGAAACAAATCTAATTAGTCTCTTAAATGAGGTTAGTTTACGAGGTTGCAATATTTTAGATTTTTATACGTACCTTGAATTGGGCCAGTTCAATTGTCATTTTTGTTTTTGGGGTTTTCAGTAGTCATCATTCCAATTCGGTCACTTTATATTGAATGAGATGTGGCACTTGCTTATCGGAACTGATAGGCTCAACAGCAATAGCCACTCAGTAGCTTTCACTGGGGGTTCACTGGGGGGTCCCCTCGGGATCCACTGGGGTAGAGCGTCACTTAACTGGGGGAATACTGCATTCGAACCATACGATTTTTCCACTGGGGGAGATCGGGTATATCTCACTGGGGTTTTTCACTCTTATCTTGTAATGTTATCAAACAGCATCGCATCGAATAAGGTACATCTAAATATATAAATATGGTGTATTCTGGCTCAAACGTTCTGCAATCAAAATTTCGACTAGATATGAGTTCACTTGAGAGTAAAGAAGTATCCTTGTCGGACGTGGATCAAAAGAAGAATGCTTTGGCTACCACTGTGTCAAAACTTGATGACGAAACCTTTGGTGAAATAGATCCAAAGAAAGAGAATCAATTACTTCACAAATTTGATAGAAGAATTATGCCAATTCTTTCATTGATTTATTTCTTATCGTTTTTGGACAGATCTAATATCGGAAATGCAAAAGTTGCTGGATTGTACGAGCAATTAGAATTGACTAATAGTCAATATTCTTTGGTAGTTTCTATTTTCTATGTCACTTATATTTTATCTGAAGTTCCTGCTGTGTTAATAGCCAGAAGAATTGGCTTCAGGTTGTTCTTATGCACTATGATGTTTGGTTGGGCCATCGTTACCTTGTGCACTGCCTTTGTCAGAGATTTCTGGTCCCTTACGTTATGTCGGCTTTTGTTGGGATTGTTGGAAGGTGGTGTTTTTCCAAACATGAGTTTGTACATTTCCATTTTGTACAAACGTCAAGAACAGGGAAGGAGATTGTCTTACCTTTATGTTTGTTCTTGTATGAGTGGAGCTTTTGGTGGACTTATTGCCACGGGTATAACCAAAATACATTCAAATGGAACTTTGGATAGTTGGTCTTACTTGTACATAATTGAAGGAGCAATTTCAGCTGTTGCTGTGGTTTGCTTATACTGGCTTCCAGACGATCCTGCGCATGCTAAATTTTTAAACCAGGAAGAGTTGGAGGTGATGGCAATAAGAGAGGAACAGAGAAAGTTTTACATGGGTAGTGACAAGTTTGACAAGAAAGAATTTGTGCTAGCTATTAAAGATCCCAAATTATACATGAGTGTGATTATTCAGTTCAGTGTGGATCTTGTTTTATATGGGTTTTCCACATTCTTGCCATCTATCTTGAGTCTTCAATTGGGATTCACATCTTTAAGAGCACAGTACCTTTCTATTCCAGTTTACTTTGTATCTGCATTGGGAGTGTACCTTTCTTGTTACTTTTCTGATAAGATGAACAAGAAATTTCCATTTATATTGGGTGTTAATGCTCTTGCTTTCATCGGATACGTGATTTTACTTACTAATAAGAAAGCTGCAGTCAATTATTTTGCAACTTATCTAATTGCAATTCCATTGTATTCGGCTGTTTCCTTGAATATTACTTGGATCAATAATAATATGGCTCCACATTATAGAAGAGCAACAGCCCTTGGATTCAACCAAACATTTGGTAATTTGGCTGGAGTGATCGCCGGACAAGTTTACAGAGCCCCTCCCCACTACTATCTTGGAAATGGATTTTCTTTGGGCTGCGTTGTGGTTTCTTCTACGACTACAATTTTAATGTACCAGTATTTGAAAAAACAGAATCAATTGAAAGATAATATTTTGAACGGTGCAAAAGATACACGAAAGGTCCGTTCTGGTTGTGAAGACCCTGAATTTGTGTATGTTTACTAAGCGAATTTGCTGTATAACAAAATAAGGTTGCAAAATTTGCGAGTTTTTAAAATTTAATAGAGAATATAAGACAGAGAGTCAAAACAGAATTGAATTTTAGTCTATAAATCGTTAAATGGTCAAGGCGGTGAGCTTGTCATTAAGCTCGGCATGTTTTACAATGATATTCCCCAACGTATCATACTGTACATCGTCTTCTTCTTCATCCAGATCTTCTTCGCTGTTACTTTCTTCATCACTTTCTTCGATTGATTCACGCTTATTCTTGATGATAAGGTTCCCCAAACCATCGTACTCAGCGTCTTCCTCTTCATGATCATCGTAGTCATACTCTGACAGTACCTCTTCATCACTATTGTCTCCCACAGCTAGTTTTCGGTTGGTGTTCCCTATCATCCAAACATCACTGTTCCTCGTCTCTTCTTTTCTTTCTTTTGTTTCCTTTTCCAATCTGTCAAGGTAATCCGCTTCTGCTTGCTTTACAGAATCATGGTCTGTGCATTTGGAGTATATCTCCAATAATTCCTCGTTCACTTTGAGGAAAGTTAACCCCCATGAGAATTTACTCAAAATAGTTTCTGCCCAGTCATAATGTCCAACAATAGCCAAACAAGCAGCCAATGCTTCTACACAATTCAACCTCCATGGTCTTCCATAATTAACTGGGTTAGCGGCAACGAAATATGGTAACAACCTTTCATGTTTTCCACCAATTTTGTTAAATGGAATCTCATCTAATCTGGCCCATGAACATTCCACCACTGCTGCACCGAAATTTTCCACAATCTCCTTGTCATCAGGGCAAATCACCAGCTGCCCGTTGGGTGATATAACAGCCCCGTTGAACTTCTGCCCGATTCTCATATTCTTAATAAACCCCAATCTTTCTAATTTCTTCCCAGAGCATCTCTTCGGATCACAATGATCAAAGTCCCACATTGCAAGCTTGAACGGGTGTTCATTTGCAGATCCCAGAAACTTGGACTCTTGTCTACCCTTTTTAGCATGATGTAGCTTCGACTTGTGCCCGTTCGAAGTTCTAGCGGGCCTTACTTCTTTGTTTTTCCCCTTCCCCATGGATAACTGAGTTTTTTTTTTTGATTAGAAGTCTGCGAAAATTTGTAGAGCCTTTGGTGATACTGTTCCCACCACCTCGAAAACAAGCCCATTTCAAGTAATACCTTCAATAAAACACAAGCTAGTAAGGGTCGGCCCAATATAATCAGACAAAATCTTTGAAGGTGAAAATGTGACTTTTTTATTGTATTTACATAAACATTACATATAATCGTGTAGCAAAATTATGAGTGAAAACCAACCCTAACGAACTGAAAGTTTGTTCCACTGAAAGAAGTGGAGTAACTTGATTTAGAAATCATCATCGAAAGTGAAACCGCTTTCGGTTTTGACTTCAGTGGTAGAAGTGGAAGCCATAACACCAGCCTTTTGGTAATCACTGACTCTCTTTTCGAAGAAATTTGTCTTACCAGCCAAGGAGATGTTTTCCATGAAGTCGAATGGGTTGGTGGTATTGTACACCTTTTCGTTACCCAAAGCAACCAATAATCTGTCGGCAACAAATTCAACGTATTGACACATCAATGTGCAGTTCATACCTAATAAACTGATTGGCAAGGCATCAGTGAAGTATTCCTTTTCAATAGCAACGGCTTCAGTGATGATCTGTTCGACAATTTCTGGGTTTGGTCTATTTTGTAAGTGAGAGAACAAAAGACATGCAAAGTCGGTGTGCAAACCTTCATCCCTACAAATCAATTCGTTGGAGAAAGTCAAACCTGGCATCAAACCTCTCTTCTTCAACCAGAAGATGGAAGCAAAAGATCCACTGAAGAAAATACCTTCAACAGCAGCAAAAGCAACTAATCTTTCACCGAACAAGGCATCACTATCGTTGATCCATCTCAAAGCCCAATCAGCCTTTCTTTTGATTTGTGGAATGGTTTCAATGGCATTGAATAAGAAATCAGCCTCCTTAGGATCCTTGATGTATGAGTCAATCAACAAGGAATAAGTTTCGGAGTGAATGTTCTCCATCATAATTTGGAAACCGTAAAAGCATTTGGCTTCAGGAACCTGAACTTCAGCAGAGAAGTTTTCAACCAAGTTCTCATTGACAATACCATCGGAAGCGGCAAAGAAAGCCAAAATTCTGGAGACGAAAAACCTTTCGTTATCGTTCAATCTGTTGTTCCAATCATGGGTATCTTTACCCAAGTCAATTTCTTCGGCAGTCCAGAACGAAGCTTCAGCTTTTTTGTACATTTGCCAGATTTCATGGTATTTGATTGGGAATAAAACGAATCTTTTGGTGTTTTCAACCAACAAAGGTTCATCCTTTTCCAAAGCCTTCAACTCGTGTCTGTGGACTTGATGTTTTCTCAAGAAAGCATTGTGTTTTTCCAAAGACTTCTTGGTTTCTTCTGGAGAGACTTTAATAGGTTGGAGTTCTCTTTCTTTTAAAGCAGCTAAGTCTTTACTGGTGAAGACGGTCTGGGCGACGTCCTTGGCTTCAGCTTCGGCAGCCAATTTATCGGTCAAAGAGGCACCCTTTGGAGTGGCCATACCTAAGTTGGAGATTTGGCCAGTTAAGCCTTTGGTTGGAGTTTCTTGGACAGACATTGATAGTTGTGTTAATGAATGGAAAGCTTTTTGATAAAATTCTCTAATTAAAATCTATATGAAATAGGGGGGCAATCCTTGGTTTTTATACTTTTTATATGTACTTTTCCGTTGAACGGGTATCAAAACAAAACAAGATGTAAGAATTCCAAACCGCGTCGAAACTTGCGTTTAAAATTAGGTGATGGCTTTTCGCACAACACGCTTTTGAACCAATACCGTGATGACTTGTATTGGCAATATCAGTATGAGATAAAAGGTGAGAGTTGAACGCTTCTTTTGATGGTATTGTATCACTTGGAGAATGCCTTGTGATTCAAGGATCAAAATTTTCAAAGTGGCTCGTTAAGATTGTTAATGTTTACTACAAATCCATCACAATTCCATACACTGTTTATGTCCTACTCAAACAGGAAACGCGTGTACAGACGTGTTTTAAAAAATAAACAAGACGAGTAGCGAGTAGCAAGTTTCCACAACCCATTCGTGTTTAGACGTGTACGTAAAGAAATAAGCCTGTAATCTATCGATCCGTTAATCGGATAAAAACAAAAGATATATTTAACAACATAAAAGTAAATCTCAATTTATCATACAAGAAATAAAACCTCGTCGCCAATAAAGCAACAACGGGGTATTTTGCTGAAAGTGGTTTTTGGGTATAATCAGATACAATGCTGGATTGAACCCTTGTTCAGCCATTTGGTACAGTTTTGTTAATCTATTCATGTTCATGCTCATAAAGTTATGCTCTTTGTCTATAAGGATGAAATTTGATGGGCTCATCGAGCTCTCCTAATTGAGTAACCGGACTGGCAACTTTGTCGATATTGTTGTAATTTTCGAAATTATCAAATCTAAAAGCCCCAGTGGAGTTTGGAGAATCAGGGAACGACGAGGATGCAACTCTAGAAGGCGTGGTGACGATGTTAAAGCCGGATGATGCCAAGTTGTTATCAATAGAAGGTGAATCTGGAGGTGAGCCTCCAGGTACTGGAGAAGGTGAAAATTCGTTGGTGGCACCTTGAGGGAAGTTGATATCAGGCAAGGATTTTATGGACAATAAGTCCGAGTCATCCAATTCCAATGACTTATACAACACCGAAATGTTTCCATTTCCTTTATAATTCTCATTAGCCATTTTGAACTCGACCATATGCTTGAAAGCATTGTTCCACTCGGTGAAAGACCAGCTCGAGTGCTGAGATTCACTCAAGTGCAAATCAACGATTTCTCTAGCATCATCGAATGATAAGTACTCGTAATGGGGCAACGATGGTAAACCAAAGAGGAGGGAGTGCTTATCGTATTTGTCAGAGTTCAATTGCTTTGGTCTTCCGTACAATTTGAAAGCATCCAAAATTGGAATATAGTTTCTGATCATCGTCTCAATTGCCTGTACACCAGGGTGATTGTCGGGCATCATGTAAATATAGTTTGTGTTGATGAAACTTTGGCTTGACTTGATCTTGGGAGAAGAAGGAGGTGATGACGATGCACTAAAGAAAGAAGATCCAGAAGTGGCCCTCCTATGGGCTCTGCTAAACGCACCACTGGAGGCCGATGGCTGGGAAGACAAAAACAAGTGTTCGACTCCGCTGTTCACGTATACTTCTCCATTCAACTTCATGATTGAGTTGTACTCTATCATGTTCACATTTTCAGGAAATATGTTATACACGTTGGTGACACCCGTAATGTAACAAATCAAGTTTTTCTTAGTGGTCTTCTCCAGCTGGTAGATTTCGATCCTGCCGGATTTCTTGGAACTCGAGGGGTGGATGGCCACATAGCACCTCAACCATTTATGGTTAATTTGCGGCAATCTGATATTACACCACTCAAACTTTGGATACTTCTTCTTCGACAATAAAGTATGGATATCAGACAATTTGGGACCGATCATACTCAAAACTACGGCCGTGAATGCTTCGTTCAACGACAACTTTTCATAGTTGGATAAAAACAAAGCTGTGACCCAATTCACATAATCTTCTTGGCAGGTGGCCCTCAAAATTAAGTTGTAGAAGCTTTCATTCAAGTCATTGGAGAACTTCACCACCCAATTGGAAGCGTCCAATGTGATATTGTAGTCAAACAAGTTGTAGTATGTGGGGTTGAACGTCTCATCTTGATACCAAAGTGATAACTCGTTGCCCGTCAATTTGCTGCTCACTGAGTCCCATTCACCGTGTCTGAATAACAAGATTTCGCCTGCGTAGTATGTTCGGAAGTTATGGCTATTGAACAACGACACGATGGGAGACAACTCGGGAGGCACGGATTTATTGGCCAAAAGCACGTTGGAAAAGCTATTGACATTTTTGCTCGACTGTAGGTTGGATAAGGAGTTGAATGAATCAGATTGGGCCAAGGTGCCGTCAAAGTCGTTTGAGAACACTCGAGAGTTTCTCACGTAGGAAGAAGGCGTTTGTCTAATCTTTTCACTCAACTGCCTTCTGGTGATAGAACTAGGAGATGTGGGCTCCTCGAAGGGATAGCCGGTACCAGACCTTGACCGATTGCCGGAGGTGGGCGTAGCAACGGGGGGTTGGACTTCCAATGACGAAGAACGGTTAGAGTTGGACCGGGAGTTGGAAATGGAGGTGGGACTGGAGCTGGTGGTGGATCCAGAAACTTCGAAATTTACTGGAGGTGGTCTTTTGTAATCGGGAATTGAGGTATTGATAGCAGGAAGCACCGGGGACTTATTTTTGGACTTTGTTGTAGAAGTCCATGTCTGTTTGTCTTTACCCTGGGTAAGGATGGGGATGTGCATAAGTAAGGTTATGGGAAGTAAAATGTCAAAGTGATACAACTAGCTGTTAAATGAAATTCTATATAAAACTTTTTTAATTAGTGATAGCCTCGATAGATGTCCGGAATGGTTGCGGGCCTGAACACAGAAATAAAAAAATAAAAAGGGTTGGCAATTTGGCAGAAACAGCTTTAAAAAGGATTCAAGTAAATACAGTTGTTCGGAGGCGATGGTGCTATGAATCAGATATATATATATGGTTTAAAATTTCAGTGTAAAGATCGAATTATAGAGATGTGTGACAGATGGAACGACTGGAACTAATTTCTTTTTGGTTGCACAGTTTATTTTTTCAATATTTTTAATCTAATCGATAAAAGCTGATTGCGGTTCTCCCTAAAAGGACGACGATCTCGTCTTCTATAGAGCAAGTGGGGGCAAGTATACATGTATAACTAAGGGGAGTTGCTTGTTTTTGCTATGTTTAGCTTACGTATGACCTTCAACATTACCTCTCTCAGGTTTCTTTTCTTGTATGCAACAGGCTAAGACGGCATAAAAGTTTAGGGCCATTGCCACTTGGCCTCACTCGTTTTTGAGGTGTTTCATTTTGCCGCTGACCAATAAACAAGGCAGTGAAATACCTCAAACCCAAACACAAACACTCCTAGGCGGTACAGATGAAGTGTGGTTCAAGGTCTTTCAGCCACCGGTAACCCCTAAATGCCTTGGCCATAAAATATGGTGTCGGCACGCCGCACGCCGACATTTCCGTTGGCGGTACGATGGGCATCTCGCGAGTGAGGCCCGCGATTACGTCATACCTAATCCAGGATTGGTGGAGCTGAAAGAGGCATTGGCACAGGCAGATTCGGTGGCCCCGATTGGTGGCAGAGCAATAGCCAGGATATTCAATTGCCGAACCTGTCTACCGTTTCCTTCAAAGCAACTTACCGACGCGACAGACCAAAGTGTTCGTGGTGCAGATTTATTAGGTAAACATTTCTGCACCCAAGTACAGTTGCTGAAGTATATTCTAGGGACGGTGGTTCGTTGCGAATCAAGGCACCATGAAGTTTGTGGCCCCCAACACATCTGAGATAGCCCGGTATGCGTCTTGTATCGTGTGATGGATTGCTGAGGGGCTGTACATTTAGTGTTGCAGATAAACTTTTGGGGCACGTAATGAGTTGCAGCCTATTGTTGATTTGCAGTATCACCTGCGGCTTTGTAAGGGGAAACATAGTCAGATGTTGCTATCAATGAAATTTATGGCAGTGTTGGTATTAAGGTTTAAGGTTTAGATTGGGGTTACTTAGATTGATGTGTTAGCTTCACGTTCACGAAGCAGTTAGGTGCTCTGATATGGGTCCAGTCAAAAGCTGTGCGTGTGCGGAAAGAGGCTAATTCTAACAGCACCTCAGCGCGCGGCTCAGAAATTGCTTCCCCTATGTCATTCCTCGATCAAATACCTCCCATCACGAATCTACAGGACCCAGAGTTCTCCTTCTTGGTAACAGAGCTCTTCAATCCACTTGATGCGGTAAACAGGGAGAGCTTGGGACTGTTCCCCAATATTACTTCCAAAAAACGAGATATCATCTCCAGGTTTTTGAAAACTTATAAAGCCCATATCGGTAGTGATATATATCCAAGTATACGGCTTGTACTTCCCAATAAGGACAGTAGAAAGTACTATATGCGACATACGGAATTGGTATCCTTCATTATTAAGATGTATAACATTCCCAACGAGTCTAATCATACCAAATTACTTCGTGAATGGAAAACTCAATTCCACCATCTCCAGCTCCAGAACTCGGATCCAAACTTGTCACATCTCCCCAGGAAAATTTGTCAGGTAATAGGTAACCGTCGAAGTCTCCAGCATAAAATCACCAAAAAGTACTCTGTGAACCAGATAAATGAAGTGTTGGATCAATTGTCGAATGCTACCAAAACTGAAGACAGAATCAAGATATTGAGACCAGTTTTCGATAATCTCCAAATTGATGAAATCAGATGGTTGTTGAATATCATCTTGAAAATATCCAATGCTGGATATATGGAAAGATTTGTGTTTGAATTATGGAACGAAAACTGCTATGGTCTTTACACGGTATGTCATGATCTATCCAAGGCATTCAGGTACTTTAGTGTTCATGATTCAATTGACCAGAAGCAATTGATTCCGCATGTCAACTTTCCATTTATACCACAAGCTTCCCAGAAATTGACGGCTAGTTATACCAAACTCTGTTCAGAGATGTCAGAATTCTATATTGAAGAAAAGATCGATGGTGATCGGATGGTGCTACATTATAATAACAATAAATTCAAGTTCTTCTCTAGAAGATGCAGAGACTATAGTTTATTGTTCGGGGAAAACTTTGAAGTGGGTTCTTTAACCAAGCATCTCAAGAATGTGTTTCACCCCAAGGTTACTAAACTAATACTTGATTGTGAAATTGTAGCATTTGATGCTGATAGAAAGTGTATTTTACCATTCGGAACCTTGAGAAAAGCTGCCATTCAGGAAGCAGTAAAGGAGTTTACAACAACTGATATGTTTTCTGAACATGGTTGCTGGCCTTATCTTTTGGTGTTTGATATACTCCAAGTAAATGACACCTCCTTGGTAAACGCCCCTTTGTATCAAAGAAAACTAGCACTAGAAAAAGCTATAATTGAGGTTCCCAACAGGTTGGAGATCTTAAAGTACAAGCTCTGTAAAGATCCGATTGATATTGAGAATGCGGTTAAAGGTGTTATTGTCGACAGAAGCGAAGGAATCATGGTAAAAAATACAATGTCAAAGTATCACGTTGCAAAAAGAGATAACTCCTGGATCAAAGTAAAGCCAGAGTACTTGGAACTGTTTGGAGAGAACTTGGATCTCGTTGTGATTGGAGTCCTTCCAGGTATAAAGAACAGCTATATGTGTGGTCTTTATGACACTGAAACTCATATGTGGAGAAGCTTCTGTACCGTTGCCAATGGTTTCACAAATGAAGAATTTGCCGAGCTTGACAGACTTATGAAAGATAAGCTCTCGAGAGTATGTCCTGAAAACGTGATGTTTGGTAGGCGTAAACCTCAATATTATCTAAATCCTGAAGAATCGGTTGTTCTAGAAATAAAGGCTAGAGTTTATGACCAGAGAACAGACGAAACATATGCCACCAATACCACGTTAAGGAATCTCTATTGCAGAGGCATTAGACATGATAAGCTGTGGGATGACTGCATTCTGTACCAATCATATGAAGAACAAAGGAGCGACCGGACTAAAGATATTTATGAAACGCAGGACGTTAATAAGAGAAGAAGAGTTAAAGAAGAGTCGTTTACTGAAACAACTTTTAGAGAAAACATGAAAGCAAATATGGAATTATTCAAGGATTACCGATTCGTGGTTCTCTCTGATAAATTAGATCAAGTTGAAAACATGAGAATACTGCTTGAAAGTTTGAAAAATCTTATCAAGAAATTCGGTGGAGAGATCATTACAAGCCCATCGTATTCGAAATCAAAGCCATGTTTGGTTATCTCCGAAAAGCTTACACCGAGATGCCGGGCCTATGTAGAACTAGGGTTAGATATAGTACACCCTAATTGGTTATTCTACTGCATAGAGTATGGAAAGATTATTCCGATGGAATGTTTGACTGTGTTTGAATCCAAAAACAAGGTGCCCGAAAACTTTGACGAGTATGGGGATAGTTTTGCAGTGACTCCCAGAATGAATCTCAAAGACTATTTGCTACTGTTGAAAATAGAGAAGTCCCCATCGCACCAAATTATAAATGATTTGAGTGGGGAACTCGAATCATACCGGTTGCTAAAAGATATCTTGGCAGGATCCAAATTTCTAATCATTTCCAACGGCATACAATGTACTAAAACTATTTTAGCAACCAAAATCCAGCAGTTTGGAGGTACAGTAGTGGAGAAATTGCCATGTGAATATATAATAGTCCCCCGACTGTTGTACAAAAAGAGCCGAAAAGCAATGCTCTCAGAAGTTAGACGGCTTCTGCAACAAATCAGCAACACATACACCAAAGGGACCCGTATACCCAACATTGTGATAGAGTCATTTATAGACAGCACCATTGAATCCAGCGTAAAAGTGGATCCCCAAGACCATAAAGTGCTCTAAATCCGACATGAAGCAATTTTAACCTTGTAATCTCCACCGAAACAAAGCAAGCTCATGCAAGGAAATCAGGTTCGAGTGTTGCTGATGAGCGGAGATCACCGAGAATTTGAGTTGTCGCAAAATTACTGACTCTAGTTTGTATTGCTAATAGTGAATTCATCTCTGGATAATTAGCAATCGATGTAGTCAGTGTTATTTAAAGTTTGATGTAGTTTGGTGTCGTACCCAGTTTTTAACCATATATATATATAACAATATAATTCCTAACTGTTAACCAATAATTTGATTTGATTTGCAGTCTAAATAGATTATCTGATTTCTCCAGCATTCCCGCGGGCCGACCAATTTCTTATCATCAGTATTTGATCCATTACACTACTACCTTGATAAAACTCGATCAAAAATGAAACATTCTAATGATTCAGAAAATTTACAAAAGCAGGGATTTCCTATGACTCTTAATAGACAAGCCTCCTTCGCCTACTTGAAGACTCGTCACAGTGTCACTTTCCATCTTGGTTGGGCGACTGCTGTCGCGTGTCTAGGTACTTTGCAATTTGGATACCACTTATCGGAATTGAATGCCACCCAATTGGTTCTATCGTGCAACCAACACTTTGATGGTCCTTACAATTCTTATGAGGACACCATCTGGTCCAAACTTGGTTTGAAAGAGTGTCTTCCGATTGAGGAATCGAGATTATCCATAATGACCACTATGTTCACTTTTGGCGGACTTGTTGCATCAATTTTATTAGGATCGCATACTTTATCTTCCTCGATTGGCCGCAAAGTAAACTGCATTATTAATGCTGGGTTGTTCTTCAGTGGTTCACTTTTAATGGCATTTGCTAATTCATTGACAGTGCTTAATGTGGGGAAATTCTTGTGTGGGTTGGCAGCCGGATCATCTGTGGTGATTTCACCAATTCTTGTTAATGAACTCACACCTGTTAATCACAGAGGGTTTTTGGGATCATTTCTTCAGCTATCGCTAGCTTTGGGGATTTTGTTCAGTCAGTGTTTATCGGTGTGGTTCGCCAATGATCAGCAGTGGCGGATGATCTTCCTTGTTTCAGCAGGTATTGGATTTATTCAGTTTATGCTTTTGTTCACAATTCTGGAAAGTCCCAAATGGCTCATCACCATCAAAAATGATACACGAGGAGCCACAAATATCTTGACCAACTTGAGGTCTGATAAGAACGTGATTCATGATGAGATCAACCACTGGAGAAGGTTATCAGTCCATAAAACCCCTGAAGACTTGGAGTCTACTCCATTACTAGAAGACTTATCTGGAGATTTTACTCCTCTTACTCCCAGCAGATCGAGAAGAGGCTCAATTGATCCTTCTTCTTTGTCCTTATATGCGTTCTTGACGAACAAGGTTTACCGAAAGGAACTTTGGGCCACTATGATTATCATGAGTGGGAATCAATTATGTGGTATGAATGCCATCACCTTTTATGGGGTGATATTCTTGCGGAACGCCGTTCCCAAAGGCACGAGAGTATTGTATCTCACCAGTGGTTTGGCTTTATGTAATGTGCTTGCTGCACTTCTTGCAGTGCCGTTATTCAATCGGTTTGGCAGAAAACCTTTACTCTTGTTCTCATGCCTAGTGATGACTTTGACGACATTGTCCATCAGCATTGGATTGGTTAATGGGTTTAACTACTTCACTGCTGCTGCTTGTCTCGTATTCATATTGGGATATTCATGTGGAATTGGCCCATTGGTATATATGATGGTACCTGAATTCACCAATCACAATGCCATCGCGAAGGCCCAGTCGTTTGGTACAGTTTTGAATTGGTTAGCAAATATTGCAATTGCTTATTTTTTCCCCTTACTAAGAGGGGTTTTTGGTGGGAAGGTGTTCCTCATATTCACCACCATCAACATAACTTACTTCATCCTAATTATTCTTTTCGTGCCCGAGACCAAATCCCTCCACAATTACAAGGACGTGTGGAACCGCTTCAAATATTTTTAGGGCTTAGTTCACGCGACACACCTAAAAATCATTGTCACTGCCTGAAGTACATCTAATTACATGTCAAGCATATAAACTAACTGTCATCTAGCATCCAAATTACCTCACCTTTCAATAAACACGTTACAGTAACACCCAAGTAATTCCATTCATGTTATATCTCGTCAGTGCTCACCTGCAGAGAACAATTAAAGCTGCAGATGAAATTTCGTGTAAGCACCTGAAATGCTATATATAGTGCCGGCGCTCCCCAACTATAATCAATCGCGATTCGCTCAACACAACTAGTCAATTAATTTGCAAACATGGTCAACTACAAAACTTGGATGAAAGAAGTCAATGATGACACCAGCATCGGAAAATTGTCAATTCCTGGTACCCATAATTCGGCTGCTTGTCACACTGCTTTGCCATCAGTGCAATGTCAAGGAGAATCAGTTACTGACCAGTTGAAACACGGTGTCAGATTCTTGGATATCAGATGTGGAAAGTTATTCCTCAAAGAAGGTGATGAGGCCAAAGACTTGCAAGTTATTCACGGTAAATTTCCTGTCAAGATTCCATTCCCCGAAAAATTAACTGATGTATTGGAAGAAGTGTATGATTTCGTAGGAGACAATGATTCGGAAACTGTGATTGTATCTTTAAAGCAAGAGGGTACTGATGACTGGAACAATGATGATGACGAATTTGCCAACTGTATTTGGGATAGGTACATCAACAAGAACAAAGACAAATGGTATTTGGAAAACAATATTCCTAGATTACAAGATGCAAGGGGAAAAGTCATTTTGTTTAGAAGATTCGGTCTCAAGAACCAAGACAAAGAAAATTCATTTGGTTTTGATGCTCATACTTGGAAGTATAACACCACTAATGACGACCGTGGCACCTTTGCTGTGCAAGATTTCTGTGAATTGGAAGATGCTAGCGCCATTGAAAAGAAGGTTGATTATGTGGCTGACTTTGCTAAGAATGCCATTGAGTACAACAGCTCCAACAGTGATCCAAAGTTATTTGTTAACTTTGGCTCTGGTGCCAATTTCTTCAACACTGAGTGTTGGCCGGAAAAGGTTGCTATTAAAATGTCTGATGGCCACATTGACAAGCACTTTGGAAAGGGTAATGGTGTGATTGTTTTAGATTACGTTGAAAGAGATGACTGGAAGTTGGTCAAGAAATTGATTGACCATAACTTTTGATCAAGTTCTTGTTGTATCAATGATTTGATCCGTATTGTTTTAGTTAATGAATCACTTTAAAATGCTTGTAGACGGTTTTTTGCAACTGTGGGAGCTGCGATTTTCACCGAGCGCGGAACACTGTTGAGATCCCCAATTACTATGTTTGGTCTCAGAGCCTTTAAATGCACCAAACATGTGATAGGAGACCGTGCACTGTTCTCTGCGGTACGATGGCAGTCATCAAAATCCACACCAGGGAATATTGATTTTTACACTATCCGAGACCCCAAACTACGTGATATAATTGAATCTTCCAGCTTTGGTTCAGAAAAGACCCGGCCCTTAGATTCAAACTCACAATCTACCACACAAAGTAAAAAACCAGCACCATTGAAACTGTCCCCACTAATATCAAACACCAAGTACGACAATACTTCGACTAGTCTGACCCAAGCTGAAAATAGAGCTACTTCATATGAAACATTCACAACCAAGATCAAACAAGACATAATGGAGAAAGTGGACAAATTACCGTCTCAGAAAGAGGAATTGACTATGAACATCACCAAGCTGTTCAAGAAGTACATGGACCGTCTTCATCCCACGGTATTGCAAGCCACAAAGACTTTGAATGATGTTACCGGATACTCAGCTATAGAACAATTAAGATTGACGATAGACCATCTCGAAAACGACCTTAAAGCTGCTAAAGAGAAAGTCAAGGAGGCCAAATCAAATTACATGGCAGCCATCCAGGAAAGATCGCTTCTGCAGAAGGAAGTCAACGAACTTCTTACTAGGAAGCATACTTGGAGTTCAGAAGATTTAGAAAGGTTCACTCAACTTTATAGAAACGACCATGTGAATGAACAAAACGAAGCTTCTGCCCATGAGGAACTCAACAAGGCAGAGCAAATGGTGGATTCGGTGCAGTTGAAACTCACACAGCTGATTCTTACGAGGTACCACGAAGAACAAATCTGGTCGGATAAAATCAGACAAGCTTCAACTTGGGGAACGTGGATACTTATGGGTTTCAACGTATTATTGTTTTTCACGGCCACCCTTGTCGTTGAGCCCTGGAAGAGAAGAAAAATGGTAGACTCTTTTGATATCAAAGTGAAACTGGCTATCTTGGAATTTTCACAAGAACAAAGAGGTAAAATGGATACCATTTTAACCAACCAAGCCCAAAATTCTAAAGTATTTGAAGACACTTCTAAATCGGGCGAGCCTTACTCTATCAGACTACCTTTCCATACCTGGGCCACCTTTAAGCAGGCGTGCATTTCAAACTACAAGGCTTTGACATCTCCTTTGACCACCACACTTATATTCGATAAGACAGATTTTGGACTCTTTGTATCTTTGGTGTCCATTTTCAGCTGTACTATTGCCAGTTTGTTAACTATTTACTTTCATTAACTTTGCAGTCTCTCTAACTAGAAATATAGTTGTGTGGGGCACGACATCTTTCCGCGTAGTTTTGGAAGTTGGAAGACTCGCATTTTCAGTTGCCACTCAGACTGTTTGTGACTAGTACAAATACAAGATACAAAGCAGGTAAATAGTCAACATTGAGCAACACCGGTGTATTCTGTTTACTACACCATTTCCATAGTCAACACAAACTTTTGAACTCCGGTTGAATACAGTTTCTACAATGGAAGAGCTCGGAATTATTGATTCGTCATCCGTGCAAGCCCAGTTTTCTCCTGTTGGTAAATTGAATCCCAAGTTATCCAACTACGATGATAACTCCGACGTTTACTTGAAGTTGAAGAAGTTGGAAAAAGAATTGGATTTGCTCAAGTTACAAGAAGATTATATTAAGGATGAACAGCGTCACTTGAAGAGAGAATTGATAAGAGCCCAGGAAGAAGTAAAGAGAATCAAATCAGTCCCTTTGGTTATTGGCCAGTTCTTGGAACCTATTGATGAAAATACTGGTATTGTATCGTCAACTACAGGTTCGAATTACGTGGTGAGAATATTATCTACTTTGGATAGAGAGTTATTAAAACCTTCTTCTTCGGTAGCTTTGCATCGTCACTCTAATGCCTTGGTTGATATTTTACCTCCAGAAGCTGACTCTTCTATTTCTATTGTGAGTGATGACAAGAAACCTGACGTCACATACGCTGACGTTGGTGGTCTAGATATGCAAAAACAAGAGATCAGAGAAGCTGTTGAGTTACCATTGACACAAGGTGATTTATACACTCAAATTGGCATTGACCCTCCAAGAGGAGTGTTGTTGTATGGACCTCCTGGTACTGGTAAAACAATGTTGGTTAAGGCAGTTGCCAACTCTTCGACTGCTTCATTTATCCGTATTAATGGTTCAGAATTTGTCCAGAAATACTTGGGTGAAGGTCCAAGAATGGTAAGAGACGTTTTTCGATTAGCCAGAGAAAACTCTCCAGCTATTATTTTTATTGATGAGATCGATGCCATTGCCACTAAAAGATTCGATGCCCAAACCGGAGCCGATAGAGAAGTTCAAAGAATATTGTTGGAATTATTAAATCAAATGGATGGTTTCGACCAAACCTCCACCGTCAAAGTCATCATGGCCACTAATAGAGCTGATACATTGGACCCAGCTTTATTGAGGCCTGGAAGATTGGATAGAAAGATTGAATTCCCTAATTTGAAAGATAGAAGAGAAAGAAGGTTGATTTTTTCTACTATTGCCTCCAAGATGGCATTGGCTCCAGAAGCTGATTTGGACTCATTGATTATAAGAAACGACCCATTGTCAGGCTCAGTGATTGCCGCAATCATGCAAGAAGCTGGTTTGAGGGCAGTGAGAAAGAATAGATACATGATTTTGCAAAGTGATTTAGAAGAAGCTTACACAGCCCAAGTCAAGACTGGCTCTGAACAAGACAAATTTGATTTCTATAAATGATTGCAATGCCGATAAATAAATAATACGATTCAAGTACACTTTATACACTTTAAATAATTTCGTAGATTCCTAACCCTGGGGCCAAGCACTCTAGTGATTCAAAGTTCAAATGGTCCAAGTCTAAGTGATAAGAGTATTTCCAAATCATTTGCAACGAAGATGATTCGAAATCGCAGTTGATCGAAGCAACTGGTGCTACCAACATGAGCTTTTTGTTGGTGCTTTGAACCCCCTTTATGATATCATATATGTCTTTCTGGTCACTTCCCATTGCATCAATAATTAAATTATCATATTTCTTCAAAAGACTTGTGTTAAATTGTTCCAAGGTGACCATTATGGTGGAGTATTTGGGGCTTCCGAGAAGCCAAGTTGGTGGTGAATAAGTTCTCCACCATATTTGTACAAACTTCTCATTTTGAAGTACCAAATTCGCATGAGAATAGTCAAGTGCTGGAATGACACCACCTTGGTGTAAAATTCCCATTAATAAGCACATTACTATGTTAAACAAGTACCATAAAACAATAATACTAGTGGCAAAATTGGAAGACCTAGTCAACACCTTATCTGGCTTAAGGTTATTCTCGTTCGAAATAATCTTTTCTTTAATCTCTTCACTTTCGGTGTCCACACCCATTATTCTGCTGAAATCAATACAGCAGCTAGCAATTGGTAATAAGGGCATAAGAAACCGCAACTCCTGGTGTGGCACAAACGAAAGGATCGTCAAACCACTAACAAAAGATAGAAATGGTACCGTTCTGTAGTAATTATTTCTACCCTTATAAAAGAGCACACATAAAAGTGGTCCAAAAACCTGGGGAAGATTTATTAAGACATGGGTGTAAAATGGATGAATGCCATGTAATGCCAAGTTTTTATAGCTTGAGTTATATATCAAGTTATTCAATGGGGTTATCACCAACTCCCTGGGTGAGGATACTAGCACTATATGCTTGAACTCATAGGTATCAATGAAAATGAAAAGTGTGGTAGGAATCATAAAACCCAAAATACCTACCAACAATCCTATTTTAAATTTCCAGATGTATTTGAGCAAGAAGTAGGAAGGTATCACCAAAAATGCTGGGAAAGTCACCCTGTTGAATATACCAATAGCAATAGCAATTCCGAAATAGAAAAGCTTATCGTACAGACATACCGTTACATCTCTAACCTCCGAGTCAAATCTCAAATCGCTGATTATCAAAAGGCTGATGAGAACTAAAGGAGTCTCTAAACTATTGGAGAAACAATGTGATTGTAAGACGAGTGTTATGTAGGATGTCAGGGTGAAAAAGACCGCTTTGACGCGTTCAGGTTTGGTTGGTAACAATCTGTACAAACACATATCAGTTACTAGCCAATTGACGAAAATCAATTGGAGTCTAGCCATATACCATACAGCTTTTGGAGTTACTTTCACACCGAAGAACTTTATAAATGCAAATAAAGGACCATAGAATAAATATAATGGGCCAAAACTTCTGGCAGGAAGATCTGATTCAAACTCCCAGGGAATGGTTGTTGAAAAGCCGAAAAACTTGGAAGCTAATACCTCAAAATTCTGAAAATGTTCATCTGGGTGGATATACGAGTCCGATATTCCTAAGATGAACCGTAGGATTATTGTGACAATGTAGACTTGTCTCCAACTTACTCCCAGACTCATCAATTGAAATGGTTACAAAAAAGCTGAGTAGTTCGAATCCGAAAAAAATTCGCAGTCAGCCAGTTGATTTAGATGGTGAAGCAAGTATTACTTATCTACATCTGAGTGAAACTTGGTTCCCTAAACATCCTAAAGGAGTAGGTTCGTATATACTTATGGTAAATGGGCAATCAAAAGGGAATAAAATAACCTATTTTTTATTGTGTGTCTATTAAAAGTATAACAGGCTGCAAAATCATTCTTCATCTGAGTCTTCTACATCTTTATTATCCACAGCAATTTCTTCATCACTGTAACCCTCTTCATCTTCTTTATCAACTTCAAAATCTTCAGCTGCAATTCCATGGGCATCGACTTCCTCTTCGCTGTCCTCTTCCATATCATCACTATCAACATAATCATCACCAGAGTGGAAGTCTCCATTCAACAAGTTGGCATCATCCAATTCTTCCACGTACTCGACATCACTTTCTTCATCTTCTGAGCCATCATAAGGGTGATCTTGGCTTTTCTTGGAATCGTTGAACTCGTTAATTATTTGCATTCTATTTTGCAACTGCAACAATCTTGGTAAAGTATCAGCTTTTCTACTTAAGATACCATGCAAATTGGAAAACTTGGCAGCAAGTCCAGGTAATGATGACAATACTCCACCATGAATTATGATTATCCACTTCAACCAGTACACTAATTGGTCAAATCGATTAGCTTGACGTGCAATTCTTTCGGAAATTCTATCCAATAATACAATAGCCATAGATGAGTCTAACCGGGCGATGGTGTTTTGGATCACCTGCTGGTCTCTGTTGGTTAATACGGTTTCCAACAACGAATGATCGTTGTTCTTTAAGGACTGGGAAAGAATGGTGGTGAGTGTATTGTTGTTGATTCCATTTTGTTTTTTAGTCTTCTTTGGGGTGACTGTTTTGGCATCTGTAGCCAACTTGGCCAACTTATCGGCCAATGCTTCTCCATCCTCTTCATCTTCATCGTCTTCGACAACATGGTTAAGGTTATAACCATCACTGACTATAGCATTACCTTCGTTATAATGTTTGGCCGATGCAACATCGTGGCCATTCATAGCATGATGAGGAACAGAGCTTTCTTGCTTGGTTTTGCTTAAATTAACTTTATCCACAATCGAGTTTGATGCCTTCTCATCCAACCACCTCAAAGTATCGAATATAGGAACAGAGAAGTCCTCTAACCACGAATAAAGTACCAAGTTTTGCTTGATGATGACAGAAACCACTGGTAAATTAGGCGTCACACTGCCCTTCAAGTCAACTTGCTCCAATGAAATGACACCATCCGCATGACGAGATCTTGAGTTAGTCAACTGTTGTCTTTTCTTCTTTCTAGAATTGGATTGGCTGACAGCTGGGACGTCTTCAGATAAGAAAGAATTGAACACTTCAACATTACCAGTTTCAGTTCTTGCTATCAATATCGACTTATCATTGATCGTTCCTACGGAAATATCAGTCACTGGAGAGTCTGTCACAAAAACAGAATTCGGAACCAGCTTATTCAAGGAATATAAGTTAATGAATCTGTCACCATTAGCACATGAAATGAAAAGATTGTCATCTGTTGGAACAGAAACAATGGAGTGGATAGGTTGGATGTGGGCAGGAATTGTTCTCAACACTTCTTTGGTCTTTATATTTACAAGGTAAATTGATTGGGAACCTGCCAATAAATGTGGTTGGGAGTTGTGATTTATGATTGCAATACTATTCACAGTTTCGGTAGTTTCAATCGTCAAAGATTCATTAATGGAAATTTTCTGAATCAAGGAATAATCCATTCCCCATTCATATATCACCCCCGTGATATCTGAAGCCCATAAAGACTTAGTTATGTCGGAATACTTGAAGTCTGTTATCAAAGAACTTGATGAGGTAGATAACCTGGTCAAAATTGCATTTGTCAATGGAGAATATAACAAGATCGACCCGTTAGTCAACCCCAAGGCCAAGAGTTGTTCTTGCTCCTGGAAAGGTATCCAACTTAATGTCAGCACTTTGTTGTCATTTGGAAGGTTGTAGGATGTGTCCAAACTGGCACCTGACTGATTCACTGAGACCACTCTAACTTGGTGAGTATCCAAGGCCACTACCACCGTAGCCAAGAATGAACCTGTATTGTCAAACTTAGAGGCTACTAGAGCACTCGAAGATACCTGAGCTACCGTACTCATTTTCTTTCAACGTGGTTTTATCGGCAAGATTAGCTTGAGATGAGTTTTTCAAGATGAGCTTGATGCAAAAAAAACGGTGCGAAAACTAAACCAAGCCCAACTTATGCTTAGATCGTTGATAACTAAAACGGGCAGTTTCTCGCATGTGAGACATATCACGCAGCCTCGTATCTCTCTCTTGGTACAGAGACTGGCGTCTAACAAGCCCCAAAAGAACATTGATAAGGGGCCCTTGCCCAAAAGGCCCTTGATGAGAAAACCCATTCCAGATATAAACAGACTGATTGGTACAGATATAAACCCAAAAGTCATCAGTACTCCCATGGGCCCTTTAATTAATGCAGAAGAAGATACAAAATTTGATCTTGAATCTGAGATTAAGTCCTTGGAGCTAGATAAGGTCAAAGACTTAAAAGATAAAGCTCCTCTTGATCTTCATTTCACTCTGTACAAGTTCAAACACACTACCCCAGGCAATCTGACACCGATTATTTTACTTCACGGTTTATTCGGAAGTATGCAAAACTATAGAAGTGTAGGTAGGCACTTGAGTTATGCCACCAACAATTTTGTGTTTGGAATAGATTTAAGAAATCATGGCGTATCTCCTCGAAGAGGTCCTTTGACCTACAAACAAATGGCTGAGGATGTGATATATACGATTGAGGCACAAAAGTGGTCGAAAGTCATCCTTGTAGGCCATTCCATGGGGGCCAAAGTGGCCATGCTCGTGGCATTAATGAAGCCAGAATATATTCAACAGTTGATAGTTATTGACAATTCTCCTGCTGCTGCACCTTTGGATAAGAGCTTCTATAAACAGTTGGTAGGCTTGTGTCATATAGAGCAGGACCCTAAACTCAAATTGACTGTCCTGATGAGTCATTTGTTCAAAGAAGCAGATAAGATATTAAAGAAGTATGAACCAAACCCAATGATCAGAACTTTTTTATTGGGGAACCTTAGAATAGAGAAGAAAAAGAGTCTTCTCAGACCTCCGGTATTGAACTTCTTGAAAGAGAACTTCCTTGAAGAAATTGGTGGATGGCCAGGTGAACTTGTGGAAGGTAAGACTTTTGATAAACCAACGTTAATTTTAAGAGCCTTACAGTCTGAATTTATCACTGATGAGACCCTTGAAAATGACTTCCCAAAATATTTCACCAATTTTAAAAATGTGGACTTCAACACAGGCCATTGGCTTGTATCAGATGATCCTGACTATTTCCTAGAAACTGTTGTCGCCTTCATTGAAAAACACAGACCTAAAGAACCTATACCGGAACAAACGTCCCCCGAAGTGACCCCTGGAGGAGCCATCGACCCCACTATCTATGAAACCCCATAGTATGGCACAAGTATAAAGCAGTCACCAAGACACATTTAAATCTATTAGTATATAATTTAAAGCCATTGCATTCAAGTGCTGGTGAGGGTTTCAAGCCGCACGATGTTTTTTTTTTTGAAAAAGTATAAAAGGAAGCAGAATTCCAAGCTTGCACGATCTATAAAAAACATACCTCCAGTCACTTAATTTTATATCCTATTCGCTGAGAGATGTCTGAATATTCCAGTGGTGGGGCCGGTGAAGACTTGTCTTTACCCAAGGCCACCGTCCAAAAGATCTTATCGGAAATACTCCCCAAGGATATTGCCGTCAGCAAAGAGGCTAGGGAAGCCATCACAGAATGTAGCATTGAGTTTATCATGATATTGTCCACCCAGCTGAACGATATTGCTGAGAAGGAGGCTAAGAAAACCATTGCATCTGACCACGTAGTAAAGGCGTTGGAAGAGTTGGGATTCCATGGGTATCTTGAAGTAATCCACAAAATACTAGAAGAACACAAAGAATTACTAAAAGGGAAGGAAAAGAAGAGCAACAAGTTTCAAAACTCGGGATTCACTGAAGAAGAATTGTTGAGACAACAAGAAGAGCTCTTTAAGAAGTCTCGTGATAGATTGCATCATACCAATGCTCCAACAACTAGTAGCTCTAGTCCTGAGGTCAAAACTGAGGTCAAAACCGAAGTTGATAGCGAATTCTCCTAGAATTCCTAACGTCTTAATGTCTTCTCACGATGGTACGATTATGGTACAAATGACAAAACAAAATGCTTATTTATATATATGGATTACTTAGACTCTATAGAAAATATGATCCAATCCCCTTGCAAGCAAATATAGTCGTATAACGTCTATTAGAAACAAGTATGTCGTAAATAGTGGTATTAAAATTTGTTCAGCTTAACCAAAAGGAACCAAGTATAAAATAACAATAGTGTTCACCAAAATCAATGGGAGCCTCAGTACTGTTCTGGTGGCGCCTATTAAGTTGACCAACCTGGTCTTAACTGATGTTTCATTATTACCAAATTGGTTGAACTGAGTAGAAGCTTGGTTGTTTGAGCTTCCCCAGCCGATTCTATTCAAGAATCTATCTTCACTCAACACGGCTATAGCGTTGAGAAATAAGAGGGAAACGTAGAGTATGTTCCCAAACCCAAACATGAAGAGCGCCATCTTGAAGTATTAAAAATGAATTACCAGTTTTTGACTTCAGTCGCGATTTTGCATTGTTTACTTGTCACCACAACCTATACAAAATGACAACATTTCGAGACCATAGAGATGTTCAGACCCAAATGCGAGGTAGGAAGAAAGATCCTATTGAACAATTCATTGGCTCGCCCCAAATCCTTCTCGATAACAGTTTATCACAGCTTAGGTACATGATTTTAATAGAGGGGCTATCTATCCCACCAGGATATGATCTGTGTCCTTACAGACAAAGTGTATGGACCATATTAAATCGAGTAGCTGCATTTCCTACCAAGGACTATATGTCTCTTGTTTCCCAGGCGTCAGCTTCTTTGGATGAAGATGTTCTTCAAAAAATCACAAATGATACATTTAGAACCTTGATGCATGATAAAGCCTTCCACCTGAAAGTTCTGGAACCAGCCCTAATAAGAATATTGTCCGCTATAGCTGTCACTTCCAACAATGGTTCATCGGGATATGTTCAAGGCTTGAATGTTCTTTTGGCCCCCATTGCATACACTTGTCACAAATCTGAACCCCAAGCATTTGCAATTTTGCATCATTTGATAACTAAACAAATCCCACTATATGTCACACCAAACTTGGACGGGGTTCATACTGGACTATCGTTGGTGGATATGGTACTTCAGATAATTGACCCGGCGTTGAGTGAGTTTTTTGACTCCAAGTTCTTGAAGGCTGAAATCTACGCATTCCCATCAGTTTTGACGCTAAGTGCCTGTACTCCTCCATTACTGTCAGTCTTGAAATTGTGGGACTTTTTATTTGCATATGGTCCACACATGAATATTCTATTCATAGTGGCTCAACTAATCAACAATAGGTCAAGTTTGTTGGCATCTTCCCAACCCATGGAACTTCTCAGGAAATTCCCACCACTAGAAGAAAGTGAAATTATCAAATTGAGCTTAAGTTTCGTCCCTGAGCTACCAAAAAAGCTATTTGATATGATTGTAAGACATGGATACGATCCGAAGGTACCTCATGAATTGAAGAAGTTTTTACATGAAAAGAAGAGTAGAGCGTAGGTTTTGTACATTAGTGTTTATCTGATCATTAATAATAATATACACATTTTGTTACTTACTGAGCATGATTGTTTTGTTGAAGTCATCGACGTCAAAGTATGAGCAAAGAACTGTCCTGTCGTTATACATTCTTCCTGCTAATCCCAAAATAGCTTTGAATGCTGAGTCTTCATTTGAAAACTCGACAAATATTCTTCCCAACCCAGGAGTGGAAGATTCAGTTAAGCCGGGAGTAAAATCATTAGCTGGTCTTGGAATCTTAACCCTTATCACTTCACCAAACTTCTTCACTTCTTGTTCGACGTCGCTACTGATAAACCCGTATGTCTCATCATCTTTGAGATCCTTGGTAGTTACAGCATTGATTATCTGAATGACTTTCAGCTTTCTGTTATCTCTTACAACTTCAGAAACTATGTTGGGGTTGTTATCTGTGACTGTAGTGGATATTAACTGATTCTTCACGAAACTCTGTAGTGATGCCATGTTACTTGGCTGTTCTTGTATACTAGTTTGATTTGGTACAATACAAGCAAAATCAGCCTTGGAAAATATTGATGAACCCTGCGTTAGGTTCAAAAGCACTTGCTGAACAACTGTAATAGCCGAAGTTGGATCATAACTTTGCAACTGGAAGTTCGCAAAAGCTATTCCCATTGATTCCTTGTTATACTTTTCCTTCAAAAACTGGAATTGTTTGATGGGAATATGTTCTTCGATCGACTTTCTGACTTCGTCCTCTTCGTGCTCAGTCCCAAAATGGAGTGCCACTTTATAGGCACAGTCAGGTACGTTTGAGTCATCCTCCTTTGCGACATATCCCTGCGCAATATATTCGTTGGGTCTGGTGATTGTAATGGGGATCAATGTTCCGTCAACCTCTACCGATTTCTCATCAAGTGTAAGGCAAATGGTAGCACACAAATTGTTTCTGAACTCTATTATCAAGGAACGGTTGTCTTTGGTCCTAGTTTTAAATTCTATGTTGTCATCTTGGACTTCAGGAACATCTAACTGAGCCAAATACTTGTTGACGGCTTGTGCAACTTTCAAGTAGTCGATCTGATCAAAGTCAATCCCAGTAATGAATACAGTCTTTGCAGCAATAGAATCATTAGGATCAATCCTGGAAGTATCGATTAAAATATCGTTTCCATTTAAGGTTCTGTTCCTTACAATACCTTCAAGTTTTGTAAAGTCAATAGGTCTTGGATGACCAGGCAAGGGGAACAACCCGGATAACTTAGCCCTTTGAGAGGATACATTTTCAAACCCCAGAGGCTTTTTACCCCATTTAGAATCAATTCCAGTTATGTCTTCCAAACTCTGCTTATCGGTCATTTCCTTCAATTTCTCCTCATACATCTCAAGTGATTTCTTCAACACAGCAGGGTCTTCAGGTTTCTGAGGTTCTTCTTGAGGCTGTTGGTTGTCAGGGTAAGTAGGTGGTCTATACCTGTCGTGGCCGTTGGAGTTACCTAATGACATTTGATTAGACCCGCTGCTTGAAGGTCCTCGAGCATACCTCTGTTGCCCCCAAGAATTTTGGGGCCTATTATACCTGCCTTTGTCACTGTTTTGATAACTATAACCTCTGTCATTATGCTGATATCCTGTACTCCTGTCATTCGAGTTCTGATATCCACCTCTGTTGGAGTAATTGGAGTAATTGGAATAGTTGTTTTGTTTGTTATCAATGTAGCCTCTTTGGTCTCCTCTGGGTCCATGGTTGTAGGAGCTTTGCTCAAACGGCCTTTTACGGTCCGGCCTAGAAGAGGGGTATTCTTCATTGTATCCTTGTGTATTTCCTCCATCGGTGCCTCTTTCTCTTCCTCTTGAGCTGTATGAGCTGTAATTATCCCTGTTTCTATTCCTTCTCCCGTCATCATACGAGTTGTAGTTAGAGTCTGAAACTCTGTTAGTATTAGAACGATCACACTTGTCTTTCCTCAATTGATACATACTTGGATTACTCATGTTGTAAAAAGATGAAGTAAAGAAGCTGCGATGTGAATTTTTATGTGTCGCATTTCTTTACTGCAAAAAATATAATCTTGAGATGTTAATCGTTCTCTTATGTAAATGATAATTATCTATAAAAAGTGATTTGAGGTGATATTACAACTCGTCGTGTACAATTTCTTCATCTACAGGCTCAAAGCTATTCTCGGCATTATTATCCTGTTGTTGGGTTTCCTGTTCAGTCTGTTCAGTCTGTTCAGTCTGTTCATGTTCAACATCTTCATCTTCCTGAATAGGAACCTCACCTTGTTTCTCGCCGTCAGCATTGGCCTTCTCCTGTTTCAACTTTTCTCTAAATTCCTTTTGCTTCTTTCTTTCCACCAACTTTTCAAATTTGGTGTTGAACAATTGCATTCTCTCTTGATGTGATTCATCAAGCATAACCAAATCAGCAAGCATTTGGACAATGGATTCAGTCATGGCTTCATATGTATCAAAAAGCTCTCTCTTTGCAATCTTGTTGAAGTACTTCTCATTTAGTTGAACAGTTTCTCCTAATTGAGTTAGCAAATCTTTATATTTTCCCAAAGATCTGTCCAATCTCATCATCTTATCTTCACCTTTGCTCAATAATTGGAGCTTAATACGGTCATTTTCCTTGTCAAAATCCAATCCTTCTTTATCGTATTTTTGTCTGATCTCGCTAATGGAGCTGCCAAATTCCAACATCTTGCTCTGGATCTTCATCATGATCGATGACCCTTCTTCATAGAGTTTGGTCATCCCTTCCAAAGAGAGATCGGTAGTGGACATCTTCGTAATGGCGTGAATTTCATCATGTCTTATCTGAATTTGTCTGATCTTGTCCTCAAACTCAGAAAGCGGAGAATCGTCACTGTCGAATTCGAGCCATTCAATAGTCTCACTAACGAGCTCTCTGAAGTTGTCAACCGACAACTCATCACTGATTCTTTCTTCGTGCTCATCTATGAGGTTACGTAATTGATAACATGCTGCCTCCAATCTATTCTTGGTGTTATCTAAGGCAATCTTGTACTCATCTCGTGAATCCAAGTACTTGAACTTAGAAGTGACTCTTTGTTTTAAAGGTCTGGACATTGGCTTCAAAGAAGGGTATTGGGGCCTTGGAATACTTATAGAAACGGGTCTCAAAACCTTTCTGGATTTCCTTGAAGATGAATCAGTGGCATTTACAGAAGCAGTGGAATTGGTGGATTCGTTTTCTTCGGCTTCAGGAGCTTCCTCTTCGAAATCAACAGGTTCCTCTTTGTTCAAGAACTTCTTAAAGAATCCGTCCTTGCCTTCTTTAATACATTCAACTTCCAACTTCGTGAAGCTAAAAATTTTGTTTGAATCCAAGGTAAAGGTTGCAAATATCTGCTTTTTGTAAGCCTTGTCATCATTACATGTAAGGGAAGAAGTTTTGTCCAAGACATTTTCCACCGTGTATCCCTTGAAGTACCTTCCATCCTCGAATAGTTCGATTGAAAGATCATCTATGAGTTCACCAAGATTAATTCTCTTTGTAGAGTCTGCAGGGGTTCCCTTTTCAAAAACACTGAACTCCTCTCCATTAACACTGACTTCATAATTGTGATAGGTCTTGTCTTCAACAACAAAGTCTTTGTTGAAGCTGAACAGAGTCTTTTCTCGGAAGGCTTTAATAGTAGTACCCAAAGCACAACTTTCATCGGCGTTTACTGTCTTTGCAATTCTTTGCTCGCCTAACAAGGTTGCCAAGTGCTTTTGAACAAATGGAATTCTCGAAGATCCACCAGTTAAAATAACAGATTGCAATTCATTAATTGAAACGCCAGTTCCATGCAAAGCATCCATTATAGGCTTTGTGATTCTAACCATGTTGTCTATGTTGATTTCTTCAAACTCTTCTCTAGTAATGACTGCTTTGAAGTCCTTTTCGTCAAGGATGGATTCAAGACTCAAGTGATAATCACTGTTTGCAGATAAAATAATCTTTGCCTTCTCTGCACCCTCTAATAAACGAGCAGCCGCTCTTGGAGGTAACTCAAAGTCCTCATCGAGACCAAAGGAAGAAGTCAACTTTTCAATTAAGATATTATAAATACTTTGAGTTAAAGCTTGACCACCAAAAGCAACATCAAACCCTATGTTTTCTAATTCTAACTTGGTAGTCAAGTTAGAAAATGGAGTAATAGAAAAAAGGGTTGCCTTGGTGGAACCAGCACCCATGTCATAGATCATGTGGAACTTTTTCTTGTTGTCATAATCCTTCTGTTCGTATTTTTGATTGGAAGCATAGTTGATTGCCACAGCAGTTCCTTCGTCCACTAATCCCAAGATGTTCTTATAACCAGCGATTTCTAAAGCATCAATATAAGCTTGTCTTTGTTCCTGGGTAATATATGGAGGAACTGAGATAGCAACGTCGTCCACAATGGCTTTTGCAACTGGGTTTTCGTCCAAATTCTTGAGGGCTCTATTTTTGAGTTCTTTCAAAGTCATAGCTAACACTTCCTCAACCGAGAACGCAAACGACTGATTAGCGAAACCGAGATCAAACTTAATGGCATTTGTTCTATCTTCATCTTCAATGGCTTTTAATCCAAAATGAGTTGATAAATAGTCGCTCAAGTCCCTATCTTGGAATGATTTACCCAATAATGACTTGATTCCTCCAATACAATGATGGGGGAATCTAGTGCATAAAGATTGAGCGGCAGACCCATACACCCTTTCGATTTCACCATTCTTCTCGGGACGAATGCTAATGCTTGAAAGATCTTTTCTTCTTGCTTCTTCTGTCAAAAGGATCTCAAATTGGACACCTGGGGCCAACATTACTGCTTTTGTAAACTGCTGACCGTAGTCGATTCCTAGTATTGCGGCTAACGACAAGGTCAAAAGATAAAAAGCAATGAAGAACTTCATGATTGATTGTTCGACTTCTACTTACTTTCGGTTTGATGACGGTCTAAATCGGATGGTCCAAAAACGTTGGTTTTGTAAGATCAAATAAAAATCAATTCGGTTGACTTGTCTTTTTCTTTGGAAGCTCACTGAAAAATAATGCGACCCCATAATTTTGAAAAATTGCGCCAGAACTAGTTGCAAATTAACCGTAGTTAAAGGCAGTGGTAAGTGCTGGGGGAAAAAACCAAATAAAATCAATCAAGATCCACTGTGGTACTTAAGAGGTCAATGACATGTTAATTTGCTAAATTATAGAAAAAAAGAGAATACATTGATTATAACATTTCCTGAAACGTCTCACACATTGCCTGAAGAATTGTGAAAGTTGCGACCTTCAATCAATTCATAAATGATTTAATTTCAATAAAATGTAAAGACATTCCTTCGGGAAAAACCGTAGTGCAAAAAATCGTTTCAAAGATAAGCGAAGAGAAGGGTTTTGCCGTTTTGTATAGAGTAAATAATCAGTAGGGGTAAACGGGTCGATTATGACATCAGCACTATCTGGGAAAAGATTTGCCAGGTGCCCCGCGGAGGCTACTTTCAAGAATACCAAGATAACATAGAAACTAAATGGGGATTTAATGACATCTTTGTATTTCTGGAAGTATCTAGTCCATACCCAAGTTATCAGAAAGTTTTAATACCTACTAAGACTCGAGATATCAACTAGGTAAGTAGCCCTTCAAAGTAGACTCCTCGGGAAAAATTTTCCCACCTCATTTCTCACAATCCTAAAATTGGTATATATACACCTAATATTTCCTTTCGATTTTTTTACTTGGGTATTAAAATCCCCCAACCATTGTTTATTGCGTGTACTTTCAATACTCAAGTCAATATGAGCGCCGAAGATGAAAAGATGTACATCTCGTACAACAACGTACACCAGTTGTGTCAAGAAATAGCTGACAAGATTAAAAAGTTCAATCCAGACTTGATTATTGCAATCGGTGGAGGTGGATTTATCCCTGCTCGTATGTTGAGATCCTTCTTGAAGGAGCCTGGTCAGCCCAACGTCAGAATCATGGCCATTATCTTGTCTTTATACGAGGAAATCGACACATATGGAGATGATGCTGAAAACCCTGGTACCAAAGTGGTCAGAACTCAGTGGATTGACTATAACCAATCCAAGATCAACTTGGTGGGCAAAAAAGTGTTGATCATCGACGAAGTGGACGACACCAGAACCACTTTGCACTACGCTGTTTCGGAGTTGAAGAAAGATGTTGTTGAACAAGCTAAGGCAGTTGGAGCTGATCCAAACGACACGACCTTTGGGATTTTTGTCTTGCACGACAAACAGAAAACTAAGAAGGCTGACTTGCCCGATGAGATCATGAAGACAGGTAACTATTTTGCAGCCAGAACCGTTCCAGATGGTTGGATTGCATACCCTTGGGAATCTGTTGACATTGTGTACCATACCAAGATGGCCATAAAACAAGGCAACGATGTATTTATACCTTCGTCCAGAGAGTAAATATTTTAATCCATGTGCATCACAGGCTTTTTTACTAGGTGTATCATTAACCCTACCTAATCAATCTCTATGTAATCCGGACTCCTTGAATGATTCTTTAAAGGGGTGTGGTTGTTATTCTTATCTTTCCTCTTTTTGCTTTGTCTTAGCGATTGTCCCAGTCCGTGGAAAGCTTTTTGTTTATTGGTGGACTCAGCTTCTTCATCCGTGGGGCTGGGAGTAGGTAATACTACCGGGAAGCCAAAGAATAGCTTATTTTCTGCGATGGGAAATGGGGCAGGAGGAGCTTCTGGATCTAGATCGTCGACACTAATATCTTTTGGTTTGGTTGATTCAACTGCTTTACCAGACAATTTCTGTCCACTACCCCCGAAAGAATTCGTACTTGACAGAGTTGCCAAGTTGGCATAATTCAAGGATCTAGCCATTGTGGCAGACCCAGCGCCTCTATTCACGCTGGTGGGAGTAATTGGTTTCAGGGTAGGTGCTTGGGATTTTGGCTTATATTCGGGCTCAACGTATCCAACCGGTGGAGCAAAGTCCGTTTCCAAATCTGTTTCCACCACACAAATCCCCTGACCACTGGATTCAGGCTTGGTTTCCAACACCTTGATTCCATAGATGGTATCATTATAATTGATCTCTATTATATCGTCCACCGTTAACGTAGAGAACCTTCTCAAGACATTCTCCAACACGGCCTTGGGATCGGAAATTTCAAGAAAGTCGACTGACTGGGGTTCAATCTTCACGAATCTCCCAAGTGGTAAATCACAGTTGGATATTTGAACCAATTGTCCTGGTTGTAATTCAAGAGTACTCATCATCCATTGGGGCAAATATGCTCTTCCCTCCTCTGCCACAAACTCCAAGATACCACTGTGAGTCTTTTTCTGAGTTGTTTCGTTCAAAAGCTCAAATAGCATAGGATATCTGATGTGTAACATGGATAATTTGTTTAAAGCTGATGATGGGAGGAAGATCTTGCCTCCATAGTTGGCGTCATCTTTTCTAATACTATCAGGCATCATTGCGATTGGATAACAGCGGAAATAGTCTTCGAACTTGTTGTTCATGGGAGCAAAGGCAGCTCCTCCAAACATAGTGGATCCAAAACCTGAAAACATATTTGAGGTATATATAATGCAAGTGTAATTGCCATCAGAAGGAAAAACAGTCGCGCACCTTTATACAAAATGGAGCCTTACACTATTGATTTATAGCTACTAAAATGTCTATGTATTCTGGCTTCAAGATTGGGCACGGATCTTATTGAAGGTTTCAAACACCCTGTTGACAATGATCTTTTGGTCATCGCTAAATCTCTCAACAATTTCTTGGTAAGCCTGAGGCTTTTGTTGTTGCAACAATTGCATCTTGGTTACAAACAGCTCATAGACATTGATATTATCAATGGGGGTTTGCTTCATAGCTTCCAACTCAGCTTCGGCATCATAATCATCAGCCAAATATTCCCCGGTGTACTCACCATCTTCGTCTTCATTGAGGAATTGCCTCACACCGTACTCCTTTGATTGAATATCCTGTCTCGTTTTGATAGCGTGGGGTAACACTTCAAGGTTTGAGATCAAAAGATCAGTGATTTCTCCGATTAAGTCTTGGTCTTGGATAAGTGATAATTCTCCATCACACAAGAAAGCGATACAACTCAAGATTTGCAATTTACATCCGTGAACACTTTGGAAGTCGTCAGAATGCTCGATCCATAATTTGAAGAAGCTGGGAGTGAACTGCTTTTCATTCAAAAATTGGAGAGTAGTGATAGGATCCACATAACTAGTAGCGAAAAATATTCTTGCGATGGATAATTGGTGCAACATGTAGCCGTCAAAGGCTTCTTGGGCCTTCAAGTTGTCGAATATTTGGAAGATTTCTGGCAAAAACGTCACTAAGAAAGGCTTGAATCTTTGGTTTAAAGCAAGAATGATCAACTCCAATAATTCAAATGCAGAATGGGCGAATATGGGCTCTACAAACTCACTCCGTAACACTTCAAAACAAACTGTGATCAAGGACTGAACTTGTTTGTTTTCGATGGTCACATCCTCAGAGGTGAACCCATAGAATATTACCGACTCAAAGTAGGTTGAAAAGTTATCAAAAAATTCATATGCGTAGGTATCAAATGAGTCCATGCAAACTTGATAAAGTTCCCACATTAATGGAGACATTCTCTGGGTGGCAAAGATCAAACTTTCCAAGATTTCAAGAACCTCAGGTAAAAATGCAATCTGGGCATTCTGAATAACAAAAACCACCAGGTCTTTCAACACATGTTCCAAACTGGATGCAACAGATGGCGAAGTCGACATAGCAACAACCAAGGTGGTGATGGTCTTCAAGATTCCACTAGCTTGGTATTCCTTATCAATATCAACGTTCCCACTGTTACTACCCGATTGCATCTCCAACAACTCATTGGCAGTTCTTAAGAATTGTTCAGTCAATCTAGCCGACAAATCATTAGCATAAGGCTCAAGACTCGATGCAAATTTCTCCACAAAAGATTCCATCACGCTGGTTAGAGTATCACTTTCAAAGGTCTTGGTCATCTCAATCAAAGAACCCATCAACTGGGGCACTTGTGGTGCAATGTGATCAGCAACGGCATCGTTATCAACCAAAGTTCGCAAAGCGTCAACAGCAGTTAACCGGATGGGAAGGTGATCGTGTTTTTGGAAGCAATTGATAACACCAGTGAAAATCTGTTGCAAAACACTTGTATCTTGGTAGGTGTAGATGAACATTGCCAAGGTATCACAGGCTCTTGCAGTCAAATAAGGAGCCTTGGCAATTGAATCTTCAGATAACTCTGGATAGACATAGGCATATATCAACTGGTCAATTTGCCCATGAACAGGAGACTGTTTTTTGTCCAACTTGTAGGAAATCGTGGCCAACACCCGAAGAGCCCCTTCAACTTCTTTAGCTATCGAAACATCATTTCTGTTCTTGGCTCTTCTATCAAAAATGTCACTTATTATACCAAGAATCAAACTGGAGGTTTCGGCAAACTTCTTGGACGATAATCGGTAGACAAAGCTGATGGAGGCAACATCAGAAGTGTTGCTTTCTCTGTTAATATCAAAGAACCTTCTGACATACTCTTCAGGATCATCCTCATACAACTCCACTGTTTCATCCGTAGCTTGTAAAGGTGGCAATATGACATGCTTAAGAATAGCTTCCATTTCACCACTGATCAAAGACCAAGCGTCATTTTCAATCAACTGTTCCAAGAATGAAATCATATGATACAACGAACCTTCAGACAACCAAATCCTTTTAGCAGACCAATTTTCGATGATGTTCCAGTAAACCTTCAAGATTTCGGGGACAAAAGTCGATAAGAAGAACTTGGCAAATTGGTTATCTTCTTTGTTTCTAGTACTAAACCCACCACCATGACGACTCAACAATCTGTGAAGATTACCGAAGCACCATTTGACAGCCTTAATTCTTGGAATCGAAGCTCTTTCCTCCAACACTTCTTCCTGCATCACAGAGTCGGGCAATGGCTTGTTGATCAACATTATCTGAAATCTACACCATTTACCCAAGTTATTCTGGTCTTGAATGTAGGTAGGCAACACCGAGTAAGTGGAAAACTTGAAAATTTTGACGACCAAATACATCATTTCATCACTGACAGCCGAGTCATTGGCCAACAAGTTGTCCATCAAGACTTCAAGCGTAGGGAATAACTCAGTGGTGATGTCGTCCAAAATAGGATTTGAAGATTCGAGATGGGACCATCTATAAGCTCTGGTGTATTGATACAAACAAATCAACCCGGCGTTGATTTGGTCAACCTCCCCAGAAGACAACAACGTTTTGATGATTTCGTTCAAGTTATCCCATTTCTCAGCGTTTACAATACTATGAATTGCAAGTGCCAATTGGGATCTGATTCTGCTGTTCTTAATGGTCTTGACCAAAGTTTCAATCAACTTGGTTTTGATAATGGGTTTTTCGTCATCCTTGATGGAAAAAGTCTCCAGTCTCTCAGTACTTGATACCCAATAACTGCTGATTCTGTTTTTGAATAGAACGGTAGCACTGATTTGGACACCTTGGGGAACCTCAGGTTCCATGCACAAGTCAAGCAAATACGCGGTGAATCCCGGCTGTTGCTCAAAGAACCGTAACTGCTGCTCACTCTCCTTCCTAAGTTGATAGTTTGAGGCATCCAACGTTCCCGCCAATGCTTTAAGCAACGTCTCTCTATCCATTTCGTGTGTTGGTGCTGGAGCTGAAGAAAAATTTTGGAAAAAAAATATTGAGAGGCATATATACAGGCATTTGATACCGTTTGCTGCAGCTTCATACAACCAAAAGGGCAAATATAAATATTTTTGGGAAGGGCCAGCTCATTCAGGGGATAAACCAAGAGTTATATAGTTAATGAACATACTGACGGGGAAATGGGAAATCTGGGAGTTTCTCCAGAGCCTTATCGGTAACTTTGGTCCTGCTGCTCCACGTCAACCAGGCTGCAACTAAACTAAAACTATAATTGGGCAGAATGAACCCTAAAAAAATAGGTGAAAGTACGTGAATTCTTGGTCTGCTGAGTAATTATAAACCTCACGATCCATTTCACATCCCCAGAGGGACCTATCAATTGTTATCCCCAGCCCACCATCTAAGTGTACCTACCGATTCTGGTAGCGCAGCTGCAATGAGAAAAAAAAATGATAGATGAGAAAGAAATCAGCTAGCAATGGTAACTGAGATCAAAGGGTTTAAAGTCTTGCCGTTAAAGATTCCCAACAGCAGTGTCGAGAGCTATATATTCTTCAAGAAACATGAGGTGAAACTTGCTGGTGATTCCGAGTCCAGGTCAATTTTCTTTTGTAATCTTCCTATTGCATCCACCACAAAGGTGCTAAAGAAGTTTTTCCAAAATATAGCTATTGGGGCCACCATGGAGTCATTTACCGCCAGTTACTTGACAGATTCGGCAGAAGATGTTTTCCTTGACTTATCCAAACTCACGTCTGATCTTGACATTCCGTCTGAAGTCGATGAATCAAGTGCAAAATTGCCCAAGAACTGTGGGATTGTCACTTTTATAGACAAGTCAGCATTCCAATTGGCCATGAACAAATTGAAACTGTTGTCCAGTGGTTACAAAGTGGTGGAATGGCCCTTGGAAGCCAACTCGTTTGGATCCCAGTACTTTCTTGGAAAATATCATTCCCAGGTATTGGATGTGGAAACTTTATCTAATTCTGTCAGCCAGGCATTAATTGATTTTGACAAGGCAGAGAAGGATTCGATAGAACACCTCCTGAATCAACGTGAATTAGTAGATGAAGACGGATTTACGTTGGTGGTGGGCCCTCAAAGAAAAACCAAGGCCGGTATCTTGGGCCAGCAAAAACTGGCAATTGCCAAAGCTGAATCCCAGAAGGCACAAGCGAAGATGAAGAAGAAGCAAAAGGAAGACTTTTATAGGTTCCAGTTGAGAGAAAAGAAGAAGGAAGAGATGAATGAGTTATTACGCAAGTTTAAAGCTGACCAGGAGAAGGTCAGAGCCATGAGTGACAAGAAGAGATTCAGACCCTATTAGATTCATGGCTCTCTGGCAATTTTATACATTAACCTCCTTCATTCTTAGCATTTATATATATATCACAAACATACGGTAACCATATTTAAGCATAATTCTAGATGCGCATCAAGTCTTACGCATTCTCCACAAAAAAGTACATAATGGCCAGAACCAAAAGCGAAGACAATGTCAGTAAATTGACCACAGAAGAATGCAAACAAAGTGGCCGGGAGCTATATCAAAAGTACATTCAACAGAACCAAGAGGTAACAGATTTCCAGATCGTGTCGACTATTCGTTATGATCCAAATATCTCCAAAGTGAAACCGAAGGCCGTAGATGACATTACAGCCGAAAACTTCTTTCTATTACCTGAACACATCAACAGGCTTCAGTTTACGATCGAATTCTTCACAAGAAATGAGGAAACAACTTTGGTCTTCGAAGAGAAGACGATACTAGATCAGTTGGTCACATCCATAAAAGACAATAGTCATCCAGTAGATACACCATTAAGAATCAGATTGCTAGTTGGTTTGGACGGCCAAGTGACATTAGAATTCTTTGAAACGATTGAACGCCCTAACTTGTTACGTGGGTTGGATGACGATATCCCTGAAGACGAGATATGGGATATATATGTGGACTCAGAAACCATTCTAATGTCTCCCTTCACGTCATTTAAAACCACCCATAGGTCCCACTACAACGCTGCACGAGAAAAGTGTTTGCCTGGTGCACGAGTAGGAAAAGAGGAAGTGATTCTCGGAAATGTTCGGGGTGAGTTGATGGAAGGGTCCATCACTAACATCGCAGTTCATAAGGATGGGAAATGGGTAACGCCTGAGTTGAGTTCTGGATGTTTATGTGGAGTCACCCGAAGCTTTTTGCTAATGAATATGTACATAAAAGAAGGTAAACTTGAATTGAAAGACGTCAACATTGGTGATGAGGTGCTTCTTTTCAATGGAGTGGCAGGTGTTGTTAGAGGACAAGTCAAGGCAATTGTATGATTAGTGTACCGATTTTATTCTATTAATTTGTTGATCTCTGTGTCAGTGTACCCCATAATATAGAGAATGTCCGCCAAAGATTTGGTGTTCAAACAAGATGGGGCTAATTGCTGTACCTTTGGTTTAGCATTCCAAGCGACCCCGAATCCCGCTACTTCCATCATCTTCAAATCATTGGCTCCATCACCAACCGCAACAGCTGTTTGTGGGTCAATATTGTGCTTGCTGGCGATTTCAAGTAATAACTTTGCTTTCATTTCCGCATTAACGGTTTCACCAACAACAGTTCCATCGAGAATGTTATTTTCATCGATTCCAAGGACATTTGCATAAGCATAGTCCAAGCCTAAACGTTCCTTCACGTATTCTGCTAACTGGATGAAACCACCGGAACAAACTCCCATTATACACCCACTTTTCTTTAATGCTTTGCACAATTCTAATGCTCCATTGGTGATTTTGATCTTGTGCTTTAATTCTTCCCAGATCGTGGTTGAGTTGATCCCCTTCAAAAGAAGAACTCTTTCTTTCAAAGATTCGGTGAAATCTATTTCCCCATTCATGGCTCTTTCGGTGATATCTGCCACTTCTTGTTCAATATCAGCATAAGCAGCGATCAACTCGATTACTTCTTGATAAATCAAGGTAGAGTCCATATCGAAAATAAACAACTTCTTGTCTTTTCGATTTGCAACCGGTTGTAAGATCACATCGTATCCTGTATCTTTGTTGAAGGTACGCTTGAGGAATGCTGTAATGTCTACATCGTTGGAGATAGTAGTAGGAAAATCTATGGCTCTTGGAGAAAGGCTTTTCGAGACCCCAAGCGGTAAGGTAGCCTGGTCCACAAGAATCCTCTTGATTGTGGCTAGCGTCTCAGCTGAAAGGTCATTGCCATGAGCTATGATGGTTATCACGTGTGTGAAATCACTCATTCTATTAGGGTGTTGAAACTGAAAAAAAATTAAGCAGCACACCCAAACCGCGCAATTACTGCAAAAGAATACACTAAATATGTTCGAACATCAATATATACAAGAAGGTCTAGTCATGCGGCTGTTACAATGGCCACAGAACTATCAGTCTCAAGAGCATCATATCCCAATCTCAAATCATACTCACTCAAGCCGATATCACCTCCCAACTCAGCAAAATTCTTCATGTAGTTTCTATGTTTTCTATCAGCCATCTTATTCATTTCTGGCCAATAAATGTCGTGAACGTATTCAAAGTCTAGGAGTCCATTAAAAGATTGATCCAACTGCTCCTTGGGGACAAAGTTCTCAAACGGCTGGTCATAAATAGTCTTCAGTCTCGTGTATGGATCAATAAATGGAGTAACAACCTTGAAAAAAGTGTATCCGATCCATGGGATATTCGTGAAGAGCCCCCGACCGAGCCTCTCGGGATAGTGGTGCTGTAAGATATGCAAAACATGCTTTGAGGTAGATAAGGACGGGAACTTGGCAGATAACTTCATATGCGCCGGTGCTGCCTTAAAGTCAGTCATTAGTGCCAATGTGTCCTGCCCTGGAGGCATGAAATGAATGATTCTTTCCAACATGAAGACCAAGTGTTGAACCTGTCTCAAAGACGCGTCTGTGTTCTGATAACCGTTTCGTAAGTATAGACAGGGTCTATTGTCGTTGTCATAACCAACCATCAAATTCTTTCCTGTTTCATTTTCCATCTCCACCAAATCCTGGGTGATGAGTATAGCTGGGTCAGTTATGCCAGGGATGTTGACGACCCCAAAAGTCCGTCTCCAAATAAACGTTTCTTCGATTCTTTTGATCGCAGCATCAGGTTTCCACTTGGTGGCTCTCAAATAACGAAGAAAACACTCCTTAGTCAACCATGCCTTTTCTTCGGGTAATACTGGGTGTTTTTTGGCCCCATGGGTATCATTAACGGGAATATTCTCCTTGATATACTCTTTGAAGTGGTTGAACACCTGGCTATACTTGTTCTGTTGCTCCTCGGTGAGCACAAATTCTGGAGGCACAATTGGATTCACCGGTGTATTGAAAGGAACGTGACATTTTATCAACCCTTTCTTGTCGGAATCCGTACCGAGGCTGGTATTAGACGTGGTCTTGCTCTTAACTGAAACTGAGTCTTCACTGTTTGTAGGTGTTTCTTCAACCTGGTTTCTTCTGAAGAGATTCATCGCTTAAGAAACACAAACAAAACTGTCGCGACTGTTAAAATCGAAACCCCGATAATGCCATTAACATTTACTCACGTATCAGAGCCAAGTTCTACGGAGACGCCCATAACGGCAAATGAAGTCAAGAAGCTTGTGACAGAACAATTGGCTGTTTCTGAAGATGTGAATGCTATCCCCAACCTGCTTTTGAAGGCACTCTCAAAGAAATCTTCTAAGCACAAGTTTATAGTGCTGGGAACTACAATAACTTTGGAAGACTCGAACGTGACATTGAGCGTTCAGACCAAGTTTGGTGCTCTTTGGGAGTCGGAGAAGGATGGGTATCTTACCGTGACGCTTGAACTTCAAGAGCCATCTATTGAAAGAAAGGATACGATTGGAGGAATAGTTGATTCTTACAAAGACAGAGAAACGGGAGACAAAGCCGAAGAGGAAGAAGAGGACGATAAGCAGAAGGAGGAAGAGGACGATAATGAGAAGGATGAAGCCGACGATAAAGAGAAAGTAGGCGAGGAAGAGGAAACTGTGGACAAAGATGAAATCGAAGAAGAAGAAGTTAAAACCGTTGATGCTGAAGAAGACAAGGAACACAAGGATGAAGACCAGGAAGAAACACAAACAAAGAATCCCCAGCCTTATGAAAAGTACTTGGTATCCATCTTCTGGCTCTTTGTTGGATGAGTGTATATGATACAAGTGTCTATAGTACATAAATTAGGAAACTATTAAAGCATATCCAAGGAGTCCTGGAAATTCTGAAGTCGTTCGTGAAAGTCAATGAGATCTTTTGAGTTACCAGAGACCCTTTTGAGGCCGCTATCTAGTTTTTCCAAGAGTTCGTTGACTTCATCATCTTCTCGTGGAGTGAAACGAACATTGGAGGAGGTCACATCCAGATCGAGGTTCGAGGTGTCGCTATACTTAAGGTTCATTGTGGTCTTTTTTGTATATACTTCTTGAGACATTTTCGATTCGTTAGCCTCCACCGTCTTATTAAATTCCTTCAAGTACTCCAAGTCCGACTTGTAATTCAACTCGATTTTATTGTATGTCTTTGTGAGATCCTTAAGCTGTTTCAACTCTGCCAGTAAGTATGTTTCAAGGAATGTTTTTCGTCGATTGAGGATGTCATGATTCAACACGTACTTGTTCTCATCGTTCTGAGGATTAGTCAGATGTATGGAGACTCGACGAGGTAATTTTGTGGTCTGAAGTCGCCTTTTAAATGACGTTTCATGGTCCAGGGTCCATGTGTGGGCTAGTAGATCTTGGGCATCTAACATCTTTGGAGACGATGGAGCATCTCCACCACCAACAACTTTGTACCGTTCAATGGCCTTGTTCAAGCAGATGTCTAAGATCTTGTCAAACTCCTCGGCGGTGGTTTCGTCTAAAGGTTCCCAAAATCTATCGATGAACTTTCCAGGAACCCGTTTCTTGTGGGTTTCAGATCGAAGTGATTCGGGATCAAATGGAGTGTATTCGATTCTTCTCTTATTGGAACCGTAGAAAGAGCTTATCGAAGACAGCGAAAGTGCGGTTGGTTCTTCAGATGATTGATCTTCGTTGGGTATATGCAGTTGTTGATGCTTGTCTATTTCAGCAGAAGGGTCTGAAACCTGGTCTCCAACATAGCCAGAAACCGTGCTCGGCAAAACCTGATCCTGAAGGTCCAGAGATCCCCTCGGTATGTCGACATGGGCATTAGGAGAGGTCAGTGCACCGGGTTCACTCATTATTCATTATATTATGATACTCAACAAACATACAAAAAATGGAACGCGGGCGCGAAATTCACACACACTTGTGCACCAACTGCTCAGCATAGTCGTAGTGCTTGTAGAACTTGTCGATGCTCATATGGAACATACCCGCAAACTTCACGAACAAGAAGTCTTCTATCACATGTATTTCCTTAGGAGTTATTCGCTGGAGGTCCGCTTTGGCATAGCTTTTCAAGCAGGTATTCAAGTCGGTATCTTCAGAAGGTGCAGAAGACGGAAACTCCGATTCATCGGTAGAAAAAATCTGAAATAATCTATCCATCATAATGGCGTTCTGGTGGGAACGCTCATTTGTCTGGACATTGGACTTCAAGTAGATGTCATTGAGGTACAGACAGTAGGTGCTGATTTTGGAGTCGCTCCATTCGGCCAAGTTAAACACCGATTCTTTATTCGACTTATTGACGAAATCAAGCTTATTGTTGTCGGTGTTGACCGACGCGACATTGTTGATCCACTCCTGGTGATCCATCTTATTGTTCAAGTACGCAAAGTGGATTTTGACCACAATTATCATCAAGCACACCACGAGCACGTCTGGTACCATGTGTTTTTGGATTCTGGGGAAAGTGAACTTAGTTCGGAGTTTGGCCATTAGCGCGTCCACCATCACGAACAATTCCATGGCATTAGGGAGAAGAAGTTCCTCAAAGTATATTTTGAGAATGAAAGGGTAGTAGTAGTTGATGGACCGAGAAAGGTTCTTAATGGCTAGTCGTTTGTAAACGGTTTTATGGGCCGAATATAACAAATGCTCTGTGAGGTACTGGAGATGCAACGTAGCATGGTACTCGGATCCAAGGCGGGCAACGTATTGTTTTGGAAGAATATGATGTGTTCTTAGTGCTGGAACTTTGTTAGATGCAACCAACTTGATCAAGTCAGATAAATAAATCGGGTAACAGTTCAACTGGAGAATCGAGTAGTACACCACAAATACAAGGTCGAGCACGCCTGGAAGTCGAGTACGAGGTTTGATATGGAAGCGGGGCACGTCTCCGTCATCGGTATTAAACAGGTCGCGACGGATGTAGCTTTCGAGGAGTTTGGTCCAATTTAGCTTGACCACTGTCGTGAGCTCCAGCCGGAAAATCACGTCGTTATGGTACATTTCTTTGACAATGGCTGCAACCTGCGCTTTCAAGATGATCTGAAGGCACTTGAGACAAACCTCTTTGGCGTGATCCCCCGTGAACCGCTTGGACTCTCGTTTGTGGCCGTGGTCCACCTGTGACGTGTGCACCAAGTTACCCACCTCGTTGACCTTCATTTGGAGTCGCCGAGTTTGGGTGAATTCTCCGTCGTCGTCATTTATTTCGATGTCGCCTTCGAGTACATGGCCGTACTGGCAGATCTTGTGGCCGTCGGACGACGTGTATAACCGGGACGGACAGTTCTGGATGCCGCACACAGGTCCTCGAATCCACAGCTGCGACATTTGTAGGGATATGTTTTCAGTTTTCGCGCTTTCAAAGGTATCGCGCGTTTGTTACAAACGAAGCACAGTTTGGCTCCGGACTTTAGTAGGTGGAGTACCTACCCAACACAAAAAGAAAAGAAAAAATCTGGCTTGAACGTTTGTTCGATCTTGTATCATAACTCCGCCACGGTGGTTAAACACCGTGGTACCCAAATACCGTGGTCTTGACTCCGGCCCCATCGGACGCAACATTACCCCATATTTTTGTAATAGGTCATTCTGTCTAGTTAACTAAATAACGGACCTCCTGGGTATTATCCGCCAAGAGCAAGTCCGAACACAGGCTCCGAAGACTTGTAGATGACGGAACCGGAGTGACCAGAAATAGCGAGTCCGAGGTTAGGTCTCATATGTGCAGAAGTATCATTGGCTATGCGGGATGTAACAGCGGGTCCCAATTGGGCTAACCTGTAAAAGAGGATAGTCGGTGATTAGCTGGAGGTGAAACTACTACCAATAAATCAAAGCCCGTCTGACATACGGGGGAGGTGTGTGTCAAAATTGTAAAGTCCGAAGCGTAAAGCGCACGAAAAAACAAAAATTTCTGGGTCCGTGAGCATTGCGGCCACCCCGGCAGAATGAAACACCGATAAAACACCGATAAAACACTGCGGGTGGGCGTATGGGGAAATCCCCGGCATCGGCCTCCTACTGCTTTCAACCCCAGATAAAGGGGGCACACCAATGAATTGCAACCACCCGAACACCTTACCAGTTCTCGTGTAAGATTCTCGAACATCATTACCCTGTAGGTTGACAAATGCTTAACCCCAACTCAGTTTCGCCCACCTAAATGCCTATATGAAGTTCGGAGTTTGCGACTCCAATTCCAGTTTTGGTTAATTGTTTTTTTCATTTCTGTGTACCACACCTTATTGCTGTATATCAATTCTCCCACTAGTGACTTTTCATTCCCCTCACTCTTGGCTTTACTATAAAAGGGGATCAAGGTTCGCCACTTTTTACCTTTTCGAATTTCTTTATATACCTAGATCATATTTCTCCGAATCATGTTCAACACTGCTAAAAGAGCTTTGATCTCAAACCAGAAATCAGTGCTTAGCCAAGCCAGATTTAAATCTTCGTTACCATTGAAGGTACCAATCACCTTGCCAAACGGAGTTACTTACGAACAACCAACTGGTTTGTTCATCAACAATGAGTTTGTCTACCCCCAACAAAAGAAAACCTTGGAAACCATCAGTCCTTCTACGGAAGAATTGATTACCGAGGTTTACCAAGGTTCTGCCGAAGATGTGGATATTGCAGTCGAAGCCGCTGATGATGCTTTCAAGAACAGTGGTTGGGCCACCGGCGACCCAATGCTCAGAACCAGAGCCTTGGCCAAGTTAGCCGACTTGTACGAAGAACACAGTGAAACTTTGGCTCACATTGAATCTTTGGACAATGGTAAGTGTATCAGCGATGCCAGAGGTGATGTTAAATTGGCTGCCAGTTGTCTCAGATCTGCTGCCGGCTGGGCTGATAAGATTTCTGGAGAATTGCTCGAAACTGGTGATACTCACTTGAACTACACCAGAAGAGAACCCATCGGTGTGTGCGGTCAAATTGTTGCCTGGAATTTCCCCCTTTTGTTGTTGACCTGGAAATTGGGTCCTGCAGCTGCTACTGGTAACACCATGGTATTCAAGTCTGCTGAAGCCACTCCATTGTCTGCTTTGTACGTTGCTCAGTTATCTAAGGAAGCTGGTTTTCCACCTGGGGTAATCAATGTGGTTACTGGTTTGGGAACGACCGTCGGTAACAGAATCACCGAACATCCAAAGATCTCCAAGATCTCGTTCACTGGTTCTACTGCTGTTGGAAAGCACATTATGAGATCTGCTGCTGAATCTTTGAAGAAGGTCACATTGGAATTGGGTGGTAAATCTCCAAATATCGTGTTCAACGATGCTGATATTCCAAGAACTGTGCAAAACATTATCAACGGTATTTTCTACAACACCGGTGAAGTTTGTTGCGCTGGATCCAGATTGTACATTCAAGATGGAATCTACGATGACCTTATGGAAGCTTTGCTCAAGGAAGTTGAAGGTATTAAAATTGGTGACCCATTTGACCCAAGTACCAGAATGGGTGCCCAAAACTCTAAGGCTCAATTCGACAAGATCTTGAAGTACATTGACATTGGTAAAAAGGAAGGAGCTGAATTGGTTGCTGGAGGTGAAAGAGCTGGAAGCAAGGGTTTCTTCGTTAAGCCAACTATTTTCGCTGGTGTTACTGAAGACATGCAAGTTGTTCAAGACGAAATCTTTGGACCTGTTGTCACTGTCAGCAAGTTTAGCGATGTTGCTCAAGTTATTGAATGGGCCAACGACTCCAACTACGGTTTGGCTGCTGGTATCCACTCCAATGATGTTAACAATGTTCTTAAGGTTGCCAACTCTTTGAAGGCCGGTACTGTCTGGTGTAACACTTACAACGATTTCAATGCTTCCGTTCCATTCGGTGGTTACAAGCAATCTGGTTTCGGTAGAGAAATGGGTAAAGAATCTTTGGACTCTTACACCCAAACTAAGGCTGTCAGAATCGCTCTTCACTAAATTAGTTATGTAGTTATCTCCTATAGGCAATGAAAAACACATTCGGTTTGCACACTCATTCTCACTATTGCCATCAATTGCGACTTCGTTATAATCAGGTTTCAGCCACTCCGGAGCTACCGTTTTTTTTAATTTTCGATTACCCGTGGAAACGTTGTGGCTGCAAAATATCATGCAACAGACCATCCGGAAACCGATATAGATTCCGGATATGGGACTGCAAGGGTTCAAGAAGTGCAACCTTGCATTAGGAAGATCTACGAGACCCAACCTGCAACATTCCGGAGATTGTGGTTTATCTATATGGTCTATTTTAGACAGATATAATAGCTTCCAAAGAAATTAATAGATGGAATACACACATGTCAGTATATCTATCCAACCTTGATTGGAACTGATGAAAAGATAGACTTATATTTTCTGTCGGTTTAGGTTGTGATTTATATTTTCAGAATTCCAAAATTAGGTGGAATACCTATTAGTTACACCATGTACTTCTCTGATCTCCCTATTCAAATCCTAAGAATGGAGGATTTCCCGACATCGTCAGATCGCGACACTCAGTATCCGGGGATATTCGATGTCGCTCATGTGAGAATTGTGACTGCTTTTTTTAGGCTCCCTGGAACACACACGCCTTTTGATATTTTTGTGTGAGAAAATTTTTCTACGCACACATCTTAGCTTAGCTAAAAAGTTTTTCAAATTTATCGATTAATCTTAATACAGAAATATCATCAAAATGGTATGTTCCTTTAATGCTGACCCAAGAATGAGAACGATATGGCACTGAGAATACGTTGATATCACATGTGTCTGGACTTCCATATTCATTATGTCAGAGCTCTAGATATCCACCCACTGTACCCTAAAGTCCAACGAGTCAAGTTGAAATATCCATTTCAATCAACAACCATACATGGAATCGTACCCTCAAAGAGATTTGAAAACAATCACCGTGTTTTGCTATACATTTACTACTTCAAAGCCTGAATCAAGACCTACCAAGTCGATATCATCGATATTTACCATTTCGTTCCTATGCCCTCAAACATCCAACAATATACTAACAATTTTTTTAGAGTGACGCCGTTACCATCAGAACTCGTAAAGTTATTTCAAACCCATTGTTGGCTAGAAGACAATTTGTCATCGATGTCTTGCACCCAAACAGAGCTAACGTCTCTAAGGATGAATTAAGAGAAAAGTTGGCTGAAATCTACAAAGCTGAAAAGGATTCCGTTTCTGTCTTTGGTTTCAGAACCCAATTTGGTGGTGGAAAGTCTACCGGTTTCGGTTTGATCTACCAATCCGTTGCTGACGCCAAGAAGTTTGAGCCAGCTTACAGATTAGTCAGAGCCGGTTTGGCTGACAAGGTTGAAAAGCCTTCCAGACAACAAAGAAGACAAAAGAAGAACAGAGACAAGAAGATCTTCGGTACCCACAAGAAAGCTGCCAAGAAGGCTGCTAAAAGAAATGCTGAGTAGATTAATTAATATCATTATGAAAGATATTTTATTCTAATCCCCATAAATAGGTAAAGGTACTCTCCCATTAAAATAATTATTTTCGTAAACGAAAAGTCAATATATATTTTCATGTAATACTAATTGAAGTTTTTGTAGGGGTATTAGTGTTTGATATCCTTTTCATTTCAATTGGGATTGTTAATACTTGGAGCATCGATTTGGTAATTTTCGCATTATCTGTAAACTCTATGTCTGAGAGAAAGGCTATAAACAAATACTATCCTCCCGACTATGATCCTTCCAAAGTCCCCAAGGCGAAGAAAAACAAGGACATAGCCATAAAGGTACGACTCCTGGCTCCTTTCTCCATGAGATGCCTCAAGTGTGACGAATACATCTCAAGTTCACGAAAATTTAATGCGAGGAAAGAAGACACAAAGGAGAAGTATTTGGGCATAAAGATATTTAGATTCTATTTAAGATGTCCCATTTGCAACAACGAAATCAGTTTCAAAACGCACCCCCAAAGTTCAGGTTTTGTATTGGAAACCGGAGCCAAGCGTAATTTTGAACCCAAAAATAAGGTGGTGGTGCCAGTCCAGGAAACACAAGATGAGATTCTAGAGAGACTCTTAAAAGAAGATCAAGAAAACAAAAAGTTCCAGGAGTCCAGAGAACAACGAAAGAAGAATCCTTTCTGGAAAGAGAACAACTTGAAAAAGGGTGCCGGTGATTTAACTGAAAATTTAGGCGAAAAGTTACAAGAACAGCAGAGGCAATATGAAATTAACGAACAATTAGAGTATTTACAGGCAAAACAATCAAAATTACTTGAAAAAGAAGCCAAATTGAAAAGCACGCCGTCAGAAGTGCCAAAGGAGACAGAACCAAAACAGATATCCGAAGATAAGCTAGTTCTGGAAGCATTCAGTAAGTTCAAAACTGACACAACTAAAAGAGCACTTCCTCAACAGCAGCCACTTTTACTCAAGAAGAAAAAGGTAGAGCTCGTGAAGAAGGTAATCAAACCGACCGCCTCTTCCTCCCTTGTTGAGTATTCTTCTTCGGAAGAAGAATAGAGATAGCATTTTTCATCACTCGTCATCAGACGAAGCCAGAGATACCATTTGTGTATATTACTGTACCATATCATGAATACCGAAAATCATCTAAAGTACGCACCACTTGGGTAGATGCTGGAGGCTCCACTTGGTCGTGATAGCTCTTTTGTGTCTTAACAAGCTGGTTCACCAACAAGTTGATTTCATTTTTATCCATATCCTTACGACATTGACAAATTCCTCTCACATACTCAACTGAACAATTGTAGAATGAACCCAAGATTTCATTTTCCCACATCTGGGGAATGAACTCCATTGGATTGTCACATGTTCCCAAATCACCCAAGAATTCTATAGCTCTCAAACTTGTCAACAAGTATCTTGCATCCTTTCTGGTGAATAAATGCTCAAGTCCACCGTAGAATGCCATCACATCCCTTCCAACACCTTCACTGAAAGATTTGAACTTTTTCACGGCTGATGGATCAATCTTCTTACCTTCACCGTGCAAAATGTTCTCGTATCCGATTCTTATATATGCTGCAATGAATGTGTCGAGGAGGATAGTGAAGGTGAGCAGATAAATGTCATAGGTAGTATACCCTCTTAATTCTTCCATATATTCACCAATGGTCTCCACTATTCTCAGGGCCATGGATTCATCTTCTACAAGATGGTTGTTATTGCCACCTTCATACCATTTCTTGGTGAAAACGATTGACAATGCGGGATATAAATCATTGACAATAATTTCAACAATTGTACGAATGACTTGAACATGTAAGTTTGTACTTGGATCCATAGTATCACTGAAGCTTTGTTCAATACTCGACTGATAAGTTGTGTGTACCTTGTCTTTGTAAATAGGTAAAAATCTGTCTTGTAACCGGTCAGTATTGATTTCAAATGTGTTCCCCAATGCTGCCAAATACTCTAGCAAACCTTCCTTGGAGATATTAGACAATTCTTCCTGACTCATCTCATCAAGGTTCACCACTGGCCGTTTTTTGGTGCCTCTGAATATCCTGGATGCTTTGCTTTCTTTGATTAAGAACCTCTCATTATTGTAAATCGACATATAGTTGTCGTATTCTTCGTCAATGATCGCTTGATAGTTCATGATTCTTTGAAGATAGCATTTAGACCAGTGCTCTATGACTCCAACTAGGATCTTTCCATAACCAGATTCTGCTGCAACATCGGCCTGTTCCTTCAACATTGTCAAAGGAGTCTTGAAATCAGGCAATACATAAACAGAACTCTCAATATCCAAAACGACTGGCTCATCATTAGCATCTTCATCTTCAATAACTTGATGATAGTTATAAAGATCTGGAGGCTGTGCCCTTTCTTTGAAGGTTTTTGTCTCCAGCTGCATTAAGTTGAGGTTCCATTCTTCCATTTTACTAACGATAACCTTCAAGTAATCATCCAACACGACATTCTTCAAATCTTCACCAATAATAGATTTCTGTTGTGGCTTGATGACGGATTTTCTTTTATTCTTTGGATCCGAATCTTCATCAATGGATTGTAATGCAACCAAAAATTTGTTGTAATGGTTGTCATATGCCAAGATTCTTAACAAGTCCTCTGCCGGAGGATCAGTTTTAATGATATCCATGGTGAAGTTGTGAAGCTTATTATAATAGACATTTTGCATGAAGTTATCAAGTTCCCAGCTCTTCGGAAACACTTGTGACAAAGTATCGTTCACAAACACCAACTCGTCTTCCAACCAATTAAGATTATCGTACACAAGCATCTTATCAGCACTGAAATGCTCTATACACTTGTCGAAAGTCTCAATGAGACTGTCCTCCAACTTGTCATAGAAGAACTTCTTGTAGTTCCGCTTTTGTAATCTGACTTTGCCATAGTTGATATTCAAAATATTCGAATTTAGATCCAAGTTATTTTTCAAAATAAGATTCAAATCTTCAGTGGACTCAAACTCTATGATCTGTATCAACTTGAACACAAGTTCGTTATTTCCCTCCTTAACTGCTTCTGTAACACTGATAATTACTTCGGCAAGTAAATCGTCAAATTTTTTGATTGTCTTTTTGATGGGCTGTATGATCTTGAATATAATTGATTTCAAATCGTCTGATAAACCAGACGATTCGACTTCAAGATAGTCTTGCAAGTTTCTTGCTTGAGTTAAGTTATAGTGAATTTTGAAGATGTAATTCAACGGATACGTAATGTCTTCGGTGATGACCTCGTATTCAGCATCTATCAAATCATTGATATTGTCCAAGTTTCTCTTGAAATGGGATATATCGGAGTACAAATTCCTAACCTGGGTGAAAAACTGGTTTACTTTAGTCATCTTTTCTATAATATCGTACTCCGATAAGTTTGTTATAGACTCATCGTAGAGAGAGTTGATTTTCTTGATCTCGGCTTTGATATTATTCAACTTGATGCTCGATTTGTTTAGCTTGTTTAAGTTGGAGGTAATGGAATCTATTTGTGACTGGGTGGCTGAGTTCAATTTGATATCAATTGAAGATTTCTCCTTAACAAATTGTTGTCGCAAGGAATCGATCTTCACCAAATCATCCTCCAAGCTGATCAAGTTGGCTATTCTTGATAATGCTGCTTCACTCATGGATGTATGTGTTATTGATTTTTGTGCGCATTTTGAGATCAACAAATTCCAATCGCTCTCGATTTGGATGCTAAAAATGGGATTGAATTAATAAGTATAATATTAAAACGATTGCTCACCGCTTCCAAGAGAATTAAGGTATGTAGCAAATCACCTAGAATATTATGGATTGGAGTAATCTAGGAAAAGAAAATATTGGTTACAAAACACACAATTAAGAGGCTCTTTAGTAAGGAAAATGAGTAGTGATTTATTCACATGGACTAATCGTTATATACATTAAGAAGGAACGTCATTCTTTTGGTGAAGTTATTCGTTTCGCTTCTGATTGTATCTTCTATGATGGTTACCATTATAGTTTTGATGGTGCTGATTAGAATTCCCATATGGGTATTGCATCACCATACGAGGCGAATTCGGACTCCCGCCCGAATAATTCATGTTTGGAGGCATGTATCCTGGCATCATGAACTCACCTCCGGTGGGAACGTACATTCCAGGCATACCTTGGGCTTGCGGCATCATACCGAGTTGCTGTTGATAGAACATAGCTGCCTGATACTGTTGTTGTTGAAAAACGTTCATCGCTTGTGGGTGTTGACCTGGGGCTTGTTGATTGAGTACCTGAGGTTTAGCTTGGGGCAGCTGACTGGATTGAGGGATCATACCAGGAGGGTTTGGCGATTGTGGGGGAAACCCTGGCATGGATGGAGATGCAACCATGGGACTTTGCATGTATGGGGAAGGAGCCATCGACCCTGGTAACTTTATCGTGTCAGGCGAAGGGAACAAGTTGTAATAAGGTTCGTCAACTGTTTGTTTCCAAGTTGGTGGTGTGGTGTAAGCTCTTTCGATCGTGACTGGTTCACCTTTTGGTGTGTTCCTCTTAGCAGTTACGAAAAGGTTGAAAGAAATCTTGATTTTCTTGGACTTTTCAATCTGGCTTTCCTTAGTTGGAACTCTGTCAAAACCACCGAAGAAGTCAGCAGGGGAAATCTGGTAGTGACGTTTGGACATTCCTCCAGAACCTGCCAGGTAAGGTCTTTGATTGTTCATTCTTGGGCTTGGGTTTGTAGGCGATCTGCTGTTGTTCCCGGAGCTATGGTTACCATTGTTAACATAAGGTAGCTTGGGAGCTTGAGGCTTTGGAGAACCTTGACCTCTTGGAGAGGAAGGAGTGAACGCAGCAGCTTTGGGGTTCAACTTGAAAGCTGGCTTCGTTGGGTCCATTTTCTTCTTTTGAACAACCGAGGTAGTTCCAGTAGCCACTGGAGGAGGCAGCGTGGAAGAAGCAGAAGTAGAGGTTGGGGTTGAAGATTTCTTAAGAATCTCATCCTGTTTTATCTTGTCTTTTGCCAAGATTGGTAACAAGTCGTTAGGAAGCTTATGAGGTACTTTAAAAGTTGCACTAAACTCTTTCAAAGAGTTGATTTCGCTTTGAGCATTCAATCTGAACGATTCTTCAGTATGTTTCTTGTCGCTTGGCTTTTGAATTGAGGCGATGGCAGGATCCTTGTGAGCCGTGTTCAAGGCATTGGGTTTTGGGGGAACATACTTCTTATCGCTGATATTCACAGACTTCAATGCAGCCATCAACTCATCACCACGAGTGTCTCTCTTGGTAACATCTGGGTCCTCATCTCTTAAAACACCCGAATATTTCATTTCTTCGTCAAGACCGGTGTCTTTAAGCTTTCCTCTTTCTTCCAAAATATGAGGATCAATGGAACCATCGTTTTCAATTTCATTGGCAAGTCTCTCTGCCTTCTTCACCCGCTCTTGGAAGTCTTTGGCCTCGGTGTTGATTCTCGTGGTATATAAATGTTCATCGTACGTGGATTCAATCCCGAACTTTTCTTGGTTGACTCTAAATTGATCCCAGCCGCCAGTGGAGTTTTCATCAAAAGTCAAGACTTTGGTGTCGTCAGCATCAGGCACCCATTTTTCCAACTCTCTTTCCTTGAAATTAGCGTTGGCAATGTCGGCGTCGGTTTTGAACTTAGACTCAATAACTTCAGCCTTTGAGGAGGTCAGCTTTTGGAGTTTTTGGCTTTTCATTGTAGAATACGTGTTTTTTTTGGGAGAAAGCTGTCAGTCAACTGATAAATAACAGAAAGAAGATCAGTGGTATCAATTGTGATAGTGTGGTTGGAATTATTCGGATCACGAGGATGGAAAATTTAAAGTGACACAATGGCCTTTTGGTGACGGGTCAAAAAAAGACGATAAGGTTTGCCTCTATTTCAATTAGTTAAAACGGAAAGTTAAACGGAAGTTATGGAGAATTCCTGTCGTGATTTAAAGGATTCTAGAGACTCTGCACACAAATGGACGGGCTATTGCAGTCAATAAATCCTTTAGCGTTATAAACAATCGAGTGCAATTGTTTGGTATGTTGTCGATTTGTTGAAAAGTGAGGTTAGAATAGTACGCCGCAGCGCGCACGACCTTTATTTTTCAATCCAGAAGGCTTAGTAGGTTAGTAGCAGGAGTCAGACTGGTGAAAGAGTAGTATAGTGTAGACATTATAGTTCCATAACGTATTTTTATTGAGAGGTTTCGTAAGCTAGCAGATTTATAGTCCATAGGCTAGGATGGTTTTTGCCCGAGCCCGGAAAACAAGTTTTGCAGTAATTCGAGTCAGCAGAAAAAGTTTAAGCCGGAAGACACTTCCACCGAGTCGACATCCCAGTAGAGCTTGACAAAGTCTGAGATGAATGCAACATCATGTTTGGAGTATGGATCCAATTCGAGGTTCACCAAATCCTGATATGTCAACACCACATTGCCGTTGTGCATCTCATCAACAATAATATCTTGGATGAGGTAAAGCCATTTCTTGGTCAACTTGTGAAAGTAGCCCACAATTTCCACCATTTCCACTGTATCTACTGGTCGCAGGTTGGAAGCTTGTTCTGGATTGGCCTCAATGTGCTGATTGTTGAAGCCTGCAGATGCAAACCAAGAGAAGGCTGACCAGATATACTGAGTCCACGACAACGGGTAGGTGGAATCCTTGAGCCACCAATTCGGCTCATAGGACATATTGGGTTCAGATGATGAACCGTAGCCCAAGAACTTAAAGCTTGAAAGTACCGATGCGGAGGTGTTGATAGAGAGATTATCACTCGACTTGTTGGTGGGAAGTGGGTCCGCATCACCGTTAAGTAGGTGTTTGTAGATGATCTTGAACTTGGAGTAATCGTTAAAAGTGCACTTCAAGATATCCTTTTTGGCTTGGGTCACGTCCTGGAAGCTCAAAATTTCAGGGCATTTCAAGCCATCATTCAACACAATGGCGTAGTCATAGATGGGTTGGTACATTAAAATATCGTCATTGGTGGTGGCCACAAACGAATCCAATTGGAGGTCATTGTTTTCCAAGTCGTGAAGGCAGATGTTGTAGAGAGGCTGGAGAAAGTCCTTTTGCGAGCGGTTAAAGTCAAACTTTAACTGCAGTGGGATCACTGACAACACTGAGATGATATAGTTGAACACCTGAATCAAGTAATTGTCTTTTTTGGACTGGTTAAAGATGATTATACGCTTTCTCAAGAGACTCAATTTGTAGATCTTGAACACCAAAGGTCCAAACTTGGTGAAAAAGTCGGGTAGGCTGTTGATTGGGTGGGTGAACTTGTTTACGGGAATCGTATCGAAGTCGATGGCGTCCAAAACGGAGGTGTTTTCTTCGTCGGTCAAAAACGTCAATAAGCATTCATCCAAGTAGTTGATGTACTCGAATCCGTTGCTAACAAATGTATTAGGCATCCACTCGGTAGATTCAGCTTCACAGAGACATCCCAAACTGTACATGCTTATGTTGGCCCTGTCATTGTCACTACCAGCATTTCTGTTCAACTGTCTGAACTTACTGATACCGTAGTACATCTTGTCTGCTTTATGGGAGAACAAGGTCAAGTCCTGGTCAAACTCATGGACTCCCGAAGGCATGCATTTGTATTCAATTCCCGACAAGTTGATGTTCCAGACGGTCTTGGACCATACTATTTCATAGCCCACGGATGTGTCGAACTTGACGAGAAACACTGCCTTTACTGATGGTGGATGATAAGCGGTGTTCATTACAGTTTTTGGTAAATCGCGGTAACAAAAATAGCCGTTAGCAATATAGATATTGAATACGGACATATATTAGAGACAACTTAGGGGCATGAAAGACGGCAACTAGTTACCTCCACTATATTTAAGAAGGCCAAGATGGCTAGGGAAATCATTAGCCAGCTGCCAGACTCGCCGGGTAGGTAAAAAGCGGAGGCTGAACCATACCCAAGCACAGCATACTGAAAATTTTTCTAACGAAACTAGCATCTGGTTTCTCTTCAACTATCCCCGGATTCCATCTGGCTTCTCTTCAACTTTCCCTGGTTTCCATCTCCTCTCTAATGCATTTATTAACTATTAAGCACGAATTCTCAATATGAAGTTGACGACAACGGCCACTAACAAGAACAAACATAACATCGTAGGACCGAACCGGTCATCGTAAGGACCCGATCCTCTCATTCTGATGGCCTTTGCTCTCCAGTGATACGTCACCAAAGCATACACCATGGTCAACATGGCAATAAAAGTGAATAAACCAGCACTAATTCTACCAACAGAGTCTCCGAAATTTAACAAGCCCACACCCAAAGACCCCAAGATCACAGTGAAGTTCAACCATGATAAAAAGGTTCTTTCGTTAGCAAAGAAAACCTTTGGCTCGACTCTAGCTGGCAAAGCGATTCTTTTGGTGGTCGACATTAATGGAATTTACTTTAAATGGGAGTTGTATAAGATGAGGATGGAATTTAAAGATAGAAAACGTGGGACGCTGCGACCGCTGCACGACCGAGATGGGTGCGACATGTGTCGCAAAACGTCGCGAAATGAACATACACTGGTGCCCTTGGATTTGCCTTTGAGCTAGCAAAAAGCGCATATCTCACATACTCAAGCATATATTGCCAATATTGCCAATTAAGTGCTTGCTGCCATCACTTTTATATCTTTTTCCTACATACCATATTGGCTTTAAGAGTTGCGCTTGCGCACCTTAACCCCGTCACACCTTTTGGCTGCAAACGCAAAAGTAAAACATACATCAAATAAATATCAATAAATAACTGGAGCAAGCCCCAGGCCATCTCCCGAGACGGCAAATAAATACTTTAGGCCCACCATCTCATTTCTTTGTTCTAGTCAAAGGCATGGGATGAGGAACAAAGTATGAGTTCTGATGGTTGGCAGTACCAGCAAATCCATTATAGAACCCCAACATGGCAGTGATAACCCCCACAACTCCACCAGCACGGGTGACCCCCACCTTCCCTGTGAACTCACCTCCCGCCAACAAGAGGAAAGTAAGGGTTAAAGTGAAGAACAAACTGAATAAACCCACTGTGGACTTCATGGTACATAACACCAACATAGCGGTGAAAAGACCCCAACCCAACAAGAAGAACCCCACGGCATTGCCCAACTGCTCCGAATCATCTCCGTACGCGGCAGCAATTCCAAACCCTTCAATATTAATGGCCATGTATGATAACCAGAAAGCCCCATAGGAGCAGAAGGCAGTACCACCAAAAGTGTTTCCTACCATGATTTCCCACACACCAGCAAGAAATTGGACAGCCCCACCGTAGAAGGCTGTAAGCCCTACCACTGCATTGGTGTGGGTGATGCCCATGGCCCGAGCATTATACATTGACAACACAAAGGTGGTCAATGCAAATGACGTCAAACCAAGCGGACTGGGGTTTGCAAACCCATGGGTGGGAGGAGGTGACAACCCGGGGTTCAATGTTCCACCGAAAGCCTCCATTAATTCACTCCGAAGGTATTTTCTATGTCCGATGATAATGAACTGATTATTTTCACCAGTGGTGTGGATGCGGCCCACATCTTCGTTCGAAGACATTGATAATTCTTTAGAGCCTTGAGAATGAATAGAGTCACTGGAGGTCATTGTAAGCAGGGTTTAAAAGACCTTGTTTGCTGTCTGGGAGCGAAAAAAGTCCGGGGAAACTGGTGATATTTATAGAGATGATCAGGCCCCACAACTGCGTCTGCGCAAGTCTGTTCGGCGATAGCTGGTTTTGCAGACAAAAACTTAAGTTTTGGCTTTACGGGGTATCGGACGGCACCGAGACGGTTGAATACCTATTATAAACAGAACCATCTTGTTGATCGATCATTGCATGAATGCCCATTAAAAGAGCGGGTTCTACTAATACTTCTTCCTTCATAGGGTCTGCAGAAACGGACTTAACTTGACGGAAAAATTTGTTGAGCGGGCGCGGGCACGACTTTGTGGGGCCATAAGTGGTGTCGGGCTCGGAGTGTCGGTGAACTGCCCTAGTTGTGCGGTGGTGTGACTGTCCACACCACCTTTACATTATATTGTGGAGAACCCCATTATATTAAATATGAGGGTGAATGGATTAAACTACGAAATATAGCGGGTTATCCCCGAAACTTACACCAGCACCACTCGTTTTTGCATGTTCTTATAGGCTTTTTTGCTGTGGCGGGATCCTAGCACCCTCTTATAGGCTGCATGAATTGACCCATACACCCACCGCCGCATCACGTACAAAACTCCGTAGTTTATAGCCGACATCACCATAATAATCACATAGTACTGGGTGGGTAAGTTAACCAACTGGAAAATATTACCAAGTGATCCGTCACTATCGATCAAGAACAATCCACATGACACTGCCACACTGGCAATTACTGTCATCACGTACGGAACGTTTTTGTGGAGTGGCTCCCGGTACGGCGGACCTTCTGCGAGGAGCAACGATACCACGATATACTGAAGATTCGAAAACAAAAAGAGCACAGAGTTATCGAAACTCTTGACGTTTTCATCATCCCCCGGTACAGGAACCACATACCAAGGCTCACGCTGGATCATCCGCCACAAAATCACCTGGAATATAAGAAGTATCACAATATTACCCACAAGCAGAACCAAAATCCGGGGCAGTACAAGATTCGCCGATGGTCGTTTGGGTATAATCCGCTTATTAGCCTGTGACCAGGACATGAAGATTGCCAACGGCAAAATCAAAATCATGTCGATGTATAAGAACTGGAAATCTCCCAAGTTGGTACCTCGTTTGTAGAGAATTGTGACTGTGATGAATTGAATGGCCGAGTAAAGCGACATGAACTTAAAACTCGAGAAACTCGTCACCAAGCTCGCCCTGCCTTCTCTGATGACATCGAGCAAGCACGACACTTCGAACACTCTTGACGTGAATGGAGCGGCAATGGACGCTTCGGCTTCACTCAATGAAACTCCCACATTGGCAGCTTTTAATGCTCCGCAGTCGTTCGCACCATCACCAATAAACCCAACTGTATAGTCGATTTTCTGGAGCTGATTGACAAGCTCGTGTTTCTCATCAGGTGACATCCGGGCAAAAATGTCACAATATAAGAGCACTTGCTGGAAGCTTTCGTGGTCCTTGAAGTTGGTTAACAAGTACTTGAAAAACTTACCGGTTATGGCAAATTTGTACTTATAATCGTAGTCTTTAATAGAGAGTGGATTGAGGGTGGTAGAGTCCAACAATATTCCCGGATCATTGATGTTCTCCCACACAAGTTCGTCGGCTTCAGGGTTTTCAGTGAACCGGGGAACGTATATGGCTTCTTCTTTTTCTAGAATTCCACACTCTTTTCCAACACTTATTGCCGTGAGAATATTGTCTCCAGTACACATGATGGTTCTGATTTTGGCATCGTGTAAGTGGTGAATGGTGGGTGCTGAGTTCGCCTTCAACTTATTTTCAAACACTATAAAGCCTAGGAACTGCATATTCGATTCCAACGATTCACGGTTCATATCTACTTTACTCCGAATAGGTTTATATGCACAGGCAATAACACGATACCCACTATTAGTGTATTTGTGTAAAAGATCAAAGAAATCTTCTGGAATCGACTGTTTTGTGCAAATGTCCACCATGACTTCCGGAGCACCTTTACAGAGCACTAGCCGAGAATGGTTGGTTTCTACCACTACACTCATTCGTCTTATGTTAGACTCAAATTCTAGCTCTTTAAGGATGCGGTAATGGCCGTAGTAGTTCTCAATAATTGGCATCTCCAGGTCCTTCAAGTTGGAATCGGTAAACTCAAACATCTTATAGTCCAATGGATCTCCTAGAATATCGTCGTCAATTTTCCTGAGCGAGTGGCATGTGGACATCAACGCAACTAACAATGGGCCGTTGTTAGAATCATGGACACTGGATCGATTAATAACAATATCCTCAATTCCTCTGGCTAAAGTGTCAAACTTCATTTCCTTTCTGCCAACGGCATTGTTGACTAAGTGAACTCCCAACACATCTAAACCATCTTCGGTTAAGGTTCCAGTTTTATCAAAGCAAATAACATCCAACTTGCCTCCAATGTTGACTCTGGTTGGTGATATACAGTAGATTTGGTAACTCTTTAACCGGTTGATTGCAAAAGTGGTACCAATGGTCAAAGTTGCTGGCAAGGCAGGTGGAACGACAATGGTGATGATGTCCAAAGCTCTCAAGATCATCAATGATTTGGGTACGCCCAACTTTATGAAATTGACGGTGGAATAAATAAACCCGGTGAATGCGATGAACGACATGAAGCCAATGTACTTGAATGAGTCTTGGTAGAACTTGAACCCGATAGGTTTTGGAAACAACATCGATCTGATCAATGAGCCCTTGGTGGTGTTGAATCCGGTCTTCACGACCAAAGCTTTGACAGGTTCATCATTATGGGATTTTCTCTTTAAAATTTTGGTCCCATTGTATAAATATGACTTGGGCAAGTTTACATTGATATTATCCTTAATGAGCTCTAACTGTTCGTCTTGGAGACAGCTTTTAGTAACTGGAACACTTTCTCCCGTTAACATTGATTCGTTCACAATTACTTCACCATTGATCAACAAACAATCACATGGCATTGCGTTCAACGATGGATCAACTTCAAAGATATCACCAGGAACCAATTCGTTCAGAAGAACCGTCTTCCAAAATTCGTTTCTCCAAACCCTTACTTCGCAGTTGAAGATAGAGATACTCTTCAATTTCTTCATTGTGGATTGGGTTTCGACCAAGGTATTGACAATGGAAATCATTGAGATTATGAAGATACAACTGGCATAGTAGAAATAGTCATCGACTAACCATAAAAGAATCGAAAAAATCTGAAACACGTAAAATGGGTGCAAAACCTCTTCCAACAATAAACTTAGTATTGGCTTATCGTCAATTTCAATGGAATTTTCTTCAAAAATCATTGCCCTTTCTTCAAAGAGTGACTGAGGAACACCATCAGCAATTTTGTTACTGTTTGTCCAACTTTGATCAAACCAGTTGTTGTTAGTCTTAAATATATCTTCCACAGGATTATAGAAAAACTTCAAGTATCTGTACTTGAAGGTATGCATATGTCCAATTATAGGATCCGAGATTTGGTGGTTTACCTCACCGTCGTCCTTATCGTCAGAAATATTCAAAAAGGAAGACAATCTCTGGTTGAGTCGTTTCTTTTCGATATCAACCACAGACAACTCACCATACTCATTTTCGACCACACACCAGTCCGCTTTTCCTAAGGGACAAGGATCACCGATCAAGTTGATTCTGTATCTTGGAAGCCATCTCAACACCAAGTATGCCATACCAAGAGTTATTGTGCATAATAAATAGTACATTGTTTGCTTCAAAATATTATTTTGATACCCAGCAATACCAATAACCAAGTCCTCCTCCGCCAAATAGTATCTCTGGTACTCTGACTTGTACTCAAACTCTTCTCTCTCTGCTTCATCTTCAAGGTCGTTTAATAACTCCTCACTGGAGCCTCTACTGCTTCCACTACTTCTACGTCTTCTTTCGAATTCCGAAGACCCATAACTTCTTTGGTCATCACCGTCATCCTCTTCAAATATCGGATTCTCATTCTCTATATCCTGAGCTCCGTACTTATCAATAGGATAGACCCAGTCAGTATTATAGTCGACGATTTCTTCTGGGTTCTCATAAGTAGACCCTCCTGGTGCCAGTTCTATTTCTTCCAATTTGAAGAACTTGAAATTAGCGGCTTCATCATTAGATGCGTTGGTTCCATACGACTTCACCGACTCCACATCTTCTCGAGTATGTAATAATGGAGATGTCTCTGCCGATGCGGCTGATTGGTGTCTTCTAGACCCAAAGCTATGGGGATAGTGAAAAGAAGTGATGGATGAAGGGATAATCTCTGATCCAGCACCAGAGTAGATTTCATTATTGTTTCCTTCATTGAGTACGCTTTCCTGAGAAACGACAGATCCTCTTCTGGATAAACTGGATCTTGATAAGGACCTTGCTTTGTAACGATCCACTGACTGAGACCTAGACCGAGAACCAGATTGTGAACGGGAGAAAGACCTAACGGTTGATCGTGTTTCGTCCCCTGTAGGTTCAGGAGCAACATCGCTTGGACGCTTTCTGTGTTTCAGGTTCCTTCTTCCCATATCTTTTCGTCCTGAAACTCTGATAGTCTTCAAGCAATTTCGCGACATCGAAGAATTTTTGATACCAACAAAAACATTACTTGTAATTGCACAATATGGCGCCATTGAAGTTGAAGCTCAAGATAGGAGGCACTGGCGGATCGTCAAACAACAGTGGCGAAACTGCGTCCAAGAGTTCCAAGGCGCCGACTAAGCTCCCCAAAATCAAATTGAATGTTCCAAAACCACCCAAGGTCACAAATCCAAATAAAATTCAGAAGTTAAAAATCAGTCTTGGGCCCAAGAAAACTCATCAACTCGATGCCATCGGCATTGAAGGGGTCACACTGCAAGTGAAACGAGTTCCAAAAGTCAGAATTAAACCAACCCGGGTTCCCGGTGAAGGATATGATAGTGAGACACCTGATATGGAAGATGATCCATTGATTGAGAACGGGATAATAATAAGGTTCTTGAACGATATCAATTTGGACCATGTTCACAACGCTGTTGGAGCAAATGACTTTAGTGGAATCAATGTCAAATGGTTGACCAAAGAAAAGGCATTGGTAAATGTAAAAGGTAGCATATACTCTGCTCGGTTGGTGGACTTACCAACTATAAGTGAAGTGTTCAAGACAATCGATAAGAAGAATATCTTCAAGATTCTAGACTTGTGCCAAATGCTATTGGTGATCAAACCTGTTACCCCCAATGACTTGAATCTCGAAACCGACTTTGAAGTCCCTAGTAAAAGTCACTATAAGCACCCATTGTACAATATATCACCGGGCCATGAGATCAAAGAGACAAGACCAGTATTGAGAGATGGGCTCACCCAGCCTTTCGAAGATGTGTACCGCAGATTCAGACCGCGGAAGATCAATCACCGGGTCATGAATGATATAGAAGCCAAGGTGGACGAATTAATACGATTGGATAATGAGGCCGAAGAGTCACATTTCGAGATTCTCGATGGAAACAGGGCCCAAATGATCGGATCAGCCAAGTTTTCGCCTTCACCTCCCCCAGTGGCACAATTTTCCACCGTCAATCTGTATCAAACTGAACTTATCAGTGAAGATCTTATGGGTATGGAAGATGAAGAGGAGAACATTGACTTGGAAGAAGAGTTGGCCAAGGCCTTGGACACCAATGTGGGAGTCATGGATGGTGATTTCGATGACGAGAACATGGTGATAGAGGGAGCCATATCTGGGGCTGAAGACGAAGAAGACGAAGAAGAGGATAATGACGACGAGAATGACGAGGATGATGATGACGATGACGAAGAAGATGATGAAGATGACGAGGATGAAGACGAGGAACATAAGGCTGGAACCCAGCATGCCAAGATGTTACAAGAAGAGATTGGAGATCTCGAGAGAGCAGTTGAGCTGAATAGAAAGGCCTTGGCTAATGCCACGCACAGGATGATGAAGATGAAGTTCCAGAGCAACTATAACACGTTGAAAGCGTCTCTTGATAGCAAGAAGCGTGAGTTGGCCAAGATTCTCGAAGAAGAAGAAGAGGAAGATGACGAGGATGAAGATGAAGAAGGTGGTGTAGGAGCCAGCGAGAATCAAAATGGCACGCAAAACGCTAATGAAAATGATAACAGCGAAAACGACCATAACAACGATGATGACAATGACGATGACAGTGACAACAACGCTGACAACGCCGACGACCTTGATGACTTATTTTGATAGCAATAGCTTTTCTTCCATGCCTATGCTTTATACACAACCAATAAAATTATTATCGACTTTCGCACATCGCCATCTCTTTCGTTCCATAGGAAGAAAAAAAAAACCCGGCCCTATTAAACCCCCAGCTTTCACCCACATTTGCAAAGAATTTTTTTCAGCCAGTTGACCACAGCTGTTTCTTAATTCCCTAGCACTTTGCAACAACCACCCTGGACTTAATATTTTTTGTTTTCGGCCCCCCACAAACATGTCCACCAACTCGATTAAATTATTAGCAAGTGATGTTCACAAAGGTTTGGCAGAACTTGTTGCCAAACGTCTTGGGTTGAAGCTCACGCCCAGTGAAATCAAAAGAGATTCCACTGGGGAAGTGCAGTTTTCCATAGGTGAATCAGTCAGAGATGAGGACCTTTTTGTCATTTGTCAAATAGGATCGGGAGTGGTCAACGATCGAGTGATCGAACTATTAATTATGATTAACGCCTGTAAAACCGCTAGTGCACGTCGAATCACTGTGATATTACCAAACTTCCCATACGCCAGACAAGACAGAAAGGACAAATCCAGAGCTCCCATAACCGCCAAATTGATGGCAGATATGTTGACCACTGCCGGATGTGATCATGTTATCACCATGGACTTGCATGCTTCCCAGATTCAAGGCTTTTTCGATGTGCCGGTTGACAATTTGTATGCTGAACCAAGTGTGGTGAGATATATCAAAGAAAAGATCATCTTCCAACAAGCTATCATTGTATCACCAGATGCGGGAGGTGCCAAAAGAGCTGCTGGTTTGGCCGATAGATTGGACTTGAACTTTGCTTTAATCCACAAGGAAAGAGCCAGAGCAAACGAAGTGTCGAGAATGGTATTGGTTGGTGATGTAACTGATAAGATTTGTATAATTGTGGATGACATGGCCGATACTTGTGGAACCTTGGCCAAAGCTGCCGAAGTATTATTGGATAACGGGGCAAAAGAGGTTATCGCCATTGTGACACATGGGATCTTATCAGGTAAGGCGATTGAGAACATCAATAACTCCAAGTTAGAGAGGGTTGTGTGTACCAATACGGTACCTTTTGAAGAAAAACTCAAGTTGTGTTCTAAATTAGATACGATCGACGTGTCAACTGTGATTGCTGAGTCTATCAGAAGATTACACAACGGTGAAAGTATCTCATACTTGTTTAAAAACGCTCCTCTTTAATAGTTTGTTTGGAATGGATTATATTTATTTTGCAGCCGACTTATCTCTGGTAATGAGTTCCACCATTGTAGTGCAAATTGTCTTTATGATCAAATTAAAGATTAGTGGATGTGAGTGGTATGCGGTAGTTCTTGTCCAACCAGGGATACGTAAGAGCCGTTGGAAGTCTATGTCGTATTATGGCCACTAAAGTGTGAAGCGTGAGATACACCGCGCATTTCAAGTCAATCACTAGAACTGAATTTTTCCATTCTTACTCACAATGGTGTATGTGTGATATATATACACTGGTGTTTTATACGCCAACAGAGTTATCCTCATAATACTAATATCCTATAGTCCAAGCAAGTTTAAAGCATGTCTTTTCGGTATGTGAGTCAACCCATTATTAACCCATCGATTATGTACTAACAAACCTCCAGACATGGATGGAACCTTACTCAACACAGAAGACCTTTACACTGAAGCGACTTCCGATTTATTCAAAGAGTTCGGTAAGGGTCCTTTGACTTGGGATGTCAAGATCAAGTTGCAAGGACTTCCAGGTCTTGAGGCCACTAAAATAATCATAGATCATTATCAACTTCCAATAACTGCAGAAGAATTCGCTAAAAAGGCCATGGAAATCCAGGCCACCAAGTGGCACAGGGCCAATTATTTACCCGGAGCGTTTGAGATCCTTGCACACTTGAAGCAGAACGGCATTCCAATTGCTCTTGGAACTAGTTCTAATAAGCTTAACTTTGAAAGAAAAACCAACCACTTGGAAGGATTCACCGACTTTTTTGGAGACCATATTGTCACCGGAGATGACACAAGAATTCCAAAAGGTAAAGGAAAACCAGAGCCATATATTTGGTATGTCTGCTTGGGGAGTCTCAACGAACACAGGAAATCCCAAAATTTGGAACCAATTAAGCCAGAAGAGTGTTTGGTTTTCGAGGACGGAATTCCTGGTGTTTTGTCTGGTTTAGCAGCAGATGCCCATGTCATTTGGGTTCCTCATCCTGAAGCACATGCCTACATTGGGCCTGTCAAAGAAAAACTTGCGGGAAGAAAGATGCAGATTCTCAATAGTTTGACCGAATTTCCCATAGAAAGATGGGTGTGAGAGTTATAACTGAACGTATCACACAAAGCATATCCTAAACACTATTAAAAACATATATATCCTAGATAAATATCCTATTCTGAACCATGCTGCCTCTCAAAACTTCTTTCGCGCAGATAAAAGCGATAACAAGTCTAACAGAGCTTGAAGATTCAGCAGCAGATAATGATAGGTACAGACTCCTATCATATAGTAATTGAATTTCCCGATCTCCAGGACAAAGAAGCCATCCTTGATTACCGCTACTCACAACTTGAAGTTCAATCCATCAACAACACAAAGAAGAAGAAGCCCTTTAAAATGAATAGCAGAGAGCCTATCAAGGCCAAATTTCTTGGTGAAGGAATTGTTCGTCTCTATCGAGAATTTGAAGATGACAGTGACAGTGATGATGGTCCAGAAGAGGTGAAAAGTACTGTGGTCTCCAATCAAGGCGATGATACTATGTTATCCATCATATCAATCCCCACATATTTCACCGCCACAGATGTGCTAGGGTTCATTGGTGAGAAATACATGGCATATATTACACACATAAGGATTCTAAAGAGTGAGAAGCCGAACCGGTTCTTAGTATTGTTGAAGTTCAACGACTTGGTAAAGACGGCTGAATTCCAATATAATTTTGATGGTAAACCATTCAATTCCATGGAACCCGAGGCGTGTCATGTGGTATACGTAAAGTCCGTTCGGATTGAATCCCCCAACTCACAAGATACTAAGTTAGTAAAATCTACAAATGATGCGTTGATACCGTTTCTTCTAAACGACCCATTTACGTCTCCAGAAACCAAAACTTCAACCGATAACACCACTTTGGTAGAGCTCCCGACATGCCCAGTTTGCTTGGAACGTATGGATGCTGAGGTCACCGGCTTATTGACAATTCCTTGTCAACATACGTTTCATTGTCAATGTTTATCTAAATGGAAAGACGATACATGCCCTATTTGTCGGTATTCTAATAATGTTTCCAATCAAAAAGTTCGAAGATCGATCAGAAGGCTTCTGCAATACAGTTCTGCGAGAATGCAAAGTGTAGCGTTGCCCCATTCTGCAGCCGGTGGGACTTCTACCACATCTGAAAGTACTACCACCGGGAGGTCATCTCTATTTGACTCTGTTTCGGAAGAAACAGAAACTTGTGCTGAGTGCTCTACCATAGACAATTTGTGGATATGTCTAATATGTGGTAACATAGGCTGCAGTAGGTATGCACCGGAACAGCATTCACTCAAGCACTTTGTAAACACAGGCCACTGTTTTGCGATGGAAATGAGCACATCCAGAGTTTGGGACTATGCAGGGGATAACTATGTTCATAGGCTTATTACCAACCAATCGGATGGAAAGCTAGTTGAGTTGCCTGAGAAGGGTTCTTCGAGTTCAGATAAACCAAACAGTAGTATCGATAAGGTTGATGAAGTTGGATTCGAATACTCGCAGTTGTTGATCAGTCAATTAGCAAGCCAGCAAGAATACTATGAGGCATTGTTGAGCGAAAAGAATTCAGGACATGCTGTTGGAAAGTCTAGAAGAGGATCCTCGATCACTGAAATTATGAATACGAAAGCTATAACAAATCTAGAAATCAAGGTGGATGAATTGACCGAGCAGCTTAGTCAGATAAACCTTGATGTGATCCCGTCATTGAAGGACAAAATCAAGCTCAAAGATGAGAAAATCAACAGATTATCCAAGGACTTAAATGAGTCTAAAATGTTCAATGAAACCTTGTCCAGCAAAGTTGAATACCTCACAAGTTCTAAAACAGAACTTGAAGCCCAGAATCAAGATTTGAATGAGCAAGTTAAAGATTTGATGTTTTTCCTCGAAACACAGGAAAAGTTTAAGGATGAGCCTCAGGACGTTAAGGATGGAACAATTGTAATTCAAAAAGATGCCAAATCGAAGAAAGGAAAGAAAAAGCGTTAAGAACTTATTCGCACCTCTAATAAGCGGTTGCAAACCTCACTTTGCAGCACCATGCGTTAGCATTACAAATCGTGTTTTTTGTCGTTCTCACAGTACAATTGCTTAAAGCTTCCTTATTTCTTGGTTGAATTACAACTTTGTCAGATTCTGACTATTATGATATGCGTGAGATTTCTGGCATTTTCGTATAAGGCATTCTTTGTTTTAATCTCCCCAAATACCCATTTATTTCATTTGCACTACATGAGTGGAGTAAACTTACAAGGTTCTGAAGCGTTGCCCTCATTCTCAAAGATCATGGAGAATGCTATGAGCAACAAGTTCAACCCACAGATTCCTGCTACTCATCAGTCATGTATAAAGGCTCCCTTTCTTCCTGACTCCCAATCTAGGGTTTCTTTCTCAAACAGTTATGTCCCTGATAGTCAGCCACCCACAAATATGGTGATGAATACCTACTCTTTGAAACCTGCTTGTCATTCATCTTGGTCTCGTGGGTCTAATGATTTCACGTATTACGCTTCCTCGCCTTACCACCATACCCCAAATTCGAGTGTTGGTTCTTACCCTGTGAACTACCAGTTTCCCCCACCACCCTTGATACACCATCGTCCATACGAAACAGGAGCAGATGTTGATGAGGTGAAAGCAGATGACGTTATGAGAGATATCACCAAACTAATGTCCACCTCACAAGATGTTTCCGAAAACATGGAATTGTTGAAAAGAGAGTACCATGCTTTGTTGTATTCCAAATTGGTGAACAGCCCTGCGAATGATAATGCTCTGTTGGCTCTTGGCTCTGAAATTCGTCCCACAAACCGGATCACTCTTGATTCAATTAAGCATATGTTGCTTTCCGTTCCCCCTTCTGTGTTAGTCACTTTGGAGTTTTACTCTCAAGAGCATCATCGTATTCTTGCAAATCTCAAGGCATCTCAAGCTAAGTTATTGACACAAAGAGAAAGAGAACAACTTCACGCTGCTAACCTGGTGGTGAAATCTGATACTGGAAGAGCCTCAGCGGGGTCAAATGCAAATGCCACCCAGCCAGTCATTACTTATCAGAAGAGAAAGCTGATGTCCTCTTTCAAGAATTCTTCTGGGTTGAGCGAGTTCAAACCTGGTTTAAGAAGGAACTCCAAATCCGAAGAGCATGTTCACCAAGAATCGAAAGCTGTACATCATTCCAAGTCCAAACTGGTTCAGAAGATGCACACGAGTCACAGATCTGTCTTTAAGTTTCCAGAACTTGAATCACAATCGCCTCTAATTTGTACACATTGTGGTTCGGAGAAGACACCAGAATGGAGAAGAGGACCAGATGGAGATAAAACCCTCTGTAATGCCTGTGGGATTTTTTACTCTAAACTCATCAGAAAATACAACTCCCCCAAAGAGGCTGCCCTGATTATGAAGCAGCGCAAGTCTGAGGGCTTGGAGATTGACAGACATGTTTGAATAATTGGCTGCTAAATTGATAGCTTTTGTAGCATCCGTGTATAATATGCAGGACATAATAAAAAATTGATGAGATGAAGCTGATGAGAAGAGAAAAAAATTTATAGATTTTGCAGAGTTAACTATATCCCACATTTCAAGTATCTACCATGACTGAGTCAACTAATCGTGAATCGATACTTAGAAGTAATGATATCGCATTCCCTAGAGGTGGATCTACTGGTTTGACCCCTTTGGAAGTTAAAGAAATCTCCAACGAAGCCACCAAAGATGTTTTATTCGAAACGGCTGCGTTAGGTACCAAGAGAAAGGCTACAACCTCTACATCTCAAGCCAAGAAAAAGATAAAGAACGGGAGAAGAGGAGGCAAGACAGATCTGACTACTACTGAAGTAACGGAAGAAAAGGAGTCAGTCAAGATTGAAAACTTCAACTTTAAGAACCTCATTCCTGGTACCAAGGTTTTGGGTGAAATATCCAAAATTTCAAAACTTGCTATCACTGTTTCAATTGGAGACAATTTGTTTGGCCACCTTCCTATAACCTCTATCAGTGAAGATATTACTTCGAGAGTTGAAAAGTATGCAGAGCATGAACAACAGAGTGATGATGAAATTGCTTATGAAAACGAAGATGAAGACAAAGAAATTCTCACCGGAACCCTTAAAACTTCTTCAGCAGAGTTTCCTGATCTTCAAACCATCTTCCAGATAGGTCAATGGATTAATGCCCAAATCATCGAAAATTCCAGCAAAAAGGGAAAAAAGATTGAGTTATCTATTGAACCATCTGTGGTTAACAAGGAATTGGAAGACGATGACTTGATTACCGGAAACTTGATTCAAGGTGCCGTTATTTCCAAAGAAGATCATGGTATTATCTTAGACATTGGTAAGCCAGGATTGACGGGGTTCATCTCAAACAAAGACTTGAAAGACTCCAAATACAATGTAGATGAGTTCCAAGTGGGCCAGGTTTTATTATCCAGCATTTCTTCCAAGTCTGCTCGAAATTTGAGCTTAAAACCATTGGAGAAGCATTCCAAATCTTCCACCATCTCCACTATAACATCTGTTGATGCCATTCAACCAGGTGTGATGGTGGATGCCTTGGTTACTGACGTTACCAAGAATGGGATTGTCACTAGAGTTTTCGGACTCGTTGATGGTACTATCAACTTGACTCACTTGAACGATTTTGAAGTGAAAACATTGCAACACAAGTACACTGTGGGTAATAACGTTAAAGCTAGAGTCATAGCTGTCTTACCAAAGGCTGGAACCAAGAAGCTTATTTTGTCCCAGTTGCCTCATATTATGAACTTTCAGAAATTTTCTGAGTTGAAAGAGTCTGCATTAGAAGCTTATCCAATGGGCCACAAGTTTGACGAAGTCAAGGTAAAAGGAATGGATCCCAACTATATTTATGTCGATTTAGGTGGTTCATTGAGAGGTCAAGTGCATTTATCAAATCTCGATCCATCTAAATCCATTGAAATAGACTATACTGCTGGTTCCACACATGAAGCGAGACTAATTGACTATGACGCTTTTGATAACGTATTTATCTTATCTTTCGACCCGAAAGTCATCGAAGCCAAATACTTGAACTTTCACGACATTCAAGATGGGGCCTATGTGAATATCGAGATTGTACAAGTATTACCTGAATCCAAAGGAATCAAGGTGAAAGTGTTAGACAAGTTTGATGGGTTTGTACCTCCATTGCATATGTCAGATATCAAGTTGATTTATCCAGAAAGAAAGTTCAGAGTGGGAACTAAGGTTAAGGCTAGGGTGTTGAAGAAAGAGAAAAATAGATTGCTCATCACCTTGAAGAAAGCTTTGGTCAATATCGAAGATGAGTTCGTGTTGAACTCGTTTGAAAATGCCACTCCTGACTTGAGAACAGCTGCTACAGTTGAAAAGTTTGTTCATGGAGGTGTAATTGTGTCATTCTTTGGATACTTGGGTGCTTTCCTCCCAAAGAACGAAATCTCCGAGACCTTTGTCGATGATCCAAAAGATTATTTGAGGATCGGACAATCTGTAAACGTGAGAGTCACCACCATCAATAAGGAAGACAAGAAATTGGTAGTGTCCTTGAGACAATCTAGTAGTTTGACTGGTACTCAAAAGGATTCTCTTGGTGATCTAGTTCCAGGAAAATCTGTTGTTCCAGCCATCATGGTTGAAAAGAAAAAGGACTCTGTGATCATTGAATTGGCTGACAGCGGTTTAAGAGGTGTGATATTCAACGGTCATTTATCTGATGGCAATTACGAACAGAACAGAGCATTAGCTAAGAGATTACAAGTTGGTGAAACTTTGGATGTCTTGGTGTTGGAAAAAGACTTGAAGGCCCGTTCTGTTATTGCTTCTCGTAAGAACAGTTTAATTGAAGCTAGCAAGAGAGGTGAAGTACCAGCAAGCTTCAAGGACATTGAGATTGATGAAAGAATGATCTACGGTTACGTCAAGTCTGTCACGAATATGGGATTATTTATCAGTTTTGGTGGTAAATTGACTGGTTTGGCATTGGCAAAGTACGTCACTGATGACAAAAATGGTGATTTATCTAAAAAGTTCTACAAGTACCAATCAATTGCATGCAGAGTTATCAGAATTGATGAAGAAAACAAAAGATTCTTATTGTCTTTGAAGGACATCAACCCTTCGGAAGGTGTTTCCCAATCAGAAGCTGTTATCAACCCCGTTGACTCAACCAAGAAACATGTTGGTGAATACAAACCTGGAGTTGTTACCGAAGCTATCATCAAGTCCATAAAAGGTACTCAGTTGAACGTTGAAATGGCTGACAACTTACAGGGAAGAATCGACATTACTCAGTGTTTCAACTCCTGGAATGAAATAAAAGATAAGAGACAACCTTTGTCTCAATTTCACAAGGGTGAAAAGGTTAAAGTGAAAATTATCGGTTACCATGATGCTAAGAACCACAAGTTCTTGCCAATTACTCACAAAAGATCCAACAAAAATATAATTTTGGAATTGAGTATGGTAAAGAAAGTTGTCTCCAACCTGTCAACGACCCTTGATATCTCAAGCATTGTGGAAGGAAGCAAACAATTGGCCTTTGTTAACAATATTGCCAAGGGTTATGTGTGGGTTTCAATTGCTCCAACTGTAAAAGGACGGATTTCTTTCATGGAGTTAACTGATGACACTTCCATTTTCGAAGACTTAGAAACCAAATTGCCAATTGGTTCTGCTTTCCAAGCTTCCGTTAAAGAGATTGACCACGAACACAATATTGTCATTTTAAATGCCAGAAAAGATGCTGTTAGCTCCATCGATGATGTCAAAGTTGGAGACAAATATCCTGCCAGAATCTTGAAGGTTAAGGAGACTTTTGTTTTGGTCGAGTTAGGAGAGAATGTAACTGCTTCTGCCTATATCACAGACGCTTTGGATGATTACACTGAGAAGTTGGAATCCGTTTTCAGCAGTAATGATTTCACTAGTGCTACTGTTTTGAACGTCGATAAAGAAGCCAAGAAGATGGCTGTTAGCTTAAGAACTGAATCAGCCAGTGACAAATTGATCAACAGTTTTGCTGATTTAAAGATAGGTGATGTTGTGAGAGGTTTCATTAAGAATATTGCTAACAATGGTATCCATGTATCTTTAGGTAGAACTGTTTCAGCCTATGTCAGAGTGTCAGACTTGTCAGACTCCTTTTTGAAAGACTGGAAGAGATATTTTAAACTTCATCAAAGTATTGTCGGAAAGATCTCTGCTTGTGAAAAGGAAGGTCAAGTGAGAATGACCTTGAAAGAATCAGAAGTCAATGGTGAATTGAAGACCTTTAAAAAATTCGAAGACTTAGAAGTTGGAGAAATATTTGAAGGTTCTGTCAAGACGGTAACTGAATTTGGTGTCTTTGTCAAATTAGATGGTACTTTCAACGTGAGTGGATTATGCCACCATTCGGAAATTTCTGACAATGTTGTTGAAAATATCACTCAGCTATTTGGTGAAGGAGACAGAGTGAAAGTCAAGGTGTTGAAGATTGACTCCGAGAAGAAACAATTGTCATTGGGAATGAAAGCATCGTACTTCACCGAAGACATCGAGATGGAAGATGCTGAAGATGAAGATGCTGATATTAATAGTGAACATTCATCTGCCGACGAGACAGAAGAATCCGACGATATGGAAGAAGATGGAGATGACGAAATCATTGATGTAAAGGAAGGATCTGACAGTTCTGATGAAGAATCCGACGATGAAGAGGAAAGATCTGAGAAGTCAGCTGGTCTTTCAACTGGTGGCTTTGACTGGACTGCTTCTATTTTGGATCAAGCTGATAATGGCGAATCCTCTTCTGACGATGAAGATTTCACCGAGAAAAAGAAGAAGAGATCCAAGTCTAAGAAGTATACTGAAGATAAAACAGGTGACATCAACACTAGAGCTCCTCAGTCCACCGGGGACTTTGAAAGATTGATTATCGGTAACCCCAACTCCTCCATTTTGTGGATGAACTACATGTCTTTCCAATTGCAATTGAGTGAACTTGACAAAGCAAGAGAAATCGGAGAAAGAGCTTTGAAAATAATCAACTACAAAGATGAACACGAAAAGTTGAACATCTGGATTGCCTTGTTGAATTTAGAGAACTCATTCGGAAGCGAAGAAACCTTAGAAGAAACCTTCAAGAGATCTTGTCAATTCATGGACTCATTAACTATGCACCAAAAGTTGGCTTCAATCTATGAGATGTCGGAAAACTTTGAAAAGCTTGACTCTCATTACAAGAATATGTTCAAGAAATTCGGGTCTTCCAACGTTCAACTCTGGGTAAACTATGCCTCAAACTTACTCGACAGAAACTTGAACGATCAGTGCCATGAAATATTAGCAAGAGCTTTACAGGTTTTGTCAAAGCGGGATCATGTTGAGATAGTCAAGAAGTTTGCTCAACTAGAATTCGAGAAAGGTGAAATTGAACAAGGTAGATCTCTCTTTGAAGGTTTAATCAATGATGCACCAAAGAAAATCGATTTGTGGAATGTCTACATTGACAAAGAAATCAAATTCGGAAAAGATAAGTCCAAAGTTGAAGACTTATTTGAGAGAGCATTGGGCAGAAAGCTTTCCAAAAAGCAGGCCAAGTTCTTTTTTAACAAATGGGTGGTATTCGAAAATGACAATGGTGATGAAAAGGGAGCAATCAGAGTAAAAGCCAAGGCAGCTGAATATGTGGAATCCTTGAGCAATGCATAAATAGATCTCATGTGTATAATATAAAATATCTGCAACAATGAGATTAGTCTTCGTAGCAAGCACATAAGAACACCACCTTGTATACGTCTCTGGGTCTTGAGGAAGGAAGGGTTTAATGTTTAATTTGTAGAGTAATGAAAGTAGGAACTTTCCTTAAAAGTTCCAAATAAAGCAACTATTCGGATTCCTTTGAACGCACCTACAATACTCACCGATGAACCTATAAATATTTGAGAGAATACAAATTAAAAGGGTTTCTTTCAGACTAATACGGTGTGGATAAGTTCACATTGAACCATAATTAGGGTGTTAGTAGAATAGCTCTAAAAAAACAGGTCGTACCCGGATTCGAACCGGGGTTAATTGGATCAAAACCAACTGTGATAACCACTACACTATACAACCTGTATATTGTGTCATCATATATGCAGGTTTTGTTTCTGAACCCGTAAAAATATTCCTTGGGCTTGGTGTAAACTTGGAAAGAAATCAGATCTATAGGGTTGACTTTGGTTAACGGTACAGCTTGGCTATCTTTGTCTTGCTAGTGTATCTAGTTTAATTGCCAGGCTATACTATAGTACTTAAACACCTTAAATATAGTTATAAATACCCTTATCTTCACTTGGGCAGCCTTGTCTTGATTATAATTTAGGCAAATTGGCTAGATTTGCAGACTGACTAGTATTTCAGAAAAGCATCTCATAAGATTTGTAACATCTGTCACTGGAAGGATATTCATATCACCTCACAAAAATGGAATAGCAGCTCCATCAGCTCTAATTTCTGAGCCAGCAGCATAAATTAAGTGTCCATTTTTCGACTCATTCTTGATGATCTGAGCTCTGCCAAATGTCGTACGGGCATTGTCTCTTACCCAGCTAGTTCTATGACCTAGCTTAGTCAACTTCTGATAAGTCTCTTCGCTAATCCCTTCTTCGATTAACACATTAGTAACATTGGTGCTCACAGGCCCATCACCACCCAAACCAGAATCTGGAGTCGAAGTATCAGCATCAAGTAAGAACCGGGGCAGATCTACCGATTGTTGGGGAGTAAATCCAAATACGCAGAGATTCATAACGTGAAGAACATGTCCAATTGGTTGCATGTATCCACCCATGTTTCCAAAAGAAGCGAAAAGTTCTCCTTTTTTGGTGATCATCGAAGGAATGATCGTATGGTAAGGCCTCTTTCCACCTTCTAGACAGTTTGTAGCTCCAGGGGTCAAATTGAAATTAGCTCCTCTGTTGTGGAGACAAAAGCCATACTCAGGCACACAAATACCTCCTCCAAACCCCTGGTATACTGAGTTGATGAAGGAACAGGCATCACCATTGGCATCGGAGGCAGTGAAGTAAGTAGTATCAGTTTTGAATTTGGGATCAGGAATTGGCACCCCAAACATAGAAGAATTGATGATCTTATCCTTACTGAACAACTGGGACTTCTTTTCCAAATACTCAGAAGACAAAATCTTAGACACAGGGATATCCTTGAACTCGGGATCAGTCACCGAGTCATTGGCTTCGTAGAACCCTATTTTCAAGGTCTCAATAAGCAAATGTAAATATTCGGACGAGTTGTGCTCCAATTGGAAAACGTCTATTTTCCCAGCCTTATGAAGCTCTTGGATCACCCCCAATGCAACCAAGGCAACAAGACCCTGCCCATTAGGAGGAATCTCCCAAATCGTGTAGCCAAAGAAATCGTACTGGATAGGCTCTACAAATGTCGAAGTGTGTGCTTCAAGATCCTCAAGCGTCAATTTGTGGTGTCTAGAATCAGTTTGGTTGATAATAGCTTTCGCAACCGGCCCAGTATAAAAGCCCTTTTTACCCTTTTCTCCAATAATTTCCAACGCTTTGGCTATGGACTTGTTGGTCACAAAGTCACCTTCGTCGGGGCCTTTGCCATTAATCAAAACCGGGATATCTTGGGGTTCCAAATTGGGGTTCAGTTTGATAATCTTTGGGGTGGAGTTTCTCCAGCTTCTCGCTGCCATTTCGCATACGGCAAAGCCCTTATCAGCTAACTCAATGGCTGGCTCCAAAATCTCTTCAAAGCTGACATTGCCTGATCCCCAGGATTCATAGGCATCAAACCATCCAGCGATGGCCCCAGGTACATTTATAGCAAAAGCAGATGTATATGGAATTCTTGCCATGGATTTTCCCTCGTTCAATTCATCCCACACATCTTGAATAGTCAAGTTTTTGGCAGCTCTCCCACAGCCATTAAGGCCCAAAACTTCCTTGGTGGAATTCTTATAGTACAAAGCGAAGCAGTCCCCACCGATTCCTGTCGATCCGGGTTCTGTGATACAAAGGGCCGCTGCTAATGCTATGCAAGCGTCGACGCAGTTACCCCCTTTAGATAAGATTTTGAGGCCAGCAGCATTGGCAGCAGGCTGTGAAGATGCCACCATTCCCTTCGTAGAGTAGACCGTCGACCTCCTCGAGGCGAACTTGGAGAATTCTGTAGACATTTTTTTGAAGTTGTGTAAAGCTATGTAAATCTAAAATTTCCAGATCAGCGCCAAATGTGAGACAATCGGCTCTACTTTTTATTTCGCTAAAGACATAAAAAAATCTTACTTGGTTTACTTGTTTTCAGCAGGCTTCTTGTTCTTCTTTTTGGTGTTGGTCTTCAATGGCTTGGCAATCAATTCCAATATCCCTGCATCCTCAATCTTTTTGTCGGTTTTGTACAAAGCTGGGTTGAAGGTTGGAGAGGTGAACTTAACAATACCGTTCTTGGTGATACCGAAGGTGGTGAAGTATTGGGCAATGAATTCACCTTCCTTTTCAGTCATGACATCGTAACTCAACAACACTTGGTGGCTGACACACTCAATTAATCCCATTCTGGATTTTCTGATATCTTCAAGCTTCTTGACATTCATGGGGAAAAGACCCGAGGCCTTGCTCTTGAACTCTCCCAAAGCTTGATGGGAAGTCTTCAATTTCAAAGAATAAGAGTTACCAGTTAACTTGTACAAACTAGTCTTGTACTTGGACTCCTTGACTTTACCATCAGTAGAAGTAGAGATCAAAATATCCAATCCATAAACTTCATTTTCTTCGAATCTGTGGGTGTCCAGTTGACTTTTGTTTTCTTTTGTTGGGTTCAATATGATTTCTTTAGGACCATATAACACGTTTCTTTGTTGATTGTGAGACATCATGCTTTCCACAGGGGTGGTGTCAAATACCTTGGCAACCTTGTCAACGATTTGAGTGACATCCCAGTTTCTTGCATTTGGTTTGAAAGTTCTGATGGCAGCCTCGCTGGCATTCCAAGCTGAGTGCAATAAATCAGCTTTCTTACCTTCAATAGGAGATGATTCAGATTCACCTATAACAACGGTTTCAGCCACAATGGCAGGAAACCCATCAATCTGGACACCAAGCATGATATTCACCACGTCACCTTCCTTCAATTCAACGTTGGCCTCATCTTCAGCAGTTGGAGGTGCAAAATGAGCAGGAATGTGGTTGGGGTTAACACAAGTTGGGAAGGCAATCCCCTTGAGGATCTGGGATGTCTTCTTGGAGTTGTAAATCTTGGACAATTCTTCTTCCATTAATTCATCACCTTTCTGGCACAAGTCAAAAGTTTTACTTCCAGCAACCGCCAAATCTCTGACTTGCTTGAGGACTTTACTAGAAATTTCACCACCGGTTTTGTATTTTTGCACAACATCAGAGTTGGCGATAGTGTAGTCGACTTTTTCGGTTTTGGTAGCTAGCAGGAGTTAGTAGTTATTCACATAATCCATATAATTCTAATACTTACTTTTAGTGGACATCGTTCAAGAGTTTATGTTTCGAAGTCTCGCTGAAAATTTTACATAATATTAGCATTAGTAGTGCACCGGTATTAGTTATTCTGGGGGCATTCAGGAGTGTACTAGCAATTGAAACTACTTGTATATGTGGTTGGAGAATTTCAAATGTCTACATCTTCATCGCTTTAACATATTTCAAGTTCCTGGTGGGTTGAACTTGGTAGCCTTAACAACCGTTAATGCTGCAAAATCACGTCCAGAATCTTTTGAGAATACATATTCTTCACTCATGAGACCCTCATCCAAACCAAGAAGAAAACCAAAGGCTTCCTCGGGTAGCAACCCTATTACGTCAGATACTGTGGTGCCTAATCAGATTTCCTCACCACCCATCTACTTGTACAACGTTCCCCTTTCCCTGGACGTATTTATCCCTTTAAATATTCCTTACTGCCATTTGCTTCGTAACTTATATTCATACACTTTGAATTGATATACTACCTAGTTTACACAGTACAGAGTTTTATCAGGGAAAGTTGTGATTGTAGTGATTGTTAGATGGATTTCTTAAGGGTTAGGAGTTCTTTTGGGTTAGCATATGATTGGGTCATCCAGTCTGATTTCAATAGTTGTTCCGCCGTGAGCCGCTTGGAATTTGAAGGGTGGAGTAGTTTGAATATATAGAATCTGGCACCATAATGCAAGTCTTTGAAGACATTGAGAGATGGGTTCAATTTATAGTTGGCATTACTATTCTCCAAGTCTTTGTTCAAGTTAGAAATCAAGTTGTCAGATCCGGGGAAATTAGCCTTGTAGTGCCTGAAGTTAGGGTCATTAAAGTCGGCAGTCTTCCAGGGCATTATCATCAAGTAAAGTTGAATGTAAACTATTCCCAACGCCCAATAATCAAGTGCTTTGAAGTCCATTAGCTGTTTCACCTTTTCCATGCTTTCACCTTCCTTCAACAATTTATCGCATTGGAAGATTTCAGGAGCTTTGAATGAGTTTGTTCCACAAATTAGAACCGGGTTGGAAGAATTCCAAAACTCTTCGTCAAGTCGTTTTAAATCAATCGAGTATCCAAAATCACTGATCTTAATGTCCCCTGAGTCGCTGATAAGAAAGTTTTCTGGTTTCAAGTCACGATGAGCCACCTGATTCTGATGGAGATATTTGACTCCACACACGATCTGCTTGAACATTGAGTCCTTCAAATTCGAATTGATGGTTTTCTTATTCTTCCGAAGAACTGACAAAAAGTCCAATAAATCGCCTTGAGGATAATAAGGCAAAACAAAGTAAAGCTCATCGGTGTCTTTATTTCTGCAAAGATCCAAAATCGTTATGATATTCTTGTTCTTCAATGGCTTTAATAAATTGTACTCTCTCATAACGGCAGCTTGATAGTTTGGTGCCGTTTCCAGAGAACGTTTCTTAACTGTCTTTAACACAACTAGCTCGTTGGTGACTTTGTCAACCCCTTTAACAATGACTCCATTGGCTCCCTCGTACAAGACTTTCCCATCTGCCTTATAATCCCCCAGGGTTTGGGGTAATTTCCCAGTACTATCATCCTCAGGGTCAGAAGGTTCCAGTTTATCACCTGCATCGGCCGGGAGGAATTCCCTTGGCAAGGCTTTCGGGTTATCTGTCTTAGAATTCGGTGGGGTGGCTGCAGAGTCCAACTTAATTGACTCTACTAGATTAGGTAAACTTTTCGCTGACATCACCCCGTTATGAAATATAAGTGTTGATGCTTATTATACTTCAACAGCCATGCGTTTCCAAACTAAGCAATGTTGGGATGGTACCAAGGATGGTAGTTAAGGTTCAATAGTTTCTTATCAATGTGCTAGCACGAATGTACTGGGTATTCAAAGTATTATCAGTCTTATCTCATACCAATTTAGGAAACCTTATACATGAACCAAGTGGTGAGACGGAAAATTTTATTTTCGCAGGGTGAGGATTAGGGTGATTGCTTACATAACGTTTTGTCTGCCGCAACGAGGCTATTGCTGGAAATGACCCATCCAAAATAGAAGCAATTTAGCAAAACAACCGTTTGTAGAAATATGTTTGTTTGAGCCTTGTACCCAAAATTTCACTTTTATAATGCTTGTGTGACTATGCAAGGCTAAGCAACCAAGTTAGTGCGTGTTTTCTGAAATTATAAATTCAAGCTTGCACCCGACCCTATCTTTTCAAAATTTCAATTATTTACATTATGTTAAGAAGAGTATTCACGTTTGTCCCCGTTATTTTATTACTTGGTGCTGCTTTATTGTTGTTCTTTGTCAACTTAGCAGGTGCCAACCCTTCGGGTGTGCTAGGAAAATTTTACTGGAGTGAAGTCGACTCCAGTAGTTTTAATGCACCTTGGGATAAGGCCAGATGGACCTTGTATTCTCTTTGTGGAGAACAGAATGGTAGAAACTATGACTGCACAAGCACGAAGGCTGCTTTTCCCTACTCTCCAAAAGATAACTTTGGCTCTGCTGAGAACCTACCCCAGGAATTCATCAAGCACAGAAAAACGTACTACTATTTATCAAGATTTGCTTACGCTTTCTTCTTGATTGGAATTGTGTTTGCAATTCTTGCTATTATTCCAACCGTATTATCCTGCTGTCTCCTGGGATTTATAACCGGTATCTTGGGTTCTATTGCAGCTGGTGTTTCCTTATTATTCACCACTGCAGGTGCTGCGCTCAACACTGCTGCTCATATCAAGGGAAGAAACGCTTTTAACAAGGCTGGTTTCACTAGCAGTGTCAGCTCTGTGATGTTTGGAATAACCTGGGCTGCTGTCGCCTGTTTGTTGTTGAGCTTCTTGTGGATGTGCTTTGTTGCTGGTCGCGGAGCGAGTAAGAAGCTTTACAGCGGACGTGATGATCACGAAGCTCATTCTGAGGTAAAAGCAGCCTCTTCTGAGTCATCTCGTAACGACCACGTGATTTACAATGATACTCAATACGATCCTTATGCTCAACAATACGCACCCCCACCAGAGCAAAAGAAGAGCAAATTCTTCCTCAGGAGAACCCAATGAAGAATGATTTAACTTATTTAGTAAATGTAATATAGAGGGGTTCAAATGAGATTGTAGAAAGGGGTTTGCAGTCGATAAACCGAAATCCTTGGTAGTATGTCAGTTTTGTAGAATGCAGTTACACTTTGTAAGTAGGTAAGAGTCGAAATAGAGAGGTTGATGTTTAGATAAAAATGGATGCGAAAATTTGAATGCGGTATGTTTTGCAAGATTGACAGAAGTTGAATAATTGAGCATCTTGAACTAATAGTAATCTTAGAATGTTCAAGATGTTTTATTGGTATATTCAATTCAACCCCACACAGTCGCTATAAAATAATTTACTCTGATGGTGCAAGGCCCTCTCAAATCTACGTTTAGCTTAAAAAGCATTCATTTAGAATACAAAAAACAATTGAAAAGTGAAACGTACAAGAGCGGGAACCTAAGAAGATCCCAAACCAAACTAAAAACCCTTGGCTCAAGAGATTGGCTGCCACTTTAATCTGTAATTCCAACTGAAAGCATCAGCATCAGCATCAGCATCAGCATCAGCGTCTCTCTTGGAAATTGGCTGCCACTTCAATCTGTAGTTCCAACTGAAAGCGTCAGCATCAGCATCAGCATCTGCGTCTCTCTTGGAAATTGGCTGCCACTTTAATCTGTAGTTCCAACTGAAAGCGTCAGCATCTCTTTTGGCAAGATCAGCTTCACCTAAAGCAGTGGTATTGAGAATGACAACATAGTTTTGACCATCGGCTTCAGCGTAAAATGGTTGTTTGTACTCGTCAATAGGATATACAGCAATTATGGCTTCATCAGGAACGTCTAAACCATCTTCCCTCTTGACTTTTTCAACTGGGGCACTGAAAACAAACTTGGAGGTAAGGGCTAAAGTAAGGATAGTAGATAATCTCATTGTCAATGTTATTAGACTGAATCAAAGGTAGAACTTGTTTTAGGTGATGAAGAGATAAACAGAAGCTGGGAGTTCATTAAGATATTTATAGCTTCCATGTTTATGGTTAGTGTGGTGGTCTAAGCTCAAATGTGTGAAAATATTCCTGAGTGTATGTTTTAGAAGTGCCCTTTTGCACCCAAATCTGGTAATTTTCAACAAAAAAATCAACACATTTCAAAACCACTCCAGTTTCCTTGGAGAAGATCGCTACTGGAGCTACAATTGTATACAGTAGCTCTAAGGTTTCGGCATCGATTTTCACCGTTCTAGTAGAGATGTGTATTTGTTTTCTAAAAAAATTACTAAAAGCGGGTTCAAAAGGGTATCCTGATACAAAAAATAAAAGCTACCACCAAGTTTTTGAGCTTTGATGGTTGCCAAAATGGGGAAATTAAGGCACTTAGACAACATAGGGGATCCTGATGACTACATTCTTGTCGCAGTTTAGAAATTGATATTTGCGAAGAGTTTTATCAAAGGAAAGCCAAGTCCACAAATGTCGAAATCTGAGAATTCGCTGACATCTGTAGGCAAAGGCAACTTCAGCATGGATATAACAAATTACAACATAGCTCGAAAACCCTCCAATTAGGATTCTTCCAGTGTATCTAAAATATCATTCTCCTACCTATTGTTAGAAGAGAAGAAGAAATCAGTAGAGATGAAAAAAGAGAGTAGTAATGCTAGTCTTTCCTTGTCAACTAGTAATAGAGTGCAAGGTAGGTAATAGCATTTTGACCTCTGAGGGAACAATAAGCCTCAGGTCTTCAAGTTATCTCTATAAAGCTGTTAGTTTTTCATCAGCAGAGTTCACTGAAGCTATAATGGCATACCGGCAGATAAGCCACTCGTTTTTAAAAAAGGACGAATTGTGTGCCGGTTTGCTCCGCACTTGAATACACCAACATCTTTGAAGAGAGTGGACGAAAGGCAGACAACAATGAGAAAAGTCCCCGATGAAGATTTACCCATGGGTTGGAGAAAAGTCTCCGATGAAGATTTACCCATGGGTTGGAGAAAAGTCTCCGATGAAGATTTACCCATGGGTTGGAGAAAAGTCTCCGGCAAAGATCTACCTGGCTTGAGGAAAGTCTCCCTGCCAAATTTGACCATTGGTTAAAAATATTTTTCAACTCGAGGCGAAGAGCTGCTAGCCAAACGAAAGTTCCATTTTTCAAGTCGTACTTTAACGAATTATTTTTGTTGACCCTTTTTTGTTATCTTTCTGCAAAAATGTAACCTTATATTGCGCAGGGTTGTTATATTTTAACATAAGCCTCAACCACAGTTTCAAATTATTGGGTATGAGGTAAAATACAAATTACATTCACAGCTATTAGTAGTTGTCGAATGTAATGTAATAAGGGTAGTGGCAAGATAAATGCAAAAGAAATCAGGTCAGTAAAAGTGTGGGCACTGAAATCGGCCCCAGTCTCTGCTGTTATTGTATTGGGTTGAGATAGCCCCTGCAATATTTATAAGCAGGATGTCGCAAAAACCCGAGAATTGACAGATTATCCACAGTTATGCAATGGACGACGACAGAAGCTGAAACCACGTTTCTCGAATCCACCATGCTGTTAAAAAAGGAGACACGACAATTACTAGAAAATAATCCACACCACGTACATAAGTTAAATGGGTCAACGGAGATATGAGAGTATGCTACGAAGAGGGATGAAAAAATTCAGGGCGCAAGAACCTCACTCAGTTACTTTTTTGAGTTTCTCATGTATTGCACGACATTTAGATTGACATGAGGATCTGCAATCGGTTCTTCCTTATCGCGATTTTCAATATTATGAACAACTTATCGTACGCATAGTTGAGCAATGAAACACCTACCCCAAACATTAGCTGCCACCCAAACTCTTATAAGTTAGATATCCTTTATTCAGTTTAGACAGAGAGTGTTGAGTGTACCCGTTAACAATCATGAATCAATCGCCGTAGACCGAATGCAAGGTAGCCTAATAAAATATTCTTATGTAAGTTACAAGGCAATACATGCAAAAACAGAGCCGCATGGCAAAAATCGGAGAGTTTTCCTATCAAGCTCAAATTTCCGGATCGAGAAGGTGGGAGCAGTGATTGTGGAAGGTTTCCAATAATTCCCCGTAAGCAGGATTGTTCTTATCAGTTATAAAGTGTTGACCTCCCTCTTATGCCGGTAGTATAGAAATTTCCAATTAGAAAAATGTCTGCTTCCATACTTAGTAGCCAAGAAAAAGAGAAGAAACAGCCAGTCGTTTATGCAACCGAAGCTGATATCGGTTCCTTGAACGATAATGCCAGTGATTCAGGTGATGAGTATTTCGATCATCTCCATCATGAAAGAACGTTAAGTAAGGCTCTTAATTCCAGACATTTGGGAATGATTACACTTGTAGGGGTCTTTGGAACCGGTTTGTTCCTTTCTTCTGGTGGTACCTTAGCCAACGCTGGGCCCGTTGGAATTCTACTTGCCTATCTTGTTGTCGGTCTCGTTGTCGGTGCTAACCAAATGTGTATCACCGAATGTGCTTGTTTTATGCCCGTCACCAGTGGTTACGTTAGACATTCTGAACATTTTGTTGATGAGGCTCTTGGATTTATGATGGGGTGGACTGACATTTATTCATCATGTATTCCAAATGAGCTTTCTGCTGCTGCCGTGGTGGTGCAATATTGGACCGATTTGAGTCCAGCTATCTTTATCACTATTTTTGCTATTGCTTGTATTGCCACCAATGCTTATAATGTGAGGTGGTACGGTGAAATTGAATTTGTTTTTGGAATCTTGAAGCTTACTTTGATTGTCATATTGATAGTAACCGGTCTTGTTATTGACTTGGGTGGAACTGGGGACAGAATTGGATTCAGATACTGGAAAGACCCTGGTCCATTTGTGGAAAAGTACACAACTGGTAGTTTGGGACACTTTGCTGGTTTCTGGAAAGCCCTTAGTTCTGTTGTTTATGCTTACGCAGGTGTACAAGCCATTGGTTTATTGTCTGGTGAAGCCGAACATCCAAGAAGAGCAATCTTCAGGGCCGCAAAGAGAGTATTTTACAGAGTGTTTACTCTTTACCTTCTCACTGTTTTCGTGTTGACGTTGATCGTCCCATCGAATAACGAAACAATTGCGTCGCCTAATGGAACTGCAGCAGCCTCGCCATTTGTAGTCGCTATGCAAGGGCAAGTGAAGGTATTGCCTCATTACATCAATGCTATTGTTTGTACTTCTGCTTTTAGTGCTGGAAACTTGAACATTATCAAAGCTTCAAGAACTTTATTCGCATTGGCTGCAAAGGGTCAAGCACCAAAGATATTCTTAAAAGTTAACAAACATGGATTACCATGGGTGGGTGTCACTTTTGCTTGTGCTTTCATTCCATTGGCTTATATGTCAGTCAGTTCCGGTTCTGATACTGTGTTCTCTTGGTTCCAAAATATCACTTCTTCAAATACTCTTTTGAACTGGATTCTTATCTCCGTCAACCACATTGGAATGATGAGGGCTTTCAAAGCTCAAGGATACAGCAGAGAACTCTTACCCTACAAGTTCAAGGGAACAGTTTTCGCTTCGTGGTTTTCCTTATTCTTCTCGGTGCTTTTCTTGTTGACAGGTGGATTCACCAACTTTATCCACGGTCAATTTGACTTTGGTTCTTTCTTTGGAGCGTACTTTATCATTCCATTCTCCATTATTCTTTACGGTGGATACAAGATTATCAAAAGAACTAAGTTTCAGGACCCCAAAAAGGTTGACTTGAAGAGTATTTTCAAGGATATTGAACTTTATCCTGAACCGGAGTACCCGAAGTTAAAGGGGTGGGAGTTGATCACCCTTATTTGGGCTTAAAACAAAGGAACATTTTAGTTCTTATAACTTCCACTAATTGTGATTTTAGCGTAGTTTTATTGTGGATATCAATTTACAAGGCTCATATACTTTTTTTCTTTTGTAAGCTTTTGAAAGGGCCGATCACTAGGAAACAACTGAAACACTTGGAAGTTTCATGCAGCATTTAGTGGACTTAAAGAATCGCCTTGTTTCTCCACATTAAGCGCTCTCTACATGCGGAATGTCTTATTCCACAAGTGAGGCCACAGTGATTTGAAAGAGATATCGCGACAAAAAAATTAACTTCCTGGGCTCAGTACCACGATTTCCACAGTTTTGGTTGGTGCTAGACATGATCTTTACCACCACGTAGAACAATGGACGTGTACCAAAGACGCACGAGATGGAAGTGAATAAACTTAGGTGCTTAGTGGACGGCGTGAAGATAGTATGTAATACCCATAGATACGATCGAGGACCCTGTCGCAAAACCGGCTTATCCAGGTTTCAAAGTTTCTGATAAGCCATAGCATATATTGTGAAGATCTCGGAAGATGCCACAGGTGAAAAATCTTTTTTGGTATAAATTGATCTTAATATCCTCTCCTTCTTGGGGCAACTAATTACATTTGACTTTAGAATATGTCTGCTTCAGTGGTCAGTGGTCAAGAGAAAGATAAACATCAGGTTGTTTATGCAACCCAAGAAGATGTTGGTTCCTTAAAGGAAAATGAAAGCGACGCAGGGGAGTACTTTGACCACTTTCGCCATGAAAGAACGTTAAGTAAGTCCCTTACTTCCAGGCATTTGGGAATGATTACGCTTGTGGGGGTATTTGGAACCGGTTTATTTCTTTCCTCTGGTGGTACTTTGGCTACCACTGGTCCGGTTGGAATGCTTTTAGCTTATATTCTCGTGGGTCTTGTTGTCGGTGCTAGTCAAATGTGTATTACTGAATGTGCTTGTTTTATGCCTGTAACCAGTGGTTATGTCAGACATTCTGAACATTTTGTTGACGATGCACTTGGATTTATGATGGGGTGGACTGATATATATTCCTCGATTATGCCCAGTGAACTTTCTGCTGCTGCCGTGGTGGTGCAATATTGGACCGACTTGAGTCCAGCTATCTTTATTACTATCTTTGGGGTAGCCTGTATAGCTACCAACGTTTACAACGTAAGATGGTATGGAGAGATTGAATTTGTGTTTGGAATCTTGAAGCTTTCTTTGATTGTCATATTGATAGTTACCGGTCTTGTTATTGACTTGGGTGGAACTGGTGATAGAATTGGATTCAGATACTGGAAAGATCCAGGCCCATTCAATGCAAAGTACACTACAGGTAGTTTGGGAAATTTTGCAGCCTTTTGGAAAACGGTTTCCTCTGTGGTTTATGCTTACGGAGGTGTGCAGGCCATTGGTTTATTGTCTGGGGAAGCTGAATTCCCAAGAAGAGCAATTTACAGGGCCGCAAAGAGAGTATTTTACAGAGTGTTTACTCTTTACCTTCTCACTGTTTTCGTGTTGACGTTGATCGTCCCATCGAATAACGAAACAATTGCGTCGCCTAATGGAACTGCAGCAGCCTCGCCATTTGTAGTCGCTATGCAAGGGCAAGTGAAGGTATTGCCTCATTACATCAATGCTATTGTTTGTACTTCTGCTTTTAGTGCGGCTAATATTGGTATTATCAAAGCTTCAAGAACTTTATTCGCTTTAGCTGCGAAGGGTCAAGCACCAAAGCTTTTCTTAAAAGTTAACAAACACGGATTACCATGGGTAGGAGTCACTTTTGCTTGTGCTTTCATTCCATTGGCTTATATGTCAGTCAGTTCCGGATCTAAAACTGTGTTCTCTTGGTTCCAAAGTATTACTTCGTCAAATCTTCTTTTGAATTGGATTCTAATCTCTGTTAACCACATTGGAATGACCAGAGCTTTCAAAGCTCAAGGATACAGCAGAAAACTCTTACCCTACAAGTTCAAGGGAACAGTTTTCGCTTCGTGGTTTTCCTTATTCTTCTCGGTGCTTTTCTTGTTGACAGGTGGATTCACCAACTTTATCCACGGTCAATTTGACTTTGGTTCTTTCTTTGGAGCGTACTTTATCATTCCGTTGTCCATTATTCTTTATTTTGGATACAAACTCATCAAGAAGACCAAATTAAAGGACCCCAAAAAGGTTGACTTGAAGAGTATTTTCAGGGATATTGAACTTTATCCTGAACCAGAATACCCTAAGTTAAAAGGCTGGGAGTATATCACCCTTCTTTGGGCTTAAGTGAAGGAATAGTTAGTTCCGTAGTTAATAAAAATACTTGCTTCTTATGGTTTCGCAGCTACCGCAACTTCCTAAATTTTGTCTCAATTTCTCACTAAATTGATCACAACCAACCGCAGCGCATCTGTATTCAGTATGTCTGTCGAGAGAATAAAGAATACGGTTGCTCCGGACAAGATTAAGAACAACCTTACACACTTTGGAAACTCAATTTCCACGTCCATTGGTTCCAATGTCTCGAACGTGAAGAATACATTCAAAAAAAAGACTTACGATAGTGATGATGAACTCATATCTCAATATCAACATGATATCAAAAGGTCCATAAAAGCTATGAAATACATCCTAAGTCAAATCCACCGAATGGCTAATGCTGGTATCCCAAAGCTTTTCAAGTCTCATATGAAGGGTGTGGAATTATTCAGTAAGTTGATTGGGGCTGGGTCCTTGCATTTTGAAGGTATTCAAGAGTTCTACCACGAATTTGATAAGCTTCAAGCGGAATCTGAAACTCCTATGGTCCATCCCAAGGAAATGGATTTCGAGGTACCAGCCATTAATGAGCAGATCTACAACTATATGGTGTCTGTGGACAGATTAACGTCTAAGACATTGGATGACTGGGATCTATTTTACCAGGAAAATAAGCTCAGGGTGATCGAAATGAATGATTACTTGAAAGGTACACTTAAGCTTATTTCCAAAAGAAATAAAAAGCAGTACGAGTACGAGAATACTCATAAGAAACTCGAAAAACTAATGAAGAAGACTAGTCAGTTGGACGATAAGGAACAAAAACAAATGGTTACTTTGGAGAAGAAGTTGAATCAGGTCAAGTATACTTTTGAAAAACTAGATGATAAGACTAAAACCATCTTACCCCATGTTCTTCTACTTTTGGAGGAGTTCATTGACTCCATTTCTAAGATTATATTTTTCAAGCAATACGATACTTTGAAAAGCATTTATGACACTATCAAATATTTTACTACTTACTATGGGTATTTCGATGGAAAAGATGACAACGATTATAATACGATTACGGATGCCTGGGAAAATGCTATGACACCTGTAAGGTTACAACTAGAGACTTTTATAACCATTATCCAAGAAAAGAACCCAGAGTTGATAAACCAAGAGATTGATGACGAAGACAAAACCCTGAAAGCAACCAAGATGTGGAATAAGGTTACCAATAAGATGACAGAAAAGACCTTCAATTTGAAGGTGGATAAAGGCAACGGTATATTCAACGGACATTTGATCGCAGACCAGCTCAATGCCTTTTTGGAATACCACAATCCTAATTCTTTTCGGTCAGAAACGTACTTTCCCTCCAAAATACCCAAAATTCCAGATTTGCCAATCATTGTTGAAGAAAATAATCCTCTTCCACCTCCTTTACCTCCTAGACAAAATACAGCCAGACAACAGATTTTTTCTGCTACGCCAAGGCTTGGTGTACTAACTTCGTTACCATCCACACCTTCAATTGCTTCACCAAAGAGCCCTCTTTCTGTTGCAGGAGGATTTGAAGCAAAATCAAGGTCAAATGAACTGGAACTGGACGATTCCTATGAGTCTGATAGTATAATGAGCGACAAGGAAGATCTTGATAATCTTGACGGTGATGACGACGATTTTGATAGTAGATCAGTCAGCATGCAATCAATATCGACGTCGCAGCTAGTGGAAGATACTAAAAAGGGAAACCCCAAACTTGTGAAGGTTTATAATGCCTCCAAGAACAGCATCGGGATAGCTCCTATTACAGCTCCTCTCAATGCCAATATTATTCCTCCCGGTGATAACTTTAAAACTTCAAGTATTACGCACAAACTTGATGAATTCACAGAGTTTTTTGATAAAGTGCTTGTTTTGGAGCCGTCATCAGAGAGAAGAAAATTTGAAGCCAAACATGACTTCGAGGGTGTCGAGCCAGGAGATATGTCATTCCGAAAGGGCGACCATATTGAAATTATATTTGAATTCCATGATTTCATGGAAGGTGATAATCAAGGTATTTGGTTGGTTGGAATGAATGAACAAGAGCATAGAGTGGGCCTAGTGCCTAGCAACTACTTTTAGGGCCTATACATAGATATATACAAATTTTATGGTGTTTTTTTGCCTAATCAACCTCGGATTCTAAGAGCTTGAATAATGTCCCCATAACTCTTTGAGGGTCTTTAAGATATCCACCATGGAAGAATTCACTGGTCATAAAAGCTCTAAAGTTTCTGCCTCCAAAAGTGTCTTCCAAAACTTTTCTACTAAGATCAAAATCCACATACAAGTCGTGAACGTAAACAGCCCCAACAATAGGAACCTTTTCAAACGTAAGGGTCCTCAAGGTCTCAATATCGTAAAGCTTTGGCCATTGGGTGTTTAAATGAAGTGCAAAAGCCAAACCTTTGAAAGGACGCAACTCAACATAGTCGTTGTACATGGATTTATACACCATTTCAGTAGTGAAAAACGTAGGCTCTTCCCTACCTTCCTGGAAAACAAAACTGGTATTTTCTGGTAAGTATCTGAGTCTATCAGCAGACCAGTTGGATGTCTTGACTTGAGGATTATTTCCATCACAGTAAATAGATTCCTGAAACAATGCATAGATAACGTTGGTGTCAAAGTGCAACAGGTTCAAAACACTGGTCAAAGTGTTGAAGGATGGCGCCCCGAACATTTTCAAGTCGTTGTAGAAGTACTGTACAAGAGAATGAATCTTGTCTGTTCCTCCATGTTGACCAAAGTTCAATCCCATCTGCTGAAACCTTTCAACAGACAAGTTACCTCCGTCTGGTAAACTGGTTTTGTTTGTGGATAAATAAGTCAAGATCGTATTAACTTTAGTGACATCTTGAGGGTACTTAGAGTAGTAATGAATATTTCTCTCTTTGGCACGTTTATAGGTTGAGCGGTAGACATCATCAGGACCATGGTTAATAGGAGGAACTCCACCTGTAATGAAAGACTCCTTAATGGAATTTGGATATTTGGATAAGTAGATGAATGAACAGAATCCACCAAATGATTGTCCGCTTATTGACCATTTGCGAGTCTTCAATAAGATTTCCCTGATTCTTTCAAGGTCTTCAACAATGGAAGCACCAGTAAAGTTCAATATATAGTGTAGTTGCTTTACCACATAGTTTACCTCCAGTTCACTGGTCTTGGGTATCAATTGAGGGAAGCTAGTGGAATTGATGGGGGTACTTAATCCAGTACCTCTCTGGTCCATGTAAAGAACTTGGTACCCTCTGTCGATGAAGATGTTTGTGTACGGAATATTTGTAGCTGGTGGCAGACAGGGGTATCCTGGACCACCCTGAATGAATGTGACAACTTTTGGGACTTTCGGAAGAAGGTCCGTCACCTCAGGGTCGAATTTTTGGCATAAGGTTGCAAACACCAGGATTTCCTGACCAGAATAATCGTCATTGAAGTAAGAGAGTGGCAAAGAGAACTTGAGCACATCCACCTTGATGTTTTGAACTCTATATGTCTCTTCTATCTGATAGCTGGTTCCCATGATGTTGTAGATAATTGTAAATTCTCAAAGCTAGCTCACTAAAAAACGAGCCTTACGATACATGGCTGCAAGCTGCCTAGCAAAATTAGAATGTTTTCTTTATAGGTTACAATTTAGGACAAGCAAACCTCGAGTACATCGGTAACTATACTGGCATCTCCAGATTTTGTAGGTATCCCTTCATGTTGGATTCAAGCCATCATTTAGTGTTGCATATGATCAGTACACGTAAAGAATGAGCTTTTCGTAGGAAACGTAAATAGACGCGTAAAACTACTCATTAAACCGAATCTGCATACCTATTTGAAGATGGCTTTACTGGGAGAAACCCCTCCAAAGTCAAAGTTGACGTTCTCTAAACTGATAATATCAACACCACAAAATCCAATCGCCACCAAGGATCTCGTCAAAAGACTCCAGCAATTGAGCGAAGAGTTAAGTACCATTGATCAAGAGAACCCAGATTTGAAATCCTTTGATCATATCAAACAAGATCTCGTGAACCCCAAGCTCTTGAAAAGTTCTAATAGTGGAGTACAAGCATACGTTTGCTGTGCACTTGCTGACATCTTGAGAGTCTATGCCCCGGACGCCCCGTTCACGTCTGTTGAAATATCATCAATTTTCAAAGCTTTCTTTAATCAATTCAAGAAGTTGTCTGATACTCATAACTTATACTTCCAGCAACAATGCTACCTTTTGAAGAGACTTGCTGAGGTGAGATCTGTGGTCTTAATTGCTGATGTGGCTGATTCGGAACAGTTAATTGAAACTGCTTTCAATGTATTCTATGACTTATCGAATAAGGATTTTCCACATAGGCTTGAACCCTTGATTTGCGATATCCTTTCAGAGATAATGGCTGAGGCAGAAGTATTACCCCATAATGTGTTGAAGCTAGTCCTAGACAAGCTTTTGACCAACAACCCCAATACCTCCAATATTACTTCAAGCAAGAAAATCTCCAACCCAGGTTTCAAGTTTTCAGTCAGTATATGTGAAGCTAACGCTGATAGCATGTCACGGCAAATAGCTCAGTATTTCTCGGAAATGTTGTACGAGACCTCACAGCAAATGGATCACTTTAAGCAAGACTCTACCAGTAAAATGATTAACATGAAAGCTATCGAGGCTTTGAAGAGAATTCATAAATTGTCCATTCATATATGGTGTTATGTACCTGGTCTATTGCAATCTGTGATGGGACTTATTGAAGAAGAACTCAATGCTGATGATGAGACCGTCAGGATTCTCGCTACTGACGCCATTGGTCAGATGATTGGCTCTTCAGGTTCATCCCAAAACTTCATTATCAACTACAGAGAAACCTGGAATTTATGGCTTAAAAAAACCTTAGATGTGTCTTCTAGTGTAAGGTGCAAATGGGTTGAACAAGTTCCGATGATAATAAATAATGCATCCAGTTTGACTTCAGAAGTGACCACAGAGCTTTGTCGTGGGTTGAACAAATGCTTATTGGATTCGGATGAAAAGGTTCGGCTTGCCAGTTGTATTTCAATCGAAAAGGTCCCATTCGAGAGCTTTACTAGAATATTCAATAAAGATACAATGGAAATATTGAGTCAATTGATTCGAGAAAGAAACTCAGATATCAGAAAACAAGCAATTGTGACATTAAGTAACCGGTGCAACCAATACTTTGGTTCTATTGTCAACAACCAAGTAATTGATTTTGGTGGAAAGAATAAAGAGGAAAGTGAATTGGAGGAGTCCTCCTTCAAACAAATCCCCAACCAACTTTTGTCCTTAATCTATATTGACGATAAGGATATTAATTCAACATTGGATGTATGTCTTTTCGAGAAATTATTTCCCCTTTCTGAGAGTACTACACAAAGAGTTAACAGAATTTGTCAAATATTCCAAAATCTTAACGAAAAGAGCATGCAAGCCTTTGAAGCCATAAATAAAAGGCAACAAAGAAGCGCTGAAGTTATGGAAACTTTTGTAAAGTTGTGTGAAGACTACGCTAAGATTGGTACTTTTGCGGACGAGAAGGAAAACGTATCCGAAAGCACGAAGAAGCAGTCAAATGAGGAGAGACTGATCTTAGTCAACAAGCTTGAAAAAGTCGCCAAGTGGTTTAGCGAATCAATATCAGATGGATTGAATAGCTTCTCATGTTTAGAAAGATTCTTCAAGTTAAAAAACTTTCGATTCTTATATTTGATCAGGCAGGCGGTTTCTTCTAATTCTGATTTCTTGTTGGTTAAGAACTCTATTAAGGAGTTGTTGACAAAATTGAGCAACCCAAAGAGTATTCGAGTTGATGAAGAGAAGAATGCTGTATCGACCACGGATATGGTGTCTGTATTTAAATTGTTGCTTTTCAGATCATCTTTGATCATATACAACAAATCCAACATTGTCGAACTACTCAAGTTTTCGAAAGATAGTACGCACAAATGGAACCCTGTCTCAAAAGACCTTTTGGCAAACGTTTCAGAAACCGTACCAGCTGTCTTTACTAGCCATATTATTGATTTAGTTGATACTATTAAGGATTCTGAAACAATACCATCCACCAGAGCCCATAATTTGAAAACTTTGTATCATACGGTAAAGAAAATTCCAACTGCATTCCCAAAAGATAAAGAATTTGGATTACTATTAGAAAAGTTATCGATTCATGGGTCACCTAGGGAAGCTGAATTTGCCATCAAATTGATAGGGTTTAGTCCTAAAAAAGTACTACTTTGTGCTCAAGTTTCTGAAGAGATTCTTCCTTTGGATATCCACTCCTCCTTACTTCCTACCCATTTGGCTTTTCTTGCCGGCCTACTTTTAGTTCATGCGCAAGTTGTTGAAGAAAGTATTAGTGACATATCTGCTACTTTGATAAAATCTATTTTACTTTCGAATGGTGAAATAACTGAAGATATAGTTAATGATGAATCTTTCATCAGTGACTCAATTTTACAGGAGAACCCTTCTCAATATCAGTCATTGGTTAATAAGTTGCTTGTTTTGAAGATTTTTACAAACAGATTAAAGCTGTTGACAGAACGGGAAGTCGATGAACAACAATTTGTTGATACTTCCAAGCCTATAATTAAACTATTTGTGATGTTGGTTATAAATGGTGGTGAAATTGTCAAAGAAGTCCCTACCCCTATGGCCTATCGACTGAGGTTGAGATTAGAGGGAGGTCTAAGCTTACTCGAATTAGCAAGGCACTCTAAGTTTGGTGAAAGTTTTGGCGTGGATATTCTCAACAAGTTAGTACTCTTAGTTCAAGATGAAAATCGAAGTGTGAGGTCAGAATTCTTGAAAGCCTTACAGATGTATTTATCCAAAGATGAGATAAATGAAAGGTTTTTGAACTTAGTATTTTTCATGAATAATGAGGTAGATGACGATTTATCATTAACTGCACAAACATGGATTAAATCAATGATCAAAAAACTGCAATCAAAAAAGTCCATCAAATTCGAAAAGTCATTAGCCATTTTGATTCATATGCTAAGTCATAACCCAAAATTTGCTCAAGAACAAGACACATTGAAAGCATACACTTTTGCTCTTGAGGTTTTAATGTTCTGCTTGCATAATCTTTTAAACTCTGAGAATATTTCACTTTTGTACTACTTGGCTAGCAGAGTTAAGCAATTCAGAGATGCCACCATTGAGCAATCCTTATATGACATAAGACCCTATCCTCAAAAAGTCAATAACGTCTATTGTGTTGCTGAACTTTGTCAGTTAATTATCAAAGAGTTCAGTGAGCACAAAAACTGGCCAACTTTAAGCTGGCCTGGAAAACTCCAACTTCCGAAAGAGTTCTTTACATCATTGTTGAGCACTAGTGAAGCACATGCAATCATTACTAAAGTCTACATTTCTGAGGAGCTCCAGATTCAGTTAAGGGGGTTGATAAAACAACGTTTGTCTAGCGGAAACAAGAAAAGGCCGGGTAAGTCAAACCCTCTTATTAAAAGAATCAAAACCAATAATTCAAAGGTCAGAGTTGTACCCAAACCTAAAGTTCCAAAAGCACTCAAAAGCACAAAAGGAGGTATTGAAGGTAATGAACCAACCAGAAAGAGCTCCAGGTCCAGAAAAGAGGTTAACTATGGGGGTCTTGACAGTGACAGTGACCTTGATATGGATATGGATGAGAGTAGTGATGATAATGATTTTTAAAGTTCGTCTCGTTTATGTATGTGTAGTCTATATAATGTACGGAATGTGTAAATAGTTTAGGGCGTCATCTCTTTCAAACTTCGTATGTTTGGACCGATACCTTCTTCTCCCAAAAGCTTGAGTCTGGTGGCAGCTGGAAACCTTTGGCCATTGGTCAATTCAAATGCTAGAACGTTAAGCAATTTTACTGCTTGGCTCTTATATGTTCTCAAGAAGAAGTTTCCACAGCTTTCCCACCAGTTAGCCAAGCAGAAAAAGTGAACATTTTGAAGTAACAGTTTATCCAAATTACCTATTTTGGCGAGGCAGGTCCAGGACATAGAGATGGGATAATCTTTACTATCCAAAGTTGTCAAGACAGCGAAGAGCGAAAATATACCAGCGAGTCTCTCGTCGTATTTATCGGCCTCTTCCCATTTTTGAGTTGACTTACTTCTTTTCCAACCCATTCTTAATCTTCCTTCCTCAGTGTTGATCGGGCATGTGTAGCCTATAACTAATGGACACTTTTTCACCAATCTTGGCATTAAATATTCGTTAAGCTGGGGGATAGCATTTAACAAGTTAAATGTTAGTCTTGCCAAAGGTACTGCTGCGTTTTGTTGTACCACAATTTCGGTTTCGGCTTGAGAAACAATGGCTTTGGCAATAAAGTTCAATATAAATGCAAATGCCAACGGGTGGTTTTGTACATCATTGACACTGTTTATTATGGCATTGGTGATACTGTTCAACTGTGAAGCACTGCTCGATAATTGGCCAAATTTAGGATTTATGGCTCTTCGTATTGGCCCAACAGACTTCTTCAAGTCTTTGTCATTGTTCACCTTTTCCTTAATGTTAATGTTAATGTCTTTGATTTTTTGTTGGTACTCGAGTACCTGCTTCTCGAGATCAGCAGACTTGTTGGCTTCAGCTTCCTGAAGTTTCCGTTGTTTCTCTTGAAACTCATTTGCGGCGGCCTCTTTCAATTCTCTTTCTTTAGCCTGTTTTTCTTCTATTTCCTCCTTTACTTTTCGAGCTTTTTCACGTTCTTCCTCGAGCTTTCTTTGTTCTTCTGCTCGTTTCTGCTCTTCTTCACGTTGTTTGTTTGCTAGCTCTTCTTGTTCTTTTCTCTTCTTCTCTTGCTCCTCTAGATTTCTGCGTCGCTCCTCTTGTTCTTGTCGTATACGTTCCTTTTCCATGGTAATAACTTTTTTCACTTTATCATTTTGAAGGTCTATGGCAGATTGAAATCTGCTGGTCAAGTAATGGAGATCTTGCCGACAAGAATTATTGAGCCTTTCAAACTCATTGGAATCTATCCTGATAACAGTGGGGGAACTACTATCTACCAGCTCTACCCGACGGACCACATCGACCTCCACTTCAAAACTATTAGGTATTCCAAGAATCATAGTAGTGTAACACGAGTAATCAAAAGAAGTTTTGAGACTGCGGGTGGGTAAGTCTCATCCCGCGCGAGCCTTTTCACCAAAAATTTTCAGACCTAACATACTCTATATCATGAATAGAACCAGGTTTTTCAGTACTGTGTCGAGGTTAAACAGAACTGGATACAGTACGGTGGAGCCAGTACATCACTTGGTACCCATAAATAAGGCTGCATTAAGGCCGGGGTTACAGGAGTTATTACTTCCCAAAGACGACATCAGATCTCCAGGTTACAAGCCAACTAACATTGGACAAGACAGAGTTAGAGATTATTATGATGCTCACCTCAAGAGCAATTTGATGTTGCAATTATACATTCATGGTGAAGAGACTACCGATGGCAATAAACACAGATCCTGGGGCACGGATTCCCCGTACAAGTTATACAGAAAAATGAGAAAGCCCAAAGGTTTAAGCAGAGCCACCAAAGACATCAAACCAATAGCACCCAAAAACATCCCAGAGTTGACGGGTATAAACATCAACTTATACAACCGCGAGGCCTTAGAAGACAGCTGGCTCAACATATCGTCTAGACTTCAGATTGCTCAAATCACCAACGTCAAGCCCAAAAGAATCTTCAATAAGTCTAACATTGTCCAATGGAAGTGTAGAGAGGGTAAACCATGTGGGTGTAAAGTTCACTTGACTGGAGAAGACATGCACCAGTTCTTGTCCACATTGACAGAGTTAGTTTTGCCCAGAATCAGGACTTTTCAAGGAATCAGCAAGAAATCTGGTGATCATAACGGAAACATTTCCTTTGGTTTAAGCCCAGAAGACATTAAGTTCTTTCCAGAGATCGAGAACTTCCAAGAGTTATTCCCGAATTTATTTGGATTTCATATTACTCTTCAAACCTCAGCCAGAACTGATGAGCAGGCCAGATTATTGTTGAGCTCTTTGGGCTTCCCATTCCATTAAATATACTTGTAAATATATCGCTACAAAATCGCAGCATCATAAAATTAACTATCGCGCAAGCCGATGGAGGTCTCAATTGTCCATGAATACTCCATATTGTACTCCGACAGACTAGTGCAGAAGGATAAGAAGTGGGTGGATGGCTTCTTGAGGTACTATGAGTTCAACAACAAGGTGGAAATCCTTAATGAAGACGAGCAATTGGTAAAGGGCGATTTCAAGAACATACTGTTTGAAGTGGGCAAGCAGTATGTGATAAACAAAATGTTGGTGGACATAATAGACTTCAACGGAACATCCGAGAGGTATATTTCGGTACTACTCAAGAAGGAACCAGTATCAGGTGACTCTCCACTGGTGTCAAATTCCATCAAACAGGAGTCTATTCCTACTACCATCAGAAGATCACCAAGTATGTCCAGCTTACCAAAACCACCAGCTATCAAGATACAACAACGTTCGTTAGGACTCACAAAGACTAAAAGCATTACCCATGTACCAAAAAGTGGTGGGCCAAGCGTGTTGCTGAAAAGAAAGACCCTAATTGGCCTACAGCAAATGTCTGCAAAATCGCCAGGATTGAAAAGACCTACTTCACCTGTTTCCAAAGATGCTAAACTCAAGTTCCCAGTTGTGGAACCTATCGCCGGGCGTATTCTTCCTAGAAGTTCTATAATCTACAAATTTATGGACTAAGTAACCCTTCATTCACATACACCAACTAGCTATTGTTTGGTTTATCGTTTTTCCTGAATACCATCATTGGAATGTAATGAGATACCAATGCATGTGCTAATGGAATGGAACAAACAATCCCACTGAGAGCAGCTATTCCGGGAATACTGGCAACTGCAGCCAAAAAAGATTGTACAGTCAATTCGGCCATTCACAAACGATAAAATTGTTTAAACCACAAATATACATTGAGAAGGTAACTAAAAGTTGCCATTTTCGGGCAAAGCTTGTTTGTTAACACCTGTTCATATTTCCAAGTTGTAATATTTGCTGTCGATTTGAGGAGATGATAAGATAGGAACATGTACAATTCGTTCAAAGTTGTGGTTGATCTCTATCCAAGACTTGAGGAGATTATCTGAAAGCAAAGGTGTTAGAAACTTATCGTTCAACATTAAAGATCCCAGGAGCTTATTGGGCAATACTGTTGTTGAAGTTCTAAGGATTGTTAAGTTATTTTTTCCAATTGTGAAGTTTTGTGATAAGGAGCCCAAAGACGATTTGAACAATAGCTTATTGTCATTGCAGTAAACAAGAATATACCTGACGGATTTCTGTATTTCGAGTTGGAACTTGTAACCCGTGAAAGGGGGTTTGTGGTAACAGTAATGAGATAGGTCAGATGCTAGAATCAACGATGCCCACAAAAAGCACAATATGAACTTCATGGTTGGTTGAGAGATCTGCTATTACTCTTGTGAGCATTTTTTCGTAATGGAAAAATTGAATCAATAGGCTTTGGTTGATAGAGGTGCCGCAGCTTCTCATAAGAAGTCTCTACATCGAGTCTGTGGGTTCAAAAAACAGGTACTCATTCTTTGCAGTGTTATCCACTCTTTTGTGGATAACATTTTGAATTCAACCCGTCCACAAACCCGTGTCAATGCTTGGCTATTCCGAATTTCTGTCATGATATTGTCTTCATTTGCCTGATCAAGTTATTGTATATCTCAGCTTAGATGCCATCTTCTTTAGGAACCATTCGAATTTCATAAATACTTTTGAAATTGTAGATATACTTTCTGTTGTAATGCATAAAAAGGACCAGTGGCTAATGGGCCAGTTTTAGTTCAATCCTTAGCGAGACTAAATGTCAGCAATATATCACACGTTGAACGCATTTTATAAGCGGAAAGAGTTGTCCACCGGCTTAACGCTCTGGTGCAACCATCACAATAACAGACATCTGCAAGCATCTACAAGAAAGCAGGCAGATTGTCAAATGATGTAGAGATGATTTAACATAGTACAGAGACAATGTTATCTGTTCCTATCACCATTACAAGTGCTCATTAGTCCTGAAGATCTGTTTGCGAAGGAGTAGCTCGCATCTCCAGCTTATTCGCACCGCGCTGCGCGCTTTCTTGCAACCAAATGTGTTTCTGGAACCTGTTAAATATTGAAACAAATCTGAGATTTTCCTTTTTCATACCCGATTTGCGACTCTTCGTCGTTATTCAATGAGGAAAGTAGGGTGAATACCATATAAACCGATGCCTAGAATTATACTCCACCACCTTGATGGTTGCCTGCTATATTCGAGGTACCAATATTAGAAATACTACTCTCAGATGCTTGTTGAAGATCGTCAGTATAACCTGGAAGGTCTGCATCAGTTATACCTTGTAAAAGTCAATCCGAAATTCTGCATGATGAGCATGTTGATCAAATTAACACTCACACAACCCATACCTATATGCATCAACAAGACTCTGTTAAAATTTCGTTTAAATGTTGCAGATATTTGCGATTTAATGTATGGGAGATCTTATTTCCCCGTAACACAAAAATATAATCATCTCTGTATACACACTACCAAGGAAACCTAGTATCATATATTTGCTTGCCTGGTGTTGGTAATTACTAGCCAGAAATTTGCAATATATCTTAAGGTTTGCAATAAATTGGCAAGTTCCTGCGGATTTGACCACTTCTTCCCTAGTAACTTCCCAATGATTCTTAGCGAGGCTAACAAAAATTTCGCAACCATTTCCATAACCGCTTTGATTTCGGCTGCCACAGCCAAAATTGTCGATTGTGTATCAGCCGGTGAGGAGGTTTCAAGCACTGATTTAGATGATGGAGTTTACTACTTCCAGCTACCTTCTAACTCTTCAGCTTTTTTCAGCTATAACAATGATAATAACTATACCGCCAAGTTTTATTACGCGGTCGTGGGGAATAAGGTTTACCATACTTACATCAGGACCGGTGGAAATATAATTGCCATTCCTGCTGAAGAGTTGTATCACACCGAGAATGATGTTGTGATTTACTCAGTTGAAAAGGATAACAATGACAATGTTCTGTCATGGCAGCTTTCTCCGAACGATGTAGAAGATTCCGCCTATTTCAGTGAAAGCACACTCCAAGAGAACCGTAATTGGGATAGATATGCTGGATCAAGCAATATCAGCTCTGAACAGCCAACTAGAAATTATGGTTCTGTTTTTGGTACAACGTCTTCAATCGATGTCTTAGGTGCCAGCAGCACCAGTCAACATTCGCATGATGGTCACGAGAACGATGATGATGATGGTGAGAGTGACAGTGAAGACGATGCAGTGAGAAATAAAAGCAAGAGAAATCTCAGACATAAACTTCAAATGTTAAAATTGGAGGAGTTGGTTGCAAAAGATAATGCTGACGATGAAGCTGACGATGAAGCTGATGATGAAGCCGATGATGAAGTTGAGCAAGTTCAGCTTACCGGATATAAAAAATACTCTAAAGTCAGGAAGAGGGATCGTAGCGATGTCATCGTCAACCTCTATTATCAAAGTGGTGAAACTTTCATGACTGCCAACTATGCTGTTGTGGATCAAGGTGTTGCTTCCATCGCCGCTACTACGATTATTTCTGATTCTGGAACATAATCTTCTTCAACTAATAGTGCAGAGACCACTATTACCGGAGGCAGATCTGCTATTGGCTCTGGTTCTAGTTTCGCTTCATCTTAAGAAGCTGAGATTTCAGAGCTGATTGCCGCTCCAGTAACTTCTACTAACCCGTCGAGTACTTCTGGGGGCTCCTCAAGGGTAGCTAGTTCTACATCCAGTATTTCAGTTTCTAGTAGTTATGCCAACCTCATAGACGGGATGAACAACGCCCACTTTTATTATACTGGTGTGGCCATTATTACGTTGGCTGCCTTGATTTAGCTATCAACCTTGTGTATTTGTGATTATATGTTTTGTACGCATCTTCATTTTGAACTTTCAATTGAATCGTAACCAGATCCAGAATCTCCGTCAACTAACTTTTCCACATCTCTCATTCCTTTTTCTGTGTCACAGATAGAATACAATCCAAGGGCGATCAACGCAAGAAACATATTAGGTAAGAAGGGAAACCGGTCATTATTGGTTCTATCCTGAATAGTGGCATTAACCAAACTGCCAATCCAGCCGGTTGCGATCCCGAGCATAATTTCTAGTCCAAAGTACTGGGCTTCATCTCCTTCTGGTAGCAATGTGCTATAAACAGCTCTGTTCATACTCCTCAATGAAGACCCACTAGCATTAAAAAGAACTTCGAAAACCCAAAATTCCCATCTATGTTTGAATCCAATCTTCACCTTAGAGTTGATCCCTAGAGTTCCCCAGAAATTACTGAATACCTGAACAAAAAAAAATCCATACCCCCACTGTTTTATAGTAATTTTCGTTCTAGGATAAAGGAACATCCACCCTAAAGACCCCAAGCTTGCCACAATGTAAGATATAAATGTGTACACAGTATATTCCGCATCACTACTACCAATTCCCAAGGTAGACCTGAAAAGTAAAACAAACACACTCAAAAAGTTGGAATAGCTCACATTCCAGATCACCCAGGAAATACAGTATATGAATGCCTGTGGATATTTGGTGATGTTCTTCAACAAGGATATACACCTTTTGATACTTAAGAATAATAGGAACTCGCCTTTCGGCTTTGGTTTAGCCTGGACGCTAGGAATAAAATAAGCAGAAATAATAGAAAACACTACTGTCAAACACCCTGCTATAGTGATTGCAAGTAGGAAATTATGGTAACCATTGGCAATTGGACCACCCCTCCCATACGAGATGATGATTCCTATTAACAACGCAGTCAAACCACCACAGTTTCCCAAAACTATTCCCATCACGCTTACAGTCGAACCTCTCTTTAAGATGATGTTTCTTCTGACCTCTTCCGAAGTTTCCCCTTTGGGGGAACTTGCTCTCATGAACAATGGAATGTAAGAACCTTCAGTTATTTGGTAGACACAGTCTGTAACATTGAGAAGAGCATAGAGGACCGACAAACCTGTCATAGTCGCATAGGTCTTGTCAGTCAAACCTGCAAATGGCAATGCAATCAATCCGTAGAACAAAATAGAACCACACAAAAGAATTTTTCTGTAATTGGAATAATCAGCTATTCCCATAAAAAGAATGGCTATAACTCCCTCCACGGCAGTAGAAATAGCTTTTAAGTAGAGCACATAAGATGTGGAATGGACCCAGCTGGTCCCAAACTTCACGTAGCAGTCATTTCCCCTACGAGCACAGACACCACCTTGACTGGTTCTACCTACCAAGGTAGCAATGGATTGAATGGCAGCCGGAACGTAAGTTCTAGACATTGATGCAACTGGCCCAGTAGCATAACATAACAACAACCAGCTTCTGTATATCTTCTTCTTAGACCATATTGAGTCTGAGTTAGGTGCAACTTCAGAAATGGTTTCATGAAGACTAGGTGTTTTCAAAGAGTTTCTCTCTCGAGTGTCGCTGCTCATTTTTATTGTATTTAACGTGCAGCATGCCTTCAATTTATACACAATTTGGTGAGCTATTTATTAGTTAATTTTGGGAAAATAGACTTCTGATTTGACGTTGAGCAAATAATTAAGCTAAATTACTGGATGGTTGGTTAGATTCAAATGATAAAACCATAAATTAAGCCTATGAAGATTTTGCTGCAAGATGCTACTTAGTCAAATAACCATATTTCTCTCTCCAATGTTTTCCTTTAGAAAAGAGCAATATCATAAATGTTGCACCACCAAGGTTCACAAAAGCTAACCCAGTGAAACACCATCCGTATCCCATCCTTTCGACTAATTTAGTAATAATACCGGAGCAAATTGCAGCACCTGCATTTCTCATAAAGTTTCCAAAAGCCACATTGGATGCGGGTATTCCTTCTGCGCTTTCGGTTAAATAAGTCAAATTAGTGACGAGAACCCAAGTTGTACCGAAGCATGATATGAATACTGTCACAAAAATAGAAACAACATGGGAGTGTTTTTCACAAGTCCATCCATATCCAGTGAACCCTGCAATAGCTACCAAAAAGCCAATGAGTTGAATCGGAAACCGATCTTCAGGAATAAAACTTATACCCTTTGCAATTCTATTTCTCCTTAATTTGTCTGAGAGTCGCCCACTAATCATTGAGCCTATTATCAAGGCTATTCCTGGGCATAAGTAAGAAAGACACACGTGCAAATTAGAAAAGTGGTAATCGTTGGTCAAGACGCGGCTGAAAGTGACACTTATTCCATAGAAACTGGCAAATAAAAGCCCCCCTGCAACAGAAGAAATAAGGACTGGCAAATACCTCGCTAATTTAAAGTACAATAAAGGACTCAACTTGGGGGGTTTGGGGTATTTGGCATCTTCAGCGGTTCTTTTTTTCTCATATAGCTTAGGCTTGACAAAGTACAGTTTTCCTTCATAACATTCACCTCTTCCAACTAAGTACCTCAATGTTTCTGGAAGTAGAAATAAAATTGCAATGTAGACCACAATTGTAAAGATACTGAGTATACCAAAAGACCACCTCCATTGACCATTAGTTGTGGCTAAGCTCAATATAGGACCAATAATCGGACCTAATTGAGGTCCTAACATGAACGTTGCAATTGTCTTGCCTCTAATCGTTGGTGGAGTTATATCTGCCACAGTACCTGCACCTACTGATAACACACTTGATGAGCCAATTGCTTGAATCACTCTCAAAGTATATAAAGCACCAATATGAGCAGGAAGGAATGTGAGGAGGATATTGGCAACCAAGAAGATAAGAAGGGAAAACATGTATAATGACTTTCTTCCTCCCACGTCAGCCAATGCAGCCCAAACAAGTGGACTGAATGCAAAAACGGCCATGAACACAGAAACAGTACCATTGATAATTGATGTAGACACATTGAAAGCTTCACTCATGAGTGGAAGGATTGGAATGTAGATATTACCAGCTAAGGGCCCCAAAAATCCAGCACATGTGACCACAGCTAAAATGATATTTCTTCTTGTGTTTGTGAACGCTGTGTAAGGGAGTGGAGGTGCTGGTTGTTCTTTGGGTGGCACAGATTCAATCTCACTTTCTTCTTTAACAGAGCTGTTCTTCTCTGAAGGTAAGTCTTTCACCGCCATGCTTTCTTCTTAAGAGATTATAATATTACTTTTGTGAGTGAGTTTTATCAATTCTTCGTTCGAGTAACTGAGTAAATTTATTTGCTGCAAAAGTAGTGAGAAACTTTAGTTGCCGTTACTGGCCAAGACGAGCATATTCTTTAACTAAACTATGTAATTTCCGTAAACTTTATTGATAGTAGCCTTGGTGATACTGGCCCACCTGGGGTTATTTTGTCCACCCAATTAGCATCAAGTTCCAAGCGGTAAGATTTTAACAATTTTTGTAGACATTGCTTTGTCTCGAATAATGCAAATCTTTCTCCAAGACATGCTCTCTTTCGCCCATGAAACGCTGGTAATGTTGCATTGCTTTTGGCCCTTGAATAATTCCTACTGACCTCTTCTACACTTGTCCCCCACCTCTCAGGAACAAAATTATCTGCATTTTCCCAAACGGTTCTGTCTCGCCCGGTTGCAAAATTATTGTACCCGACGTAGGTTCCTTTGGGTATTCTAATATTCCTTCCCAATAACACATCTTGGGTAGTACATCTATTGATGATTTGTCCCAATGGTGGGTACATCCGTAAAGTTTCATATATCACGGCATTCAAGTAAGCAATGTTGTCAAGAGCCACTTCTGGTTCCTGTAGCTTAGCCCTTAGGGTTTCTTGGACTGTAGGATTCTTGGCTAGGACATAGAACAAAGAGCTCAAAAGTAGTTGTGGGTTTTCATGTCCGGCAATCATAACAATCATAGCATTGTCATGGAATTGTTTCTCGGTTATTTTACCTTCTTTCAATGCTGTTACCAACTTATAACTCACAGTCCCAGAGGTACTTTGTTGAGTATGAGAGCTGGTAATCAAATTACAGAAATAGTCCCTGAACTCAACAACTGACTTCCTCGCTTTAACTCTGCTAGGAATAGGAAAGGTGTCTAAATAAGGAAAGTTTAGGAACAAGGGTTTAAAGATTTGCGACTTGACTAACTTTAATTTCAGGTGGATGATAGGATTAGTTTGTTCGAAGAGCTTAAGATTTAAACCCAACATGGAATCACCAATGTTTTGCAAAGCCAAGCGCTGTACCATATCACCTATCTGCAATGAACTGCCATGATGAGCAATATTTTGCTCCACCAAATTTACAAACCGTTCTGAATTTTTGGCTATGGGCTCAAGGTTCGGAAACTGAATGGCTGATGTCAAAATATCTCTATACAACTTCCAAGTAGTACCATGAGCACTGATAATATTGTCTCCAGTATATGCTGCCAAGACTGAGCTTGGAATCTTAATATGATTTCCACTTTTGGCAAAAATATCTTCATCCTTGAAAACCTGTTGCAAATACTCCGGCTTTGAAACTAAAATATTCCACCTGGACGCAAAATAAATTTTGACTGCTCCGTACTTTTCTAACTTCTCTCGAAGGTAGATATTGTATATATCCTGTTGATCTAACGGGGTATAAGTTCCTAAGAAAGAAACATAAAAGGGGATGGTAGGAATATTCTTGGGGAAATTTGAAGGAGGAAGTAGAAAAGTAGACAAGTAGTACAACGCAACCACCACCGGGAGGTACACAGTAAATATTTTTGAGTAAGTATCTTCCATAATTTGAAAGAAAAGATGGCAACCAAATGGCTTCTACAAGAGCACACCTAGCCAATTGTATTTATATACTTTTTTCCATATGCACAGGATGTAGGGCATTTGCTAATGCTCAACCCAAAAGGAAGTTCGAGGCTGCAAATATTGCTCACGCTGAGACAATATAATAAGGCCATATCGCAAGGAAGAATATTTTGTATGAGCTGAAATAAATCTAATTGTGCCTTAGCCTATGAAATTTTATAGGAAATAATAGGATCTAGCCAAAATCTATAAATAAGTTAATAAGCTCGAAGTTTTACCGGTCAATTCCCCCCCTCCCAATGTCTTTGCCAGTTTTAGAAAGCTCCACTAGTTGCTTATCCTTGAGCGACTCGGACGTTAGCCTGCCTACTTTCTTTGAAAGTGTGTTCATGATATATCACAGAAACTCCAACTACAATTACATCAACAGGAAAATATATAGAGCTGAAAAAATTGTCAATTATAAAATGTTGTTGCGTGAGTTATCTAAACTTCCTCAAACAACTAGTGATTTTCAGTATTTGAAAAGTTTGGAAATTAGTCATATTCCCTTGCTTGTTTGGGAAAGGAAGCAAGATTGTGGAGCTATTGGTGTTGTCACTAGGGTTATTCCAGACGATGCTTTCAACAAATGGGCTATCAATTTGCTTTTGAGCACCAGCAAAATCATGTATCCACCTTCAGAATTCTCTCACCAGATATACACAGACATTATTGTTGAATTATTTGAAACCATGCTTAAAAATACTGCAGCAAAAGATAAATGGGAAGAAGAAGGGGAATCATATTTTAAAACTAAAGTTGACTTCTATACCTCCAAAGGACTCAAAATTGAGGCGGTTTTACCAGCATTTCCCTGCAAGTCTTCTAATCCAGATAAAGTTAGTGGTTATATGCCTGATAAGGGAGAAGAAATGGCTTTGAGAACATTGTGTGACTTTGCGAGTGCTGTTAAAAAAGTGTATCCTCCTGGTATTTTGATTTGGATCGTGAGTGATGGTCATGTTTTCAGTGACTGTATTGGTGTTGACGATTTAACTGTGAATGCTTTCGGTTTCCTGTTGAAAGAATTGTATCATCGAATTAACACCAGTGGTGAAGAGATGATTAGATTCTGCTCTTTGATTGACTTATTTAATTTGCACAATAAGCCAGTAGATGAAGAAATTTTAGATGAAATTCACCTAAGCCATCACATTGCTACTGAAATCGATCCTACTTCTGAAAATTGCAGAAAGATCTTGATGAAAAGTTGTGATACTGATTGGGGGCAGTTGAAAGAAGACATCAATACTCCCAACCACCCTCGGTTATTCTTGTTCAGGGGGTTCTCCAAGTTCATGGAAGAGGATTTAAAGCAGCACCCAACAATCATCGCTGCATCGAAGAAGAAGCTGAAAAAAATAGTAGCTAAAATTGCATTTGAAATGATCAAAAGGAATGATGCCTACTCTAACTTAATGGAGTTGATTTTCCCAATGCACTTGAGGTTTTCTATTCATGCTCATACGAATTCGGGGCCAAAATATGGTATCAAGCTTTTGAGTAACAAGCACTGCAGAGTGATCAATTCGCTTGAAGAGTGCTCAAGCCCCAACTATGATGATCTTTTGCATATTCCCACACCTTGGCACAATACCGTTTTGAAGATTGAGGGAGACTCTATGTACTACGTCACCAAAACTAATAATATTATGAAGGCTATACAGGAAGGAACATACACAGGTGGGTGGGACAAAAAAAGCGGATGTTTTGAGCTCAAGGCAAGAAGTACTGCCTAATTATGACGCTTTATACTCCAGATTGTAACCCGTAGAGGATATCCATCTTCGTAATTTAATGCGTAATATTGATTGCTTTTGTACAGGAAATTTGCCTCTTTTTGCAGCCTTTGTTTTGGATCAGTTTAGATCGAAACTATAAACGTAAATATAAATCACTACATATAAAAGTATTACAAAGATGGGGCAGAAGGGAGATCTTCGCAGGTAGCACAAATTGAAGGTCTACTAGAAGATGGAGCATCATCTTGGTACACGATACCACCATTTATCACGGTTCCAATGCCAGTTCCGAAGTCAGCTGTGACTTGCTTCATTTTATTGAAGTCATATCCAGTACCAATGTCAAAATAGAAGGGTAAAAGACCACACTTTACGGTCAAAATTCCATCTTCAGAGTACCCAAACTCAGATATTGGCAAGGATAATCCAATGACATTGTCCCCACCCCAATTGCTCACGTGGAAGGTCTGGGGAGCAGAGACAGCTTCTACTCTAATAGATCCACCAGTAGATGAAAAGTAGAAGTTTTGAGTCTCGGTGATAGATAAGGCAGCAGACTTGATCCAAACGTTACCGTTTTCTCCAATATCGAAACAACCCGTACCAAGGATTCTTCCTTGTTGGGAGAAAGCTTGGTTCTTCAAGCATACGGTACCATCATTAGTCAATGATCCCAAAAACGCACCCAACTTTACCAATCCAGAGTTTCGTTTGTCTTGGTAGAGAGCAATCAAACCGTTGTTGTGGAAAGAGCTTGAAGTGATCTCACCAATTGGAAGACCAGTCTTCCCATATCCTCCGAAGAATATCTTACCGGTGTTTTCAAAGGTGTTGCCTCCAATTCTGAAAACTGGAGAAGTGAAAGAATCTCCAGATGAAACAACAATTTGACCGCTGTTGGTGGTCTTAGTGTTGACACCACTGATTTTAAAGTTAACGGCACAACTAGCGGAATCTGAAGTCACGTAAACGTCACCTTCATTGTCAAAGTCACCGTGGAAGTGGACGTATTCAGCGTCAACTAAGTTCCAGGTGATACCGGAGTCCACCGTCACATCACCGTAATTGACTTCCGAGTTGCCAACGGTGTCTGTGTTCTTGGTGATATGAATATCACTGGCCAAAGCAGAAGCAACCAAAAACAATGTGTTGAAAAGCGAAGTGAGTTTCATGGTTGAATATTAATGTTTCTAATGAAAGCATGAAGCGGATGCTGGAGATTTTATACTACAAATTTGCAGTCCATCGCACCTGCTTTTCAAAAACCTGATTAGGGGATTCAAAGTGGGCTCGCGGTCTGTTGGAAGATTTTAGTCGTTTTGAGCGAACTTGTAACCAGAACTGTAACAACCCTATTGTCATCACTGGTAGATCTGTTGTTTGAGTACCAACAATACTACTTTACGAAGAGAAAGTAACTCTGGTTTTGGACCCGCAATCACGTGTAAATGTATGAGAACAATGAAGTGCGCTACAATCACGGTTTCAAAGTACTAAAAAATACGTTGCCATTGATGGAAAATATTGGTGTTTGCAGCACCTAATAGGAATTTTTGAGATTATTTTACTCGTTTGGGAAAGGCTTTTTTCCTCGAGAAATTTTCGTGGTTGGGTTTGGCTGCTGGTGTTTTCTATTGTTCTTTGAATTAGGAAAAATAGACTTTAATCAAAATGAGCCGGTGAGTTTCTAAGCCAACCCTCGAGGATATTTAGCTGAAACAATAGCTACCCAACCATTTTATTGAAGCCTTCTTTTTTTACCTGAATCCTTGAGCAACACCACTTGTATATTCATATGACGAAGGCGATGATCGCTGCCAATTCTGTAACCCTTGGATTATGGGGAACTTAACAATAGGCGTGTACTGTGCTGTAAATCCAAGGCCTGAATTATTTTTCACCTAAATATTACTTAATTGCTGTTCCTAAACTACAGGATAAACAACATAGCGGAAGTCCATGGGAAACCTTGGACAGGAGTCAGGTATAAAAATCGGAGATTGAAGCTTTTTTGTATCACAATTTATAAGATAAAAAGCCCTCCTCAAAGTGTCTCTTCAATAACTGACTCTTGTAGTCGATACCTATGGTTTTCAAATAATGTGAATCAGGGTACCTAATATCTCCAGACTTATGGAATATATCAACTCTTTCAAGTATGATGTTCCTAAGAATCTCAACAAATAGCTGAGGCAGTTCAGCATTTACCAAATGGGTAGCCTTAGGGATATCAATGGGATGGATAACCTTCTTCATACTCTCACGTATGGCTTCAACGGCAGTGTCACCCGCGGTATCGAATTCTCCGACAATGTGGTAGACTGGTGTGGTAATTTGGTCGTAGATTCCTTGAATTCTCGCGATACTGGGACTACCACCAAAATAAAGTAAGAACTCTTGTTGGGCATCCGTATTGGTGTAAGCAAACCCATGCTTTATGCTTCGCTCATCTGTGTAATCATCTTCGAGCATGTTCTGCAAAATTTTGTCGTCGAACTTTTTGAAAAACGATTTGGTCTTGTAGTATCTCCAAACAGCATCTTCATATGTTTCACCTTTTTCTACAGGATACCTATTACTGATCTTTTCCGTCTCCTGCCATCTTTGAAAGACCATACTGAGAAGATCGGCCCTGTCCTGATCCACCTGAGCTACTGGGTTCAATGGTACAATTGCATCAAAAAGTGTTGGCTCGAAATATGCGGTTATAAAAGAAACCATCCCCCCAAGCGAGTGACCCACAAAAATGTTCACCACATTTGGTTGGAGAAATATGTCTTTTTCGTCGTACTTAACCACTTTAATGACGTCTTTGGCAATGTCAATCCAGCTGACTGCATACCCCAATTTGCCTCTGTTTAATTTGGCTGATTGTCCGTGGCTCACACAATCAACTGCTAAAACAGAGTCCAAGTTTGGGAGTATGTTGAACCATTGATCGATCTGATAATGCCAGATCCCCTTGTTCATTCCATTACCATGATGGAAGACCAAGTTGACTTTTGGGCCACTCTTCACGGCTGTCTTTCGGTTGTAAAGCCTGTAAGCGATTTGAAGCTGGTAGTCAGCAGAATTGGTAGAAGGTTTTTCTAATACCACCGCACCAGAAAACCTAGGCTCTGATGCAATGGTAGTTTTGTTAGTGTAGTTGTATATCTCGGAAGACTCTGGGAACATTTTTATAATGAAGACAAGTATCTGTCCAAAGTTTGAGACACACTTATACTCTCCCACGGTATCTTGTGAAATCACAGGTTGGGGAAATTTTCCCGCAGCCGAAAGCCCGTACACTGACTGTATTTAATCTCATACTACGTGAAAAAGCAGTCGTTAGTGAAGGTTGTATCTGGATACAGTCTGTGTGAGGTAATGATATTTGAATCATCCCTTTTCGAAATTAGCCATATTAACTACTTCATACATATGTTCCCAAACTTTATGAGTTTTGTAAAAAGCGCAATTAGTACTAAACTGTAATACACAATTTGGTAAAATAAGAAGCATAAACATTCTAACCCACCATTCCCACTAGAAGCTGTAAATACCACAAATATATTAATCCACAATTTCATTACCTTTCAATTAGCTTCTAAACCACTAGTTGACAATAGCCGACCCACAGATAAAACAGAGCCATATGGGGTCGTGCGCATCCCGTTCCAGCCGGTCTGTACTTTATCTTATCGCGCAGAAGTGATCCTGTCATTAATCCTGTTTTAAAGAGATACTTACAACAAACATTTACACTAGTCTCTCCAATTACAGCTTGCTAAATCTCAGATATGGGATTTTTGAACTTTGTGACGTATGTGATTCTTTTTTTGGGTCCTTAAATGGCCTTTTGCCAATGGCAATTCGCTTTGGCAATGGCGCACCTTTTTGTAATCCCTTTTACTAACATCCATTCAGACTTGTCACTACCGTTATTTACCCTGTTATCGCTTCCTACAGGGCTTATGAACAGTATAAAGATGCGAACCACAAGTTTAATGGTTCCAACTTGAGTATTGGTGGATTCAATGTTCCTATCAATACATTATTTAAAAAGGCGACAGGGGATCACGATGAGACTGTTCCCAATGAAGCCGCCCTCTTGCTATATGAATCCAACAGACTTCAGAAATGGTATGTTTATTGGATTGTTCACACAGTAGTAGAACTCATTGATTCGGGCTTGTACCTCAAGTACTTGATCCCTTTCCACTCCTTATTTAAGCTTGGGATTTCGGTTTGGCTTCTCTCACCAATGTTGCAATACAGATCCATAGATGCTTTTGATGCTAAAACAGATTTGAACCTGTTTTTTGAAGGGGGATGCGGTTTCTGCTACAAGAAATTTGTGTCACCTTTACTACAAGGAGAAGTTAAGTTCCTTAGTGATATCTCTCTCAAGGATATCCCTTTCAACACTGAGCAATTACCCACATTTGTCAAGCTGATTTTGGACTATGTCAAAAAGCTTATGGAGGCTGCTCCACTGGTCTCCTTATTAAACTTCATTAGAGGCTCTGCCAGAGGTGTAGATATAAATGAATCTGGGTCCACGACATCTTTCTCAGCTGCTTCCGGTGCTGAGTATTTGGGGTCTTTGAGGTCTTTTAGCGCTCTGACATTGCAAGGTTACTTTTCCAAGGTTACATCAGACCCCAGTGCTACTTCTAAAGACACGGTTGAAGACGAATACGATGTCATAGACAGCCCCAGCCAAACCGATGGGGTGGGAGCGTCTCCTAGAACGACACAAACAGACCCCGTGAAAAGAAAGGGTTGGATCTGGTAACATCATGGTATGGGACGAAGGTTATGGTTTTGGGATGGATGTTCGTATACGGTTATAGGGATTTGCTCCGATTGTATTATGTTTTACTACTAAATTGAATAATATTGCTAGATTTTGGTATACTGTAGTATTTGTGAGTTATTTATATATACAAGAGCGAAGTTAATAGCCCAAAAATTGGTTAACCAAATCTTTGTTACTCTTCAAGGTAACTGTTTCATTATATTTGTTCATTTTTTTCTCAGCTTCTTGCTTGAACAGTTTTGTTATAAACTTGTTAGGCAAGACCGGCTTTTTATACAAGCCGTCAAATGCATTGGTTTGCTTATCCTTATCGGAACCTAAGCTATTCTTAATTTCAATGATATCAGTTTGATTTTCAATTGTTTCAGAGAACAGCTTCGCTTCAGCTGGAAGTTGGGGCCAAACAAAGGGTTCTTCCATATCAATTGTCATTTTCTTATACTGGGGACCTCTGTACCTTCCCATGTCAGTCATTGATCTTTCGAACTTGGCATGCAATAATTGGACTGTTATGTTTAAAGCTCTTAACCCATACACGTGCCACAAGTAGTCTCTCAAGTCCAATTTATTGAAGTTTCTAGGAACCAAGAATTTGGCCTGGTAGGGGGTGTGTTTGGCATTTGATCTCAAAAGGGCAATACGAGCTTTTGGTAAGTATACTTGTTTTTGTCCCAATTTGAAATGTGCTTCGCCAGATGCGATTTCATCAGCATACTTCTCAAGGTTTCTTCTGGCTATTTTATCACTTCGAGATCTGAACTTTATGGGTACAGGCTTGTCTTGCTCAATGTATAATTTTCTGATTTCTTCAGCAGGAAATACTGAATCAGTTACTGATTGTGATAATAATGGTTGTCTTTCCTTTCGGAACCCATATCTTGGTTTATCCAATACCACATCATCGACAAAAACTGTGGGGTACTTTCTGGCGCTTGCTTTATAGCGTAAGCCTCTTATAGATTGTATTGAATGGTGCCATATGCTTCCAAGTAGTCCTTGGCTGGGATTCATTATCAGAGGATTGATTTCTACAGTTGAAAATTTTGCTAGTCGCACCAGTAAGAGTACAAGGTGAAAAATTTTCCATGTTTGTGTAACAGAGTGGCGGTACCAAATGCGAACTCTCGTTGAGAAACCAGTAAATTTTCATTATTAAGACACTAAAGTAAATACTTTCTTTAGACTTGATTGAATTTAGCAGTTTAATTGATTGATTTCATCATTATTTAGCTGTCAACAATGTCTCAAGATCAAGTAGTCGAGGACCAATATGCTTATGATGATGATCATAGCATTACTCCTGAAGATTGTTGGTTAGTCATATCGTCTTTTTTTCAAGAGAAAGGATTGGTATCTCAGCAGTTGGACTCTTTTGATGAGTTTATTGAGACAACCATTCAAGAGTTGGTATGGGAGGACTCTCATTTGGTGTTAGATCAACCAGCTCAGCATACTTCAGAGGACGACTTTGAAAACAGAAGATATGAGATTTCTTTCGGAAAGATTTATATTTCCAAACCTACCCAAACTGAAGGTGATGGTACAACCCACCCCATGTTCCCACAAGAAGCTAGATTGCGTAATTTGACATATTCGTCCCCCTTATATGTCGACATGACCAAGAGAGTTTTCAAGTCTGATGATAATGACCGTAAGAACAATGAGTTGGAATGGATAGAAGAACATGTCGAAGGCGAAGGTACTGATACAAAGGTTTATTTGGGTAAAGTACCCATCATGTTAAGATCTAAGTTCTGTATGCTTCGTGATTTGGCTGAACATGAGTTTTACGAATTGAAAGAATGTCCTTATGATATGGGTGGTTATTTTGTGATTAACGGATCTGAAAAAGTTTTAATTGCCCAAGAAAGAAGTGCGGCCAATATTGTCCAAGTTTTCAAGAAAGCGGGTCCGTCTCCTATTTCTCATGTTGCTGAAATCAGATCCGCTTTAGAGAAGGGATCCAGATTGATTTCATCCTTGCAAATTAAATTATATGGTAGAGATGATAGAGCAGCGTCAGGAAGAACGATCAAAGCAACTTTACCATACATCAAAGAAGATATTCCTATCGTGATTGTGTTTAGAGCTTTGGGAATCGTTCCAGACGGTGATATATTAGAACATATATGTTATGATGCAAATGATTGGCAGATGTTGGAAATGTTAAAACCTTGCGTCGAAGAAGGTTTCGTGATTCAAGAACAAGAAGTTGCCCTTGATTTTATTGGAAGAAGAGGTGTGTTGGGTATCAGAAGAGAAAAACGTATTCAATACGCTAAAGACATTTTACAAAAGGAATTGTTACCAAACATTACTCAAGAAGAAGGTTTCGCTACAAGAAAGGCTTTTTTCTTAGGTTACATGGTCAACAGGTTGTTATTGTGTGCTTTGGAAAGAAAAGAACCTGACGACAGAGATCACTTTGGTAAGAAGAGATTGGATTTGGCAGGCCCATTGTTGGCTAACTTGTTCCGTATTTTGTTCAGAAAATTGACCAGAGATATTTACAATTATATGCAAAGATGTGTTGAGAATGATAAGGAATTTAACTTAACGTTGGCCGTGAAGTCTCAAACTATTACCGATGGTTTACGTTATTCGTTGGCTACTGGTAACTGGGGTGAACAAAAGAAGGCCATGAGTTCCAGAGCTGGTGTTTCCCAAGTGTTGAACAGATATACCTATTCGTCTACATTGTCTCACTTAAGAAGAACAAACACACCTATTGGTCGTGATGGTAAGCTCGCCAAACCAAGACAATTGCATAACACCCATTGGGGTCTTGTTTGTCCTGCTGAAACACCTGAAGGTCAAGCCTGTGGTTTAGTTAAGAATCTTTCTTTGATGTCATGTATATCTGTTGGTACTTCTTCTGAACCGATTTTAGTCTTTTTAGAGGAATGGGGGTTGGAGCCTTTAGAAGACTATTCACCATCTACGTCTCCTGATTCTACCAGAGTGTTTGTTAATGGTGTTTGGGTTGGTACTCATAGAGACCCAAGCCTGTTAGTGGAAACTATCCGTAGTTTAAGAAGAAAAGGTGATATTTCTCCTGAAGTCTCTATTATCAGGGACATCAGAGAAAGAGAATTCAAAATTTTCACCGATGCTGGTCGTGTTTACCGTCCATTATTCATCGTTGATGACAACCCATACAGTGAAACTAAGGGTGAATTAATGTTGAATAAGTCACACGTTAAGAAATTGATGGATTCTGAATATGATGATTACGTTTATGATGATGAACAGGAAGCTTACGGTTGGAGCTCCTTGGTTCGTGACGGTATTATAGAATATGTTGATGCTGAAGAAGAAGAAACCATTATGATTGCCATGACTCCTGAAGACTTGGAAAGTAGCAAGAGTACCTTAAGTGAAGCTCAACAGAAATCCATGCAAATGGAAGAGCAAGAGAAGGATCCAGCAAAGAGAATTAAACCCACATTTTCAGGTAACTTGCATACCTTCACTCATTGTGAAATCCACCCTTCTATGATTTTAGGGGTTGCCGCCTCCATTATTCCTTTCCCAGATCACAACCAATCTCCTCGTAATACTTATCAATCGGCTATGGGTAAGCAAGCTATGGGGGTGTTTTTGACCAATTATTCTGTCAGAATGGATACTATGGCTAATATTTTGTATTATCCTCAGAAACCGTTGGCTACAACTAGATCTATGGAATACCTTAAGTTCCGTGAATTACCTGCTGGTCAGAATGCCATTGTTGCTATTGCTTGTTATTCCGGATACAATCAAGAAGATTCTATGATTATGAACCAATCTTCCATTGACAGAGGTTTGTTCAGATCTTTGTTCTTTAGATCTTATATGGATTTGGAAAAGAGACAAGGTATGAAAGCCTTGGAAACCTTTGAAAGGCCATCAAGATCTGATACGTTGAGATTGAAGCATGGCACTTATGAAAAGTTGGATGATGATGGGTTGATTACTCCTGGTGTTAGAGTAAGTGGTGAAGATATCATCATTGGTAAGACCACTCCAATTCCACCAGATGCAGAAGAGTTGGGACAGAGAACTCAATACCACACCAAGAGAGATGCATCTACTCCTTTGAGAAGTACTGAATCTGGTATTGTTGACCAGGTGTTACTCACTACTAATGGTGATGGTGCAAAGTTCGTCAAGGTCAGAATGAGAACTACCAAAGTGCCTCAAATTGGTGATAAGTTCGCATCCAGACATGGTCAAAAAGGTACTATTGGTGTTACTTACAGGAATGAAGATATGCCATTTACATCCCAAGGAATTGTGCCAGATCTTATTATCAATCCTCACGCCATTCCATCGCGGATGACAGTTGCTCACTTGATTGAGTGTTTGTTGTCCAAAGTATCTTCTTTATCTGGTTTGGAAGGTGATGCCTCACCATTTACTGATGTTACTGCAGAAGAGGTTTCTAAATTGTTAAGAGAGCATGGTTACCAATCCAGAGGGTTCGAAGTCATGTACAACGGTCATACTGGTAAGAAATTGATGGCACAAGTGTTCTTCGGTCCTACCTACTATCAAAGATTGAGACACATGGTGGACGACAAGATTCATGCCAGAGCTAGGGGACCTGTACAAGTCTTGACCAGACAACCGGTTGAAGGTAGATCCAGAGATGGTGGTTTGCGTTTTGGAGAAATGGAGAGAGATTGTATGATCGCTCATGGAGCTGCTGGATTCTTGAAAGAAAGATTAATGGAAGCATCTGATGCTTTTAGAGTACATGTTTGTGGAATTTGTGGATTAATGTCAGTTATTGCCAACCTCAAAAAGAACCAATTTGAGTGCCGGGCCTGTAAAAATAAGACCAACATTTACCAAATTCACATTCCGTATGCCGCTAAACTTTTGTTCCAAGAGTTAATGGCAATGAACATTTCACCAAGAATGTACACCGAAAGATCAGGAATTTCCGTTCGTGTATAAAGTTACCGGATACTGTTTCCATGACAATTTTATTTAAAACAAAAAACAATATTGTATAGTTTTGTAAGACATAAGAGTATATTTAAAAGAATAATATAATAAAATATTTCATCTACTTGAATCTATTTACATGTGGTGGTGATCATTGACTGAAGAACTTCTCACGAAGCTCTTGCTTTTCTTTCTCAGACTGTTCCAAATTAGCGATCTTTTCTCTCACTTCTTGAGCTTCATCAGCAAACGCAATCAAGTTCTGCTTGTAAGGATGCTCATCTCCATCGTATAACTTTAATCTGTCCATTCTGACGAGTCTCAATTTGTTCTTTGGTATCATACCTTTGACAGCTCTTCTTAACACTTCATTATAACCTTTGTTATCTATCATTCTTTGCATAGGAATCAAATTCAACGAACCTGGACGTGTGGTATGTGACCAGTATGTTTTATCTTGGAGTTTGTTACCCGTTATTTTCAAGTGGGCACAATTGGTTACCACAACATAATCTCCATGGTCTCTATTTGGTGAAAACGTAGGTTTGTGTTTCCCTTGTAAAGCTATAGCTATGCTAGATGCCAACCGACCCAAGGTCCTGTGATCTCCAGCCACATCAACGTGGTGCCACACTCTTGTTAAAGCAACTGCTGCGTTCCCTATCCTTTGAGACATGATATATGGTAGTTGATTCTCAAAAATTTTCACTCGCTCTTTTCAATATGGACGTGCTCCTACCGACACCATATTTAACATACGAATATGGACGAGACACGTGATAGCCTGGAAATATGAGTAGTTACCACGGATTGGTTTTCTTGGTGTGGTGCCTTATATACTTGAATCCTTTTACTTCTCCCTTGTCCAATTTTAAGTATTATTTGCAGTCGATTTTGCTCCACCACATAATAAACCCAGTCTTTGCGAAATCGTGTGCCAACAAGATTTTCTCACGTCGTTCACCAAAATGAAAAATCAAACATATCTTAGTACTTAATCTCTAAGGATAACATTTTCCAAAGAGGTCGAAGCATCACTTTGTATATATTGGCGGGCCCTCAAATAATATCCTTCTGTTTGATTCACACAATTTACCCCCATTTTTCTTGCATCGATTCCAACCAGTTTTCCAGCGTGACATCCATAGAACAACGTCGACACCAGCATTTTCATTCAACCATCAATAACCACAAAAAATGTTCTTTTTAAAAGACTTATCGTTGAATTTAACCTTACATCCCAGTTATTTTGGGCCACAGATGGACCAATATCTAAGAGATAAATTACTTAGTGATGTTGAAGGAACATGTACCGGTCAATTTGGATATATTGTATGTGTCTTGGACTGTATGAATATAGACGTCGGGAAGGGGAGAATCATACCCCTGTCTGGAATGGCTGAATTCGAAGTCAAATACAGAGCTGTTGTTTGGAAGCCGTTTAAAGGAGAAGTGGTTGATGCAATTGTCACAACCGTCAACAAAATGGGTTTTTTTGCAGATGTTGGTCCTTTGTCAGTGTTTGTTAGCACCCACTTAATACCTTCAGATATGCAATTCAATCCTTCTGCCAACCCACCAGCGTATGTAAGTCAGGATGAAAACATTGAAAAGGGATCAAAAGTAAGATTGAAAATTGTTGGTACTAGAACTGATGTTAATGAAATCTATGCCATAGGAAGTATAAAAGAAGATTACTTGGGACCAAGTCCTATGTGATGAGATAAAACAAAAACACAATAGGTATTTGAAAACAAAAATAGAACCTTTCATTTTGTATTATAATAAGTTGTATATTTTAATATTACAAGGATATCATGAAATCGTATCTCGCATCACTATACTTCAAGGAGAATTTAAGTTCATTTCGCCTACCTTTCCATTCAATGGGGATATTGAGTAATCACGAGGGTCATCACTGAGATGTATACCCAACAATCCCATTGTTTTGGTTTTCTTTTTCATTGGCGTGATAGCCTCTTCATTATCCAGGTCATTTTGGTGCTTTTGGACTGGGTTAATATTTGAAAAGTTAGCTTGAACAGGCTTTGAAGTTGAATAGTTGCTACTTTCAGCATTTCTTTCACTAGTTGGGTTTTCAATTACTTGGTTATTAATCGAAGTGTGCGGTAGAGTCTTTTGACTAGGTGCAACAGGAGCCATCCTAGGAGGTTCATTGGACTCACCATCGACCCATACAAAATCATCCCTGTTCTCAACGACAGTTTTAGAACCTTTAGATGGACCATTTCTATTTGGATCAGTGGAAACAATTTCGTTAAGACCTTTTGGACTGGTAGAGCTTTGAGCAGAATCAGCCGGTTGATTGACGTGTTGGGCCCCCTTGCCCGAGGTATTACGAGAAGGTTCAGGGAATACATCCTCTGGAGCACCATCTATATCACCAATCTGATTTTGTTTATAGCTCCTGATTTTCTCTTTGAGAAGTTGCACTTGAGATGCACCGGAAGATAAACCAGTGTTTTCTGGTACATCTTGATGAGTTGTAGGAGGTATTTCAGTGTTTTTCGACAAATTCTGAGCTGAGCTATTTCCAGTGGTTCTACCATTACCACCGGTTGACTGAGCTATTACTAAGTCCTTTTGTCCTTCTGTTGATGATGTTGATGGTCTGTCTTGTTCAGATAAAATATTAGAAATCAAATTATAGGAACGGTGGCTTCTTACCATGTGGTTTGGAGTCGATGATTCTTTCTTCTGAGTATTTGCTTGTGCCTCAGTTTCACCGCTGCTGGGGGAGGTAATGGAGCTGGATCTCGAAGAAAAGTTCTGGAAACTAGTTCCATTTCTGATACCACTTCTTACATTATTGGAGTGGACTTGAGCAACAGAATCCGATGGTAACTGAATTGGACGTAAGGGTAAGGAGGTAGAAAGCTTGTCTTGACCTTCTCCGACCATTAAATTGAGAGACGGAAGGGACACTATTTGACCCGAAGACATCGGTTCTGCCCTGTTAGGAATTTGGGTTGACCCGCAAGTCATCTGCTCTTCTCGGGTTCTATGACTTTGATTATTAGGGCCTGAGAGTAAAACGCTTGACGGCCCAAACAATGATGTAGCCCGGGGTACTAGCGACGCATGTGGGTAGTGCAGCATGTGTGAATAATCAGAACGATATTCATCATTGGTAGGAGGATCAACTACAGTGTTCGAGACTTCTTTTCCTGTATCTCTACCGATAGGAGCTTCACTAGTGAGATCCTCATTCTGAGGTCTCGGTAAAATTTTGGTGATAACTTGGGTTCCAGGAACTCGCTGAGCCAGTGAATATAAACCTTGTGCAGGGAGTGAAGGTCTATCAAAGTGCCCTATTGGAGGAGGGATATATGAAGGTCCACCCGAGTGGTCTGTGAACCAGTCCATTCGTCCCTGATTTGGTGGCGGTATATATAGATTCCCTTGTCCGTCGTATTGAGTCTGATTTGAAGGGATTGAGGACATAATATTATGCCTGGTGTATTGAAATTGATTTGGTGGCAGAGTTGAAGCACTCGCCTGTCTGTTATATTGAGCTTGATATGACTGCAACATAGGTGTGCTTCCTTCTGTGTTGAATTGAAGTTGATTTGTTGGCGGAACAATTGCTTCTGCTTTCGTAGATGGTAATCGAGTCTTTGGCTTTGAACGATGTTGTTGCGGTCTGCTGGAATTAGGTTCCAGCTCCACTCCTTCATCATGAATTGTACCATTCCTCTCTGGGTCTGAAGCAGCGGTGGAAGCAGGCACATGTACATGATTTGGAGCTGGGCCAGGCCTAGAATCTTTAACTGAAGCTGGGGTTGGAGTTGGGGCTTCAGACCCTGAAACAATATGAGACGCCAAATGAGAACCTTCTCCAGAGTTTGAGCGCACAGGTGGTGGAAATGGTGGTGGTGGAAGAGGAGCAAGATCATTCACTTGACCTGTGTTCACTTCCTTCGAGATATCATGGACAGCCGTATTGGCTAGTTTATTTTGTGTTGTTGCCGACACTTGATGAACTGGTGGAACCACTTGTGTGTTTGGAGCAGAGGGTACAGACATATCGCTGGGACTCTGTGTAGGCTGAAACTGGTTTTGTGGAGTGGTCTCCAGCTCTGCCGCAGGAGCAGGTGTATCAGAAAGCATCTCAACAGGTTGTTCCAGACGACCTGGGGCATCCAAAAGTGTGTCACCAAGCAGGTCACCCAGAAGGGCACTACCACGCACTTTATCTGGATGTGGCAGCTCAGTGGGTTGTTCTATGTTTCCTTCACCATCATCATCAGATATTACCCTAGGGACATGTCTAAAGGCCGCTGCAGCAATCGGAATGTCGTCCAAATCATCCAGCAAAGCGGTTTCAGGTGGATCTTCGGCCGACTCTTCGTCCGACTCATCACTGTCTAAGACAATAGTTTCAATCATTGATTCATCCTTTGCAGGTTCCCTGACCATGTGTTTAGAAGAATCAGTCTCTGAGATATCATCATCATCTTGCATCTGCTCAATCCAACCACCGTCTTCTGCTAACATAACCATTTCAGTTTCGATTTTACTTGATTTTATTATGTCTTCAAAGTATTCAGATATTCTCAACTCCTCCGCTGAAATACGCTTTTGACAGATCGGGCATTTCCAGGTAGATATCTGTTCTTGTAAAGCAAGAAATGAATATGCATCAAAACATCCAGTGTGATCGCATTGTTCAGACTTTACTGGAAGTCGGATCCGGGCATAAGATAAAGGACATTTGAGTGAAACCTTTTCTATGCCCACTGAAATATCATCATCTGTGTTGTCATGACTGGCTTTGATCTTTTGGATCTCCACTTCTTTGGGGATTCTTTTCATATTTAACTTTTGAAGAACCTCTGTGATACTGAATTTCTTGCAGATACTCCCGATGAGCATGAAGGGGTTTTTATCTATGAATAGTAGTTTAATGCTATTCGACTCCTGTTTAAGGTGATCAGTAATATCAAAAGGCCTAGCAGTTCCCGGAACATTCTTTATCCCTCGTACCCCCGATTCCTTAATGGTCTGACCGTTGACCAGAAGTTCCATTTTATCCGGATATTCTATGGAGCAGGTGCGGACCAGGACCTTGTCGAAGTTGGTACATCGCAAATACACTCGGTTACTTGGGTCTTTTAGTAGTTCTCTGTCTTCAGGGGATAAAGTAATATTCATAAGAATTTGCAGTCTAGTTGCTGAGCCGTAACCAACACCAGGAAATTCTGGAAGGTCTTTGATAAGCTCATGAAAAGGGGAAGGTTCGAACACCAACGTAAAAGGCGACCTTGTTGGGGGAGCTTTCTTGGAGACCGCTTTAATATTAGTAGGGTGAGTTCTGTAGTTCGGCACTGATGAACTTTTAAGGGCTGATATCAGTTGAAGGGTGGATTGGTAATTCACAGTACCTGTTTCCAATCCACGGTAAAGTGAAGCAAACACGGGGAGATCAGGTCTGGCTTTCAACATCTCCGTCAAGACGATAATGGTGACGAGGGAAACCTTGTCAAACGGCTTAAGAAACCGATCTATAATAGCTCTGATATTTTCTATTGTTTCAGCTTTCTTCTTACCCTGGCGGACACCTAGAGATCTAGAAAGCTCTCGAAGTTGACTGACTTTGAAGTATTTGAGCCCATCCTTCAAGGCCTCGATCTCCAGAAGATTTAGTTCTGGAAGATATGTATCGTCTCCGGGCATATGTTATAACCGTCAGGGGTAACCAGTTGTAGACTTGTTGACGTTAATCTATCTTTGAAGATCGAAAATTAGTCGCACATATATTTGGTCCGCGTATCACAAAAAATATAAAATTACTACTCCATTCACTCTATCTACATTCTTTCAACAGGTGTCAATCCCAACAACTTCATACCGTTGTTCAACACTTGTCTGGCAGAAGCGTATAATGCCAATCTAGCCACTGCCAATTCCTTTTCTTGACCAGCAACCCACAATATGTCATAACAGGTAGAAACAATATGACTCAAGTTAAACAAATAAGTCACCACAGCAGATGCCTCATGGGTCTTAAGCGCCTTGTTCAAGGTTTCTGGGTATTGTGCAATCACCCTGATCAAATTGGTGGCACATTCTTCCGTTAACAAGTCGTAGTTAGCATTGAGCAACTCAGACTCCTCGAAACCAGACTTTCTTTGCACAGACATCAAACGAGAATGAGCATACTGCAAATAGGGACCGGTGTCACCTTCAAATGAAGTCATTCTGTCCCACTTGAATTCGTAGTTATTAATTCTCTTACTTTGGAAGTCTTGAACCATGACGGCAGATATTCCCACCAAGTCGGCAATCTCATCAGGGTTTTCGATCTGAGCATATTTTCCTTCATTCTTCTTCATCACCTCATGCATCTTCTCCTTGGTTTCTTCCAAAATGTTGTCCAAAAACACCACAGTACCCTTTCTGGTGGACATTCCGAGGACCATACCGAAGTTAACGTGAAGCAAGTCCTTAGACCAACTGAATCCCATTTGTTTCAATATCTCAAAGAACTGGGCAACGTGCAAGTCCTGTTGACAGGCAATGACATAAATCATCTTGTCAAACTTGTATGTTTCATAACGCTTGATAGCTTCACCTACATCACGGGTCAAGTATATGGAGGTACCATCAGACTTTTGAATCAAACATTTACCCAACTTCTTGTTGTATTTGGTCAAGTCAATTAATTTGGCACCTTTGTCTTCGTATAATAAACCTCTTTCTTCAAAAATGTCAGACACCTTTTTAATGATATCTTTCGACACTTGAGACTCACCGGAGTAGACATCGAACTTGATGTTGAGACGGTTGTAGGTTTCAATGTACTTTTTAATAGACAATTCTCTGAATTTTTTCCATAAGCTTATGGCATCCTGGTCATCGTCTTCTAATTTCCTGAAGAACTCTCTAGCCTTGTTGTTGATCTCCGAATCTTCACCTTCCTCAACAACATCCTTGTTGATTTTCACGTAAACGTCAAATAAGTGATTAATTGGGTCATTGTCCAATGCTTCTTGAGATCCGTACTTGTCGAACCCAACGGCTAAAAGACCAAATTGCTTTCCCCAGTCACCCAAGTAGTTGATTCTAGTGACATTCCATCCAAAAGTTTCGTATAAGTTGGCAATAAAACCTCCAATAATTGTGGATCTTAAATGACCAGCATGGAATGGTTTAGCAATATTTGGAGAAGAGAACTCAACAATAATCTTCTTGCCTAAACCAACAGGTAAAGAACCGTATGAAGACTTTCTTTCTAAAGTATCCTTTATAAGTAGCTTGTATAACAACAGGTTATCTATGAAGAATTGTAAGAAAGGACCTTCAGCTTTTATCTCCTTCAAGTACTTTCCTTTGTTAAAGGCAGATGCCCATTCAGCAGCCTTGTCCTTAGGGTTAATACCCTTTAATCTCAATCTTGGAACTGGGATGATCAAGTCACCTTTGTCCAAAGTACTTGGGATATCCAAACTTTCAAAGATAATTCTCTTATCAACACTGGACAACTGGTGCAACTCATCGGTAATATAGTTTCTCAATAAGTCGAGGACGTTATGGTTGGGGTATGATCCTTCGACAGCTGTTGGGTTTTCGAGGCCTAACTTGGCCAATTGTGATGAAATTACTTTAATGTCTGACATTCTGTGAAAACTTCTAATTGCATTCAAGAAGTATTTCATGAACTGAAAATTTTTATTTTGCGTGTATAAATTTTCTGGTGTGAGAAGACGCAGAACAGAAGCAAGGAAAGTTAGTCATAGTATTATAGTCACAATATTTTGTTTTAAGGAAAACAAGTGGAACAGAAGTAGTGAGGGTGAAGATTGAAATCGTAAGAGAGTTTTCTAGTTGTGTGCTAGCGTGACTTGCAGTTTTCGTTAATCTCCCCTGTAATTGCAGCCAAATGAGCGTACAAGCTAGTTTCACAAACTGAAACTGAAAAGGAGGATAAAGGCTATATTAACAAGATCCCATTACCTGGATGTCAAAATCCCATAGTTTGAATCTCCATCAACTAGTTTTTCTCTTCTACTACGGTATATGCTCCTAGATCTACATCTGATAGAGCGCATCATTTTCAAGCGTAAGTCGCACTCTATCTATTACTATAATTTCCCTAGCATCCACAATGGCAGATATATCCCGTTTAACCGATATGGGGTTCACCGAGGAACAATCTCGAAGAGCATTAACACTAGCGAACAATGATGTTGAAAAGGCCATTGGATTTTTAGTAGGCGAGCTGGTAGAAATATCAAACAAAGAGGAAGTCCCTGATTTCACCTTGTTAATGTCAAACCAACAAAACAGCTTTGATTCAGAAGTACCCGCCTACGAGTACAGCACAAGTCATATCATTGCTGTTAGCGATGATGAAGGATATGAGGGAGCAATAGACAACAGTGATTCTACCACTCCAGACATCACTCTTCAGTTGCCAAAACCCAAACCCAGAGAGGATGGCGTTCCACCCGTGATCGTGTCGCCAAATCCCAGTCGGTATGATCTTGTTGCTTCAGCAATATTAACGGCATTGCTACAGATTGATGAGGTCAAAGCCAAACTCAAACTACCATCCGAGAGTTCCTTTTTGACAAAGTTAAAGGGTTTAATCGATGAAGTAGAAACGGGTGAAAATGACTATGTGGTAAGCAATTTGGCATTCCCTGAAGACGACTCGAATACTATTGAAGAGTTCATTCCCAATATCTATGACGCTATAACTGAGGAGTATGAGGAAGAATTCAACGATGACTCCTTGAAAGTGCTAGTAAAGTCCACCGTTCAAACGTCAGAAGATGAAGCGTCTCAAGATATCTCTGTTATTGAGATTGAGACCGATACTAGATATCTGGATATTTATGATTCTTTGAACGAGCTTTTCTGGGGCAAGGATTTGGAAAACTTAGACAACATTACTTTCGCCAACATTGGGTCGGTATTGACCTTTTGTTATAATGGTGAGGATATGGCCTATTACAAGACGCCAATGAAACTTAGAGATACCATTTACCCACAAGTGTACTCCAAGGAGCTCGTACCTAAGTTAATGGAAATGAACAACAAGTTCACCCAATTGAACCACTCCAAAACTGAGCTTTCCAACCAGTTGATGAAACTTCTGATATTCCAAGGAAAGCGTATCAGTGCATTTCTCAGTCAGTCACAGGATTTCCTTCAAGACTCGAGTGCCAAAGCTAAGTTGAGCCTGTTGCACGAAAAGCTCAATGAGGAAAAGTTAAAGCTTAACAAAGAAATGACAGATCTCTTGAGATCAGTCGACTCTTATTACATAAAGAACCCGGCGAACGTCACAGAAGGGCTCAAACCGTACAAGGCGATCTTCGTGGGCTTGAATGAATCTGAATACTTTTATTTCAACAAGGCAACTGACTGTTGGGTAAGTGTTAGCATCGGGAACAATTTGGATTTCGCCCAAGAATTCACTGATTTCGAAACCGTCAAAACCATTATTTTAGAGAGATCCAGACAACGCACGATTCCGTTCTACATAATTTACTGTGAAGAAGACAAGCTTTACCAGAAGTATGAAATTGAGGAACCCAAGAATACCAATGGGGAACCTAACTTAATTGACCTCAATGATAACGATGATAATGAGCGAAAGGAGAATGATAAAGTACATGAGTAAGAGAATGAAGGACAAGAATGGGTTATGTAGGTAAGTAGCCCCAATTTCTACATCTATTCAACTGGACGGTGGGTAGTAATTTTTATCGCATCCTTATTAGATTGTATGCGCTTAGCGGGCGCTCCCCATATTTTCACATATAAGTGAAGGAAATCCCCGTTATTAAGGAGGATCTCTACATTTTTCACATCATGGGAAAGTACGATGATGCTCATGAGTTCATTCATAAGTTTGATAGCAGCGAAAAGCAAGATGAAATCAACATTGCAAGTGTGTATCGCAAGATTGACATGAGAATCTTACCTTTACTATCTGGAATTTACTTTTTGCAGTTTTTAGATAAAGCCTTGATCAACTACGCTGGTGTAATGGGAATAAAGGACCACCTTGATAATCCTGCTCAGTTCAGTGACTTGGCCACAATTCTTTATGCTGGGTACATTATATGTGAACCATTTGTGGCATTTGGGTTTCAAAAACTTCCATTTGCCAAGTTTTTTGGAGTTTCTATCGTTCTCTGGGGTGTGGTTGTGACCTTACATTCTGCTTGTCTTAATTATTCCAGCTTGATGGCAATTCGGTTTTTACTAGGATGTGTGGAAGCTACTGCAGCATCTGGTGTTTTAGTTTGCAATGGAATGTGGTATTCTCACAAGCAACAATTATCCAGATTTGGTATCATCACCAGTCAAGTAGGACTGGCTACTGTTGTTGGGGGATTGTTGTCCTTTGGATTTCAGCACGTGGTGAACGGTTCTTTAGAAAGTTGGCAAATTCTATTCTTGGTGATGGGTCTTATAACAGTGGTTTTCGGAGTTATGGTTTTGGTGATTCTTCCAGATAACCCTATGAATTGCAAATTTTTGACAGATCAAGAGAAGCTTGCACTCTTGGACCATCTCAAGGACAACCAGACGGGAATTGAAAATAAGACCTTCAAATGGGCCCATGTAAAGTCTTATTTAAAAGATAAGCAGAGTTGGTTGATTCACATTCTAACTATCATCAGTATGATTCCAACCGGTGCAATCAACACATTTTCGGTGACTATCATTGGGACTTTTGGATTTGATAGTAAAAAATCAGCTTTGATGCAAATGCCAGTTGGTGTATCATCTATTCTTGCAATTCTTATTCCTATGTACTCATTGTACTACCTCAAAGGGAACTATAGAACCGCCATGTTTGTGGGCCTCCTTCTTATTGCCATTGCCGGATACTTCATTTTAATTTACTGCACTAATACGTATGCCAACTTATTTGCAGTGTACTTTGGAAATGCAGGTACTTGTGTTATTACATTGATATACTCATGGAACAACAGGAATACCGCAGGATATACCAAACGATTGATTCGTAATTGTGGAACCATGATTTGTATAGCTATCGGCGGTTTGATTGGGCCCCAGTTATTCAAAACTGATGCGCCCCGGTACTTGCCTGCTAAAATTGCTTTATTGGTTATCAGCTTTGTTTCTATTCCTTTAGTTGTTCTTCTTGGGTTTGTTTCAAGATGGGAAAACCAAAAGAGAGACAACATTTCAGAGAAAGACTCCTCGGACTTTCATGATCATTATGGTGATGACTTTGAGTACAAGGACCTAACTGACGTTGAAAATATTCATTTTAGATATGGTTATTAGTATTCTCAATATAGTGTAAACTTGCAGCCATTGAAAAAGGTGTGTGCGGTGGTACAAAAACTATGCTCGCTATTGAGTTTGCTGGAGAGAAAATTCACCAGTAGAACCTAGTGGCAATTAGTAATTAAATTGATAATTCAACAAAATGACGGACATGCAAGTTGACACACCTCCCATCGGATCTATAGATGAGGGTTTGTACTCCAGACAGTTGTATGTTTTGGGAAAGGAAGCGATGTTGAAAATGCAAAATGCAAATGTATTAATAATCGGATTGAAGGGGTTAGGTATCGAAATCGCTAAGAACATCGCATTGGCCGGTGTCAAGTCTTTGGCATTATACGATCCTACCACCATCGAGATACAACATTTGTCAAGTCAGTTTTTCTTATCGGAAAAGGATATCGGTAAGCAAATTGATGAAGTTTCTTCTATCAAGTTGAGTGAATTGAATCAGTATGTTCCCATCTCAATATTGCCTGATCTTGCGGAGTCTAACTTGTCTCAATTCAAGTGTATTGTTGTGACTGATTTGTTAAGTTTGGAAGACCAGGTGAAGTTGAACGAGTTCACCCACAGTCACGATATTGGGTATATTCAAGCTAACATAAAGGGGTTGTTTGGTCAATTGTTCGTGGACTTGGGTGACCATTTCACCGTTATTGACCAAGACGGAGAAGAACCTTTAACCGGAATAGTTTCTGACATTGAAAAGAATGGAACTGTGACCATGTTGGATGACAGCAGACACGGTTTACAAGATGGTGATTACGTGAAGTTCAAAGAAGTTGAAGGCATGCCCAAGTTGAACGAGAGTGAAAAACCTTTCAAGATTGAAGTGTTAGGTCCTTATGCTTACAAAATTGGAATTGATGAATCCTATGGAACTTATGTCAAAGGTGGTATTTACCAACAAGTGAAGATGCCCAAAACCTTAAAGTTTGACAAGTTGGTGGATCAATTAAAGAAACCTTCCTTCTCTGTGAGTGACTTCGCCAAGTTTGACAGGCTCAATACCTATCACTATGGATTCCAGGCTTTGGCCGGCTTTCAAGTTAAAAACAATGGTAAGTTGCCTCGTCCTTACAATAAGGAAGATTTCAACGAATTGTTAACCTACGCCCAACAAATCAGAACTTCTCTGCCAGTACCTGATGATGAAGGTGACTTGGATGAAGCTTTAATTGAAGAATTGTCTTACCAGGCCAGAGGTGATGCTCCCGGTGTCAATACCTTCTTTGGTGGATTGATTGCTCAAGAAGTCTTGAAGTGTGTGTCCTCAAAGTTCAGTCCTATGCAACAATGGCTCTACTTTGACTCTCTAGAGAGTTTACCAAATGTGAAGCATTACCCCAGAAACGAAGAAGTTACTAAGCCATTGGGTACTAGATATGATAATCAGGTTGCGTTATTTGGTAAAGATTTTGTTGAAGCTGTTCAAAACTTGAGAGTTTTCTTGGTTGGGTCTGGAGCGATTGGATGTGAAATGTTGAAGAACTGGGCAATGATGGGTTTAGGCTCTGGTCCAAATGGTAAGATCATCGTCACTGATAATGATTCCATTGAGAAGTCAAACTTGAACCGTCAATTCTTGTTCAGACCAAAGGATGTTGGTAAGTTTAAATCTGAAGTTGCAAAAGCTGCAGTGGAAGCCATGAACCCTCAGTTGGTTGGAAAGATAGAAGCCTCTTTGGAAAAGGTTGGTTCTGATACAGAACACATCTTCGGTGATAAATTTTGGAACGACTTAGACTTGGTTACCAACGCTTTGGATAACGTTGAAGCCAGAACATACATAGATCGTCGTTGTATCTTCTACAAGAAGCCATTGTTGGAATCAGGAACATTAGGAACTAAAGGTAACACTCAAGTGGTTATTCCAAACTTGACAGAATCCTATTCTTCTTCTCAAGACCCACCTGAAAAGTCTATTCCATTATGTACGTTGAGATCTTTCCCAAACAAAATTGACCATACTATTGCCTGGGCCAAATCTTTATTCCAAGGCTACTTCCTTGAAAGTCCTGAAAGTGTCAATTTATATTTGAGCCAACCAAACTATGTTGAACAAACCTTGAAACAAAACCCAGACATCAAAGGAACTTTGGAGAACATTTCAGAGTACTTGAACAAGAGACCGTACACCTTTGATGACTGCGTCAAATGGGCCAGAGCTCAATTTGAACTCAAATTCAACCATGATATTCAACAATTGTTGTACAACTTTCCTAAAGATGCTAAAACTTCAAATGGTGGAAATTTCTGGTCTGGACCCAAGAGAGCTCCAGATGCTTTGGTGTTCGATATCAACAATAAGAATCACTACGACTTTATTGCTGGTGGTGCTAACTTGTTGGCATATGTGTATGGTTTGAAGCCATCAAACGAAGACTTAGATTACTATACTAAGGTTTTAAGTGAAACAAAGATTGAACCATTTGCTCCAAAGACTGGAGTGGCGATTGCTGCCAACGATAATGAAGCTGAAGAACAAATGAAAAACATGAACAACACCGTTGATGATGATTCTTTAAAGAAGATTGCTGCTTCATTGCCGGAACCAAGTACTTTAGCTGGTTACAGATTGAACCCAATCGAATTTGAAAAAGATGATGACACTAATCACCACATCCAGTTCATTACAGCAGCTTCTAACTGTAGAGCTGAAAACTACTCCATTGAACCGGTTGATTACTCTAAGACCAAATTTATTGCCGGTAAGATTATTCCTGCTATTGCTACTACCACTGCTTTGGTCACCGGGTTGGTTTGTTTAGAGTTATACAAAGTCTTGGACAAATCAAAGTCCATTGAAGACTTTAAGAATGGGTTTATCAACTTGGCCTTACCTTTCATTGGTTTCAGTGAGCCAATCAAATCACAAAAGGGTAAGTATAATGACACCGAGTTTGACCAGATTTGGGACAGATTTGAGCTTACTGGGCATCTCACATTGCAAGAGTTACTCGATCATTTTGAGAAGAATGAAGGGTTAGAAATCACCATGTTGTCTTATGGAGTCTCCTTATTGTATGCTTCTTTCTTCCCTCCTAAAAAGATCAAAGAAAGGTCTTCAATGAAATTGACTGACCTCATCAAGGAAATCAGCAAGAAAGATATTCCAGAACATGTTTCTACCTTGATTTTTGAAGTCTGCTGTGACGACCAAAGTGGAGAAGATGTTGAAGTTCCATATATTTGTGTTAAGTTGAATTAACTTTTATATTAGATAAATTAAATACAAACTTTTAACATAAATACAAACCTCTGTCCCTCAGTTTACTATAGTACCGTTGCTCAAATTGATGGATTTTGTAGCAATGCTGTATAACTCAGTATCATGGCTAACTATGATAACGGTTACCCCCATCTCTTGATTCGCTTTGAGAATTAGCTCTTTGAAGATATTGAAATTCTGCGTATCCAAATTGCTGGTACATTCATCAAGTATAAGGACTTTAGGTTGTCTGATCAAGGCCCTGGCCATTGCTAATCTTTGTAATTGACCTGTAGAAATTAATGAGTTTTCAGTTAAAGAACCGATGTCTGATTGCAAACCATCTGGTAAACTGTTGGTGAAGGAGAAAATGTTGCAAGTTTTCAAGTATTCATCAACGTTGGAATTTATTAGGCTCTCCTTGGATAATCCATAAGTTAAGTTGTCATAAATTGTACCTTCAAAGAAGACTGGGTTCTGTGGAACAATTGAAATGTATTCTCTCAAGAACTCAACGTTAACTTGAGATATTTCAGTGCCGTTCAATTTTATTGAACCTTCATAATTGCCATAAAGTCTCATTATCAAGTTGGTTATGGTCGACTTACCAGATCCACTTTCACCAATAATGGCAAAAATATCCTCTTCTTTGATATTGAAAGAAACATTTTTCAAGACTTGTTTCGTTGGAGTGTAACCGAAACGGATGTTGGAAAATTGAAGAATGGAGTCCTTGTATACTTCAGCAGGCTTTTCAGTACCTTCCGTTTCAACCTTTGAGTCTGGTAACTTCAAAAGATTTATTATGTGAGTGGCACATCTTTGCCCTCTGGTGATATCAGGTAATTCATTCAAAAGACTACCCGCTGCAGTGAAAGTCATAAGCAATAAAGTAATAACCTGTAAGAACTGCAATCTTCTGTACATTGTATCACCAACCAATCTCATACCGTAGTAAAGGATCACACCAGTAGCAACAGCCATTAGGAGTTCTTTTATAGCAAGACAGAACCCAGTGTGAAGGGCTCTTTTTGAAGCGGCCCTACCCAACGCAGAAGACTTGAGATTAAACTGGAGCTCGAAGAAGCTCTTTAAGTTGAGCGAATGGACCGTTTTCATACCGTTTACCAACTCAAAGTTAATGGTTTCCAAGTCATTTACTCTATCCTTGTAGCTGGTTTCAAACTTTCTTAGCACAGTGGCGTAGACCACCGACACAACAATAATAATGAAGGCAAAAGCAATTCCAGTTAAGGCCAATCTCCATCCCAAAACCAACGCAAAGATACAACCCAATAATACCAAAAATGTTAGTGAGATACTAACAGCAAGGAACTTGGAAACCATTGTTCTTAAATCTCTGGTATCATTCATTAACAAGGCATTTAAAAATACAGGTTTGTGGCCTTCTTCATGGAAGAAACTCATGTCTTGGTCATTGATCTTTGTAAGACTCCGTTTTCTTAACATATTAATCCATTTTTCAGAGGACACAGCCAATAAAAAGTTAGCCAAAAAGTAAGTAGCACCATTGACAATTGCACAAGCAATAGCATAAGTGGACCAGACTCTCAATCGAGAAGATCTATCAACACCAATAGAAATGTCGATCATATTTTCCAATAACCTTGAAAAGATGTACGAGAAAATAGGATTGGATACCGCATGAACGGCTGCAAAAAAGAGACCGAGCAAGGCGAGCGATTTAGAATTGGCGGTCTTAATGTAATAAAGAAGAATCTTCCCCAATGAGTATATCTTTTCATTTGCGCCTATCTTTAAGGCTTCGACGTCCTTCAACACAAATGGATTCTTCAAGTAGTTGTATTCTTTGATTTGAGAAACTCTTACCGAGTCATCTTTTAATTCCAGATCGGAGTAATCTTGCAGTTCATCACTTGAACCACTTGAGAAACTATGAGTTCTTATTGCAGTACGTTTGATGAGTGGCTCCTCAGAGAGTTCCCTCATGTATCCCTGATTCTTAGTAGCACCATCTTGGATAATAAAGACAACATCGTTGGGAAAAATTTGGTCTAACTGATGAGTGATGAAAATAGTAGTCTTACCTTCTCTCCACTGTCTGATGGAATTAAGTAAAGTGATTCTATTCTTTTGATCCAAAGCACTTAAACCTTCATCAATTATCAATATCGGCGTGTCCCGCAACTTGGCTCTGGCAATTGAAATTCTCTGCTTCTCACCACCCGACACACTTGAGTTGGAAATGGGCTGATCGACACCACCTATTCTCTGGATCAACTTAGACAAAAGAGCAAAATCACAAACTTCAGTAATTATACCGTGTGGAATACTATCAAGGGAGTCATATTCATCTAACACTGACATTGCTAAGTTGTCTTTCAAAGAATGGTCAAAAATAATTGGATTCAGCAGAACTAAAGTGATGTTCTTACTAATCCAGCGCTTGTCAATAGTACGCACATCAAGACCGTCAATAAGGATTTGACCAGCATCAGGTTTATAGAAAGCCATTATCAACTGGGAGATAGTCGACTTACCACTTCCCGACTTTCCAATGATAAAGTTGAACTCGTTTGACTTGATGTTCAAGTTCAAGTCCCGAATTGCAAACTCTTTCTTGTTGGTGTATTTAAACAGTACCTTCTTGATTTCGATAGATCCATTGCACCATGTGGGAGACATCTTGTGTTGGTCGGGTTCTGTTGAGTTGTGCAAGTTCAAAAATTCAACAAGTCTTCCATTAGCAGCTTGAGCTCTGTAGATTTCTCCAATCAATTCAGTGATACTTGAAACAGACTCAGCTAACATCAAGCAAGCAGAAAATGCTGTGAACACTTCATTGACATTAAGCTTTCTCAACCTGATCATGGTGTTACCGAACCAGAATGCTTGGACAAACATCAACAATGATAAGACTCTCAAGATCCCCATGTTCAAAGTAACTACATTTTCATATTTGTAGTTGAAGGTAGAACACTGGTTGACCAACTTTCTGAAATTAAGGATCTCTATGATCTTTCCATTAAACACCCTAGGAATAGGGGCATTTAAGATACACCAGTTAATAATCTTAGATGACTTAGCGGAGTAGATATTCTCTTTGTTTGCAAACCTATAAGCCAATTTACCAGTAAACCAGGAAGATAAAGCAAAGAAAGGGGTCAAGGCTAACACCACTAATGTCACCGACCAGGAGAACACCATAGCCACTATGAACAAGGCCACGGCTCCCACGACCCCCAGAGTCATCAACCCCAATACTTCTGCGTTTCCTGTTCTCAACTCTTCAATACATCTGTTCAACTGGTTTATTTCCCCATTGACGTTTTTAAAGTTTTCAACCCATTCTATATTATCTTGAATGATGATCTTAGCAAAGATCTGTCTTCTTACTCTTCTCTGGTGGGTTTCACCATTTCTCATCCAGAACAAAACCAGAAAGAATGTCAATATCAGCTTGGCTGCACCAACCACTATAATCATCCAACAGTAGATGCCCACTGCTTTGATGAAATCATGGAAAGTATTGTAGTCACCAATGTAATAAGTAGACAACTTGGTGAATATCCTTCCATAAAGGATGGTCTGTGCGGGAGTGGCTAAAGCACTTATGGCAGAAAAGATTACTCCGGGGATGATATTTATGAAGTCACTTCTCTTAGTAAACTTGAATAAACTGACTTTGGTGGCATCCAGAAGCTCCGATTCGAAGTTGGAACTCATGGGCTCCAACTCTATATCAGGCTGGTTTTTATCACTAAAAGGATCTTGCTTCATTTAGTTTGTGGGAACTTGATGCAAAAAATACAGTAGCAAAGAGGATAGAAGATTTATATATCTCAGACTAAAAAAACGCATAGCTATTCGATTATGTACGGGCCAGAGCCGCAGAGTGTGAGTTCTTACATATAAGGCGTTAATGCTGTTTAGATTTGGAACATTTCTTAATTAATATTCCACATTCGGCTTTACAATATGTTTCAGCCAATGTGCAAAAATTTCCCAATTAAGCTTTCTCAATAGACTTAAACATCATAATCACTCCACACCCCTTTCATGAGACATGTGATCGACTGTAGTGAGTGTGCCACCTAGGCCCACTACTGTTCTCAAACCTGATTCTACAATATATGCAATTTTCACAAAAAGCGAGAGAAGCAGTTTTTTATTTGCGGCTGACAACCTTGGCTTTTTGCACTGACCCTTTGTTAATTGGCTAACTTACGACAGTATGCAGATCTTTTAAATTGGCATCTAGCCATTGGCAAAGTCAAAAAAATCCCGATATCTCCATCTACTGTATATACTACACATGAGAAACCCAGCCTTCCCGGCTATGGGTAACGATGCCTATTTTTTTTTCTTGGTTGCCATATCAAGAATAGTTTCTGTTTTGGAGCGGCGATGAAATAGATAAATCTTGGGGTTCGAGGTAGTTTCCCGACCGTGATTCACTTTTGAGCACATCTATAAGGTGATTCTGCTTCTTTATAGTTGACTCCAACTGATCTAGCTTGACGTTGGTCGACTTTCTGTAGGTATTGAACGCCACATTGGTGATAACCAAAGACCCAAAGATGGCTATTAGAAGGAAGAACATGGCTTTCCAGCTGATGGGTTTGACAAACCCATTGAGAATATCAGCCAATGTTTCTGCGGTTATTCTGGACTTCCCAATTAGCTGTGGATCTCGATTCATGCATTTGAGCCAGCTGGTGCACTGGTTTTCGAGGACTGGTGGGACCTTGTCATCATTACAACGGTTTCGGTAGTACTCTCTGGAGCACTTGGAGATTTCTTGCAAACTGTCGGTGATATACAATTCAAGCTTGTTGTTGATGTCGGATCGTATGGTGGTGATGAAGATGACAACAAAGTATGCGATGAGACCCACAATCAAAATGTTAAAGAGTAACTGCAAGTATAATGATAGAACATAGGGTATATTGGAATCAGTTAGGATTCTGTGAATGAGATTTTCGTCATCTTTATCCAACACGGCGGTGGTAATATCCTCATGGCTACCTCTCCTGGAGACTCGGCGGCGGTTGAGGTTCAATTGGATGGAATCGTTCATGATCTCATCATCAGTCGAATCAAAGTAGTCTTTGAAGTTCTTGACTTCTTTGGTGGGTGAAAATAACACTTTGCTCTTCAAGCCGGTTTTGGAATTCTTCTTTAATATCGACTTCGGCGTAGACTCGCTGCGGATCCCATCCCCAGCTGGCGATCCAAGAGACGTAGTAAAACTATCCATTGTGTTTTGTTGATTATTATTTTTGGTTTTCGCTTCTCGCTCCTACAAAAATACTGATGAGCATCGATCCAGCTTCTCGCTTGCGCAAGTTCAGGTATTCTGACACCAAGAAAGTCTCGAAACCAAAGCCGGTGAAGCACATCAAGTCGAAGAAGACCCGTACTGTGGCCAACTATGAGGGTTTGAATGATCTAAATCCATCGGTTCAACCAGATTTACAAGTGCTTTTTGTTGGGTTCAATCCTGGGGTAGAGTCCTCCAGAACACAACATCACTATGCCCACCACACGAATTTGTTTTGGAAGCTTTTCAACCAATCCCGGCTCTTGTTCTGGGTCTTGGAAAGAAATGGTAAGACCAACAACAAGGACGACTTGTTGTTGAATCAGTTGACTATTAACGGAGAATCTCACGCCACGGCTGTGAATGATTTCGAACTAATTAAATACAACATCGGGTTCACAGACTTGGTATTACGGTGTACAAAGTCGGCACAAGAACTAACTATGCAAGAGAAACTCGACAATGTTCCTCGACTTCTACGCGAATGGAACCTTGCACAAGCCAAGAAGATAGTCATAATTGGTAAAGGAATATGGGAAATAATCATTAAGTATATACTGAGAAAGCAGGGCATAAAAGTCCAGCGATTTGATTGGGGGGTTCAAAACAATGCGTACACCCAGTGGGTGTGCTCCGAGGCAGGTATTGAATCTGATATCCACGTACTACCGAACACATCAGGTTTGGTGACCAGCATGAACTTTGCTCAGAAACTAGCCCTTTGGAATGAGATCAAGAACTGAGCCTTGACTCACTACTTCCAAACCTTGCTGAAGTTGGCATCCAAGTCTTTGTCGAATTTGGCCAAAGTTTCCTCATTCATGTTTTCTCCGTACTGACCAAAGTTGGAGGTAAACAAATGGTCAACCAAGAACCGGATCTTGTCGCAATGCTGGGTACTATAGCAGTCATTATAGAACATTTTGTTGAATGCCTTGCTTTGAATTTCAACACAGTTTTTGTTGGCTTTAATCTGCTTGGAACAATTATCTATAGACGTGAAATTAAGACTCTTGAAACAATCCACCACTTTGAGTTGTAGTTCGGCACAGTTGGTTATCGATACGTTTCGAATACTATTCTTCCTCTTATAGGTTTCGAGGTCGTAAGAGTATTCTTGGGAAATCTTCTTTAGTTTTGCGTTGACCATAATCTGCTGTGGCGTGAGCTTATACTTATTGTACTGCCTGTCATCCGGATTGTTCTTCTGGAAAAACTCTTTCAAGTCCTCGGGCAACTCTTTTTCTATCTCCTGTGTTTCTTTGGTCAGATTCCACCAAAGCATTATGTGATGATGAATTGAGTGAGACTAATTATTTCCATTCTTTTTTTGACTGCGAAACGAGATGAGATCGTAATTCATTAACTATACACATATATCAAGACCGTTCTAGGAGCCCTTCGAATAACCTGGATACCTCGGTTTCTACCTCCCCTCTAGACTCGCTTTGGCTAAACTTGTCGATGATTACAATCCTGAGTCGAGATATTATAGATACCACTCTGATTAGCCCGGTGGAGCTGAAAAGTCCCACATCGTGCAAGTAGCTTAACTTGACATCTAGAAATTGAAGAAACTCAAAAAACTCACGACGATCGCCGATATTGAGGTTGTAGAAGCTTACATAGTCCTCGAGATCATTGAGGATCTTAATAAAGTACTCCACATTACCATGAGAACCAGGTGATATGGAAAGCCATACCAATTTGGCATTGGTGTATAATGGCTCAATAATAGAACCAATGGTCAGGTTGATTTCACCTGACTGCGTTTTGATAAACACCCGTTGGATCTTGAGAAGTTGCTCATCCAAGTAGTTGATGAGCTTGCTCTGCTGTGGACCTGTAATTTCTTCATGGGCTGTGAAATGCAATCTAGTGGCTTCATATGATTCTTCGAAAGTGGGTGTTATACCACGGAAATCGATGAGGAGGTTCGGTTTTGGAGACCCCCGTGGTTGTGTATCTGGCTCAATGTCATGGTGTTGTGATAATTGGTGGGTTTGATCTATGCTTTGGTCTTTAATAAACCCACCCTCAACGTCCATGTGATTGCTATCCATGACTTGGTCATCATCGTCATCATCATCCAAGTCAGGATTCAAGTCGATGTCCAACTGGCCTTCTGGAAGATAGCGGATTTCTTCATTTGCAGCAGGATGAGTAGGAGTTGTAGGAGCATTCAATGACATGACTCTCGGCAAATCACCATTTTGTGGCTCGAGTAATTGTGCGATAATGGAGAACTCAAGCGCGAAAAAGAAATAATCTCGTAGACGTGAGATAAGGAGACCACAATCCACTTAAACAACACGTATAAGCATTTTGAGTTCAAAGGATTTGATACCACCAGTGACACATACTTCCTGAACTTTAATTTCCACTTTACATTTGCTGTCCCCCTCCGACAGACCTAGATATCCTTCCAATAACCGTTTCTTGCAACCCATAGATCCCGGTGTCTGATTAGCCATTTTACACTTATATTTCATACACCAGTGCACCCAGAATGCCTGTAACCGAAAGACCGAAAACATCCGACCTCAAGGTCAATTTCGGTCCAGCTGAAGCACTAGTGATCAAGTCCTTAAGTGGATCACTAGGTGCTAAGGGGAAGAAAGGTGCCTGCGACCCATTTGACAAACAACCATCAGACGACACCACTGATGAAAGTAGTATCATCAGCACGGACACTCCTGAGATGGATGAGCTCAAGCCACTTAAATCCATCATCAACTCAGACTCCTCAGTTCCAACTCCCTTAAGAAGTTTTGACATTTTAAGCTTCAACAATAGCAGGTACGAAACCCCCCGGTTCTTCAACGACTACTTGAGTCCCAACAGTAAGTTCTCAGGGATGCAACAAAGTTCAAAGAACAAGCACAAAATTGAAGTGGAGTTCAAGCATGTGGACTTGACGAACTCATTGGTGGTCGGGTTTCTCAAAATCCAAGGATTAAGCGACGAGCACCCTGAGATAACCACTTGTTTCAAAGGAGAAATCATCAATAACCCGTTGAAAACCCGGTATGACAAACTGTTGGCAAAGAATTATTCATTCCTCACCGAAAACAGTCAGTGGGGATCCTCCTTCACTAATGACTTGGATCACTGGAAGCGACTCTCCAACTACTACAATCTCACAGACGATGAGTTTTCTAAAAAGCTTTTTTTTAATCAATGACAACGAGAAAGACCAGGGGCTTGTGTATATGAGATGGAAAGAAGAGTTTTTATTACCAGATGCCCGTGTCAAACAACTAAATGGAGCTTCGTTCGAAGGGTTTTATTACATTGTAATGAACATTGGCAACAAGAACAAAATTAATTTCCCTATTGGTTCTATTAATGGGTTATATTATTTTCAAAAGTCTGAAAAGTTCCAATCTTTGAGCTTGTCATATATAAATGATCGGGGACTCCAACCACTGTTCCTGTTCTTATGAATTTTTTGTAATGAAACTTTGTACATTTTTACGTAGCTATATACCTACTGTGTTTATTGGGTCTTCTTTTCTTGGGTGTTTTTGGCCGCATAAATCTTAGCAGTGAAAGGCTCTTCGAAAAGCAAAGCGATTTTGTACATGACAAATACCAACCCGCTGACAATGATTCCGGTTGGTTTACCATACCACAAGGCTGTACCCAAAAAGCAGAGCGTGGATCCGTTATACATAGGGTTGTCATTGACGTTGAATGGGAATCCGGTGACTCTTTCATCCATCAAAATACCAAAATAGTCACCCAAGTATGTTCCAGTGACTCCCAAAGTGTACATGGAAGTGATTACCAACACGTTTCCAAAGCCAAATGATGTAATGGCTAAGGCCTTAATGATATCGGAATTGACAAAAGGTTCAAAAGTTGGCTGGGCTTCCAAAGCAGCATGATACACATAATCTCTGTAGATTCCCAACGAAAATATCGTTAATGCCAACAAGTAGCATCCGTTTCTGGCGCCTCCACTTACCTTAGTTAAGATATGGGTGTTGTATTCCAATCTGGCAACGATATTCCAGAAGATGGGGTTGAAAGCTATACATGCCAAGCTGTAGGCCAATTGATCATTGACATTGACGTAGTCTTGGATGTTTTGTACCAAGAACTTGGTATCGTTTAAAAGAGACATGACGGGTGAGCGTTGGGTTTGAAAAGTTGGGTTTTGCGGAATATGGAGGTTAAATAGGAGCTCGCCTACACTATATTTCTGGCGACAGAAGCCTGCATATCACCCGAGCCGCGACTGAATTTGGGATCTGATTCGCATGTGATTTTGTCGCGTTGGCGGTTTTGCAGCCACTTTGCGAGTGATTGAAGATTGTGGGTGCAAATGTGAAATGCGAGAAGGAAAAGGGGTATACGCAAGCGGAAAGGACACTTACAAGGGTGAGAGAAGGAAACGATTGAGAAATAGTGCAGAGAATGCTGACAGAGAATACTGGTAGATGTTAGTAGTGAATTTAGTCATATATCCATCTTAGTTTTCTAGCGCTGACATATATGCAACTGGGTTTGTGTTTAACGATACGTCAAGTCTGTGTTGAATTGCACACATACACATCCTTATGTATGGCGTCTGTGTCTTCGATGCTTATGGCATCGAAACGTCAATAAGTTTGCCAAGCACAATGCTTCAGATGACTTTCTCTCGAGAAGTAGAAATAATTGTTAAAGGCTATAGCAGGTACTGAGTTGGAAGGCCTAGCCCAGCATTAATTTCGTTGTAGTTTGCAGTCATTTTTGTATACTTCAAAGAGAATATAAAACCTCGATCCCGTCAAACATGGGAAATGGTAACACCAAATGAAAACCTTCCAATATAATGGTTGAAGGCAACCAAAAAGATACCATGCTATGATGAAGTTGGTAAATTCCTCCTATACAGTTGTGTCAACAGATATCGTTAGTATCTGGGTGAAGTAAAATATTAGGCTCCAAAGTCTTCAGATATCATTGACATCAAGTGATAGCCGTTTCCACATGACGGAAGACTTTTAAAATTGGTATGTATAAATTTTTTCTATTTCTCATACCATATACTCTTCAGGTCTCCGATCTGTCAACTTTCTGTACATGAATCATTTCTCGCTAATATTTGCCATTTGCATCCCTCATAATGACTCATTGAAATCAAGTTTAGATTACGGTGCGTAGATCCGCGCAAATCGAAGCAGATTTTTCACCCTTCAACATCTTACACAATCATGGTCAAGTATGTACCCACTATCAATTGATGTACAGGTATTCCCCTGGACCATCCTAACCAATGTCATAATACCTTACTAACGCCTTCTCTTTAGGAAAGTCTTATTGTTAGGTTCTGGTTTTGTTGCCAAACCCACTGTCGATATCTTATCGCAAACTGCTAACGTTGAAGTTACTGTTGGATGCAGAACTTTGTCCAAGGCTCAAGCCCTTGCTGGAACCGTTGCCAAGGCCATCTCTGTTGATGTCACCAACGAGGCTCAATTGGATGAGGCTGTTTCCCAGTTCGATTTGGTGATCTCATTGATTCCTTATATCTACCATGTTAATGTGGTCAAGGCAGCAATCAAGTTCAAGAAGCACGTTGTGACCACTTCCTACATCAACCCGCAATTGAAAGCATTGGAATCCCAGATCAAGGAAGCTGGTATCACTGTCATGAACGAAATCGGGTTGGACCCAGGTATTGATCACTTATACGCAGTTAAAACCATTGATGAGGTCCATGCCAAGAACGGTAAAATCACCTCTTTCTTGTCTTACTGTGGTGGTTTGCCATCGGCTGAATCCTCTGACAATCCTTTGGGATACAAATTTTCCTGGTCTTCCAGAGGTGTGTTGTTGGCTCTTTCCAACCCTGGTAAGTACTGGGCTGATGGTGAAGTTGTCAATGTTAAGTCCGAAGACTTGATGAGCACTGCTAGACCATACTTCATCTATCCCGGTTATGCTTTGGTATGCTACCCAAACAGAGACTCCACTACCTATAAGGAGTTGTATAACATCCCTGAAGCTAAGACCGTTATCAGAGGTACTTTGAGATACCAAGGATTCCCAGAGTTCATCAAGGTGTTTGTGGACTTGGGTTTGTTGAAGGACGATGCTACCGAAATCTTCAGCTCCGAGGTGGCTTGGAATGAAGCTTTGAGCAAGTATATCGGTGCTGCTTCCACCTCTGAAAAGGATATTGTGGCTAAGATCGATGCCTTGACCAAATTCAAGGATGATGCTGATAGAGAAAGAATCTTATCTGGGTTCAAGTGGTTAGGTTTATTCAGTGACCAGAAGATCACACCAAAGGGTAACCCATTGGATACCTTGTGTGCTACTTTGGAAGAATTGATGCAATACGAAGAAGGTGAGAAGGACTTGGTTATTTTGCAACACAAGTTTGGTATCGAATGGGAGAACGGTGAAACCGAAGTCAGAACTTCGACTTTGGTTGATATTGGTGATCCAAATGGATACTCTTCTATGGCCAAATTGGTTGGTGTTCCATGTGCGATTGCAACCCAACAAATCTTGGATGGTACTTTAAACAAGGCTGGTTTGTGGGCTCCATTGTCTTCTGATATCAACGAACCTATCATGAAGGTCTTGAAAGAAAAGTACGGAATCTATTTGACCGAAAAGACTATTTAGATATATAAGTAAATTGATCCCGCTTGTTTCGCTATTCTAATAGTTGTCATAATCTTCGTCACTATCGTCCTCAAAATCAGGACTGTCAGAATACGATCTTCTCATATCATGAAGCTGTTGAAGTACTTCATCTTTTTCCCCAAGAATCAACCCCATCGATGTCAGGGTTCTTCGTATGTAGTCGATTAACTTTTTCAAATCATACCGGATAGATGAGTCGATGCCAAACTCGGTATATGCCTTGGAGAATTCTAAAACAGGTGGAAATGTGTCGACTTTGGTGATATCTAAAATATCATTGTTTGTATAGTATACATGGGCATCTGGTTTTGGTTTCAGGGTCAAGAACATGTCTTTGTCCCAGGTATTAACAGTATAATGAGTGCTGAATCGGTGAACAGACTTATTGTTGAACCCAAACTCAAGCAGTTTTTCGGGTGAGCCAACATCATAGAGACTTAATTTGTCCAATGCTGGTTCCTTGAGTTCATCAATGCTCACATGATTAACTATGTTTCTGTTGGAATCATTTCCAAGGAGATTGGATTCGATTTCCTTCATGGTGGATATTCTAGGGCTGGAGTTGATTAATTCCCATAATGAGTTGACGACAACCGATTGAAGTCCTCCTGTTTGCCAATTCGTTCCCTCTACTGGCAGGTTCAAAGGAATCACCAAACTCGAATTGGTGGAAAATTCCACTAAACTTCTGATCCTTGTGAGGTTCTCAAATGGCGTCAACCTGGTATTTTTCATCAAGTCCCATATCCAAATGTTGAACTTATTATTGGAAGTATAGTTGAAAAACTCATCTTTGACACTGACAAGTAACTCGGTAGTGAACCCACTCCAGGCGCTATCAGACTCTGTGAAAAGCTGCATGCCTTCAAAAAAGTCCGACTCTTCCAACATTTTTCGGAAAGTGTCAATGGCATCATCTTCCTTGCCAGTAAATTCGGTTTGGCCCAAGTTAAAGGCAGTGAACTGCATTGAAGGCGATAGTCGGTGAACAACTTTATTACTATCGTTGAGTTCGTACGATTCGAGCGACTTCAACAGCATGGGCCGGAATATCAACTTCACGTAGTCTGACCAATAGCTGGTGTTAGAAACAGTTAGTGTGTTAGATCTGTTCAATCCTTTATCAAGACCCACCTGATACTCATTTTTGGGCACCTTGGGATTTGTGGAGATGATTTCAATTCCCTGGCCACTGGGAGAGTATGTGTGATCCTCCAAATCGTAGTAATCATATTTGCCGAGAGACCCAAACCCATTTCGAGCATCATATATCAAAGCCCTCGGAGAATAGTTGGTTTTCCCATTTAGCTTGAGCAGTGAAAGAAACACCTTGTTGTCGTACCTAAGCACTTGGTCTCGCTTATAAGGGATGTGTGCTTCCTGGAAGTTGTACAAGTGGGTCAACACATGGTTAGCGGCTTGTGAACAGCCGATATTAATGACTTCCCCCATATCACGACCGATGGATTGTGTGCGAATTCGGCTCATTGCGAAATTTGGCGTGGTGCTGGAAAAACCAAAAACTTAAGTGTTGACGTGTAAATAGGTTTACAAAACGTATTCTTTAGTCCACGACATATTTGAGAGGCACCATGCACTTTTTCATACTATTGCTAGTGGCCTCGCTCCTAGCACTTGCCCAAGCCAAGGACTACTACAAAATCTTGGATATTGGGAAAGATGCTGATGATAAAACCGTCAAGCTGGCGTATCGACGTTTGAGTAAGTTATACCACCCAGATAAAAATCCGAGTGAAGAAGCCCACGAGAGATTCATTGAGGTAGGAGAAGCATATGATGTCTTATCGGATCCCCAGAAAAAGAAGAACTATGACACGTATGGAGACCCTAATGCCCAACCTGATAATCGGATTGATTTGGGAGACCTTTTCAGCCAATTTTTTGGAGGAGGAGGTGGTGGTGGTGGCCCCATGGGTGGTAGAGGTGGAGGAGGCAATGCCAGAAGAGTCCGTAAGGGCGAAAACAAGTTGGCGGCGGTCGATGTTCCTTTGAAAGACTTTTACACGGGGATTGACTTGAACTTCTCACTCCAAATGAAGGCCATTTGTTCAGGGTGTGAAGGCAGTGGATCCAAGGATAAACAGAGACACCCATGTACCAAGTGTGGAGGGCAAGGAATCGTACAGATGAGACGTCAACTTGGGCCTGGAATGATCCAGACATTTCAGGTGCAATGCGATGAGTGTGGAGGAAAAGGTACCGTAATTAAGCATAAATGTTCACGGTGTCATGGAGCTGGGGTGGAGGACGTCAAGAAGGATTTTTCTATATACTTGCCAGCCGGATTGGAAAGAAACCATCACAGTGTAATCGAGGGAGAAGGAGATGAAAACCCCGATTGGACCCCCGGAGACGTGATTGTGAATATCCAGGAAGACTTCAAGGATACCTGGGGATACCGCCGTGTGGGTCATAATTTATACCGAACCGAAGTGTTGACGCTTGCAGAGGCCCTTGAAGGGAATTGGAGCCGCACCATACCATTTTTTGACCCTGTAGACCCGGAAATCCATCTTCTGAGACATCCTCAGCAAGTGGTTGTGAACAACGAGGTTGAGGTAATTAAAGGCAGAGGAATGCCGTTCGTGGATGATGATGATAGTCATGGTGACCTTTTCATTGAGTATAAGATTCTAGTTCCCGAGACCCCCGGAGCCCCCGAACCCCGATTTGCAACCGAAATTGCCAAGGACGAACTATAAGCGAGATCCCCACTGGTTAGCGACCATTTGGCAGTTTTAATCATCCTGCACCATAATGCAGCATAAATGCATTGTTGGTTAGGGAACTCCATTCATTGCCGAGATTAACCCCCCAGCAATACGACAAGAGTTTTCTTTTTTGCTCTTTTGCCTTTACGTGGGGAAGCCCAAAAAAAACCCTTCCCCATTTTCACCACATAAATTAGAGGCGGCTTGGCCCACTCTAGCAACACATTTTTTGCCAGACATATATAAACACTAATCTGCCATATATACTCATCCCCATAATATATATGTCTTACTATACACTAAGTAAGTCTCATCTAGAGACGATAAACCTAAAACTAACCAACTATCAATGTGGTGATCCTGACCATAGGCCTGAGCTTAAGCTCCACCAGACCCATCACCAACAAAATGACTCTCCCACATTTGGAGAACTCAAACACATGATCCCGTTAATCTTTGTTAACAGGAGATCTTTGTCGGACTACTTCAATCAGGAGTTGTTCTTTGCCCACAACCTAGCCACGTTAGCAGAAAACTTCGACCCATTGATGATCCGAGCCCGAGCCCCGGACCTTGCAGAAGCTGCTATGATTGAACTTCAGACCCTAAATTTCCACATCAACGAGATGTTGCTGGTGATAGAAGGGGCCCTTGATGCCTTGGGGGAAAGCTACCAGGCAACGTTACACTCGATGAAGTTGCAAATTCTTTCCAATGTGAAACATTATAAGCAGTTGAACAACTCGCGAGTGATGATAAATGGGTTGGTGAACATGAAGCTTGGATTCCAGGACTTTATCGGCAAGCTAACGCATTTGGACGAGAACATCATGGAGATTATCGAGCGGGTCCAGGACTGGAACGAAGGGAAGTATAATGGAAAAAACGATGGTGATGATAATGATAATGATAATGATAATGATAATGATAACGACCACACCTTTGACTCTGGATTAAGAAACACCATATTCATCATCAATGGCAACTTGGCCGCATGCTCCAGTCACCGGTTCGACCAGTTGGTGAACCAGACCGTGTGCATTTTTGATGAATACATCAACCATTTCTTCAGTGTTGAGGGAAAAGACAATGAGTGCTTTGAGTATGAGATTGTGCTGCTTGAAGACCACCTCAAAAGCGCCCTTGATCTATTCTAATTTCTTCTTTGTAATTGTAGTTTTGGTGTTTAGAAGCTGTAATATGATAATGAGCAACCCAACCGCTAAACTCACACTAGTGATGAGCCCCACCAATTCAAAATCCTTATTGGGCACGGGAATGTCCACTTGTAATTTGGCATTGGTAATAGACTCGTAGAAGATGGTATCATTGGTGAAAAATTGGGCATATTTGTTACCGATGGGAAAGTCGTTGATGAAGGGATTATGCTGCAAAATGTTTCTTTCGCTGGTATCATCGCAGCCAAAAAACACAATGGGAGAGTCCACCTGTACCTGTTTGGATGTCAGGTGACTTTGGCTCGGGAGTTGATACCGCGAATGTAAGTTCAAGTACATGTCTTTGGACCAGTCCAGCACTTCGAGAAGTACTTCATTCCCCCATTCATTAATTTTGTACTCCGGGAGTTCCAAGTCATTGTTGCCAAAGTTCAACACAAACTTAAAGTTATCTCCCAAATCGTACTTATCTATGAACAACGACTTGCTCAACGTAAGATAGTAGTAGAGCTTACAGTCCATGACATCCGGGTCGGATGGATGAGCTTGTTTAGAAGATATGGTGGTTTTGACTTTGGGATGCAAGCCATTTCGAATGACCTCGCTGGTGGTGGAAACTGATCTGAACCGGGGCTTGATATGGAAAAGCGTCTTGAATAGCGGGCTTTCCTCACCCAAAACCACTCGCAAGCCACTCAAGATCATGTCGTCAGCGGTGGAGTTGTCATCAATTAGAAATATTCCGATTTCCTCGTACACACTTGGATCAGATGACTTGATAATGGCAGACCGATCAGTGTTAATGAAGCTCACCACAAGTTTGTCGGAATCATACAAAAAATCCACCACATCAGTTTGAACCTTTATGTTTGTAAGCTCCATCAACAACTTATTCATGGGCGACATTTCATACTGGGGGATATGAAGGAGTAAAGCGTTTTTGGAAAGAATCCAGTTGGAGTCCTGGATATCTATCTTGAACAAGTTCATGAGAAACGGGTTGATCTCGGAGAAAAAGTCATGTTTGTTGCTTGTGCTAGGAACTGCGTATATCGTCAAGCCCATGGTGTTGTAGTGGAAGACAGGAGAGTCGAAATTGCCTGCTGAAATCCGAAGCTGCTTGATGTACTGGAACTTGTTTTTGAATTCCATGCTGAAGCGGTCCTCACGGGTGTAATTGACATCATTGAGGTGCAAGTATGTGGAGTTGACCAGCCCTATGATATTATCATGGTTCTGTTCGTGGTTCAAGATGGTGACTCTGTGTCTCATGGTGAATCAGTGGTTGGCGACAGATCAAATTCCAAAAATAAATTGCGAAGGAGAGTGTAGCAAACCGCACACAATATAGTTAGCTGGGGAAAGGCTGAGCACTTGACGACAAATGTTTGTTTTGGTGACTGTAGGTGCACGAGAGGGCGGTTACTGGTGGTGGTACGTGGTAACTAGTGAAGGTTGAGTTTTAAGACAATTTCTGCGGCAGATCATGATCTGCTGTGATGTCTTCACATGTTGCTGGCTGGTGCTCTCAAAACGGCTAAATGAGCATAGGGCCCTTTTTCGCAGTCGCACCGATTATCTAAAAGACAAGTATGGCTATCACATTTAACTACACAGACCATGAGATTGTGCTGTCACCCACAGTCATTGTGAGTGGGAGAACACTGGCACCGGTTAATGGTGGGGTGGTGGAGTTCATTAACAGCGAGAACCGTGTTTTTCCTCCCCAATACTTTGAGGTCAATAATGGCCAGTTCAAAGCTATAGTCCACGTATCTCCAGATACAAATAAGTTCAGTGTCCGAGTCATGGACAACGGGACCATCAATCCATTCGGGTTCCCTGATTATAGAGGCAGGCTGCCCAATGTTGTCGACTCGGCCTCCTTGACTTTACTGTATTATCCTCTCACAGAGGACAAGCCAGTGCATTTGTGTGTGATTCTAGGAAAAGATTCCAATGGTGCCTACGACATGCCACAGTACAAAACGGCTCGGGGAGAAGTGGCCAACCTCGACTCGGCCATCCGCAAGTTGAAGGTAGCAGGTCGGTTGATGCAAGCATACACCCAGGATGAAATGAGACTCTCGGGCTTTAGTAATAGAAGTTTTCAATTTGTGGAGGAAACCACTGGACACCAAGACATTTTCGGGTATACTGTACAACTGCCAGCTCCTCACCAGGAAGTCAAGGTACATGTTTTGAGGTCTCCTAAAACGGTTGCCCAGTTAAGAGATCCCAACTTGGCTCAACAAAATCCTAAGGGCACCAATACCGGAGGACTCTTCAGCCATGCCCTCGACTTGATCCATGATACGCCCGAGTTGTTTCTGCAACGTCAGCGGCTCAACACATGTATTCAGTGTGCGGTGATCTACTTGGATGCTCACTACGATGCACCAAATGACTTGATCTTGACTCACGCGGCCTTGGGAGGTGGGACTGGTGATATCAAACTTGCGATATTCGGGTCCCATGGTCTCCATTCCTGGCCCATAAACTTCCCAATGGTGACTCCGTGCTTTGTAGATGGCACCCATCTTTCCAAGCGAGAAGTGGCCAACGATGCCAACCAGTGTGGAACTTCTTGGGAATGTTTGAATATTACCATGGGTGCGTTCATGCATGAGATCGGACATCTGTTGAGCTGCCCCCATCAGATAGACGGGGTGATGTTGCGGGACTATATCTGGTGGAACCGATCGTTCATGACTCGAGAAGTCGAGTGCCTTCGTAGTAAATCTGGAGGTGAGGTGATAGGTGCAACTGGACAATGGCCTCGTTCTTGTCACTGGAACATCTTGGATAAAGTTCGGTTTTTATTCCATGGCTCCTTTGCATTGCCAATTGACAAGAATGACCCGTCAATGGGACATGTGTTTTCGACAACTTTGGCTAATGACGACTCTTATGGTGATGTCAATAAGGCTCCTACCATGTACAACACTCCATCGGGAGACTGTATAGTGAAGTCAGATGCGGGAGTGTTTTTGGTTGAAGTCATCACCAAAGATTTGGCTCGGTGTCACATTCCATACTTTCCTCGATCTTATGGAGGTCAGGGACTTCAAAAGGACTTGCTACTCGATTATAATACCTTATACGATCAGTTGCGTTCAAGTACAAAGGAAGTCAATGAGAATTTCAGTGTTCGTGTATTGTCATTAGGGGGAGATCTTTATATCGACAACTTCAAGGACCACTCTAAAAATGATTCCAAGAATATCATCAGACATGATTTTGGACTTGGAAGAGGTCCACTCACGGGCTATAAAAGCGTGCTTTTGGGAAACGGAAAAGACAAACAAGAGATTGTCATTGGGTTTGATATCAACACTGTTTATAAGATCCGGGTATACCACGGTGGGGTGCTTGACGGGATTCGGTTTTACTACCGCACGGGTTCGGGTTCGGGTTTTACCAATAGCCCTCCACCAATCCCCAAACGAGACTATGTTAGCAAGTTGGCCAACAAAATGGGCCGTTTGAATGTGGCAGCAGCCTCTGCTACACCAGCACCCAAAGCACCTTCAGGACAACCCTCCAGTAAACCAGCGGAAGCACTATTGGGTAATGTGAAGCTGCATTACACAGATATCGATTTAGCTTCAGGCGAAACAATCACTAAATTGCATTTCAGAAACGGTGCTTGGATCGATGCGGTGCAGATAGAGTTCTCCAGTGGACGTAAAACTGAAATGCTTGGTAACAATGGTGGAGGCCACTTATCAACACTTGAGGCCCCGGGTCATGGGTATACATTGGTAGGAATGTATGGATACGTTGGATCATGGTTGAATGGTGTCGGTATAATATATACCAACGAGTTATGAGAGGCATATTTCACCAGAAGCATCACCCATGACTGTACTGACTCTAACCTTTATAGGACAAATAATTCAAATACCGTTATCAATACCCTGGCTGCGAAATCACGGTTCAGTTATACTTCTCTACTTTTGTGAAATTCAGGGAGTATATCCATCTCAAAACACTATGTCCTCATCAATCTGCCTTTCTAGTACTTTATCTCTTGCCTGACTATACTCAATCGGGTATAGGCTCATCACGCCTTTGACATTCTTGGAGTTACCAAGAAACGACATCACACCCTTGTCTTTACGACCTTCTTTTAACACACGGATCCGAGTTTCAATGTTTTTTATGTCGTGATTGAGCTTCTGTACAACGCTGATTTTGGTATTTGTCTCCGGATCAAACCTAGGCTCAAAGTTTTTGTGGAGCAAATCCTGAAGCATCTTCAATTTTTCTAGAATCTGCTGTCGTTTCTCCGTGATATTCTGATTCTCGTTGTTCAACATCCCACTTAGCTGGGCCTGAACCACCAAGGACTTATCTAATTCAAGGGAGTCCAAAGCATGATCAAGAGTACCGGCAAGATAGTCAGCTCTCTCTGATAAAGTGGCATTGTATCCCATCCGATGCCCTTCACCAGAGAAAGTAGTTTCCTCACTGACATTGTCATCACTAAGTAGGTAGTCGTCCTCGTCGCTTGAACCTACTGGTTCTGATGCACGGGTATTATGGATCTGACTGTGGATATCTGTACCGCCATTGTGATTATTAGTCCCGTGGTCCCTTGATATGCGAGAAGTACTACCATTGATCAGATCTATCACTTCCTCTACATTCGAACTCGATTCACTTGTATCTGAGTGTTCGCTCAAGGCAATCTGTTCCAGTTGATCGGTTTTCTGTTTGTTTCCTTCTGTCATAGACTTATCTCACAAACCCTTTCGCGTTTCCACTCGAAAAAAATATACTTGACGTATTGCGCCGGACCTATAGTCAACAGTGCAATTGGAGAAACAAGTGCTTCTCTGATGTCGGCCTTCCAGTTCCAAAGTTCGGATGTGCTAGCGAGGCTAAAGCCCTTTGGTATTCTGTTTGAGAAATCATTGAGTGACTTGATCAAAGGAATAAGAGCCCACTCCAAAGAATCTCCGGAAAGTTTACTGACGTTTCTTGATGCTGCCATCGTGGAGTGCAAAAACGAACTTAGTACCACCGATCTCGAGACGAAGGCAATGGCGGTGTTGAAGTTAGCATACTTGGAGATGTACGGGTTTGAAATGTCTTGGTGCAACTTCCATATCTTAGAGGTGATGTCTTCAAACAAGCTCCAGCAGAAGCGGATTGGTTACTTGGCGGCTATTCAGTCATTCAAGAACGAAGAGGACTTGTTAATTTTGGCGACAAACCAGTTTAAAAAGGATTTGAACTCACATAATCATATTGAGATCGGTCTAGCATTAAGTGGAATTGCAAGCATAGTCACCCCCAACTTGTCCAAAGATATAAATGATGATGTGTTGATGAAGCTTGGTCATTCAAAGCCATACATCCGGAAGAAGGCCATCTTGGCGATGTATAAGATCTTTTTACAGTTTCCCGACAGTTTGAGAATCAATTTCAAGCGAGTAATTGACAAATTGGACGATGATGACGTGTCTGTGGTTAGTGCCACATTGACAGTTATATGTGAGATATCAAAGAAGAATCCAAAGATCTTCGTGAGCTACTTGCCCAAGTTTTTTGAGATTCTTGAAGAAACCAAGAATAACTGGTTAATTATCAGAATCTTGAAGTTGTTTCAGAGTCTTTCAAAAGTAGAGCCCAGAATGAAAAAGAAGATCTTACCCTCAATTGTGGGGTTGATGGAAGAAACAAAAGCATCCTCGTTGATTTATGAATGTATCAATTGTATCATTGGTGGTGCCATGTTATCTCCAGACTCGTCCAAAGACAAGGAAACCGCAAAGTTATGTATCGAGCACATAATGAGGTTTTTTGAAGCAAAGGACTCAAATCTCAAGTTTGTTGGCTTATTGGCATTGATTAGTACTGTTAAAATCTTCCCCACCTTGATTCAGAAAATAGAGGGTGTTCCAAACATAATAATGGAATGTTTGGTAGACAATGACCTTCTTATAAAGAGAAAGGCTTTGGAGATTTCCCACTATTTGATCAATGAGGATAACATAGTCGATATAATTAAAGTGTTGTTGGTTCAATTGATCCCAGCAGAGGATTCAATTGTGCCGGATAACTTAAAGTTAGAGATCACGATGAAGATCTTGTCTATTGGTTCTCAAGATAATTACGAAAATATTCCCAACTTTAAATGGTATATTGCAGTTTTGAAGGACATTATCAACTTGACTTTGTTACCGTTGAAGTCCCAAACTGCTACATCTGCATCACTTTCTTACCAAACCAATAGAACCATTTCTTTGGCCATTGGGAGAGAATTCAAATCCTTGGTGACAAAGGTACCTTCTATAAGACCTAATGTCTTGAAAATTGTTACTGAGACTGTGCTCAATGTGAAAGTCTTAGATAGCTGTCCTATGATACTCGAAGATTTTTACTGGATTTTGGGCGAATATATCGATGACTTAAAGGTGAGCGAAGGAGCAGACGATGAAGAAAGTGATGAAGAAGAAGGTAAAGAGTATGGACAGAACTCCAACTTTGGTCGTACTCTTGAGCTAGGTAAGAAAATAGAGCTTCTAAATAAGTTGGTCAATTACAATATTGATGTTTTGTTGGATGTCACCAACGATAAAGTCAACTTTCCAATTCCTGTCAAGCTCCTTGATCAAAAAGAATCCGAGATATTAGCGATTCTAATTCCCACATTGGTCAAAATATACTCGTCCATCGTCAATGATTATGTTTCCATTTATTCTGTCAATGGGAAGCTCCCTTACGACAAGTATTCTGAATTGAACTATTACTTGTATAAGTTGATCAAATTTTTGGGCAATTTTGAAAACCATTTCTTCTATGAAGTTCAAGAACGGAGCTTATCATGGTCAGAGTTCTTGAAGATATGTTTAGAAGCTCTGGTTGGGAACGATTATAGTGGCATAAGGGCTTTGGAGAAAGATGAAATAGACTACTACAAGAAATTGGCCCAAGAACAAGTCGTGCTGGATGAGGATAGTGATGATGAAGAAAGTGAAGACGACTCTGAAAGTGAGGATGATGAGGAAGAGGTAGAGCAAGACGACTACATTCAATTGTCTTCCTCTGAAGATGAGGAAACAATTGCAGAGGAAGCATCTCCGGAGGAAGAGGTTATACAGCAGGAAAAGCAAGAGGATGATGTTGAGGAAGCAAATACTGTTGCAAAGGAGCCTCACCAAGTTCCAATGTTGTTAACTCACGTCTTACCGTCATTCTTTAAGTCATACGCCTTGAATCCTATATCCAAGAACGGCCAGCGTAACTTGCCTGCTCCAGAAGACTTGGACCTTATAACCCAGATCAACTACCCAGATTTTGAGCTTTTGAGCGATGGAGAAGATGAAGTTTTCTCTGATTTTGGAGAAGAAGACGTGAAGTTGATAGACGTCACTCCTGTTGAAGATACAACGAAACTCAAACAAGACAGGTTAGACAGACTTAAAGATGATCCTTACTACTTGAATTCTAACAATTCCAAACCTCTCTCCAAAATGAAGAAACTTATAATAGAAGATCCATCAAGCAGCGAGACTGCGTCGGTGGTGGAACCGGTCAAGGCGGCATCTGGAAAGAAGAGCAAAAAGGGTAAAAAATTGAAGAAGGAGAAGGTTTTAATTCTCTCAGATGAAGTAATAGGAAATGGAATTTCCGAAACTGACTGGGCAGAAGTACCTAAACCCAAGCAGAAAAAGAAGAATCTTCTAGCCATTGACTCGTCAAATCTCGATAATTTTGACTTGAACTCGGAAACTTTGGGCAATCCTAATTCAACTGAACAGTACGAGTACGATATTGATTTGGATGAGTTGCGAACCAAATTGGCAGCAAGTTCCCGTGATAAGCAAAATAATGAAGAGAAGAAAAAGAAGAAGAAAGATGGGAAGCTGAGGACAAAAAAACACACTGCGCAGAAAGAAGATACTTCAACAAAAGCTGAAGATAGTACAGCTGCTGAAAAGTCTGCCGTCAGAGACGTATCCCCTATCGTCCAAGATGAATTACCTGTTCCAATAACCATCAAGAAGTCTAAGACGAAGAAAAAGAAGAAAGCGATCATTCAAGATTAGTATAAGCCTTATAGACATTTCATAATTTGCACCCAAATAGTTACACACAGTTTTATCCATTTTTATATACTTTTGATAACGGTTAGCCTTTAGCAACCAAAGGCGACTCTTCGGTTGAAACGTCAATTTCTACCGTCTCTGACACCTCATCAGTGCTTTTACTGTTAATTGGCTCTGGGGTAAGTTTGGCTGGTGACTTGGGTGGAATCACAGTAGCTGCCGTCTTGGAGAAGCCAATCTCCTTCAACTTTTCTAACATCAGACTTCTCACCTGTACGACCATTTCATCGAGTTGCTCTTTAGTCTCTATGTCTTTTGTTTCCACTGCCGGTAAAACATCAATAATTATTTCACCACAATTAAATATCTTCGATTTGGCATGGAAAATGGTCGAGGTATTACTCACGACGATAGGCACCACTGGAATCTTTGCCTGGTTAGCCAAATGAAACGCTCCCTTCTTGAATGGTAACATTTCCAAGTTGGTGCTGGCAGATCTAGTACCTTCAGGGAACATAAAAACACCTCTTTTTTCTTTCTTGAGCGCCGCCAACGCCTCATCCAATACCTTTCTGGCCTTGTCAGACTTTGCTCTGTCGATGAAAAAGGTTCCACTCGCCAACATAAACCATCCTAAGAACGGTACATACTTCAACACCTTTTTAGCAGTGACAGTAAAACCGGGCTGGAAAATCTTCCCCAAGATAAAAATATCCAAGGCTGATTGATGGTTGGAGATGAAGATTCCTGGTAACGAACTTAAGTTCTTTGCATTGTTGACTTTTATTTTGACTCCTAAAATAGTGGAGAACGAATAGTAGAATGCCCTAGCAACCGTATACTGACTGTATTCTGGCTTACCGATCACTCTCAAGAATATTGAGGCCACCACTCCATAGAAGGCACACACGAGAATGAGGAGACCAAAAATGGTGGACTTGACATAGAATTTAATTGTTTGAAAGAAAGACGCCATCGGTTACAAGCTGGTAGATGATGTTTCAAAAAAGCGAGAGATTTGTTGGCCCTTCGATGCCTGCATATACGTCCCCGTGGGGTTTCGGAAGAGCGAAGGAGATAAGTGAGTTAGTTGGGTGTTTAGGAGATTCAGACGACTGTTTATGGTTCCAATAATGGCTTTATAGGGTGAATATGCTGAAACCCATTTTTTGGAGAGCTTCAAACGGTTAATGGTTGCCCTAACACTGTTTTAACGGTCAGACGGGGTTAAAGCTTAAAAATATCAATACAGACCCTATTAGAAATGAGATGAAACACCATTAATCCCCCCAGCTACATGTCTACTGCCAAACAATTTCGTCTCGGCTTTCTCTTCTACTTGTCTGTATTTTTCCATTTTCTTTCCCTTGTTGTATACCTCATCAACTGCTGGTTGCAAGAACGTCGCGAAAATTCTTATCAACAACTTAAACCATAATGGCCAGAAAGGCAGTAAGAAAAAGTGCCTCGTCCAAAGGACCCGTTTCTGTTGCAGAGCGTTTCAAAGAATCAGACGGACTAGCAGATCCACGGTTAAGCAAAGTTGCCGAGACCCAAGCACTGCCAACTCCAAAAGCTGAAGAAAATCCTGAGCTCTCTTCCATCAACCCATTTGGAGATGATCCCTACACTCAACCATTCCCCTTCAACCATATCTACGCCACGCAAGATTTTTTGAACGAGCACTTAGACTACCGTAAAGGTGTCCAGATCTTGTTGGTCGGGTTTCTCTTGCAACTGACGTACAACTTTAGCTATGATCTTGTGTGGGAGTACTTGGAGAGGATTGCCATGAACTTCTCAGGAGTGGCGATTGGCTTGGTTTTCACCCACAATTTGAAGATGAAAAAGTACCTTGGAGGAACTGGAGATAAGCCCACATTGCCAGAGTTTAACCTTTTATTCGCAGTCCTCATCCCCGTATTGTTCAGCCTCAAATTCGAGTTCAACTTGATAGAAAATTTGACCTATAACTACTTCACTGTGGAAAACCTTCCTATCGTAGTGAGAGGATTCAGTGGACTTGTCTACTACTTTTTGTACAGCGAGAGTGACGACTACGCTGAGTATACAAAGAAATTGGTGACATTCACCATCTTGAACATCGCGCTCGAGTATATCAATCAAGGCAGTGAAGAACATGTTATCTCCAAAGAAGTCCAGAAACAGGACGTGGACTACGACCTTGTGGAAGTGGATGATAATAAGGTGATATCGGGACTCAACAGAAGCTTGTCCAGAACTGAGGTTCAGATGATTCTTGTGATTCTCATTAACCTCATTTTCAATTTGGACACGGACGACATCAACTTGATCATCTTCCAAAAGTTGGTGGTCTCGTTGATCGTCGGGTTGTTCTTGGCGTACCCAGTCTACTTATTCAACAAGACTGCCAGTATTCCTGTTTTTGCCGGTGTGTTCTACTACTTAACCAACTACCAGTTAGAGCCTATATTGAAGTCAAACAGCGTCTTATGGGTGTGGGAAGTGGTGCAACAGGCCCCCAACTTCCAGTTCTTTAGCGTGTGGGCGGTGATCTTGTTGGTGAACATTTTCTTTGTGTTCAACGTCAACATCGAGTTCAACTTGAGAAGAAAGTTGTGGCATTTTGTGATTCTTGGAACAATTTTGCCGGGTTTGGTGGTCAACAGAGATTTTACGGTTTTGGCCCTTCTTGGCCTGTTAATTATCATGGTGGTATTGGAAGTCGTGAGAACCAACAAAATCACCATAATTGGTGAGGTTCTCTACAATAAGCTTTATCAATTCCAGGATTTCAAAGACTTGAAAGGACCGTTCAATTTGTCCTATATTTACTTATTGGCAGGTATCACCACTCCTGTTATTTTGTCGGGATTCCACGAACAGTCTAGTATCAAGCAATACGTTGGGCTAATTGCATTGGGGGTCGGCGACTCGTTTGCTTCGATTGTGGGAAAAGCAGTCGGAACCCACAAGATCTTTGATAGTAACAAGACGGTTGAGGGCTCAGCAGCATTTTTCGTTTCGATTTTCGCAACCATCTACGCCGTCAATTACTACTTGGAGCTTCCAGCGTTGGACTTGGAAGTGGTATTTGTGGTGACGTTCTTGTCGAGTGTATTTGAAGGAGTCACTGACCTCAATGATAACTTGTTTGTCCCCATCATCACCTATCTTGTATGGAACTTATTAGAGAAGTAATTGGTGGTACTTTTATATTCATAAGTATAAGTATCGGTTTGTTTGTAGTCACAAATAAAAATCGAATTTCGTATTGTTGTCATAATCATCACGAACGGTGGAAGCTTCAACCGGAGGTAAGCCATGGATGGGGCCGGAGTCCACCTTGAACGCATATACATAGTCGTCGTCATCATCGTAAACATCATCGTCGTCGTCAACAATGGCATTTTCATACATGTTAAAATCAACCTTAAGGGAAGGCTTGAAATATGGCTCCAAAGAGTTGGATCTGTTTAAGCCATATTGAACATCCGATTCGGGGGTGGGACCATCATTTTTACACAAACTCCGGGTTCTGTGGACATTGGAGTTTGTTTTGAAGGGATCGCTTTTGGGAATGAACGGTAAAGTAAACGACTTGACCGAGGTGCTATAAGTATCTAAATAATACGGTTCCTTAACTGTGCTCATAAAAACAGGAGATGGAGAAAATAATCTCAAGGGAAATGATCTCTATTTATAGCGCGGCGCAAGATAAGCACAGATAAGAAAAATAACAATGATGGATGGCTGCGCGCCGCCACCACCCGTCGATGGCCGCTGCTTACCGCCAACTCTTTTTGCAGCTATATAATACTGTATCATATACTATATATCATATACTTTTGCCACATGTGTCTATCTTCGTGTCTCATTGTAACCAATCGTCCTCAAGAACATCGGTGATGGTGGGGCGACTGTCGATGGGTCTCACCAAGATCTTCTTGATCAAATTGATGGCTCCATCACTAACTATACCAGGTAATCGGAGATCACCTTCCATGATTTCATCGACGTTATAGAATGGGTTTTCTTTGTAAAGTATTGTGTACAAAAGGATCCCAAGTGCCCATATATCTTGGGGCTTGCCGTCGTACTTTTCACCGCGCAACACTTCTGGCGATGCGTAGTCGATGGTTCCTACAAACACATCAAAAGGGCCCAGTTTTGTGTACCCAGCACTGCCAAAGTCGATCAACTTGATGATACCTCTTTCGTCCACAATCACATTTTCATCCTTGATATCCCGGTGGACAATGCCGTGCTTGTGGAGATGGAATACTGCCAGGGCGATCTGCTTGAAGATGAACTGGCACTCCACCTCGGTCATGTCTTTGCGGATCTCTATGTAGTCAAACAAATCGATGCCAGGAGGGTTGCCAAAGATGGGGGTTTCGAGGTAGTAATATTGTTCGTCCTCGAAAAAATCAACGATTCTCATGATGCTTGGGTGCAACTCACTCATGAGAGTGGCCATGATCTGGATCTCGGAGGGAATAGTACCCAACTTACGGTCTCGCACCCACGTATCGACCAAGATCTTCTCCTTGTCAATACATTTGATGATGATCTCGTACGCCTTGTCGGTATTATGCTGGGCCAAGATGACTTTCCCATACGCACCTTCTCCCATGTCACGGACAACTTTGAACTCGTCTATCTTCTTACTTCTTCTCTTCACTCCAATTTCCAGAGGCCAGTTGCTACAAGCAAGGGCATTTGCCTCGATTTGCGCTGTTTCATGGGCTATTTGGTCCTGTTGGGCTTTGGTGCCGAAGAAAGGCGATGACAGGGTTGTGAACTGTTCTGGTGTGGGTTCATCATATTCATCGACAATGGAACTGATGCAGGTATTGACTGACGAGTTAGCCATTTCTGAGAGCACCGAGTCGTCATGGGTCGAAGTGCTGTGAGTGGAACTTCCTCTGGTGCCAGGGTCTAGGCTGGTTTTCTTACCCACTCGGCCACTGGGCTTAGGGTTCCGGGTGCTTTTGTGCCGTACAATGTCTCCTGTGACGGTAAGTAGGGCCTGACCCTTGTCAAATAAGCTCAACTGTGACGGAAGGCTGGTGAAGCCACTAGGTGTTTCATCACCACTCATCAGTCGCACCCGTTTGGAAACGGGCCTAAGGCTATTCAATGAGCCCGTATCAGGGTTGGATTTCGTATTATCGCCATCTTCAGCTGTACGAGGCTGGTATGTTTGTCTCGAGTACGTTACCCATAAAACATAAGTATCCAACGCACTAACTCTCAACTGGATATCGATGAAAAATTCAGACCCATCCATGTGCTTCGCGGTGAGACCTTTACAACCGATAAATTGGGTTGCGGCGTCATAGGTAGGATCTAAGGTAGCTTTGTACACACAGCTGTATCTTCTGAAGAAATGGTCGGGTAGCACAAGCCCAGGGACCACTGAAAAGTCGGAGCTCGTATCGTTCAATCCGCAATGGAAAATATGGCTGAAGTCGCTGACAATACAGTCTATAGACTGGCCCACCAAGTCGATCGAAGACCATCCGAAAAGGTTTCGGGCAATGGCATTGTTGCAGGACACGAGACGAAGGGATTGAGAGTCGATGACAAAGATCCCAGCAATGTAGGGTAAAGAGTGGATTTTGAGCTTCATTTCAAACGTATTGCGGTGGATATCAATAGGGTTGGATGTAACTGCACACGGAATGTTTTCGTTGTCGATGCGTAAAGTGAAATATCTCCTGGAGTTGAGCCGTTCGCTTTCAGTGGTGGTCAAGGTGGTACTGACTTCTCCCGACACGGACACATACCGTTCCAAATCCTGTTGGAGCGATTCATTGATAAAGGCAGCCATGGTCTCACTGATATCTGAAAGGTTTGCGTACTGACAGCTTTCAGACCAGGCCAAGTTACCAGCGATGGTTCGTTTGGAAACCACTTCAAAGTCACTCGACTGGCTGACATTGTTCAAGTCTCGGCGGATCACCACATCAAAGGCATCACAGGGGATTTGGTCAAACATAAATATGATCAAATTCCCACGCTTTTTGGCCCAAATCGATGTCCATGCATACCCTTTATCCCCTGGTCGACTAATGGCAACGATTTCACCGGCAAAAATGATCTCTGTATTTGGAAGCACCGTCTGGATCTTATACAACCCACTCAAACATCGAGTAATTCTGTCGGTGACAAACTCTCTGAATTGAGGAGCAATCAAGTCCATTAACGTCAACGACTTGATCATATTTTTCAGCACTCCAAACATCAAACATGCCAAGTCATTGGCAGCCTTCACCGACCAAGGCGAGTCACAGTCGATCGTGAAGATGGACTGGGGTAATGCGTGTTTCCCGGAGGAAATCGAGTGGTACGGTCTATTGGAGTTTGCCAAATGATTGGATGCAAATTGACCTTGGCCAGTCACAGGGTTTGGACTCGTACTTGGTTGCATAAGGCCTTGGTTGTTGCTGAGGAGATTAAGAGCCAAAGTTGACGGGTGGATTATGGGTGACATGGCACCACTGTCAGTTCCTGATGTGGTCATTACGGTTGTATCAACAAATGGAGTGGATAATGCGTACATCAATTTGCTTTTCAATGCAGCATGTTTGAGTTTGTGGTTATCCTGATTCAAGGACAAGTCATGCAAGGTGGAGGCGAAGTCCTTGTTTTTAGATATATTGGAATCACTCATCTCAAGTAATTCGATGATATCGGTCATATCATCCGAGTAAACCTGGTTCTCCGGAACCTTAGTATTTGGGGTCTTGGATTTGGTCTTGGAATAAATCTCATCCACCGGGAAACTATCTGACCGTTGTAGGGACGGACGGAATAATGCCGCCAATGCTGCTGACAGGGCGTTTGTTTGCAAGTTAGACTTTTGGGTGATTGAGGCGCTGTCTGACAGAACCTGTCTCAGAAGCGGAGTCATGGAGTAGTTGAAGGTATTTTTGAACTCATGGAACTTGTCGTTAGTGACGTTGTTGTTGATGGCGCTGATCAATGCGGGACGGTCACGGAGAATCTGGAGAGACCTTCTTAACACATTCAAGCGTAGTGCCAAGGAATTGGGCGATAGATGAGCGTATGAGTAAGAATGGGTGGATTCGACGGGGAACTTCAAAATGTCGTTTTTGGTGTTGAAGTGGTCCCTCAAGGACATCACCGGGCTGTCCAACCGGACGTGCTCGTTGGCCTTAGCGGTGGCAGTTGTGTGAGTATTCAACGGATTGGAGTATGTCCATTCCAGTGGTTCCCTTGTCTGACGCTTGGGTAAGGAGATGGGTTGGGAAATGGAGTCTTCGGAACGCAGCCGCTCTTCTTCGTAGAGGTAGAACAGTGGGGACTTCGTCTGCCTATGTGGTTTGGTGTCCATGGTGTATGTGATACCGAATCGAACCCTCTGCGATGTTTGATGTTCCTTGAAATTTTTTGTCGCGCAAACCTAAGATGTGGGTGCAAATCTGGGAGAAGGTGTTTGACAGTTGGGGTCAAGAGTAAGATTAGAAGTATTTTTTGTAGAGGGCTGGTAGAGGGTTGGTAGAAGGATTTATAAGACATGGATATCGTAATTTCTCTATAGAGTCTCGGGCTCTGCCCACTCTCTGGTGTTTTCAGACGTTCTCTGCGAACGGCTGACTACAACCTCAAATCCTGGATTCTATCTTCAACAAGCATGTTGTCAATAGAGTCGACGTGTATGGACATTCCTGGGGTGCTCCCGATCCCATACAAGATTCCGGGGGTACGTAGCACCGCCGAAGGAGGCTCGGCCAATGGACTGGAGTCAGAAGACTGTGGCTGCAACTCGCTAGACCCTGGCTGCAAGCCCCTGCTTTGAGGGGTGGCACTGGCCGACGACTCGTACGTGGGAGGAGATAGGGTGCGGACGTCTTCGTACGTGGGAGGAACTTCGTCGTCCCACGCGATTCCAAGCCCCGACCGTTCAGTGATATTCAACTTGAATTGCATTCTCAACACCCGGGCAGCGCCGGTGGGGGTCCCCATCGCTTGCAGAGGGCTGGAGGAGGAGGTCGCCTCGTCTGCCGTTTGCGAGCTGGCGGAACTTGTGGGTTCAAGCGTGAGGTCCCGGCTACTTTTGACGCGTTTCTTCTTGACAGGAATGGTCTCTTCTGCCACTATTACCTCAATGTTGAGCAAGTGGGAAACAAAGATTCCTTCATTAGGATCGTCAATATCGCAGGACAAGTTGGCCCCGTGACGAAGGTTGTCATAAAGATCACCTGGGTCGAGGCTCGAGGCCCGGGTGGTTGTTTTCACAAGTCCGGTGGAAACATTCATGCAGTTGATGTTGGCCACAAGATCGATTTTGCCGGTGGCTGCAAAGTCGGACTTCCAACCAGATTTGAGGTCGCCGTGGGAGACAGTTCTGGTTTCGGAGACGTAGAGGTGGAGGTCATCGGGGGAGCCGGGAGTGGTGTGAGGGGTGGAAGCAGGGCTGGGGCTGGGGGCATTGGAGCTTTCGGAACCACCTCTGACACGAGGCCCGTGGGAGCTTTCAGACGCTCCTCTGGCTCGAGAGCCAAAGTCCTCGTCGAAATTCTCCACCGCGCGTGTCGGGGCACTCTGTTCTACCTCCTCTGTGTCCACTGCCACCGCTGGGGCCCCATTAAGCCCAGACGCCAGGTTTTCGGGGTCGCGGCCACCCGACTCTTCGATGACAGACGTATCTGGAGCCAACATTACGGTGGTTTGGATGGTGCTGTGGTGGGCACCGGCCTTCAGTTTGGGTGTCAACACCTTTGATCGCCGTTGGGCGTCCTCAGAGGTCCGGAGCTTGGACTGGTGCTTAGGACAACAGAAGGCCCTAACTTTGCAAGTTTCTTCGATTCTCCACGCCAACTTCCTCATTCTCCACCGCCGGTCGCCCGACTTGCTGTTCATGTTGTCGAGACGTAACTCCACTGGGAAGGTTGATTTGGGGTACACCACGTTGGGGAGCACGGCTGAAGCTCGTACGTCGGTAGGAGGAAACACTCTTAGAGAGTTTCGGTCGGGGCCCTTTAGCACCAGCCGTGTGATGTGTAGCGGGAGCATCACCTTGACGGGCACGGGGGCCGCGTACACAACGGCTTCGGCCACTAATTCGTACTTGATATACGAAGTGGAGGTTTTGGACCCAAGCTTGCTGGAGGGAGGTAAAGCTCCCGGTAAAAGATGGGAAAACGGGTATGCGTGGGAGCCGGGGGCGAACGACGACCGAGCCGTCACCACGTCCCACCGGGCTAGCACGTTTTCTCGGGTATTGCATTCTTTGCACGATTGCACTGACGGCGAAGAGAGGAGAAATGGCCGGGAAAGGTGAATGGTTTGCACGAGCGACAAGGTGACGGAAACCACATCAGCAACCTCCTGGGCGTTGATCCAAAGGAGTCCCGACACGATGGAACCTGTCAGCTCGGTCTCGTGCCCGTATAAAACTGCTGGAGGAGATTCGAGCTCAATAGCAAGGTCCATTTGTGAGGCAACTGGTTTGGCAGGCTCGGGGTGGTGAAGGGGATGATGGCCGTGGTGACTGAGCAGGCTGGCGATGCTGGCCGTCGTGTGGGCCACGGCTGTGGGGAGCTTGGGCTCGGGTGGGTGTATCTTATTGAAGATGGACATTTGGGGTTGACGAGTAATCAATCACGAGCCAGATGTATAGGAAGCACAGACAATATAGGCACAAATATAAAGGTTGATTTGGAAAGGATGGGGGGCTTATTTATGGGCGATGCGTTAGGGGCGGTTGATAAGCTTGAAAAGCAACTTGTTTACAATGCAGTGTAAAATACTGATATCGGTATACCGAATCCACACTTGGTGATGGCCTGGAGGCCGAAACAACGCGATCCGGCGTGCAGCGCGACAATGTCGCGTGGTTCCTCCCGGGGGTATATATGGGAAAAGCCCAACCGCGAGAACGGGAGGTAGGTTGTGGAGAAATATGGCTGGTGGTAGGTGGTATATCTAGGTACGTGCTTTTTTTTGGGCAAATTCTGGTGGTGTAGTCAATAATTACATACCTCTCTCCGTTGTATGAGCGGGGTGCGACATTTACCGGCGCCCCGGTTGGGCTGCACAATTTATGGAATTTCGCATCCAAAGGATTTCATGCACTGGAACACCATTTGCGCAGATAATGACGCAAGAGGGGCGGCGAAGATCGGGCCTGAGCCGGAGGTCGGGTGAGGTATTTCCCGGGTGCTGCACCACCAAAACTACACTTAGCGCTTGGCACTTGACGCTTGTATCTACCATGGTTCTCTTCGCACAATCCATTTACGCACACATTGTGAAAATCTAAGTTCGCGCATCCTAACATTCACTTACCCTTCTATATATGACATATCTTGTGGTTGACAACGGAAGCTACAGCGTCAAGGCCGGATTTGCCGAGCTGAACGAGCCTACCATTCAGCACAACGCCATTTCCAAGGCCAAGGATGGAAGCCTTTATATCGGTAGTGACTACATATCTACCAACAACCACAGCGGGTTGATATTCAAAAGACCTCATGAACAGGGTCACCTCACGTCGTGGGAAACAGAAAAACCCGTGTGGGACTACACGTTTGACCTATTATCCAAAAAAGATATCAATCCCACCGACTTGGGCTTGGTGCTCACGGAGACGCCGTTCCAGTTACCTCAGCTCTCGATGAACACAGACCAAATCGTATTTGAAGAGTACGGGTTTGGCAGTTACTACCGATGTATCGCCCCTTCTTTGGTGCCGTGGACGTATGCAGGTGATCCCGACTTTAGTCTCGTGGTGGACTGTGGGTTTAGTGCTACTTGGATAGTTCCCATCATCTATCAATCGGTATACTGGAAGGGTGTCAGGAAATTACCGATTGGAGGAAGGGCCTTGAACGGACTCTTGCGAGAAATAATCTCGTTCCGGCACTACGATATTCTGGATGAGCCAGTGCTTATAAATACCATCAAGGAATCCACCTGTTTTATGGCCCAGGACTTTGGGGCTGCCCTCAAGAAAAAGCTTGCCCACGAATGTGAGTTTGTTTTACCAGATTTCAAGACCACCACCACCGGGTACGTGCGGCAGCTGGGCCAGCGTGGGGCGGGAGACCTTCAGAGTCTTGTACTTACAGACGAGAGGTTTGTGGTGCCTGAATCGCTCTATAGACCTGAAATCATCTTTGATAACGCTCCGTCCACCAGTGCAATTCTTCAAACGGCCCCCATTAAAAACTTGACTGACTTGGTGGTGGAGGCCATCATGACATCTCCAGTGGTTGCAAGACCGTTACTACTGCAAAATATCACGGTGGTGGGAGGTACCAGTTTAGTACCCGGGTTTAGTACTCGACTTGAAGATGAATTGGCCAAAGAGCTCCCCCTGGACTGGAAAGTACAGGTGGTTTCCAGCGGAGACCACAAGCCCGATGTGGCCAGCTGGTACGGCGGCGCTGAGTTATGTCAGAGTGAAATTATAGATAAAGTCACCATCTCCAAGCAGGAGTACTACGAGCATGGGTCCAATTGGTGCCAGACTCAGTTTGGATTCCGAAACGTTTAATGTCATTATGAATGTAAATGTGCTATGGTATTATGCCTCTATGAGGTGATTAAAGGTCAAGTACCGACTGAAGACCAACCACCCGTACCGGAACCACACCATCTGCGAAAAGTGTCCGTAGGCCATGGCAGCATAGCTAACACTTAACATATTTAAATCAGAATATATTTTGGTACCTGTAGCATTTTTGGGCGTGTTGAACAAGCTGATGCCGATGTTGATGTTGAACTTGAGGATTTTGCTCAACACCAACTGCAGAACGTGGTCCACCATTAACTCGATGTTGGTGAGCACCGTGAAAGAGTACTTTTCCAAAAAGTTGAGTGTCTTCAATTTGTACATACTTATATTTGTGGATGATTGCACAAACATTCGGCATCCGTGGTACAAAGAAATGTGGTTGGGGTGGCCAGAGACCCCTAGTTCGTCAAACGTCACTATCACCACGTTGGACTTTTCACTGATGTGGTGAGACAACACCTGGCTGATACGTGAATGGTCCCACGTCTCGTCCATACCATCCTTGAACTCATCAGCCACTACCACGTCATCATGGTGTAGACCTAGGATCCTGGCTGACTCGTGTAATTCTCTGCTACGAATTGGTCCGTAACTTGAGTCTACTGCATCCCCCACAGACAAACAGATGAGCTTGAGGGTATTGTGGTAAATAGGCTTGGAAAGCTCGAGAATTGACGGGGAGAAAAACATCACCTCATCGTCAGGATGGCCAATGACATAATAGACGGTGCTGTTGCGGATTGGCACCGAATCAAATGGAGTTATAGATGTGTAGGGATAAACTGGCCCCGAGAATGAGTTGGCTTTGACCGATGGATCACGGAATTTGGTGATCGCCTGAGGGATTATGGTAGATAAGAGAACCCATAGGAGGAACGAGCCGGCTATCACTCGTACTACTGATGAGGGAATAACAAATAGCATTATGAAGTTAAGATGTACGTCCATAAACGCGAATGCGCGGATTCACTTCATAGGGTATATATTGAATTATAAATAGTCAGAATTCTCAGGCCTTCTTCAAGAACGTGTAACCGGTGTTCCACACCATATCTAACTTGGTGTCGTCGGTCCATCCGGTGGCTTCCTTCAATTCTTTGGCATAGTCGTCAATAAACGTTGAATCCTTGTTGACCGCTAAAAGGTTATGGTATCCACTATAAGTACTAAAATACTTTTCCATGGCTTTTATGCCCACCCCAGGCTTGACCAAAACAAGGTTCTTGTCGTCCGAAGGAGGCACGTACGCGTCCACCAGAGGATAGTACGAGTCGATGGTCACGTCGGTGAAAGCTTCTTTAGGAATGTGCTTGTTAACATCCACATAGCAGTTCTTAATAACATTTCGGCCCGGTTGCTCCCAGTGTGGTCCCATGAGGTTGGGGTCATCGTAGGCGTACTTGAAGTAGATTTTCTTTGCCTTTTGCAAAGCTTCTGGAGAATCATTTACAAATATCGGATCCACGTAGTACCAGTAAGCTAACGTCCCACCGGGCTTGAGGATCTCGTGAATCCGCTTAAAGAACTTTGGGAAGTCACTCGACCAGTGAAGGCACTGTGCGGCCGTGATCAAGTCGAACTTCTCGTTTGTAGGTAAACTGTCGATATCTCCCTCCACAAATGAAACACGAGATTGGTCCTTAATTCCCAATTCCTCACAACGTTGGGCCTTCAAGTCGTTGCACGTTTGCACCATAGATGGCGACAAGTCCAACCCCACGACGTTTTCGGAGATGTTGAGTAGATCGTAGGTTGCAATTCCAGTTCCACATCCTATATCCAAGGTTCTTTGAATAGGTTTTGGCGAGTCAGAACCCGTCGCGTACTTGGCCAAAAGTTGGTAAAAGGACGGAGGGTACCTCGGACGAAACGAGTTGTAGTTCAAAGTCTTGAATCCGGTCTTGGAGAATGTAGCCATTTTATTATTTGTAGTTTCTCCAGCTCTTGGGCAGTTTCTCCAGGTTTTATAGTTTTCGCGACTGCGCTCGGAGTTTTTTCGGAGCCGAATATCAAATGTGGAGACACTTACGAGGCATGTTATTTGTCAGTAATAGAGTTTATTAATAAAATATCATTGGTCATTAAACTAGTATAATGCAGATGCGTCACGGTTGAAGTCGTAAACCGAGGATTCTTCGTCCTTGAGGAACGGCACAAGTCCCAACGATCCATCGGCAGCAAATTCGTTGATCAAGAGATTCTGACTCAAATTGACCTTGAAAGGATCGAAATCAAAAAGATCTTCAAAGTCGTTGGCATCATTGGCTTCTTCGATGGTGGACGTAGTTTCGGGCACATCCACTCTGAGTTCGGCCATCGTATAGTCAAGGAATGGTAAGCTGTTATCCATGCTGCCGGTGGGAAATCCATTATTTTCATTGGACGACAGCGATGTCATGGTTTGTAGTGTTGAAGGACTTCTGTTGACGGCAGTTTTTGTCACGGGAATCGTGTTCAATTTCTTCTTGTTTAGCATCAACGTCTTGTTCTGGGGCAATCCAAGAATGCTCAATATGGCCATTTCAATCAATTTGGCTGAATTTTTGGTTAACCCTCCAGGAACATCGTACTTGCTTTCCCTGATCAACAATGGAATTGTATCGAGTAGTAACTGCTTCAGATCCAGGTAAAGTGATCCTCCTTTTATGTACTCCAAAGTGCCTTTTGCAACCAATAAAGTGAGGCGCGAATGCTCTCTGGGAAGATTGATGGGAAGTGGTAACAACTTGGAACTCAATGGATTGAATAAAACCTTCAAGATTTCCAAGATTTGAAGAGACGATTGTTGAATCATGGTCATACTGGACATTATGGAACTCTTGTTACGCTCACCTCTGTAAAGCTTCTGCTTGGTTGAAAGTCCCACATCGTGATGGTTTCCAAACTTGGAAATCACCGGTAAATTGATAAGAATCCGGGCATGGAAATAGAGGAAGACCAAACAGAGTTGCTGTTTGCTGCAGGTTTGCAAATGGTCGGTGATAGGCTGGTCGGACTTCAAGGAAAACCCATTCATGCCCATTTCAAATCTCAACTCTTCTGGTAATTCCCGTCTCCAGCACTCCAATTTCCGCTCTGTCTTTAGTGGCACTGCTTCATCGGAAGAGCCTTGTGCACTGGAGTATATTCCATCCAAAATGCTTCCAAGAACTCGGCAATATAATATCATGCTCAAAGAGTACCGAGACACTTTCCCCACTATGGTTAACTGGGTGTTGTTCAAGATTAAGATATTTTCGTTCTCTTCCTCGTCGTCATCTTGTTCGCTCTTTCCAGTAAATGGAAGAGCACACTCGATTTCGTAGTCCTTTAGAAGCCTGGGAACTCCCAAATTCAATGAACAGTAGACGTCCAAGCAGTAGGCTGCCCAGAAAAGAATACGTCTTTCTCCCTGTTGAAGAATTCTCAAATTCATATCGTCTCTAGTTCCACTTACACCTAAAACGGCTGCTGGACATCTGTGTAATCTTAATTGTTGGGCCATGGTGATGACCCGACCACGCAACACGTAGCAGGTGGAAACGTCACCAATGGCTAGACAATACTGCAACGATAACGTCAAGATTTGAAGAGACAATATTGAGCATGTCTCGGTAATTAGGCAGTTGGGTTTGATGAATTCATGAATGAGTGTATCGTAGTGCTTCAAGTCTCGCACGTACTTGTCGACTACTTCATTTGAAGTCTCCGACGCGTTGAAGAAACCATGCTTGTTGGAAAGGAAACTCAACGCAAGAATGACCACGATAATGGCCCCAAACTTTTCTATAGGTTCATGTTCGGATGAGCCAAACTGGTCGCTGGTAACTCTGCCACTGTCTATAACATCTATGAGGGTCGAGTAACTCCTCAAAAACGAATTCTTATTCAAGATCGGGAGATTGGACCCCCATTCTTGGAAATATATGGTGGTGAGATGGTCTAACTCAACTTTGGACGCGGGCAATTGGAGGTGTTTCAAGAAAAGAATCACCTCGTTTGGATCCAAATGAACGGTATTTCGCCTATTCATGATCAATGTCAAGAGGTTGGGGTCAGATACTTCATTCCGGTACCGGTTGGAGTTCACCTCGTTTGAGTTTTCTTTCAAAGATCCAATCGCATTTGCAGCCAAAACTGCAGGTTTTGAATCGTAGCCATAGGTTTGACAAATACTCGCCAACAAGGTCGGCACGAAAAGCGTCTCTTCAGTGCTTCTGGGGATCGAGGCTGCCACCAAAGCCGTTAACATCTGTTGTTTGTCGAAAAGCACTTTGGAGTTGGGATCCTTCTGCATTTTTTCAATAGCAGTGGCAGCAGCAAATGCTCCTGGAGCCGGATTCGCCCCGTTGTTGAACAACTCGTTTCTGTGGAGAAGAATGCTACCGAGCGAGTTCGAGATGAGCTCATCGTCGGTGCTAAGCAAACTATTGGTATCATCTCCATCGGTGAACATAAGAGAGTCTGTGATGGACAAAGGGCCGTGAACTCCGTTCATTATCGATACCGGCCGCTCATGGGCCAACACTGACTCGGTGTGACATCCGCACTGGCACCCATCATCGTGCTGGTGGCTGTGGCCATTTTGGTGTTCCTCATCGTCAGAATAGTCATCTTTAGTAGCAAGTTTGTCAAAAGCTGCATTTACCTTCAGAGAAATGGTTTCGCCGTTAATATCTTTGTATCCCTTGATCTGTTCGTCTCGCAAATCTATCACGCCGCTGAGTCGATTGTTCTCTGCTTCCAATTGGCGGATCCGCTCTTCAAGAGTCTCGGTATATCCCTTTGGGAACGCCCTTCGACTGAGCTTATCAGATACAATACACTTGATGCCAATAGCATCACAGTTGGAGCACTGGGGCTGTTTGCCGTCGCACTTTGTCTTTTTTGCTCTGCACCGGTCGCATGCCTGGGCGATTCTAGCATTTTTGCCAGAGCCTAGTTCGATTTTCCGGGTGTTGGTAGTGGACTGTTTGGGTTTTGCCTTGGCCTTAGGCCTCGGGGTAGGCGACGGTGACTTGCTGGTGCCACTCTCGTCCATGTCTGACATTGGTGGGTGGTGCAATATCTGTTTATATATTTGTGGATTTGACTAGTTTTGAGTCATAAAGTGAGAGACAGTGAGAAGGCTCATCTTCGCGGAGGAGCGGAATTTGTTTTGGCACTATGGCGAAACGGAGAATTAAAGAAGCTACTACAGCGGTTAAGCGAGGGCGAGTGCCCGTTCCTGAAGGCGTGAAGGAAGAGAATGTGGTGCTAGATTTGAAACTGGACGTGAAACTGGAGTTCGGGCTGGTGCTGGAAATAGAGGTGAAAATAGAACCTCACTCAATCTCGTGTGAGGTGAAGCCTGAAGCCACACCACAAAACCTACAACAACACAAACAGGTGCCCGATATCGAGGAGCTCCCGAACATCTTCATGCGTGCCAGCAACGAAGACATGGACTCTGCCGCCAAGTTCCCGCCCAGGTGGGTAGATATCTACAATGAAGTTGTGGAGATGCGGGCCAAAATCACTGCTCCGGTCGATCTCATGGGCTGTGAACGTATACCTGATGGAATGACTCCTAAATTGCTGGTCAACGATCCCCGGACCTTCAGGTTCCAGTTGCTCATTCTGTTGATGTTGTCGTCCCAGACCAAAGACGAGGTTCTCGATGATGCGATGCGCAAGCTTAATAACGGCTTGAAACTGCGGGGGTTTCAACAGGGACTCAGCTTGGAGTCGGTGATGACCCTCTCCGACAAGGAACTCGACGGGTATATTGGCAAGGTTGGGTTTCACAATCGTAAGACGGTTTACATCAAAAATGCATGTATTATGCTTCAGGAACAATTTGGAGGTGACATTCCCAACACCATTGAACAGATTGTCAAACTTCCAGGGGTGGGGCCGAAAATGGGGTACCTTCTTCTCCAGCGGGGCTGGAACATCAGCACCGGTATCGGGGTAGACGTCCACCTTCATCGCCTTGCAATGATGTGGGGATGGTCTAAGAAGACCACCAATCCAGATATGACCAGAAAATATTTAGAGGAATGGCTTCCTCGGAAGTTCTGGGCCGAGATCAACCCGTTGCTCGTGGGATTCGGCCAGGTTATCTGTACACCACAGTTTCAAAATTGTGATGTTTGCAGTCTTGCAACCAAAAGTTTGTGTAAGTCTGTGAACCGTAAGCTTGTGAACAAGGGCTTAACAGAAGAGAGGTTGGAGAAGTTGAAGAAGGGCAGAGGAGACTTGGCCCAGTTGTTGGTGAGCATGGGCACGTGACGTGGGAGCACCGTGATAGTCCAGAACCAGTCCTGTGACAACTATTGCTGATGTGGCTCGTTGGTGTTGATGTTTGGCTGCCAAAACGGGGACCGGTGTGCGTGCGCGTACCATACGTATCATCAACATTAAGGTGAAATGGTAAAAAAACTGTAAATACATATCCAACATCCACTAATCATAATACTCCCCTTTGTTTCCTCTACCTCTCATTTATCTGTTCCTATAACTATCTTTTCCCCTACCTGTCTCTAGTAGAAAATTTGACTGGCGTGCGCGCTTTCAGAAGTTGTCCAAGTTTTCCAAATTTCTCATCTAATTCAAGGAACTGAACAAGATAACGTATTTGATACTATCTATCTACTTGCCAGGTCATTGATACAACCCGCCGCCGCTACCTGATCCAGGGAACTCCACCAAAAGTACGTTTCTGCTACTGTTTTCCCACCTTAAACAGTTGATCCACACCTCTCCAGATCCCCCCATCGTTGACTTGAACCGAAATCGACCATCTTGAATCCGTCAACAAATTGATGAATAGACCCCTGATTCGTATCAACACCGTTCTGGACACCACCAAATGAATATAAATGCTAAGTTCCAGCAGAGCCAAGCTCCTGGTCAACCTCCACCACAACAGCCAAATATCCAGGCTCAACAGATTTTATTACAACAATTACAACAAGGCCAGTCCCAACCACAACAACCATTTGGCCAGGACTTGAATGATGGATCCAAGCCTTACTCTTTCCAGAGACCTGGCCAGCTGAACCCTCAGGTTCAAATGAACCAAACCCAACCTCAGGCCCAACCTCAACCACAACAGTTCTTTCCCCTGCAGTTCCAGCAGCAAGGGCCTCAACAAATGCAGCAAATGCAACAGTTTCAACAGTCACAGCCGCAACAGCAGTTTGGCCTGTACCAGCAGTTGCCACCTCACCTTCAACAGTCTCAACCACAGACTCAGGGTCAGAATCTGCAACAGTACGGAGGCATTCAGGGCCCGAAGCAGAGCTCGATTGCGGTCGACAAGCCCAACTCGATCCACTGGCAACACCAGCAGCAGTTGTGCCAAATCTCTCGATCTGCCAGTATTCCTCATTACTATGCTCGCCAGTACGCAGCCAACTCCCGGAAAGTCAAAAACCCATATAACGACGTGAAGTCTGTCAGTCTTATTGATGCCACCAAGTCAATTGTGGCATCAGTGGAGGAACAAGAGAGACTCTCGCAAAAGTCAAGTACTCCCACCACAAACGCAGCCTTATTGTACAACAAGAAAACCGTCAACTACTACGAAGACGATACGATGCATGAAGAGGAGAGAATGAGACAAAAGACCAATGGTCAGCAGTTGTGGTGCCAATTGGACTTGAGTGGCCAGGGCATTTCGAACGTGTCACCCAAGTTATTCAACTATGACTTTTTGGAGTCGCTTTACCTCAACAACAATAAGTTGACAGCAGTTCCTTCTATGATCAGTAGATTAAGGGGATTGAGAACTTTGGATTTGTCTCAAAACAAGATCGAAGACATCCCCGGAGACCTTGGATTATGCTATAATTTGAGATATCTTTACTTGTTCGATAATGAAATCAAAACCTTACCCAATGGGCTTGGAAATTTGATTGAGTTGTTGTTTTTGGGGATTGAAGGTAATCCTATGGACCCCCAAATTGCCAATATCTTGGCCGAAAAGGGTACCAAGGACTTAATCACATACTTGAGAGACCTTCCTCCTACTTTACCCAAACCTAAGGCCAGAGATTGGATCTTGTTGGAAGACGATGGAGAAGTCATTGATCCCACCGCCAACCCCGAGGCGTATGCCAATGAGGATCTGAATTCCTCCAGCTCATTCACCCTCATGTCCTACAACACCTTGTGTCAGCATTATGCCACCACCAGAATGCACAAATATACGCCTGCGTGGGCATTAGACTGGGAGTATAGAAGACCCTTGTTGGAGAAGGAGGTGACTGAAATGAACACCGATGTTGTGTGCATGCAAGAAGTGGAGACCCGGACTTTCCACGAGTTCTGGGTGCCTCGCATGCAAAAGTTGGGATACAAAGGATTGTTCTACAGCAAAACTAGAAGCAAGACCATGGGAGAACTTGATGCCAAAAAGGTTGACGGGTGTGCAGTGTTCTACAAAACCAGTAAGTTCGAGTTGATCCAAAAGATCAACTTTGAGTATAACAGTGCATGTATGGGATCTGAGAAGTACAAGAAGACCAAAGATCTTTTCAACCGGTTCATGAACAAGGACCATGTGGCCTTGATCGCGTTCATGCAGCACAAGGAGACGGGTGAGAAGATCTGTATCATCACCACCCATTTACACTGGGACCCGTTGTTCAACGATGTCAAGGCCTTACAGGTGGGTGTATTGTTGGAAGAGTTGAAGGGAATTTTGAAGAAGTTTGTGGGAGCCAACGACGACGTCAAGAACACCCCACTCATCATCTGTGGAGACTTCAACTCCATCGTCGACAGTGCAGTTTACCAGTTGTTTTCCACTGGGTCTGTTAAGACCCACAGTGATCTCGACGGATACGACTACGGCAAGTTCACGGAAGAAGGGTTCAAGAACGTCTTCAAGTTGAAGTCGGCCTATGAAACCGTGGGCGAGCTTCCGTTCACCAACTGCACGCCCGACTTCACCACCACCATCGACTATATCTGGTATACTCCTGGAAGTATCGAAGTTAAAGGCTTGTTGGGCAAGGTGGACCCTGACTACGCCAAACACGTGATTGGCTTCCCCGATGCTAACTTCCCGTCCGACCATATTCCGCTTGTATCAAAGTTCCAGATCAAGAAGAATGGTGGCCACAAGCGAGCCGACTTCAAGCCAGACTTCAGACCCGGTTCGTCTCGTAAAACCTAACATGTATATTATAATTAACGATATTAATTGAGTCGCGCAATTTGGTATTGATTTTGGAAATCCATCTTATGATGAGCAAGCCATCGTTATTGATTCCCACGGAGGCCGACTACGCCGATGCCCATGAAGACGAAGACCAGGAGATCCTCTACCGGCAACGGATCGATGAGTTGCGCCAGAAGACAGGGGCGTTCCGCTGGAGGTTCGAGGTGGTTAAAGGCTTCTTCAAACAGGCAGAGGACGCCACAGACGACTTCAAATTCAACTACGCCACCGAGGACTTTGGCCGCCTCAAGTCGTGGGACCAGACCATTGCTGATCTTAAGGAACTTAATCTCAAGGCGCCAGGCAATGAGGCGTACAAGTTGTTGTTTTTGGCCAGACATGGTCAGGGGTTCCACAACGTGGTGATCAACAAATACAGCTACGAAGAATGGTACCGCAAGTGGTACAAGGAAACACATGATGGTGACGTGGAGTTTGCTCCCGACCCCATGTTGACAGACTTGGGCATTAACCAGGCCAAGGAGAACCATGAGCTCTGGAAACATCAGCTCGCCCAAGGAGCCCCAATGCCATCCAAATTTTACGTATCACCGTTGCAACGGTCGTCACACACGTTGGCGCACACCTGGACCGGTCTCAAGCCGCAGGGACTCCAGCCGGTGGTGACTGAAGGGCTCAGGGAAACCTCGGGGTTGAATCTTTGTGATCGTAGGTCTACTAAATCGGTGATCCAGCAGCGGTTTGGGCAGTACGGGTTTGTATTTGAAGATGGGTTCACCGAGGAAGACGAATTCTTTGATGCTCACAACCGCGAGAAGTTACACGAGCACTGCATCCGCACCAACAGGTTTTTACAACGGGTTTTTGATGAGGACTATAACATTGCTGTGGGGGAAGTCGCCAAGCAACTGGCGGTGGCCAATACCTTCATTTCTACTACGTCCCACGCCGGGACCATCAGGACGTTCATCACCGTGTTGGGCCATAGACGGTTCACCATCTCTACCGGTGCCATGATCCCCATTGTCGTTAGAGGTATTAGATTAGGGTAGTATTAGAGTACATAATAACCTATAGAGTCTCGCGCGAGATGTCTGAAAATGATTTGCAATTTTCGAGCGGCTTTTGCAGCTGCTTCCCCAATATTTTCTAACAATTGTTGCTCATGAAACACTGCTTGAAACTCTATTTAAATAGCAACAAGTATGTCTTTTTCAGTTCCATATACTCATATACCCAGACATGCTTTATTCGTGGTGTGTTGTCTGGTTGATGACGGCGACTCAAGTGGTGATCGCCATTACCTGGCCCTGGGACCATGAGCGAAACGCATATGAGCCTTACCAAGTGGAATGTCCCAGTTTCAGTCTTTTACGAGAAGCTAACAGCATCTCTGATAACGAAAAGGAGTACGTTCAGGCTCGGCAAAAGTACACCAATGACAAGTTGGCGGGATTTCTCGAAAACATTGCCCAGCTCTCGGATTTCAATGCCTCACAGTTCATTGATCAGTACTCAAACTCCCACAATATCACCATTGGTTTGGCATTCAGTGGCGGTGGCTATAGGGCCATGTTGACAGGAGCCGGCGAGGTGTTGGCGATGGATGGGCGGTACACCAATGCCAACAAAAAGGCTTTGGGGGGTCTTTTGGATAGCTCGACCTACATTGCCGGTCTTTCTGGTGGCAGCTGGTTGGTGGGCACCTTGGCCCTCAATAACTGGATCAGCGTGGACGACATTTTATCGGGCAAATTAGATATCTGGAACTTGGAGGATTCGGTGTTCAATCCCAATGGTCTTAACATCTTTAAGACGGGACTGTACTACTCTGACATTGGAACCAGTCTAAGTGCCAAAGAAGAGCATTTTGAGACCACTTTGACCGATCTCTGGGGTCGCATGTTGGGGTACCAGTTCTTTACCACCGATGGCGGCCAAAACCTAACCTGGTCGGGAATCAGGAACTTATCGAGTTTTGAAGACCATACGATGCCATACCCATTTGTGGTGGCCGATTCCCGAAACCCCCAGGTCCGAACCATCACCTTGAACTCAACCGTATACGAGATCACCCCGTATGAGTTTGGCAGCTGGGATCCCAGTGTCAGGAGTTTTGTCGATACGCAGTATATTGGCACCAATCTCGACAATGGTCAACCCAATCTGAGCAGCGAGTGCGTGGTGAACTTCGATAACGGTGGATTTGTGTTGGCTAGCTCGCTGACGATATTCAACCAGCTTTTGACCAAGGCCAAGGATCAGAAACTCACCAAGTATTTGTACGGAGCCATTGAAAAGGTGATGGGGTTGTTAAGTCTGACCGACATTGACGTGGCCTTGTACGAGCCCAACCCTTTCTACCGCTCCGAGTACGCGGATAACGAGGTTATCACCGGGAACTCCACCATGAACCTCGTGGATGGAGGAGAAGACGATCAGAACATCCCCTTGTACCCTTTGGTACAACCAAAGCGGGGGGTGGATGTGATTCTTGCGTTCGATAGCTCCAGCGACACGCCTACCGGGTGGCCCAACGGCTCGGCACTTATTCATACCTATCGTCGTCAGTTTGGACACCAGGGAAAGGGAACCCCCATTCCGTATATGCCTTCGTCATACGAAGAGTTTCTTGACCAAGGACTCAATGAGAGGCCAGTCTTCTTTGGGTGCAACGCTTCGGAGTTGGACCCGTTGGTGGAGTTGAGTGGTAACAAGGACATCAACACCACTGATGTGCCGTTGATTGTATACGTTCCTAATATCCACCAGTCGTACGACAGTAACACTTCTTCTTTCAAGTTGACATACGATGAGGACGAAAAGCTCGCGATGATTAAAAACGGGTTTGAAATAGCGTCCCGGGGCAATTTTTCCGATGATGGGAAATGGGCGACGTGTGTGGGGTGTGCTGTGATACGGAGAACTCAGGAGCGGTTTAACTTGAGCCAGTCTTCGGAGTGCCAGAAATGCTTTGAAGACTACTGTTGGTTTCCCGATAAAAGTGATATGGTGTACTCTGCGGTGGTGGATTTCTCGCTGCTGGTTTCAGATAGTGCTGAGAGCCTACAGACCAGTGAGTCCCTTGCCAGTTCCACCCGTGCTGGTGATGCGAGTACAACCGGAGAGGGTGGAACCACCAGTTCCACTGGAACCAGCTTCAAGACCCCAACAAGCTCGGCTTCAAGATCTCTGGACTCGGGTGCTAATATTCAAGTGCACTTTTCTCCACTAATGCTTTTCTTAGTGTCGTTAGTATATACCGCCTTCTAATAGAATGGTTTTGCAGCCATAAATTTTCGCGATCGCATCGCAATTTTTTCATCTCATCTAAAAAATTGTACATAAACCATGGTCAAGTCATATGACCGATACGAGCAGGAAACCTGTTTCGGGGTAATTACCTCGCAGTCCAACATAGTCTGGCTTCCCCCAATTGACAGCCAGTCCAAGAAATCCGCTGGTAGAGCCTTGACTTCAGGAGTGGAAGAGATCTTGGTGTGGGACATCAAGACGGGTGAGAAGCTCCAAACTCTCAGTGATGGGTTGACTCCCGGTGCCTCCAATGCGCCTACAAGCCAGCCGCCAAGCTCCGTCTCTTACCTTGCTTACCACGCGACCAGCAACATCGTGGCGTCAGGTTACAACGACGGAACTATAAAAGTGTGGGATTTGGCATCGGCCTCTGTAATAATTAAATTCCAAGGTCACAAAAGCAGAATCAGCAAGTTGAAATTCGACACCAGCGGCACCCGGTTGGTTTCTGGGTCCAACGATGCGAGCATAATTTTGTGGGATTTGGTGGGAGAAGAAGGCTTGTTCAAATTAAAAGGACACAAGGGAGAAGTTACCGACTTGACGTTTTTATCTCAGGGCAAGAAAGAAGTCGATGAGTTGGACGACTACATCGTCAGTGTCTCCAAAGATGGGTTGGTCAAGTTATGGGAGCTCGAGTCCAAACAGTGTGTTGAGACCCACATTGCCCATTCCAACGAGTGTTGGTCTTTAGCAGTAAACTATGATCTGAATATGCTCATCACCAGTGGAAACAAAGACCAGGTCAAGGTGTGGGACATTGACTTGGCAAACGAGGATATGAAGAAGATCCAGGAACGTGGGATGTTTGCCAAGCAGAGCAAAGCCCGGTGTAACCAGATGGAATTTGAGCAAATTCTCAAGGGCGGTGAGGTCAACCAGATTTTCTACTTGCAAAACACCGACCGAACGGTGGAGATGTTCCGTGTGAGAACGGACGCCGAGTTACAGAAGGGGGTCAAGTCGAGAACCAAGAGACTCAAGGAAAAGGGGATGTCAGAAGAAGAAATTGTGGAGAACATCAGAGAAAACGAGATCAACATGTTAATAACTCCGTTTACCACTTTGCGAACCATCCACAAAATCAAGTCGTGCAGCTGGTTCAAGGCTGGCAAGAAGTTGAAGGTGTTGGTATCATTGGTGAACAACGCAGTGGAGCTCTACACGGTTCAAATGCCTGAAAACTTGAAGAAGAACCAGGAGGTGGTGATAGACAGAAGCAACACCATCGAACTTCTTGGTCACCGAAACGACATTCGGTCCATCGACATCTCCAGCGACGACCAATTGTTGGTGACGGCCTCAAATGGAGAGCTCAAGGTGTGGAATCTTAAAACCTTTAATGTGTTGAGAAACTTTCAGTTATCCAGTGGATATGCCTTATGCTGCAAGTTTTTACCAGGAGGTTCGTTGGTGGTCATTGGCTATAAAAATGGGGATTTGGAGCTCTACGACTTATCATCGTCGTCGTTGGTGGACAAGGTCGAGCAAGCCCATAAAGGAGACGAGTCCAATGATGAAGGAAGTGCAATCTGGTGTCTCGACTTGAGTCCCGATGGGAAAACATTGATTACGGGAGGAAACGACAAAAGTGTCAAGTTCTGGGACTTACAGTTGGTGACCGAAACGGTACCTGGTACCAAGGAGGTCGTCACCAAGTTGAAGTTTAACCACAAACAAACGTTGGAGATGACAGATGAAGTGTTGGCCGTCAAAGTGTCGTCGCACGGAAAGTTACTAGCCATCTCCTTATTGAACAACAACGTGCAGGTGGTGTACCTCGACACCTTGAAGTTGTTCTTAACATTATACGGACACAAACTCCCGGTGTTATCGATCGATATCTCCAGTGACTCCAAGTTGATCATCACCTCCTCTGCCGACAAGAATATCAAGATCTGGGGGTTGGACTTTGGAGACTGTCATAAGTCCATTTTCGGGCACCAAGACTCGATCATGAACGTCAAGTTCATTGGGGACTCGCACAACTTCTTCTCCAGTGGTAAGGACGGGTTGATCAAGTACTGGGATGGAGACAAGTTCGAGTGTATCCAGAAGTTGGTTGCTCACCAGCTGGAAGTTTGGAGTCTCAGTGTCAGTCACAGTGGTTTGTTCATGGTCTCCGCGTCCCACGACCACTCGCTCCGTCTCTGGAGTGCCACCAACGACCAAGTGTTCTTGGAAGAAGAGCGGGAAAAGGAGATCGATGAGTTGTATGAGGATACGCTCTTGACATCGCTTGAAGGTGAAGAACCGGTTACAGAAGAAGGTGACGACAGTGATGAGGTGACGAAGGTGACCAAGCAGACAATGGAGTCGTTGAAGGCGGGAGAGAAGCTTATCGAGGCCATCGACATCGGGTATGAGGACTTGAACAATCAAGTTCAGTATCATCAGGCGCTCGCCCAGTACCAAAAGCAGCCCCATGGGGTAAAACCCACCAAACCGGAGTCCCACACGATTTTGATGGCGTACGGTATGAGCGGCGAGCAGCATGTGTTCAAGACCGTGACAAGCATCCGGTCGGCACAATTGGAGGATGCGTTGCTTGTGCTTCCATTCTCCTACACCAAAAAGCTTCTCGCGTTCATCGAGGTGTGGATGCAAAAACTCAACAATTTGAACCAGATCTCGGTGGTGTGCAAGGTGTTGAACTTCTTGGTGAAGAACAATCTCAAGGAGTTGGTGCACCAGAAGGATCTGGATTTAAAGAGTCAGTTGGTGACAATTAAAACTCATTTGCGGCAACTGCTTGAGGGCAGCAGCCACAAGATCAACTTTAATTTACAAGGGATGAAATTCGTGAGAACCCAATGGAATTTACAGCATCAGGCCCAGTATATTGACCAGGCCGAGCAGGCGGCGGCAGAAGACTCTCGGGCTATTAAAAGGTCATTTGTCACTATTTAGTTGCAACTACTTAGATAAGATTAGCTAATGAACAAAAGAAATTATCGCTCGGCGTTCGCTGATTGGAATTTGAAAACTGTGTACGCCGTGTGCAATCGTCCCAGCAACAAAACCCCGACTTTGATCCGAGACTCAAATATGTAGAAAATCACCTCACTGGGCACCGGACTACTGATGTGGTGTATGACAGTGTGATACTCCTGTTGTGTGCTGTTGTGTTCTCTGTGTCTCTCCCTCTCTGTTTTCTCGTCTATTTCTAACACGATTCCATTCCTGGTAGGCGAGCCACCTTATAATCGAGAACCTGAAAAAATCAATCAGGAAAAAAATAACGAACCCCGTAAGGTAAAAATTTAACTAACACCTTTTTTACTCAACTACTACCGATTGTTTGTAACTCCGTGGTGATATTCGTGGAACCCTACTGTTGATTTCCACATCTCTTCCTCCCGTTCTATCAACCGTTTTTTCAACGTCACGCTAGCATATCCTTATCCACTAACCGGTTCTACTGATTCCAAAATCCCCCATGAATAACCAGGTCAACGGAGGCTCCACCTGGCACTCGATGTACTCGGTGGCAGACCGGCAAAAGGTTGTCCACATTTTGGCGGCCACTTTAAAGGAGATTCAAAATACCAATTATAATGATCAAAAGGCGGCCACCATGGCGTCTGAGTTTGAGAAATACACTTTTTTAAAGAGCCAGGGAAAAGACGAGTACTTGAGAGTGATCAAGCTGAAGATCACACTGCTCCGGTCGGGTGCCCGTGCCAACGCTCCGCGTCCCGCTGCCAACACTACTGCCTCATCCAACTTTATGCAACAACAGGCCCAGGCTCGGCAGCAGACTGCGGCCCAGATCCAGGCCAACCAGATGCAGCCGGGCCATGGCCAGGGCCAGGGCCAGGACCCCCAGGCTGGTGCTACCGGCACTCCATCCCAGCAACAAACCATCCAGCAGATTCTGAATATGATCAGAAATGCCGCCATTCCCCCGGCGCTTTTGGCAAAGATCCCCAACTTACCGTCCACTGTCACCACCTGGAACCAGGTGTTTGACTGTATCAACAAGAAAATGATCCCGGCCAGTGCCATGGGCACCATCAAGGAAATCCATAACACGCATCTTCAGGTAGCGTTGCGGCAGCAGCAGCAGCGGAAGTTACATCCTCAGCAGCAACAGCAACAGCAACAGCAACAGCCAAACAGAATGAACAACATGGGTATGAACATGAACATGAACAACATGTCGCAGAACAACCTCCCGCAGAACAACCTCCCGCAGAACAATATCTCGCAGAATAACCTCTCGCAGAACAATATCTCGCAGAATAACCTCTCGCAGAACAATATCTCGCAGAACAGCATCAACAACATGAACATGAACAATATGAACATGGGCATGAATAATATGGGTATGAATGGCATGCACAACATGAATATGAACGGCATGAACAACATGAACATGGGCAATGGCATGAACATGAATATGGGCAATAACTTCAACATCAACAACTTGACTCCCCAGCAGAAGCAGCAGTTGATGCAAAGACAAATGCAGCAGAAACAACAGCAGGCCCAACAGTCGCAGCAGTCTCAGTCGCAACCGCCTCAGCAGCCTCAACAACTTCAGCAGCCCCAACAACCCCAACAACCCCAACAACCCCAGGCCATTGCAAACCAGCAGCAACGGCAGTACTCTCACCAGCCTCAACAACAGCAGCAACGGCCACCACCAAATCAGGCCCAGCAAGGTCCAAAACCCCCCAACTTCTCCATAACCCCTCAGGATATTTTGAAGTATAGCTCAGAGGCCATGATGTTGTTGAAGAGGCTCCAGAGTAACGGTTCGATTCAGAACAACTTGGACCAGGCTCAAGAGGAAAGCTTCATCAGAAAGTTCATTGTGCACCAGAAAACTATCCAGTGGAAGCAGCAACAAGCTCGTCAACCTCAACAGCCGCAACCCCAACCCAGAATGGGCAGCCAGGCCAGTGGCCAACAGCAAATCAACCAGGCAGGTGCTCAGGGAAATATGAACCAAATGAACATGAACCAAATGAATCAAATGAACATGCCACAAGCACAAGTACAGATTCAAACCCAACAACGCAGACTTGCCCAGCCGCAGACTCAGGTGCCTTCTCAAATAAACCAGATGCCTCAACAGCTGCCATTAATGAACAACTTGCCCATGAACCAAAGCCCTGTGATGAACCAAAGACAACCTATGGCCCAATCCCCGTCTGGTGGACAAGTTGCACCAGGAAATCAGATGAATATGCGTCCTCTGAGTGCTGCTGGTAATGGCAACCAGTTGGCAGCCATGTTACCTCCATTCACAGATGACATGCGAATGAAGTTGCGGCAGTTGATTGAAGAAGTTTCTCGCAACAACGTGACTTTGAAGGATGTTTCAGGGTTGTTATCTCAAAATGATAAGAACACCGTCAGAGACACCATGTCAAAGATCTCTCTGCAATACTCCAATGTGGATAGCATCATCAACTACTTTTTCATTTTGACCAAAAACGTCGAAGGCACGAAACGGTTGATTCAGATGAAGAGCATGACCAAGAATATCATGGAGAAATTGCAAAGAGGAAGCTATTTTGCTTCGCCCGACCTAGCCGAGAAGCTTAGAGTCCAATACTTCAAATACTTTGACTACGTCAAGGAGCAGTTCAACATTCGCAGGCAGCAGCTCCAGGCGCAACAGCCTCAGCAGCAAATGCCACAGGTGCCGGTGTCCCAGATACGAAACCAGTTCAAACCACAGCCACAACCTCAACAACAACAACAACAACAACTGGCTCCTCTTCCGGGTGGGTATAACCAGATGAATATGGGCCAATCCCAGTGGTCGGGTCCTACTGGACAACCTCAAGGCATCCCCCAAACACAGCCATTATCGGCCCCCACCGTGTCACAGCCCGTAATCAACAGCCCCATGATGAACAACCCCAGCTCTTCACCTATCATGGGACAGTCTGCCAGTGCCAATGCCAATGCCCGTGCCAAGGGTAAGAGAGCTTCTACAAGTTCCCAGGCCGGTAGGAAAAAATCCACCAAAGGAGGTGCTCCAACCCCAGGAGCGAGTGCCACCACCCCGGCTTCATTGGCCAATGCTATCAGAACCCCCAACAGTATTCCTACGCCGCAAGTTCCCACCAGTCAGAGCAACAAGAATACTCCCGGTGATAACAACCAATCTCCCAACTTCCAGAATAAGATCTCTGGAGGTAAGTTGAATGAGCACGCAATTGGCGATATCTTCAGCAGCATCGATGAGAACGAATCGCAGGTGTTTGAGTTGAACAAGAGAAAGGAGATGTCGGACCAAGATCCGGAGAAGTTCTTCTTTGCGTCGTTGGCGAACCTTGTGGAGTTTGATGACTCGCTGGACTTGAAAGGCTTACCTACGCCTTCTCCTTCGGTAAATGGCAAGTCGTCAATTTCTTCCATTAAGTCTTTGAACGGTAACAGTACTCTTCGGACGCCATCGTCTCCTTCTACTGAGTGGACTGCTACCATTAAGCCTGAGGCCATCGTCACGTCGTTCAAGCAGGTGAGTAGCATCAAGGAAGCGGTGTCGATGGAGATTCTCGATGTGTGTGCCGAAATTGCCGGTGGTGTTGCCGGTACCGACAAAAGTCTGGGATTGTTGAATGGGTTGGGTCTCAAGAGAGAAAGAGAAGAGGAAGAAGATGATTTGGACTTTTTGTTCACGGAAGAGAAGAAGTTCAAGCCCGAGTCTGACGATACATTCAATTTTTTGTACAGCGAAAACCTTGACTTTAACCAGTGGAAGAGCCATATCATCTCTCAGGGACCTTGACTTCCTCACGGGTTATTTTAATTCCTTGATTTTTTTTTGTCGTATATCTTCACTCATTTATAGTTGTATTTGTATGTACTATTGTCTCCACAGATTTTCGCATTTTCAACCATGTCAAAAGATAACCAACTATCCGTTGCATTTGTGTGCACCGGCAACATGTAAGTCCCGTCGACAATGCAGCAGTCACAGTTCTGTACTAACAAGCCCTCAGATGTCGGTCACCCATGGCTGAAGCGTTGTTCAAACACAAGGTGAAACAGCTGGGATTGGAATCCCACTTCAAGCTAATCGACTCCTTTGGAATCAGTTCCTGGCACCAAGGAGACTCCCCCGACTCCCGGTCGGCCAGCACCTGTCGCAAGCACGGCGTGCCAATGCACCACCGGGCCCAAGGAATTGAGCGGTCCGACTTTCAAAGATTTGACTACTTATTAGCTATGGACCAGGGCCATAAGAGCGAGTTGATGTTTATGAAGCCCAAGAATTGCACCACCAGAATTGAGCTTTTCGGGGAATGGCGGACCGATGATTCGGTCGACAAGATCGTGGTGGATCCATACTACAGTAACAGCAAGGCTTTTGAACACAATTTCCAGCAATTGAGCCACTTCACCGATGTTTTTTTGGACCAGGAAGTGCAGAGATCGGATTAAACAATTTTTGTGGTGTGGTCTGTAGACGGGAGTGGCACACGGCCATAGACCCCCATTCGGTGTATAGAGTAGAATATAATTGATCTAACTGCCTCGCAACCAGCAGCAGTACATTTCAGCACGGCCCCCATCACCGCGACTTTTGACCGCCAACTTTTGTGCTTCAGAAACCACCCATGAGTGCACGGAAACTACAACAGGAGATCGATAAGGTCAACAAGAAGATTTCGGAAGGGTTGTTGGTGTTCAACGACACCCACGAAAAGCTCTTCGCCACTGAGATCACCACTCAGCGAGATAAGTTCGAGGCAGACTTGAAGAAGGAAATCAAGAAGCTTCAGCGATTGAGAGACCAAGTTAAACAGTGGTTAGGTGATCTGTCAATCAAGCTCGACAAGAAAGTGTTACATGAAAACAGAACGAAAATCGAGCATGCGATGGATCAGTTTAAGGATTTGGAAAAGATATCGAAGATCAAACAATTCTCCAACGAAGGATTGGAGTTACTTTCCAAGACGCCAGGAGGCCGATTGAGAGGGTTTGGTGACTCGATGGACGCCAAGAAGGCCGAGGCCTGTGAGTACATCAGTGAGGTGATAGAGAAGTTGAGCGCTCAGAACGAGATTGTGGAGACTGAAGTGCATCTGTTGGCAAGTCAGATGAAGAAGGCCAAGTCTTCCAACGCCATCACCATCCAGGCGAGTTTGGATGAGGCCAAAGAGATGCATGAGCTGCTCACCAACCACTTGCAGAAGTTGGAAAACGTGTTACGGAGCTTAGAAAACGAGATCTTGAAGCCCGACCTCATTGACTCCATTAGAGATGATTTGGACTATATTGTCGAGAGTAACCAGGACGAGGATTTCATCGATTACGACGACTTTTATGAGACGTTGAACCTTGAAGAGGCTGATTTCAATGCGTTTAATGTTGAACAACAAGAGAGAGAAGAAGCAGAGCGTCTCGAGAATGAGCAGCTCGAGAACGAGTTGGACAACGACAAAGATCCAGAAAAGAAGAAGGAGGAAAAGAAGGAGGAAAAGAAACCGGTTGTGCCTGCGGTACCTTCTGTGCCTGCTAAAAAGCCGGTGGTGGTCCCGGTGCCTGCTCCTGCGTTGACCAGTGGAACTTCGTACTCGGGTGTCATTAAAAATGCTCTTGGTGAAGCCGCTGTGGCACCACCAGTCTCTGCACCAGCACCACCACCGCTCGCTAGTGTCTACGAGAGCGGGAAGACGATGGCAGAAGCGGTGGCAGAAGCAGCTGCGCTCGCATCGGCTCCTTCTTCGTTGGCTGCTGCCACCACCACCCCCACCGTCACTAGAGCCACCACATCGGCTCCTACCAACGGTCCACCGGGCTTGAACGGCCAAAACCTCTCCAAAGTACACACTGCCAAGTCGTCCACCGCTTCGCCCATCACGTCCGCTGCATACACCGAAGCCCCAGAAGTCAAAACCTTTCTTGACACCATTCCACGATTATTGGCCCTCAGCCAGGCCCGGTTATCAAGACCGCTCCCGTTTAAGACGATCGGGACGTTGTTGGAAAACTCGTTGTACAACTGTCCTGACTCTTTTGATGCAGAAACCCCTCGCCAGTATACTCCTCGAAACGTACATCCTTCGTCGATAGACTATCCTCAAGAGCCTATGTTTGAGTTACAGTCTGCCAATATCATGAAAAAGTTTAATGATGATACGCTTTTCTTCTGTTTCTACTACGGAGAAGGCATATACAACTTATCCCGGGCCAATGCTGCAAGAGAGTTGTCAAGAAGAGGGTGGGTATATGAGACCTCGAGCAAGCAATGGTTTCAAGAGAACCGCAAGACCCGTGACTGGCAGTACTTTGACTATCAGGAGACGTGGTTGGTGAGGCACAAGGATCAGCTGGTGTTTGGGGAGCATGAGACGTTTCATGTAATATAGTTAGAATGAATTTAGAAACGATAGCACAAACACGTAGAAGAAAGAGATGGTGTAGTCTGTATGGAGAGGGAAAGGGATATATCTGGATTTTTCAGCTCTACTAGGGGTGAAACACTAAAGAGGTTGCAAACAGATGAAATTAGATCTTGGTTTCTGTGATTTTTGTAGTTTTTGTGTGTTTGTACTTTTTTATTTTTGTGGTTTGTCATTTATTATCTGTCATTTGTGATCTGTCATTTGTGATCTGTCATTTGTGATCTGTCATTTGTGATCTGTCATTTGTGATCTGTCATTTGTGATCTGTCATTTAGTTGTGATTTAATGGTTTGAGAGTTTCTCGACTGACTTTCTACCCTAACACAACCCTTTCAACATCGAGCCTTCTCGGATTGGCATGTCCTCGCTTCCGCTCATCGCCTCAGAGAATTCTGATTAGCATCTAGAAAATGCTTTGTTCCAAAGCCCCGCAGCATTCAAACTCTTTGTGTAAGTTCTGACCCATACATCCTCCACTGTGAATTACCCCGTACATTCTCTGGGTCTATATGTTCCTTCTGTGTCTGTGCCTCCTCCGATCGTGTCGTCACTCTGATCCAGATCTAGAATCGCCGCATCGCGCGCTCTAACAATAGAAATTCGAACCTCAAACAATCCCAGGAGCTTGCACAAACTTGATACCAACCCATCGCAGGTTTCAAATCCTAAAGTACTTTGGCATTTAACACTTTAGTCTCAACACTAAAGAATTTTTCGCTGGAGGAATACAACAAATCTCCCCAGTTCCAACCTTTTATTTGCACACATCTGGTGAATTTTTCTGATTTATCCATTCAATGTCAGTATCGCCAGAGGTGATAGCTCGAGACGCTGGACAAGCTGGAGCAGAGGCTACCGCGACTGCCTTCATAATCGCCGCCAATAGGGCCGTACGTCCCACCTCCACCACAGGCCAGCAATATCCTAGTCCCGTACGAGTGTTTCCCCGTGCCGCGTCGTCGCTGTATTCCACTGACAGCCATGGGTGTGTGGTGTGTCCCAGTACCACGCCCACCGGCCCGACTTGTGGCTCCAACCAGGAGCGGTTGCTTTCAGCGCAGTCGTGCCTGCTGTGTCCCAAGTATTACTGTTCAGATTTAGACGACAGTGGGTCAAAAGGACCCAATATTGGCGGTATTGTTGGTGGAGTGGTGGGCGGTGTGGCCGCCGTGATCGCCAGTGGGCTCATGTACTACTTTTTTGTGTGGAAGAAACGACACCCCAGTTTGGAGGACGATGAAGAGATATATATGGAAGACCTCGACCTAGACGAGCTGAAAGACGCCATGAGCAGCGAAAGTGCTGGTAACAGTAATCCTGACAAGCGGTATTCTGGCGGGCTCGAGACGACGGAGCGGCCTGGAGGTGGTGCTGGTGGTGCTGGGCGTCGTGCCAACCTTGCCAACCGAAGGTTGTCGTCGTACGAGCTGTTCACGCGGCCGCAGGCCAAGTTCAAGAGCCGGCGGGGCCAGGCCAGTGCCAGTCGGCGCGCGAGCCAGAGACTCATGTCGCGCAACTTGACGGCAGCGTCGCCGTACCTCGACGCCAACTCCAGCCGCAGAAATAGCGTGGCCACCACCATCTCCACCACCAACGCGTCGAATATTCTCCCCATCGCCTATATTCCTGGAGTCACGGTGCGCCCCACCAAAAATAACACCAAGTCGATCTACTCCTACGAGACTGACTCGATTTTCTCCGATCTCAACACCATTGAAAATGCTTCAATTATTGGTGACATTATGAGAGCCAACTACAGCGAGGAACCTAAACAGGATAACACCATGACAGCTATAAAGGCCCAACCACGTCTTATTAGTGTGGACCGAATCGAGGAAGAGGACGAAGATGAAGAAGAATTTGACGACGATTATGATGGAGTTGATGTCGATGTAGACGATTCGGTCAATAATTCTGTCAGTAAAAACAACTCGAAAACCAGCATTGTCACCTCCACGCGGCAGCTTAACGAGAGCACCGTGTCAAATGTGACAAGCCAAATCGCGGAAGAGGACGAGGGCCAAAACTACCTGTCGGACTCGGACGGCGACAGCGACGTGGACCTGGACTTAGGCGAGATCCAGAGGGCCACCAGCGTGCGGCGGAACAATCATACGGAGATGGCCCTAGATTTAATTGATTTGGGCCAACCCGGTGCCAGGGCGGGTGATGATGCGACCGCCAGGTCGGACGGGGGGTCGTTTGTGTTGGACGTAGAGATAGACCACAACGGTCGGCTGCCATCGCAGACCAGTGGAGAGAAGAGTCCGTTTGAGGACCCATAATGGATAGTTATATACGAATGCACGATTGTTCCAGGAATTTCACCGGCGGGATTGAAAACTCCGGCAAGAATGGATTGGGTAAGGAGTAGGTGGAGGTCGAGGGTGCGAGGGTTTGTGCAGAATCAGGCCGGCATTGACGGTGGATGGTGAGAGGGTGGGCGTGGACGGGCAGTCCGTCCACCAGGAGCGAAAAACAGAACCAAATTCTCATTTCCGAGGGGGCGGGGGCGAAGAGAGGAGGTGAAAACCGGGGGGGCAGGACGTGGGGGCCCTTGCGAGAATGATCCCACGAAAGTCTGCCAGCTGGTGGCTCACCCACCGCGCCAATGCCGGCAGCTAGGATTGGCGGTTATACCCCCTGGCTTCACCCAACATCCACCACCCCCGGATATCGCTCGAGCTCTCGCAATTCGCTATGCTTCCAGATCTCTCAAATTAATAAGCTTGCCCGCCACATACCCGCTACTTCCACCACCCACCCACCCTCTCAACTCTTTGAATCCCAGGATTGATTGGTATACCTGTCTCCCATCTGTAGAATCACCTCTGGTTGGAATGTTCACCCATTGGTTGTCCCCATCTGCTAAAAAAGTCGCTCCTGTTCCGAGCCCGATTTCCCTCTTCGACAACTCTGCATTCCCAACTTTATATAAAGGGCCAATTCGCTCTTTCAAATTTTTACCCTTTTCTAACTAATTCCTGTAAAATTGATTGTACACTATGTCAACTGATCAATTAGCCGTTAACACCATCAGATTGCTTGCCGTCGACACGGTCTCCAAGGCCAACTCGGGTCATCCCGGTGCCCCCTTAGGCTTGGCCCCCGCCGCTCATGTCGTGTTTCAAAACATGAAGTTCAACCCCAAGGACACCAAGTGGATCAACAGAGACAGATTCGTTTTGTCCAACGGTCACGCCTGTGCCTTGTTGTACACAATGTTGTTTTTGTACGGATATGACTATACCGTGGAAGACTTGAAGTCGTTCAGACAGTTGCACTCCAAAACTCCTGGACACCCTGAAAGTACAGACTGTCCAGGTGTGGAAGTTACCACCGGACCTTTGGGTCAAGGTATTTGTAATGCGGTGGGTTTGGCCCTCGCACAAAAACAATTTGCTGCCACCTACAACAAACCCAACTATACCCTTTCCGACAACTTCACCTATTGTTTCTTGGGAGATGGATGTTTGATGGAAGGTGTTTCATCCGAAGCCTCGTCTCTTGCAGGACACTTGCAATTGGGTAACTTGATTGCTTTCTGGGATGATAACCAAATCTCCATCGACGGATCCACCGAAGTGGCCTTCACCGAAGATGTCATTGCCAGATACAAGGCTTATGCCTGGCACATCTTGGAGGTGGAAGACGGTAACAGTGACTTGGCTGGAATCGCCAAAGCCATTGAAGAGGCCAAGAAGGTCACCGACAAGCCCACCTTGATCAGAATCAAGACCACCATCGGTTACGGTTCTTTGGCTCAAGGTACTCATGGGGTTCATGGAGCTCCATTGAAGCCTGACGATGTCAAGCAATTGAAGCTGAAATTTGGATTCGACCCCGAAGAGTTTTTCGCAGTGCCAAAGGAAGTCACCGAATCTTACCAAAAGCACGTTGAATCCAACCTTAAGGTACAAAAGGAATGGGAAGCCACCTTTGCTGCCTACAAGAAAGAGTACCCAGAATTGGGAGCCGAAGTGCAAAGAAGATTGGACGGAAAGTTGCCAGAAGGCTGGGAAAAGGCCTTACCTTCTTTCACTCCTGCTGACAAGTCTGTGGCTACCAGAAAGTTGTCTGAAGGGGTTATCAATGCTTTGTCTGACATTCTCCCCGAATTCATTGGAGGTTCTGCCGATTTGACCCCTTCCAACTTGACCAAGGCCACCGGCTCAGTTGACTTTCAACCACCTTCCACCGGTTTGGGTGACTACTCGGGTAAGTACATCAGATATGGTGTTAGAGAACACGGTATGGGTGCCATTATGAACGGTATTGCTGCCTTTGGTGCCAACTACAAGAACTACGGAGGTACTTTCTTGAACTTTGTTTCCTACGCTGCCGGTGCCGTCAGATTATCTGCTCTTTCTGGACACCCAATTACCTGGGTCGCTACCCATGACTCGATTGGTTTGGGAGAAGACGGTCCAACCCATCAACCTATTGAAACCTTGGCCCACTTCAGAGCCTTGCCAAACTGCTCTGTCTGGAGACCTGCTGATGGTAATGAAGTATCTGCTGCTTACAAGTCTGCTGTTTCTTCCACCTCCACTCCTCACATTTTGGCTTTGTCTAGACAAAACTTACCTCAATTGGAAGGTTCTTCTATCGAAAAGGCTTCCAAGGGTGGTTACGTGTTGAAGGAAGCTTCCAAGCCTGACGTGATTTTGGTTGCCTCTGGATCTGAAGTTGAAATTGCCGTCAACGCTGCTAAGTTGTTGGAAGCTGAAGGTAAGAAGGTTAGTGTTGTATCTATTCCTGACTTCCTTACTTTTGACAAACAATCTGATGAATACAGATTGAGTGTTTTGCCCGACGGAGCTCCAGTTGTATCGATTGAAGTGATGTCTCCATTCGGATGGTCCAAATACTCTCACGAGCAATTTGGATTGTCCAGATTTGGTGCTTCTGGTAAGGCTGAAGATGTGTATAAGTACTTGGAATTCACTCCAGAAGGAGTTGCCGAAAGAGCTTCCAAAACTATTACCTTCTACAAGGGTAAAGAAGTGTTGTCTCCATTGACCAGAGCTTTTTAAGTAGCTAGAGTTAGGTTTGTAGTAGAAAGTATACTGAGAGTTTAACCCGAGATTGAACTTCCTAATCCGTAGCTTTTGTGTGCAGCTGCGCATGATGGTTGCAAAATCACTACCAATATAATTCCAGAAAAGCTTGCATTCAAAACATAATTTTACTAGCTAGACTACTTGGAGGTGTCAACGACATATCTACCAATGATCTTACCCTGTTCCATCAATTCGTAAATCTTTGGCAACTCGGATAAACCAGCAATTTTAATTGGACACTTGATCAAACCTCTGGTGAAAAAGTCAATGGCTTCAGCAGTGTCAGCTCTGTTACCAACATAAGAACCCCGGATGGAAATGGACTTCACGACCGATTCAAACACTGGAGCAGTAACCTTGGCACCGGCTGGCAAACCAACCAAAACCACGGTACCCAAGCTTCTCACGTACTGACAAGATTGAGAAATGGCAGCTTCAGATACAGACACATTTATAACCCCGTGAGGACCTCCGTTGGTGACCTTAATGATTTCCTTTGCCACATCCTTGGATTTGGTGAAGTCCACGTAGTATTCTGCTCCCAAAGACTTGACAAATTCACCCTTTTCTTCACCACCGTCAATACCCAAAACTCTGTAGCCCATGGCCTTGGCGTATTGAATGGCCAAAGAACCCAAACCACCACCGGCACCGGAAATGGCAACCCATTGGCCGGCTGCTAAGTTGGCAGTCTTCAAGGCTTTGTACACGGTGATACCGGCACACAAAATTGGAGCCACTTGAGCCAAGTCGACTCCCTTGGGGATTCTGGCAGCTTGAACTGCATCAGCAGTGGCATATTGCTGGAAGGAACCATCATGGGTGTATCCTGACAAGTCGGCATCGGCACAATTGGACTCGTTGGAGGTGTTACAGAATTCACACGACAAGCACGAACCGTTCAACCACTTGATACCAGCATAATCACCAATCTCCCATCCCACAACATTTTCCCCCATACCGACAACCACACCGGCACCTTCATGACCTCCCACCAAAGGCAACTTGGTGGCCAATGGCCAGTCGCCCTTCCAGGCGTGCAAGTCGGTGTGACAAACACCCGAGTACTTGACGTTGATTAACAACTCATTGGCCTTGGGCTTTGGCACTTGGATGTCGGCGTACTTCAATGGTCCACCATTGGTTTCAAAGATAACTGCTTTTTGGGTCTTAGGAATTGACATTTTAATTACCTTAGACGCTATTCTTAATTTATTCACTGTTGATTTGTATTATGAACAACTTGGGATCGAAATCCAGGGGACTTTTAATGGCTTTTATAGTTTGTAGAAAGAAACTCAGTAGGAGGAGAATAGTGAAAAAAAAAGTAATCCTCGACGTCCACTGACTGAAGTGGGGTGTTCCCTGATTGGTTGCATGACGTCCGACATGAGACCTTACTTTTATGTCTCGGATATTGCAAACATTCGCAGCAGCTGATAACGTTTGAAAAGTGAGGATCAACTGGCGATTTTTAGCCCAATTGGGCAACCTCGCCTGAGGGATCACGTTGTTTTGCGCCCAATATCACCTGATGAAAATAGGTGCCAGTCTGGTCAATTGAATCGGTTACTAGTAGGTGATGATTAAGGGAACCCATAGCCAATGTCGCGTGTGCCACTGAAGGTGTGCAGGCACCCCCTCTGCCCCATACATCCAACCCATCAGGGAGTCTATATCCGATATGCCTAAGTTCGGATTTAGGAGTTGCTGCGACATTTCCATACGCCCACCAGAATGGAGGTCACCACTGGCTGCATCAAGCCGTTCAACCTAATTCGAGGCATCAATCCGTTCCCGGATATACTACGTCGGGTGAGTTAATTAAGCCCCTGCGTTACTTTATCCAGAGTGATACATTTTTTCCTGGGAAAAAATGGCTCACATGATGACAATTGCTCGAGCAATTACTGAAGAGGAGGGGAACATTTGAAAATCTAAATTTTGAAGTGCGTAAACCACGGGGCCTAGCTCAGCCTAGCTTGCTTCTTGCCAAGTTTATAGAACCATAAGAATTGTAGCCAGTTATAAGACGTAAGCACCCGCGGCACCTTCCGACCAACGGCCACCCTACCCTCGCAAGTTGCTGCAAACTTTTGGTACTCCCAAGCAGCTCCCAGGCCCAACCAGGATGAGCGTCTTAACTATACGAGGTGCAAAATGTCGGTGTATGCCTACGTCTCCTATATTCCGGGTCAAGTAAACACCGACCGGCGTTTACGAGGGTTGAATGTCGTGCTCGACATTCGGGCTTTAGTGTGATCCATACGCCCATGCCCAACGTGCGAAAGCGTTGGGTGTATGGGGTCGAAGTTGATCATGACAGTCAATGTCAATTGTGGAGAAGGTTATGAAGAACGATACAATGAATGTACATTTGGGGGTTTAGTAATGTTTTGTCGGTAATAGAGATGCAGTGTTTGATTTTCAGTCATGAACGCCTCTGCTCGGGGAGAGAATTTGGACTCTACCACCAGGAGACGTCGAAGAAGCTACCAGCTCGGAGATCGACCCCGAGGGACTGGTTATACGAGCACCTGAAGGGGAATATCGAGGTCCGGAGCTTGGGCGTCGGGGGTCCGGAGCTTGGCTCTAGACCATCGGAGCTTGGGTATCGATATCCGGAGCTTGGCCTCCCACCCTAATCGGGCTTAACTCCCTAGTAATAGTTTAACGGCTTGGGGTCCCACTTGTCATCTTGGATAAAGTCTATGAGGGTTTTAGATCCGGTCTGTAGGAGTGGGTGCCCACTCACAATGCTCAAAAACTTTTCAAGGCCTTGTCTTCGTTTCTCAATATTCAAATCGTTGAATTTGTTCGAATTGAGTAAGATCTTCCCTGGCAACAGAGGAATCACCACCCGAGATGTCTCCGTTTCGAGAATTTGCTTCAACCGTACGAAATCTGAGTACCGCCTACGGACTTTACTATGGCGTTTTTTGAATGCTGGAATGTTGGTCTAAATAGTTAGTACAGCAATTAGTTGGGTGTGGGTGATGTTAATACATACTCTGCACACCACCTCGTAGTCGGTGAAGACTTCGCGGCCGGTATTGTGGGTCTGGGCACTGCGTACCTGTGGATGTTAGTACTGGTTGTGTAATAGTGGGCTCTCAAGGGTGGGAATCCAGGGGTGGACACCCATGAGGGATACCCATCCGAGCGCAGAAACGTACCTCGATTTCCAAGAAATTCTCGGGCTCACCATAGATCTCGTTGAACGACTGGGGCTTGGTAGGGCTGGTAGTGTTCAAGATATCGCTGATGGGCTGGAACGGTTTTGGCATTGTAAGTTGATGATAGGAAATTTCCGCGCTTTTAATGGATGGCCTATCATCCTTAACTATCAGAGCTTCACATCCAGGTAACTCAATTAAAAACCTGGGGAACTCCCATTAGTGACATGAAAGTCAGGTAGTTTGTGTTTTCTGCATGTTGGTGAACTCCAGATCCATCACCAAGTGATAGATCAATTCTCTGGTACTCAACCGTTTCGGCTGTCAATATTCCTCAACTTGACTCTCGGACTCCCAGAGGTGTATTACCTATACACACCCAGTACTACACCTCCATTACCATGGCTGCTGGAACCCATGGGAGCCCCCGGGGACACTCACGTGCGGTGGCTCACGTGTCGGAAAATTTAGTGGAATATCCTCCCACTCGCAGCCCCTCCCTCCTGCACAATCCCCCCAGAATCTTTCCGGGGAAATTTGAGATGCCTAATTATATAAATCCCCAGATTCCCATGATCTGCCTTTACAATCATCACCATGTCCGGATACTCCATTGACAGGTATGTGGAAAGCGATACCCGCTTTTCCCGCGGAATGTGGGAATCCAAAGAGGGGGTTTTGATCAGATGGGCCGCTGAGGCCTTCAAAACCGTGGTGGAAAAAGACTCCATCTACACCTTGGCTGGTACCAGACCATTGGACAACCGTGGTGCCACCTTGAACACCGCGTCCATCTCGACAAAAATCACTTCACCGGCCGAAGGAGTCGTGGGATTTGAAGCGTACCACCATTTATCCAAGTACTTGAACAGCAAAGAACCTCGCTTCGAATTGGCTGCAAGCAAAAATACCACCGTGAGCGCGACCGACGTCGACGAGCACACCGCGACGTTGGCGGCAGCTGGCGACCTCACCGCTACCCTCGCGAAGCGCGAATTCGGAGTGGAGTTTAAGTCCAACGACAGATTCTTGACTAAACTCGGATTCCGGTCCGTGGGCTGGGTCGCTGACTCGCGGTACCCCAAGGCCGCGGCCACCACCAACACCGCCTCCACCTACATCACCACCCAGCTTCATCTCTCGGTGGGCGAAAAATTGTACGGCTTGGGTGAACGGTTCGGACCCTTCTTGAAGAACGGCCAAAGAGTCGAAATGTGGAACGAAGACGGTGGTACCTCTTCCGAATGGACCTACAAAAACATTCCGTTCTACCTCTCGTCCAAGGGTTACGGGGTGTTTGTCGACTCCCCCCTGAGTGTGGTATTCGAGTTACAGAGTGAAAGAACCACTCGGGTTAATATCACGGTGCCGGGCGAAGGAGCTCGCATCTATATTATCAACGGTCCAGACCCCAAGACGGTTTTAAAGCGGTACGCCGGGTTGACAGGCTTCCCAGCATTACCCCCCGCGTGGACGTTTGGGTTGTGGTTGACTACCTCGTTCACCACCTCCTACGACATTAACACTGTCTCTGGGTTCTTACAGGGCATGAAAGACCGGAATATTCCCTTGAGAACCTTCCACTTTGACTCGTTTTGGATGAAGGGCTTCCAGTGGTGTGACTTTGAGTTTGATGCCGACTACTTCCCCGACGCCAAGGCCATGTTGGCCAAGTTGAAGAAAGATTTTGGTATCAAGGTGTGTGTGTGGATCAACTCGTACATCGCGCAGGAATCGGCTTTATTCAAGGATGCTGATGCCAAGGGCTACTTGATCAAAAACACCGATGGGTCCAGCTACCAAACCGATTTGTGGCAGGCGGGTATGGGAATTGTAGACTTTACCAATCCTGATGCCTGGAAATGGTACCAGGATAAGTTGGCGGCGTTGGTCGATATTGGAGTCGATTCGTTCAAGACCGATTTTGGTGAGAGAATCCCCGTCAAGGACATCAAGTACTACGACGGCAGCGACCCGGTGGCCATGCACAACTACTACACGTTTCAGTACAATAAGTGCGTGTTTGAGATGTTGGAAAAGAAGTTGGGCAAGAATGAAGCGTGCCTCTTTGCTCGTTCTGCCACCGCCGGTTCCCAACAATTCCCAGTACACTGGGGAGGTGACTGTGAGTCGTCATTTGAAGCCATGGCCGAGTCCTTGAGAGGAGGTTTGTCGTTGACTTTGTCGGGCTTTGGCTTCTGGTCTCACGACATTGGTGGTTTTGAAGGTTCTCCCGACCCAGCCGTCTACAAGAGATGGTGCGCCTTTGGCTTAATGTCCTCCCATTCTCGGTTACATGGCTCCAACTCGTACCGAGTGCCATGGAACTTTGACGACGAGGCTTCGGTGGTGTTGAAGAAGTTCACCGACTTGAAAATCTCGTTGATGCCGTACATTTTTGCTAAGGCCATCGAGGCTCACAAGGAAGCCACTCCCGTCATGAGAGCCATGTTATTGGAATTCCCCCAGGATGACGTTTCCCTTACTTGCGACACCCAGTTCATGTTGGGAGACGCTTTGTTGGTGGCTCCGGTGTTCAATGCCGAAGGAGATGTTAGTTACTACGTGCCTAAGGGTAAATGGTACGGTTACTTGGACGGGGAAATCAGAGATTCTGTGGACGGAAAGTACTTCAAAGAGACTCATGACTTCAAGTCCATGCCCGTGTTGGTGAGGCCTGACTCAGCTTTTGTCACTGCTGGCCCTGAAACCAAGATTGAAGTTCCTGACTTCGCTTATCACGAGGACTTTATGGTGAACGTCTACCAGTTGGAAACCAACCAGACGATTCCAATCCCCGACGTCAAGAAGGCAGGAGAAATTATTGCTACCGTTTCAATCAAGAAGACTGCTTCTGGGTTTGATATCTCGACTTCGGGTAAGGCTTCTAAGACTTACTACGTGAAGGTGTTGGGAGCTGATGTGAAGAATGCTGGTACTAAGGATACTTTGGGCAACACAATTGTCAAGGTTTCTGGTAAGGCTTCGATTGAGTATGTGTAGATGGATATACAGTATTATTGGAGTGAACGTAAAGTATTGCAATGGAGGAAATAGACGGTCACCAGAGCTAAGGAGCTGTTTCCTACACTCTCGTATTGTTTCTCTTCTATTGCGTATATTGTTTCTCTTATATTGTGTATATGCTATGCGGTTATATGGCGGCGATTCTATTCACATGGTGAACCTTGTCGGAGATTCTTCTACTTGCGTGTGGCCAGTAGAAGAAAACACCCAAGAATGAGGCCCAGAGGCCAATAATTGGAACTCTTCTAGCAGCAAATTGCAAAACGTTGGTACGTGGTAAAGCAGCGTTCATTGTATTTTGAATATTTATGGTGGTTGTGTCAAATAAATCTTGATGATAATTCAACTTCGATTTTCAGCCCTATTTATATGGGACTTTTTTTGGGTGCAAAAATCTCCTGATTCGCAGCGAAAAGTAAAAGTAACACCACCCAAAAAAAAGTTGCGTGATTCTGAGGTAACAATTTAGGAATCGTATACCCAAAGCAGTCTACCGTCATTGACTACCCAAGTTAACGAATGATCTCATGCGCGGTCGACTAGGGCTCCAGAGAAGGATTTTACGTGTTTCTAAACTGGTTCCAAAAGAATTAAATTTCTCATATGCACTTCTACAGAAGCTTCTTATAAATAGCATGGTCATCCAAGTATTGTTGTTGAACAGCAAAGGTGTTGTTGTTAGGGTTCGAATCCCTCAACACCGCCACTCTCATGTTAGCCAACAAGTTATGAGCAGCGTTGGAATGAGCATACACAGCACCGTTGAAAGCCTCACTGGCATCCTTACCTAAAGAGGCTCTGACAACTGCTTGACCACCGGGATGTTCTTTGATGAACGTCTTGACGTTGTGAATTATACCTGAAATCAAAATCAAACCTTCCTTCTTAGCTCTGGTATTGAACTCTTCTCTGTCCCATACTGGCAATTCGCTCACCTGTTGACCCCATTGCAAGTTTGTTCTCATTTTGTCCAACATCTTCTGTTGTTGTTGGAATCTGCCCTGGTCAATGGCGTTTTGACTGAAGGTTCTTAAGTTGTGGGCCAAGCCCAATTTGGACAACACATAAATGGTTACCTTGGTAGGATCGTATTGGTACCATTTCAAGGCATTTCTGTAATCACTGGGGAATTCGTGATGGAAGTTATGGTATCCTTCACCAAACGTCACCAATGCCGTCAATGCATGATCTCTGGGGGTTCTTCTGTCATCAAATGGTTGTTTACCAATCCAGTGAGCCAACGAATTGACACAGAAGGTTGCTTGTTGAATAACAAACGTCTTGAGAATTCCTCCGTAGATAAAACCTCCCCAGTAGTCTCCCCAAAATAACCCGGCCGTCACGGTTGGAACGATGAATGCCATCAAAAGTAAGAGAGCCATGTAGTGTGTGTGTTGGAACTTGACAACAGGGTCGGCAATCAAGTCCGAAATGTCGGCTCTGGCTCTGTGCTTAGGGTTGGGAATCGTCAACATCCACGTCAAATGACTATACATGAACCCTTTTCTGGCATCATATGGATCCTTGTTGGTGTCTGTGTATCTGTGGTGGACTCTGTGGCCATGTGCCCACCATTTGACAGATCCTTGAATAGCACCCGCTCCAAATAATGCAAAAAACCACTTGACGGGAGTAGACATTTCGTACGCCTTGTGAGCCCAACCTCTATGGTAACCAGCGGTGATGGAAAGACCACTAAAGGCATAGAGCACAAATGCCAACACTAAGGTCTTGAGACATGGAGGGTATTGGAATGCTTGAAATAATCCATAACTTGGGATAGCAATTACCAATACAAAATTCAACCAGTTCACATGCTTGTACCAGTTGTTAAGAGTCCAAGGTTGCTCACTAATGTGTAACTTGGTAGCATCCTCGGTTTTCTTGACCTCATTGGCGACCTTTGCATCCTTGACATCCTGGATAATTTTATTCTTCTGTTCTTGTGACAAGGAGTTGTTGTGTTTTAAATCTTCGGTCAATTGTTCCGCTGTCACCGTAACGAGCGACTTTGTACCCATTAATTTCCCACCGATTCCGGCAGCTACGATTCTTGGGTTCTTCTTATTGCTCCCGGCGGCAATAGCATTCAAGGCCGTTAAATCGGCGATTTCAAGCTTCTCTGAACCACTCATATTTAATTTGAATAAGAATCGGTTGCCAGATCCATTAAAGGATAGAAGGTGCTTTATATAGTTGCGAAAATTTTTAGGTGCGAATAAAAATGTTGGGTGGCCGGAATTAATAGTGACGGGGGTGTGCCGAGGGAATACCGGAGAAAACGATAGCCCCAGATAGCAGTGCCAGCGCGCGATACTTGGTGCGATTTTGAGCTAGTGGATCTAATCGATCCTTATCTGAGATGCATACTTCCGGGGGTAGACCCGACCTAAGGCGCCACCGTCTTGGGTCCCAACGTTGGCTTCCAAGCAAAGTGAGCTCATTTCAATCGGTGCACCAAAGTACCACCGGCAAGTTGGCCCACTCGGTCAAATATAACACCACCAATCAGAATTTCTTCTGGTGTGTAAGAAGACGCCTTAATGGTGAGTTCCGCCGTGCCACCCCAAAAATGTATTTATGTTGCTGTTTTCTTTGTGTCTGTGTCTTTGTCTGCATCCATGTCGCAGGCTGTGGAAGGTCACGGCACCTGATCGCGCGATGTCGTGCGACATCTCCGGTAGCAACCTACCTCAACATCCTTATCTGACCCAAACGCCTACTGGTTTCAGACCCCCCCCTCTGCTATGCAAACAACCCCCATCCATATCACAGCTCCCACCTCTTGATTCCATTTTTTCACCTCCCACCCCGTGCCTTTGTCTATCCTAGCCCATTATCGCCCAAAAGGGGCACCCTCACTTCTCCAATTTCTCACTCGAAAAAAAAATCTGGAGACTCCAATTTTCACCTACTTCACCATGAGTAACTTCCAACGATCCATTCCCACGTCGCCCAAGACCACGTCGCTGGCTATCTCACCCAACTTGTCACATGAACGTAACCCATCCATCTCCAGTCAGCATCATACCCACAAACACAGCATTGGCTCTCACCTCCCCCCCTCGCTGTCGCAGGCCTCGTCACGTAAACCTTCCATTGTGGAAATGCTAAGCTCTCCTCCGCCGTTGCCTGCCAACCCGTTCCCCAACAACGACGACATCAACTCGTTCAACTTGTCACGCAACAACAGCTTGAGCTCGCGGTCCAGTATGGACATGCACGAGGTTCAATTGACAGAATTGATTGAGAGTAACCGTTTAATCACCATCAACTCGTCGTACCTGATCCAAAAGGCGTTTGAAACTCTCATGGAGCACTCTTTGACCAGTGTCCCGGTCATTACCTCGCCTGACCCCCGTGACCTCACCAACTGCTTGACATTTGATTACTCAGACCTAAACACATACATCCTCATGATTATGAATAAGATCCGGTACCAGGACTTGACGGTGGGTGGTGCCGGCAGCGACACCGACATCACGGCTGAGGTGTTTGACCTGTACGTCGAGAAGGGCAAGAAGGGCGAGGAGGTGCCGGTGACGTTCATCATTGCGTTGCATCCCAAGAACCCATTTGTCAAGATCAACGAGAACGACAGCTTGGTGTCGGTGATGGAAATCTTGGGCAACGGCGTCCACCGAGTGGCGCTCGTCAACAACATCGGGCATATTGTGGGGATCTTGTCACAGAGACGGTTAATTCGGTTCATCTGGGACAATGCCAGACGCTTTAGTAACTTGGAGTACTATTTTAACCAGTCGATTGAGGATTTGAAGATCGGTTCGTCCAACCCTCTCACCATATATGGTGACAGCTTGTTGATTGAAGCCCTCCACAAGATGTTTGTGGAACGCATCAGTTCGTTGGCGGTGATTGACCGCAAGGGCAATTTGGTTGCAAATATTTCCATAGTCGACGTCAAGAACCTCACGTCCTCTAAGAACAGTCACTTGCTCTACAAGTCGGTGATGAACTTCATCGGCTTCAATTTGAGCCAGAAGGGGATCGAGGAGGGAAAGGACCAGTTCCCGATTTTCCATGTAAATAGACACACCGGCCTTGGAAGGATCATTGCCAAGTTGGTGGCCACCGAGAGCCACCGGTTGTGGATCGTGGATCCACCCAACCAGTCAACAATCGAGGATACGTTATCGTTTGACGGTGGATTACCTGGGAAGTTGACGGGGGTGATCACCTTGACGGACATTCTTGGATTTTTGGCATCAATCAAGTCAAATGGCAAGAAAATCGATCCTAGCTATGCCAGAAACCAGAGAAGAAGGTCTTCGACGTCGACTACGCGGTCGTCATTTGATAATTCGTCGAGCCTGGAGATTTTCCGCAAGTAAGAGGGATTGGCATCCTGTTCAAGCAGAGAATATTGAGCGGTTGTCAATTGGACCATTGGAGATAGCTGGAGGTTAAAATCATTTGAGTATCGGACAAACAATTGGAGCTCTATATCGAAAGACTCTTTCTGATGAGCGTTTTGGTCTTGACTTTCACTATCAATTTAAATTTTAGATGAAAACCCCATTTGCAGCTTTTATCAGTCGCTGGGTAGCACCTGGACAGTATCACGTGCCATAGACACCTCCTACCAGTCAATTATTCAGTATAAGCTGGCTCCAATCTACTTATAGTTGTCTTTTCCAGTACTTGGTTATCATATCCTCAACCTCTCGATTTGACCTCAGAAATCCACACCATCACTCCTACATTGTTCTCCCAACCCTACAACAAGTATCTTCAACTATCCTCCTTTTTATTTTATCGTCATATAACCTAGTATCCTATTTATTTATACAATATACTTTTTCCATTAGATACGAGATAAGAGACTTGACACAAAATCATTGCTTCTCTACCTGGCACTAATGAGACGCGCAACTTCTCCCCAGTAGCTCTCCCAATGGCCCCGCGCACCGTAGGCCACTCGAGTGAAATTTTTCTCCCTGTTGTCTCTCATCTCAGCAAAAAAAATTTTCATTGATTGAAAAATTTTTCTATAAATTAAACGCATTTCGCCCCCTTTGAAAAAATTTTTCTTCATACCTGTTCTTTTCGTATTAAGAATATATAGATATTATACATCATGGGTAAGGGAAAAACTCACGTTAACGTCGTTGTTATTGGTCACGTCGATTCCGGTAAGTCTACCACCACCGGACACTTGATTTACAAGTGTGGTGGTATCGACAAGAGAACCATTGAAAAGTTCGAAAAGGAAGCCGCCGAATTAGGTAAGGGTTCTTTCAAGTACGCTTGGGTTTTGGACAAGTTGAAGGCTGAAAGAGAAAGAGGTATCACCATCGATATCGCTTTGTGGAAGTTTGAAACTCCAAAGTACCACGTTACTGTCATTGACGCTCCAGGTCACAGAGATTTCATCAAGAACATGATCACTGGTACTTCCCAAGCTGATTGTGCTATTTTGATTATCGCTGGTGGTGTCGGTGAATTCGAAGCCGGTATCTCTAAGGATGGTCAAACCAGAGAACACGCTTTGTTGGCTTACACCTTGGGTGTCCAACAATTGATTGTTGCTATCAACAAGATGGACTCTGTTAAGTGGGACAAGAACAGATTCGAAGAAATCGTCAAGGAAACCACCAACTTCGTCAAGAAGGTTGGTTACAACCCTAAGTCTGTTCCTTTCGTTCCAATTTCTGGATGGAACGGTGACAACATGATCGAACCATCTCCAAACTGTCCATGGTACAAGGGTTGGGAAAAGGAAACCAAGGCTGGTAAGTCCTCTGGTAAGACTTTGTTGGAAGCTATTGATGCTATCGACCCACCTTCCAGACCAACTGACAAGGCTTTGAGATTGCCATTGCAAGATGTCTACAAGATTGGTGGTATTGGAACTGTGCCAGTCGGTAGAGTTGAAACCGGTATTATCAAGGCCGGTATGATTGTTACCTTTGCCCCAGCTGGTGTTACCACCGAAGTCAAGTCCGTGGAAATGCACCACGAATTGTTGGACGAAGGTGTTCCAGGTGACAATGTTGGATTCAACGTCAAGAACGTTTCCGTCAAGGAAATCAGAAGAGGTAACGTGTGTGGTGACTCCAAGAACGACCCACCAAAGGGTTGTGACTCTTTCGATGCTCAAGTCATTGTCTTGAACCACCCTGGTCAAATCTCCTCTGGTTACTCTCCAGTTTTGGATTGTCACACTGCTCACATTGCTTGTAAGTTTGACACCTTGTTGAAGAAGATTGACAGAAGAACTGGTAAGGTTTTGGAAGAAAACCCTAAGTTCATCAAGTCTGGTGATGCCGCTATGGTTAAGATGGTTCCATCTAAGCCAATGTGTGTTGAAGCTTTCACCGAATACCCACCATTGGGAAGATTCGCTGTCAGAGACATGAGACAAACCGTTGCCGTTGGTGTCATCAAGGCCGTCGAAAAGTCCGACAAGGCTGGTAAGGTCACCAAGGCTGCTCAAAAGGCTGCTAAGAAGTAAACTAATTAAACTGGTTTTGGGGATTTCCCATCTTAAAGATTGGTGCTATCTCTTTTTTTTAGTGTTAGTTTATTAATATATGTTTAATTTAAGAGTGAAGTTGAGACATCGTTTACGCAGGTACGGCTATAGAAAAAATGTGCGAGGTTAAATACCTGAAATTTTCAATCATTTCCATCAAACTCAAATGCAAGCTATCGATAGAGGCGCCAAATTGGTGTTTGATGATGCTCCCACTAGAGACTATAATCATGCTACCGACTCCAACTACAAGAGCTTAAGGGCGCAGGCCGAGCAGTTGTACCAAAAGCGGAACAAGTTGGCTCAGCAATCACAAGCCGCCTACAAGGCTGGAAACAAGCAAAAAGCTCATCAACTCAGTGAACAGAGCAAGCAGGTATTGGATGAAGCCGAGCACTATAATCGTCAGGCTGCTGAATATGTTTTCCGAGAGAATAACACCGATTCAGCTCAGGATGAGATTGATTTACATGGATTGTACGTGAAAGAAGCCGAATACTTTTTACAACTAAGAATTGTTCAGGAAGTCAGAACCAACCAGAGTCATTTGAACGTCATTGTCGGGAAGGGGTTACATTCCAAGAACGGTATTGCCAAGTTGAAGCCCGCCATCGACGACATGTGTGATGAAAGTAGATTAACTCACAGAATTGATCCTCATAATTCGGGTGTTTTGCAAATTGACTTGAGCAAGACCTCCATCAACCAGTTGCCACAAAGATGGGTGGCCTTGACACCCAGCACGGGGGTGTACCAGCCTTCAGGGTACCAGCTGTATGCTCCACAATACCAGAACCAAAACTCACACTCTCAAGGATACAGTCAGCAGCAACAGCAACACAATGGCAACCAGAAAACCAACCCGCTTGTGGACTTGTTTGTCAATATTTTGTGTATTTGTATTAACCGTCTGAAATAGGTAATAAATATGTACTATATTGAACAAAAGATATTATCTATGTACTAGTATGTACAATATTGAATATAAAACATGACTAATGAAAATGACCAGTAAATACGTAACTATATAAGGAGACGAATGTCTCCATCAATAACCTTATTATCTACCCACTCTATTCTACCAGGTCTAACATCCACATCCAGCAGAGTCTCCCTCCAAATGAATGTTGATGGCATCATTATAGTCGTCGCTAACATCGTTTCCATTGGCATCGTTCAACTCTTCCTGCTGTAACGCCATCTTGGCCACCACTTCAAATGCTGCCTCTACGTTAATGGCATCTTTAGCAGATGTTTCAAATACGGGGTAGTTCAAACCTCCCAACTGGTTATTGGTGATATTGGCCAACTTCTTCTGTAATGAGGGAATTTTCTTGTTTTCGTCCACATCGATCTTGTTACCTATTATTATGAAGGGAAAGTCCTGGGGATTGCTAACATTGGACTGGACTAAAAACTCATCTTTCCAGCTAGCCAAGTTGTTCAACGACTTTTCGTTAGTCACATCGTAACACAAAACACAACAGTCAGCTCCTCTATAGAATGCTACTCCCAAGCTTTGGAATCTTTCTTGTCCAGCAGTATCCCAAATTTGTAAAGTCACTTGCTTGTTGTTATCGAGCGTGATATCTTTGGTCAAAAAGTCGGCTCCGATGGTGGCTTTGTATTGATGGCTAAACTTGTTGTTGACAAACTGCTGCATCAAAGACGTTTTTCCGACACCGGAGTCTCCTAAAATTATAACCTTCAATAACGTTTTCTTTCTGCCTGACATCGTCTCTTGGTATTTATCCTTGATGGATTGAGATTTTGCTGGCGCGAAAACACTTGGGGAGCGGCGTGTGCCGGTTCATAATCCCCAAAAACACAAACTGGACAACAGAGCAGCTGGTACCTCTACTCAGGTTGAACTTCCGAGCACAGGGATAGATATGGGTTTCATGTGTCGAAATCCTGTTGTTTTTGTGTTTTTTGTCCACAAAAACGCCATTTACACCGAACACTCAACCTCCACTTGGGGCTGCGGAATATTTTTGCACCCAATCCACAATGCTCTTTTTACCATTCATGTGTACACTAGGAGTAATTAGCGGTATTGTGCTTCCTCGTGTGGAGACTTACAGTGACTCTAGTTCTGTAAGTTATCCACTTGACTACGGCTTGAATATTATCAAGGGGAACGAAGATATCAACATCAGTATCATCAAGAGAGACTATTCTCAGGATGAGGCAGATTTATTCAAGAAGCTCTTTTTTAAGAACCAGATCCACGCCTTTACGTTCAGCGGAGAGGGAGATATCCAGGACGAAGCCTGCTACGATGACCGATTGCCGGTAAACATCATCATCCATAAAGGAGACAAAACCACAGAGGCAGAGAAGGACTTTGTGGATAAGTTAAGAAAAGTCAAAAATGTCATGGAAATGCCTTCCACCGACTATGGGATTGTTGACGAAGACCTGCTCTTCAAGTTTGACACTGATACCACCACTGAAGAAGAAGCCATCCAGATCCAAACCTTACAGAAGAAAATGATCAAGAACTCCGTGTATGCTTTTTTGGATAGACTCAACAACTTGGTTTATGTGGTTAATGGAACCACCTTAAACCAGGTTTAGGGTCGAAACAGCCCCGACCCTTGCCCTTCTTATGTAGTAGATATAATTGTACCTCAATATACGGCGCCGCTTTATTCGCAGTCGAAACTGGATTTCGCACTCGCCGGTTGTTGAAAACTTCTCAACTTCAAGTTCCTCACCACCATGTCATCCAAACCTCTGAAACCTGTTAGACAGGACTTCATCGCCAAAGCCAGGTACATCAACAATCTACCACCTCCTCCAATTACTCCCAAGTTCATCAAACCACAAACAACGGAAAAGTTATCGAGAGAAGAAGAGGCTGATCAAATCTTAAGCTCGTTATTTAGAAAAGACAACTTCAAAAATTTGATAGAAAACATCGATGACGAGAACGGAATGAACTTGAACTTGATTCATAACCACGGTGTCTTGGACAACAATGATATCAAGAGTATTGTGAAAGAACGCAACTCTGAATCGGTGGAATTACATCCTAATGACAGAATCTTGTTGAGAGATGCTGGTATTGGTAAGATTAGTAGAAAGGAACCAGAGGTTTCGTTCTTAAGAAGAACCGAATACATTTCCGAAAGGGCCATAACGAAGAATGCTATTGAAAGTGGTTCCAACGGTAAGCAAGAAGAAGAGAAGTTTGATAGTGAAACTCAGTTAAAAGCAGTGGAAAGAACATTCGATGTTGCACAAGAATCGTTAAAAGACTTCAAGAAGTTGGTTCATCCTACCAAAAAACACTTGAAGGCTGTTAACGCATGGCCATTATTGCCTGACACTTCGATGATGGACTCCAAGTTCTTGACGATTAAACTCAGTGGGTCTGCATCTGTTAAAAGAGAATGGGATACCCTCAAGACACAGCAGAAGGATAAATACGACGAAAACCTCCAAAGGAAGATTATTTCAACAGCTGTATTCAAGCCTATTACTAGTAATGACGGTGAATGGATGTCTTTGTACGAAGATACGTCTAAAGAAGAAGTTGAAAGGTTATACGAAGCATTGAACTCTGAAGACCCAAATAAACCAAGTAATTTGGTGACCGAAGACCAGAACGACAAGTTTGGATTCAAATTCATAAGAAACTATGACATGAGTTTTCAGAAGTATTCCAAGCCTCTTGACGAGCTCTCCATCAAGTTTGTAACTCCAGAGAACTCCAAGAAGAGAAGGTTGGCACATTATTACCCTGTGACAGGGAAAATAGACTTGAGGAAGTACAGAACTTCTGGTAACAGTCAGATCAACAAGTTTGTCAGAGAGAGCACATTCGATACCATCAACTATACATTGAGAGAACCTAACACTGATGAAATGAGGAAAATGGACAATATCAGAAGTGAGTTTGATCCTATGGAGTACGAAGGAGAAGAAGAGCCTGAAACCAAGGAAGAAGATTCCGATAAGCAGAATGGCGATGCTGAACAAGATAATGAATAAATATGTAATAAATAGCGTCATATCCCCAGTGTATATTATACAATAATACAGTTAGTTGATTTCTTGGGTTTCTTAGAGTCCTTAGTGCCCTCTTTGGATTTTGAAATAGGCTCTTTGACGGGAGGATTCTTCTTCGGCAAACGGGTCTGTTTGGCTTTCCGTGCCCTTTCCTGTTCTCTTTCATGGAGTTCCTGGGCATATAAGAGATCTTCCTGTTGTTGTACTTCTCTTGCGAACGCCAGGCCTTCATCATCTTCAGACTCCTCTAAGACAGGAACAAAATCTCCTGTAAAAAACAAGTCGTCGGTCCCACTCGATGAGATAAGTGACTGCCAGATGATCCGTGTGTTGCTACCGAAGCTGTAATCTGTAAGCAAAGCATAAAAGTCGTTATCGCTCTTCTTGAAAAGTGTACTAAAGTGATTGTTTCTGAAAAACACCACAAACTCGTCATCTTCAAGGGTCTGGTTCAACAACAACATCCCCTCCCGAGTCAATTGGGTGGAATTTTCTTCTAACCACCCCGTGAAGACCTCATCCTTGTTCTCTAACAAGTACATCTGAATCGAATCAAAGTACTTCAACTGACTCACTTTCTCAGCCACTTTCGAGTCCAAATCCACCACCCAACCGTGCCTGAGCTTCAAGCCAAAGATGCTGAACAAGTCAACGGCAGAGTCCTTCTCAAATGAACCGTCTATCAAGTTAGGGTTCACAGTGAGCCCCATGTGCAATAGTGGTAGCGATTCTAAAAGCTTATCTACATCGTAGTCTGGGGAAAGCTCATGGAAAGTGATAAGTAAGTCACCCAAACGTGAAAGAAGGTCAGGAAGCTCTACCCGTGGTTTGTGGGCCAAGTACAGTTTTAAGGTAAGCACAGCAGTCGTCTGGTGGGATTCGACAGTATCATTTAACTGGTCATTTCGGTGTTGGACCTCAGCCTTTAAGAGGAGCGTATTGATCAATGCAATTAGCGGGCACGGACCATTATCATCCTGCAAGAGTATAGGCGTTGATATCTCATAGTCAGACCATACGATGGTCCTGATGAAGAATTGAAGCTGTTCAGCAGCCGGATGGGACATATGTTGTAAGTTAGTTTTTGTATGGATCGGTGTTTCCCCAGAAATCCGAACTTCTCACAAATCGAGAAATTTACTTTTAGAACTACTGTTAATTGATAACTAATGATAATTGAAAGTAATTAACTCGTCTATAAACTAGATACGCATGTGTACACAATTGCGGCCAATACCACCACCACGGCCCCCACTGTCAAATTGCATTTGAAGGCCTCCAAATCGATGACTTCTTGGGTAGCAGCATCTATTTGCAGTCGAGAGACCGCTAATTCGCGGTAGGAGTTGGTCACTGTCACTCCTGGGGGGATGAGCTTGGGGTCTGGGTATAACATGTCGCAAATCTGCTCCAATTTGCCGATTTTAAGACCAATTTCAAAGTAATGGGGATCTTCCACATTGGACCTGTGGTGTATTTTTCTCAAGTAGTGTCTGAAGATGTTTACTACGCCAGGATATGTTCTGCTGTTTAAAATTAACTTGCAGGTTGTCCCTCTTCTGATCTTTACGTTTTCGTACAACACGTTAGGATTGTTGTAAACGAGTTCCAACGTAGCAACGGCCATGACTTGTGGAATGGCACAAAAGTTGAATGAAGATGGGTCTTTGACGTGCGACAAGTATACCAATACGTCCTCGACGTGGCCCAATGCGTTCAATACCAACTCATTTATACACTGTACACCTTTTTTCTGATATTCTGGTGAATCTGTTCTTGTAAAGTCTGGCAACCTGTCGGTGTACTTGGACCAGACCTCCTTGGGCCAGAATGACCTTCCGTCGTCCAAATCCTCGCGGAAGTCACGCGTGATGTTGGTCTTTTGCAAGAATAATCCCATCGAAATGGCCTTGGAGTAGTTGTTTTCAGACAACACTTCGTCCCCGAACTGAGCCTCGACAAACAATTTGGTCAACCCTTCGCCCACAATTCCAGCAACGTAATAACAATACAAGTCATAGTCTTCGAGAGTAGCCACTCCCGAAACATTAAACTGTTCATCCAAAATGTACTTGGCCATTCCATCTCCCATTCTCTTACAAATGTCTGTGATGATATCTTGGTAGGCAGGCTTCAACTTGTGGAACTCGGTCAAAATCTCTGTGAACTCCAATAATGTCACTCTGTCCACCTCTTTTTCGTTGACTTTATCGAACGAGTATTCCTTCAACTTGAGCAAATCTGTAAACGACTTCAACCACGGGACCTTGATCTTGGGGTCCAACGTCATATCATCCTCCACCGTATCAAGAGCTCTGAGCAAAAGGTAGAACACCATGACCACATCCTTCAATTCGGTATGCAATTCTTCAATCACCGCTTTGAACGATCTGGAGGTGATATACAAGAGTTCGTAGCATCTTTTGGTGGAAGCGGACTCTTTGAGGAGGTTTCTGGGGAAAAGAGGTTTTCTGTACTTGGACAATTGAATGGCCGCCTTCAATTCATCGGGATGAAGCAATAGTTCTGTAAGTTTTCCCATGTCTGTTCGGAGCCGTCAAGTTGAAAGTTTTTCTCCTTTACCGCACCCTGTCGTTTAATCCAATTTTTGGTGCGGAGACGACACTTGCTACCATAGGTATACCAATATTATATATTTGTATTATACTGACACAGTTACATTCCCAACTTTTACATATTCCGTTCTCTCAGTTCTATCCTCATGGAATCACTTAACACTCTCTATCTTCTCAAACCATTTTCGGGCTGACTTGATGTTCTTCAACACAATTAGCTCCTCTTTATTATTCACGTACTCTCCAGACTTGCTGGGGCTGTCCTTCAAGATGATCATTATGAACATATTGTCTGTTAAGCCGTCAATGAAAAATTGGGTGTCGTTGCTTCCCTTGATAATCAAGTTGTTGAAGTTTGTTCTTAACTTCGAAATTGACTGCTTATACGTCTTGATAATGTTCGAGATCTTCTCGAATCTCTTGGGATCGAGGTTATCGAGACTGTTGGTGGTGGTGCCGTTGAGTTGTTGTCTGATGGAATTGGTGGACGAAATCACCAAAAAGGTTGTTTTTTCAAATAGGATGATTTCTTCAGCGTCCAAGATTCGATTGAATTTCAACAAGTTATCGTTGAAAAGATTCATGTTTGGAATCAACGAACAAACAATCTGGGACCACGCTTTATATAGACTTTCGTTCCAAATCGACGTGGGAAACCCTACAAGCTTAAACTGGTACGGGTTGGAGATTTTCTGCAATTTGTCCATCATGATGTTGAACAACTCGTCCCTCTTATCTATCTGCACCAAGTCCATCTTATGGAGCAATACAAACACCTTGGCATCAGGACTATATTTTTGTAAATTTGTCAAAGACTTGATGAATATTTCGATGTCTTTATTTATAGATTTAGATTCAACGTCAAACACATGGATAAGTACCTGGACAAACTTGAAAATGTGGTCCTTCTGTGTGGTGAAGTAGTTGTCCATGAACACATCTTGCCCTCCACAGTCCCATAGGTTTAAGGTCATGTTGCCCAAAAACCGCAAGTGCGAGTGCTCAACGTCTATAGTAGCACCCAATCTCCGGGTGTCAAACGCCGAGTAGTTGGAGAAGATAATGGATCTCATGGATGACTTACCACTTCCAGACCGGCCCATCAACAACAATTTCTTTCTGGAAGATGACATGTTATGTTATTACTAAGTGACAAGTTATTTATCCTTATCTTTCGAGGCAGACGCACTTGAGCAGTTGCGATGAAGGTCGTGCGTGGGCATAATAGTAGCCGGTTGTAGTACTGACGATGCTAGCCGAAAGGGGTGTGGAACGAGAGGCATTTTGTTAGCGATGATAGATATAGAGTATAGCATCGTATGAGAGATGGAGCTGATTTTTTGGTGATTTTTAGGGGTCATTTTGTAAAGGACTTGTGGGTATCGTGAATTTCACTTTTTTTGACGGTTGACGAGCATGCAAGACGGTTGCAAATGAAATAATATAAAAGGACGAAAGTAGATGTATCTATCATGAGAGACCTTCTTGAACAAGAGGGGTTTAGATAGAGATTGCAACTGCCATCAGATTATAGAAACTCTTGTTATTTCCTTACAAATGCTACTAGACTACCTCTCTATATAATACCTAGTATATGATACCTTCTTCATCTTCATCTTTCTCCTCCTCCTCGTCATAATCAGAAACATACTCCACCATAGAGTCAAGGTCATCGTCAAAGGTCAAATTAGAAGCCTCCCAGCTCCTGAACTCCTTCACATCCGCCAAGTCTCCTCCAGTAATCACTCTGATCAAGTTCTTCCTAGTGCTCTCGGTTAACTTGGAGAACTCCATGTGATCTCTGCGGACCTCTTCTATCCCAGGCAGATGTCCCACACTTTGACCTACTCGAACAAGCGTTTCCATCTGCTGTCTACTATTCTCAACCAAGTCCGAGTCGAACTTAAACTTGTTTCTCTCAAAAAGAAGAATCACTGTTGACCCTCCGAACTTGAAATAGCCCATTTCTTCACCCTTTTTAACTTCTTCACCTTCCTGGCGGGTCAAAATTGTCGACCCCACCATCATGGCGCCCACTGGTATCATCACCACCGTTCCAAAGGTTTCTGTCTCAATGGCAATAAGGGCACGGACATTCTCTCCAAAAACGTCTAGTTCGGACCGGATGGCCATGGGATTGACCGTATAGTACTCTCCTTCAATGAACTTAATCTTCTTGATCACACCCGACACGGGACAATGGAACCGATGGTAGTCTTGAGGTGCAAGCCTGAATACAGCAACTGCGCAGTTTTCGGCCCTGTAGATATCTTTATTCTCCAACCCGTAGAAGTTCCCGTTGAAGAGCTTGGCGATGGTGAAGTTGCGACCCTTGATCCACAACTTGGTGGACTCGACGACAGAGTCGAATACAACACACCGGCAGTCAGCAGGTGAAATGACCACACGGTCATCGTCTTCCCTTTCAATAGTTCTAGCACCAGGTTTGAGTCTCCGGTAAAAAAACTCATTGAACGTCGCATACTTGCTGAGGTCTTCATCTAGGCACTCTGACAAGTCGAGTTTGTGGAATCTCACAAACGAAGGGATATCATGTTTCAGAGCAGGATCATCGAACTTTGTGCCTTGCTTGACACTCAACTTATATAGTAACGATCTGATTCGCTTGGTTCGGGCCTTGTCCAACCCTTTGTAGAGTAGCCGGATTCCCAATCGCACGTAGACACCCATCTTCTCTTCGAGAATAATTCCCGTCATTCTGTCTTGAACTAGGATATTGGCCGAGTTGCTTCCAAGCTGGTATTTACCATAGCTGAGCTTGATCAACACCTTGGTGAACCACCGCTTAGAGGCAAGCTGTGGAGTGACATAAGAGGACACAAGCAACTTATCCACGAGACTCCAGTCTTTCGATCCACAAATGGCAAAATGGGTGACAATGTCCACGTCATGTTTGTTGATGAATCGTTTTTTGAGACAGTTGGGACACTGTTCAATCTCAAACAACTTGTTGTTGGTATCATCAGCAGCAATGTGCTCCTCCAAACATTCACAGATTTGCTCAATCTGAAGTGTATCGCCTCCCCAAGGCAGTCTTCCGTACTTGGCGAAAAACTTGGTAACAATCTCGTCACTGTTTTCGCAGCCTAAAGTGTCCAAGAGCGAGATGAGCTCAATATAGTCGTACGTCTTTTCCTGAATGTTGGTGTCCTGTGAGTCCGCGAGATTATACTGGTCAAGGAGTCTTTCCCAGAACGACCGTCTGAGGTTTTCGTAAGTTTCGTATCGAACCCGAACCTTCAATTTGGGGCTGTACTTGTTCTTGTACTTGTCATCCACAAGATTTAGGGCCAAGTCCATCGTCTTGAATCTCGAAGTGTCAGAGTACTTGAGCTTGAGTTTCTTGCGGATTATTCTCTTCTCCATGGTTTCGACAAGATTGTTATTTTCCACAATCGTAATCAGTTTATTGGAGGGAAGCTCACTGTCTGTAAACTCTTCTTGGGTTAACTCCAACGACTCGCCAGAAGCTTCGGCTGCTGGCCTCAAATACATACTTTTGGGAGCAGCGGTGGCAGTTTTGGTCAAGTCCTTTAAGGGTATCGAAACACTGGCAACGTCATCATGCAACGAAAACCGGTCTTTGTCGAGTACAAGAAAGTGGACCTCAAAGCTCTTCTCTTGTTTGAGGATCTCAAATGCAAGCCTTTCATTGAAAATCGGGTTTAAATTGTGCCGTTTCCAGCTGGTTCTGAAGGTTTGCTTGCCAAACGTCACAACCACAAACGGGTCCATATCAAACCGTCCCATTCCTGTGAGTCTTCGTACGGGAGGAAGGTCGGAGCACGAAACAACCTCAAGAAAGAGAACCCCATCGACTTTCCGATTTTTGATCTCAAACTTCGATCTTTCTGGATGCTTGGGTTTTCTGTGCTTAAACCGGCGGGTCCTTCTAGTTTGCGGATCCAGCCTACCTCCCTCGTTATCCACGAGGGAAACGGCATCGGATTCGTCGAAATCGGTGGTCAAATCGTCGGTGGAAAACATATGGTTCTGTTCTTTTATATCAAACTCTGGCAGTAGATTGTGCTGAGGCTCGGAAAGCTCGTTAGACCGCTGGGAATGGGTGTCTGAGTACAAAGAGGCCGCATCTGCTTCCGAAAGCGAGACGTCCGAGATGTCCGAGACGTCTCCCGAGTCTGAATAAAACCCCTGGTCATTCACCAGCAACGCTTTGGCATCATCACTATAAATCAACGACTTCTTCCAGTCATTCAACAACTCAAGCTTCTTGTTCAGTGGAGCAGCAACACTTGTGAGGTCCATGGCCTTGAAACTGTTCATAAAATCTTCTTTCATCTGTTCGGTGTTTTTGCGAGACGGAGGGTCCACCTTCACCACAATAGTCTGGTTTCCCGGGTTAAACTCCTCGACCGTCTGGGATCGTTTGGCAAGTCCCTTTTTCTGTTTCACGACAAGCTCGAACGCCAACAACAAGGATCCCGTGACAAAGTGTTTTTGAGAATCGTTGGAATAGAGCTTATACCACTTCAACTCAGTTTTGGGAGTGAAGTTGTCACCATCACCAAAAACCAGGGCTAAATCAATCCGAAGCTCTCCCAAGTAGTTCTTGTAGCCACGATGCTTATCCCACACACTCAAGGTGACAACGGAGCTTCGGTCGTATGGTTTTAGTGGGAGTGAGAGTATCTGGTCCCATGACGGGTTGTTGGAGCTGAGTTTTCTTTTGGTTTTCTTGATTTGGCCGTTCAAGTTTGCAAGCAAGATCGGGTTAGTGCGATTGGCAGTAATCCTGGAAGCAATATCCAACCGACTTTCCTCGATCAAATCGGCAGCTCGGTTGGCATGGATGTTTATAAATAAGTTTTCAGTGGGGGAAACAGTTGCAGCCGACAGCTGTGACGAGGACCGGGGGGCACGCCGTTTGATGATGGCCATTGTAGTTTTGGATTTGTGGAGTGGTTACAAACACAGCGTATGTACGTGTATGTTGAATACGCTGTTTGTGTTGCTGACACAGTGGACAATCAAAGGGCGCAGCTGATGACTTGAGTAGTTGATTTGGTCGCGATTTCTATTGATGTTGCTAAATATGGCTATAACAGGGCACACACACACATGTCACCTCATGAGATTATCGACAATGGTTTTGACGTTCAAACGCTTGATATCGGTATAGGTTTGTCCCGTACCCATGAAGAGAATGGGCACATTGGTCGCCATGACCATATTGATCATGGTTCCCATAAGGTCACCTACGGTGTCGACCTTGGAGATGATGAAGAAATCGAGGTTTCTCTTGTTGCCAAAAGCATTGTTGAAGTTGGTGGCCTGCTCCACTGAGTCGGTGCCCACCAATGCCTCACCCACCATTATGATTTTATCGGGGTTGGCAGCGTCACCAAACTTTTTGAGAGGTGCCATCAATTTGGCGTTGGAGTGAGTTCTTCCAGCTGTATCGATCAAAATGACGTCGAACTTCTCGGTGGCCCCGTACTGGATGGCAGCCTTGGCAGTGGCTACTACATGGTCACCTCCACCGTAACCCTTTTCGAATATGTCGATTTTGGCGTTCGAGTTCATGTTGGCATTCAATGCCTTCAAGTTGTTCACATGCACCTTCAACTGTTCCACGGCTCCGGAACGAAACGTGTCACACGCACATATCAACACGTCGAGGTCGTTCTGGAGGAACCAATACGCGAGTTTGGCAAGATTCGTAGACTTTCCCACCCCGTTTACCCCCACCACCGAAATCACATATGGTCTTCCTCTATTGGCTTTGGCCTTTATATCGTAGAGCAAATCCGTAGACACATTAGGCGATAAGGTCTTGGTCAACTCATCCACAAGAGCCTTTTTGAAGTTTGCGAGCGTCACAGACTTGCCTTTCAACTGGTTCTTGATTCTATCAAGAATCTGTCTGGCGGTCTGAGGAGCGACATTTTTGCTAATTAACTGCTCGTGAAACTGCTTGGACACCTCATCGATGTTAATGGACGATCCGAAGTACGACGTGAACTTTGATAAGAATCCCGACTTGGTGCCAGCCTCATCGGTCTCATCTTCATCCTCATCATCGCTGGTACCTATAATATCGTTCAACTCGTTCACAAGTACCAAATCATTTTCTTTCTTGAAAGCGTTGACGTCGACTTTCAAAAGCTCGCTGTCGGCCTGGAAACTGTCGTCGATATTTCCTGTCGAAAAGTCCAACGCCGAGTGGTCAGTGGTTTCGACCATCTCTCCGTCCACCCATTTTCTCATCTTTTTCTTCAGCAGAGCAGGAGCTTTCTTCGACGCACTTGTCGAAGATACCACTGCCTTGGGCGTGCTGGTTCCAGAATCATCGGCGTGTATTTGTTGCAACTTGGTCAACTGGTTGAATTGATAATCAATCAACGTCTTGAGTTTATCGTGGACATGAATTTGGCCTTCAGGGTCCAAATCGTCCACCAACTTGAAATAAGTCTTGAGAACATCACTGAGCGTCTGCTTGATTTTCTCATTGTCGATGGTGGTGACCAGATCAAAGTACAGTGCCGCATACTTGTCATTTTTCTTGTAGCAATAAAATCGCTTTTGGTTGGCAGAACAGGTGAAGAAGTTGGTATCGACCTCTGTGGCCGTCTGGTTGACGAGGCTGGCGATCAAGTCATTGAAGGGGATCACCTTGTTGTTGAATTGGTAGTGGATGTCGCCCGAGGGAGAAAACACGATCAACGATTGAGACATGCTGGAGGTGGTTGGGTTCGAAATTGATGAGATCAATCTTCAAAGTGCGACCAAAAAAAAGATATCGTCACAGACAGGATTCGAACCTGCGCACGCAATGCGCAACACCTTAACCACTAAAGAAGTTAGCAGGGTGTCGCCTTAACCACTCGGCCACTGTGACAGACAATAAGAGTTGCACGCTTAATCGGGATGACCAGGACGTAGCTGTTCCCGCCACGACCGCGACCTGTCTGTTTTTTCTCACGATCCAGCTCAAGTTCAAATCAACAGAACCGCCTATATACATTTGTTTTCGAATCATACTTACACCCGCATCGGTAGAACGGTATAATACATCACACCCATATACAAAACAGAACAGCTATCGAACGCGTATTTTTTTGCAGCAGATATGGCGTACTATCAACCAACAAATCCCACCACCGCAAACATGGATTTCTACCAATCCAACTACCAGAACAATTACTTGGCCAATCCCAGTCAGGCAGCAGCTGCTGGGGCCATGGGAAGCATGGACGGAGGCTTCGGCACCGGATTTGACATCTCAGGAAGTATGGGAAACGGAGAGTTATCATCTGGACTATTGGCAGCATTTGGAACCTCAGGATACCCCAACGAACCACCACTTCTTGAAGAATTGGGGATAAAATTCCAGCATATCAAGGCCAAGACGTTGGCGGTGTTGAACCCGCTTAACCAAAACATCACCAGCGATATCATGGCCGACACAGACTTGGCCGGGCCCATTCTCTTTGTTTTACTATTTGGAATGCTTCTTTTATTGGCCGGCAAAGTCCAGTTTGGTTACATCTATGGCGTGGGGCTATTTGGTATTTTGACGTTACACTTTTTGTTTAAGCTAATGAGTGATAAGGTGCAAATTGACTTGTTGCGGTCGGCATCTGTCATTGGATACTGCTTATTACCGTTGGTATTGATCAGTATAGTGGGGGTATTCTTCTCATTGGACAACTCTTTCGGGTACCTTTTGAGCGGGATAGCCGTGACGTGGTGCACGTACTCGGCTTCGGCGTTTTTTGTGGTGGTGTTGCGGTTGCACAACGTCCGGGCGTTGATTGCGTATCCGTTGGCGTTGTTCTATACGGTGTTTGCACTCATGGCCATATTTGTGGAGAAAGAGGCCCTACTGGTGTGAGGTGTCCAAATACTGCATGCTCCTAAGGATCTGTCAGCTATAAATGAGAATTAGCACTATCTTTTAAACACCTATGGATCAGTCAACGTCTAAGTAACAGAATCAACCTACCCAGAGAAACATATAGTTACCAGAGACTCCACAATTGACCTATAGTTAAATCACATGGCCGTCACTCCTATTACATAGTACCTAGAGTTCGAAAATTCACACCTACGCTCATACACTTTTTCGCAGACGGTGAGGTCGGGTTCAGCTTTAAGCCACCAATTTAAAAAATTCAATCAAGATTTGAAGTTTTACAAGTCCTGCTATAGACATGTAGTATACATGTATATCCTAGTTCCATATATCACTGGTAGTACATGTATATCCTAGCTCCATACATCACTGGTAGTATATGTATATCCATTGATGTGGGATATTTACTAGTTTTTGCGACCAGGTAATTTTTCATTTGGCGAAACAAAAACATTCTGATGGGAAAGCACTAAAACCCGTTTAACCAATTGAACCATCTAAAAAACATGATTCCGCCCAGGATCGAACTGGGGACCTTATGCGTGTTAAGCAGACGTCATAACCGGCTAGACCACGGAACCATTGGTTGAATTTGCGTCTTCTCCGATATCATCTTGAGCCCGAGAACTTCAAGTACAGTGCTTAATCTGGAGCGACTGCCACGTGACATACCTATACCTATACCAGATTTTGTCAGGTGGAGTCCCTAGGGTGACTCGTGCTTGGGTTACTTTTCGGGGACCCGCAAGTGATTAACGGCTAGACCATGGAACCGCCAATGTTTCAGTTCCTCATGTAATGAGGTGAAGTTCCTGCACATAAACGCGCGAGGTATTTTTTGGAGAGTATCTCAGGTGCTTGACATCTCAGCTATGTTCAAAAGCTTTATACGACACACCTCGACCAAACCGTTCTATGTCACCACACCCATATTCTATGTCAATGCAAGCCCCCACTTAGGCCACCTATACTCGATGCTCCTCGCCGACGTGCGCTCGCGGTGGCACAAACTCGATCCGAATCACCAGGCCTTCTTGACCACCGGCACCGATGAACACGGATTAAAGATCCAAAACGTCGCTGAAAAACAGGGAATTCCACCCAAACAACTAGTGGACATGGTGCTGACCAATTTCAAAACCCTCGCCAGCAAGTTGAACATCAACTACGACCGGTTCATACGAACCACAGACTCAGACCACATCGCGGCTGTCACCCACTTTTGGAACATCATGATACAAAAGGACTTGGTGTACAAAGGCCAGCACAGTGGGTGGTACTCGGTGAGCGATGAGACATTCTACCCTGACTCGCATATCGAGGAGGTTGAACGGGATGGGAAGAAGGTGATGATTTCGTCGGAAACCAAAAACGAGGTTTTCCACCACACCGAAACAAACTACTTTTTTCGTTTGGCCCAGTTCAAGGACCAATTGGTGCTGTTCCTCGAGGCGAATCCTGATTGGATAATGCCCTCTGGCAAGTATCAGGAGTTGTTGACCGAATTACGGCTGGAACCTCTATCTGACTTGTCGGTATCGCGACCCTCCTCGAGGTTGAAATGGGGCATCGCAGTGCCAGGTGATGACTCACAGAACATGTACGTGTGGTTCGATGCTCTCGTCAACTATGTGACTTCGTGTGGGTTTCCCGACACTTTTGAGCTCAAAAATGGCCAATATCAGAGTCGGGGCCTGAACCCCTGGCCTGCCACCCACGTTATTGGTAAGGATATCATTCGGTTCCACTGCATCTATTGGCCCATCTTCTTGATGGCTGCGGGCGTCGAGTTGCCCAAACAGGTGTTGGTGCATTCGCACTGGTTGAGCGAAGGGTTCAAGATGAGCAAGAGTTTGGGGAATGTGGTGGACCCCATGGCAACCTGTGACTATTACGGGGAGGACAGCTTGCGGTTCTTCTTGATGGAGCATTCCAGCATCTCTAGTGACAGCAATTATAGTGAGAAGTACTTCAACTTCACCAGAGACAACTTGATAGGCAAGTATGCCAACATTGTCACTCGCTGCGGAGGAGCCTCATTCAACATTGAACAGGCGGTGGTAGACAATAACAATGGGTGTTTTGCTGATATAGACGAGTTTATACGGTCAAATTCTCTCAACAAGGACAAGGTGGAGATGATTATAACCCTTAAGAACCAGTTGCTTGACAAGTTGACTCTGTTGCCGGCCATCATGGACGAATCGATGCAAAGATTTGAGAATAGAAAGGCTATTCAAGAATGGTGGTCGGTGCTTGAGCTCACAAACCTGTTTCTCCAGCAGTCAGAACCGTGGGTGTACAATAAACCATTGAAAGAGGATCCATCGAATGAGAAACTCCGTCTCGTTCAAAGCTACGGGATTCTCTTGGCGTGCGAGAGTGTACGGATCTGTTCGATTCTTATTAGTCCTGTGATTCCTACGCTTTCCGGGAAACTTCTTGATAGACTCGGGGTGGATGCTGGTGAAAGAAACACCGATTATCTTGTGCCGTTTGAGCGCATTTCCTACGGGAAATATGCCAACGGGAAACACGAGCTTCCGATCCAGCGGCTTCCAAAGAGGCAGTAGGAAGCTCTAGTGAAGAACAGTTAGAAGTTCTATACGTGCTCTTCTATACGTGCTCTTCTGTATTTAGTAACCTGTATTTAGTGTACATTCTGTAAATAGCATACCTTGAAACAGTCTTCACCAGTCACTCGGCTCCGGCTCTGAAAGCTTATTTCTTGAGTATCTCGGGTAGCAGGCAAACTCAATGCGATGACAAGGGCTGCAAAAAAATACCAATCACCTTCGTACCTGGAGTCACTGCACTGAGGTGTCTTCCACAACCAGACAAGTTACTCGTGTTTAGGAAGCTACGTAGTGCTCAATATGTTTCACGTCAATTAAACCAGATTAACCCTGAATTGTTAATTCTAGACAATATATCTTTAAGTCCGCGATTGTGCAACCTTTATTATTTGCAAGAATATTTCTCGACTACAAGGGTCTCTACATTTCATTAAGCTTGACATTAAACATGCTGTTCTGTAATAATATGTGTTGTATGATGTTTTGGTCTTAGTCCTCGACTACATGCTGCACTTCTTTGTTTCAAGGGGTAACCATGAGAATCGGAGCAAGAACTCGATGATTTGATAACCATAAAGCTAGTAGGATGGTTGGGAACCTTTCGGGATCATTGCCTATAGTCTTCGGCGATGTTGTCGCACTTTCCCAGTTGGGTATATCCGGTTTGACATCGAAAACTCTTTAAATAAGCTTCAGCTGATGACTATTAATATGATTGGCCAAGACCCCATAGTCTTTGTTCCTGTACAAATTGGCTAATGCACCTATGCAAGTATCGCGTGTGCTTTAGGCAATACAGTTAATCCCACGCTAATTGAACACCTCTCATAAATAAATGTCGCAAGTGATTTTTAAAAAATGACTTTCACTGATTTCATTTGGCTGTCCGTGTGAGAGATAATGGCGTAATGAAAACAGTGTTTTCATTCAACCCCCCATTACAAATGGCGGTGTAGCCCAAGTAATTTCGACCTTCTTGTTGGAATTTTTTACGGGTCCTATTCCTCTTTTTCATCCTCCTCGTTACATATATTTGAACCGTCTCCCCCATCTTTTGGCGGCGACGTATTGAATTTAATACGTATATACTACAAGAAATTGTCCGTTTACTCGATTATTAATGACCAACTGAGCCTGTTTTAATTGACTATGTTGCTGGCTAATATGGCGCACTATAAATGTTAAGGAGTCGTCACGCTGTAATTTTCTCACTTAATCAAGATGGAGTACTTCTTTAGATATGAACAGGGGGACTCTCCTGTAACTGATGAAGCAGGAAACTTAATTGTAGATGACATTGACATGGAGGACTGTGTTCCCCTCGAATCTCTTTGTACATTGAGTATCTACCGGGAAGCCGAACGTAATCGTGCTTCTGCGATTGTTCCAAAACTCCTTTGACAAGAGCAGAAAACAAAACTGTTCTCGGGGCTATTTCTTAGTCCGTTTCCCGTCAATGTGCCCCCTATTCGGTTTTGAAGCTTAATAAAAACACGAAGGTCGTCATTAAAAAACAGATAGGGATACCTACGTTCTCATGATTGATCGTTAAAGCGCATCCTCCAACCACGAGTGCTGCATTCAATCTGGTAAGAGCATACAGTATTCTGAGAGCACTCACAGCTGTCAGCAACAAGAAAAATGAAATTATTAAGTTTGTCAATTTCATGCGAGCTACACAATTTGACAGGCAGAATGGGTCGCTTATATACTGCATATCGTAGATACAGTCTTGTGATCTTATCGCGCACTCGAACCTTGCTTTCTTATACGAATCTATTTTTGCAAGTAAGGGTACTGGAAGTCCATCCCCTGAAGACTATCTGGTTCCGTATCACGAAGGAATTCACCCAGTTTAAAGCAATAATAATGTTTTATCCATACAGATCGAATAACTCCTGCTATATGAATGTCGGAAATATTAGAATGATAAAAAACGTTATCGCAAACGGGCAATTATCAACCTTATTTTTTGACAGTTTTTGACATATCCAGCAGCAAACAAATTATCCTAGCTCAAGACTGACAGAACTCAGTCAAGGTCAATACCAGACAATCGATAGTCGAAGGTTTTCTTGTTGAGCATTGGAAAGCGTACTCAGAATTCGAAGTGAGCCTCAAAGTACGTCAAATGGTGAGAAATCAATTCTGCCGTACGCTCCTGCGGCACAATGCGACACACATATCCCCTCCCATGAAATGTATAAATAGACGCCCTTGATTCTTCCTAGAATAAAGATATTAAGAAGAACGGTATAATCTATATTTTTTTATAAGAAAAACAGAGTTTGCATTTCTAATTTTTGAAATTGTGTATGGAGTTAGAAGTTCTTGACGGTGTTATTATTGAGACAGACTTCGAAAGCATTTACCTAACTGTTTTCACTTTTGTGGTTGTGATATTTTTGATTTTGTGGAAATGCTTCCAAAAAAGTTCATAGCTTTAACTATCATTGTTGGTACGGTTTGCAATGCTCTTCGGTTACATTAAGAACCTCACAAAAATACCGCTGGCTTAATCATAGGAGGTTGTGCGATTGCAGCTTATGCTGGGGCTGTTGGTATAGCAACTTGTTTGACAGCAGGAATTTTTGCCATATTACTCAGTTTCCGTGCCGACTGGGAAAATGGTGGAGGAGGGGACGTGGATGCTAATGTCAAACGCTCAAATTCCAGCCCTTTCCTCTCGAGATCCTATTATCAGATACCTGATGGTGATAAGAACAGGAGATCAGAAGCTTTGTCAGACACGGAGTTATCATACGCAGAGTTGTCTATTGGTCAGCGTTATATCATGAATTTGACTGAAGACCAACAGTTGTATGTTCAGAAAACTGGTAATTCATCAGTTGCAGTCGGAGCCCTTTTGGGGGTCACAGATCTTCTCCAATATCATACAACCCCTGTGACCAAGAGGGTTAATACAGTCACAACAGTCTGGGGGATAGGTGCAGATGATCGTATCGACAAGTCAGGAGCAACTAAGAAAACATTATCAGAATGGGCCTATAAAATCAAAAAGGCTCAGGGAGGAAAGCAGGGTCACCAGTGTGTGTCCATCTTTTCACTGGACAATAAGCAAAGGGATTTCGATATTGAATTTGCCTTCTACGACAACTCTTACAGTCCTCAAGGCTCCTCTTGTGAAGCTAAATGATTATCCGATTGCGTGATGTGTTTTCAAATTCGACTCTTACTGTGCCATTCTTTTCTTTACCAACGTACAATATATGCTGTTTTTCTTGTCTTGTTACCCTCATTGAAATACCTACCTACCCCTCCGTCCAACCTATTTCAATTACCGCCCTCTAACTCCATGCGCTGAATACAATGTTAGAATCTAGCCCATTTCCACAGCCTAGCAATATATTCTAATACAGCGCATTGTGATTCGCGTGTAAAACAAGCGTAAGATTCAGCCGACTCTAGTACGAATGTACCAGTAAGTAATTTGGCGCACTATAATTGTTAAGAAGTCGCATCGCTTTAATTTTTATCCTTAAAATGGATTACTCCTTTAGATATGAACGAGGAGACTCCACCATTACTGATGAAGCAGAAAATCTAGTTGTCGATGAAATCGATATGGAGGATTGCATCCCGCTTGAATCTCTTGTTACATTAAGTGTTTATAGGGATGCTGAGCGGAATCGTACTTCTACTGTCGTTCCTGAGGCTAAATCGAATCCAAAGAAAGTGGTCAAAGAGGAAGAAGGTACTAGTAGGTCCTACCGTAACTATACTCTTCAAGATAGAGAGGATTTCTTTGCTTTATGGGAAGAGCAACCTCAGCGATCAATCTCTTCTATTGCTAATACTCTAGGAATCAAAGCAAGAACTGCCCAAAGATGGGTTAGAGAGTACAACGAAGCAGATGTAGATGAAGTTCCTGTTCCGAAGTCTAGAGGAAGAGCTGCTATGCCAAAACTCGATACAACCCATAAGGATTTCTTAACTTCTTTTGTAGACGATAATCCGTCAGCTCGTATTGTAGATATGATGGATGCTTTAACAGAAGGCTTTGAAGGCTTGTCGGTAAGCAAAAGTACGGTTCATCGTTTCTTGAAAGACGAGTGTTCTTTCAGCTTTAAAATGTCCAGAAAAGAACCAATCGAGAGAAACTCAGTCCAAAAGATAGAACAACGATTCAATTTCATTACGAAAATTAAAGAAATGGATGTAGATTATTGTAGCAATTGTGTTTTCATCGACGAGGCTGGATTCAATATCAACATGAAACGTTCCCAAGCCTGGGCTCCCGTAGGTGAGACACCAGTTGTCAAAACTCCATTGACTAGAGCAGAGAACAAAACGGTTATTGGAGCTATCTGTTAATATGGGGTAGTCAGTTTAAGCGTCAGAAAGCCTAAAGTTGCAGCTACGAAGAAGAAACGTAAGCTGGGTGCCGATGATTCCTTAGACACTTCTAGAGGTACCATTACAGGTCACTTCAAGCAATTCCTCATTGATGTAATTTCTGAATTGGACAACCATCCAGTTCTCAGGAATGCATATTTAGTGATGGATAATGCAAGTATCCATAAACATGAAAGTATTGAAAGAATAGTAAACGCTAAAGGTTACAGAGTTCTTTATCTACCACCTTTCTCACCTGAGCTCAATCCTATTGAACAGTTCTGGTCTCAAGTTAAAAGTAGATTGAAGAGAGAAAAATTGTTAGATAGAGAGACTTTGAGCTCAAGAATATCTGATGCTGCAATTTCAATTCCAGTAGTTAATATACAAAATAGTATTAACCACTCTGTTAGAGCCTTTTCTATTTGTGAAGCCAGAGAGCCGCTTTGAGTGACTCAAAAACGTCTTTAACTTACGCCATTTTTTCAACTTTCTCTGCCATTTATTTCATCCATCAATTCTTTTTATTACAATTCCAAACGAAATCAATATTAGCTGCATGCGCCAATATTCTCCTTTAGTTTCGCCAAAATATAAATATTAAAAGACAAAAAAAAATTCAAGTTTCGGCAAGTTTATTATTCTAATTACGCAATTTATCTTCAACTTTCTTCTATATAGTCAATATACAAAACACCAAAAATTCCAACTCTGTACGCCAAATTTTTCAAATTGAAGGTAATTTTTCTCAACATGAAGGTCTGAAAATATTGAAAGCGGGCGACATTTATTATTTTGCTGGAAGAACTAATAGTGGGCAATCGCGACATTTATTTAGCAGGGGTGTACATTTTATTTGGGATTAACTGTATTACGCTTGTCAACCAAATGTCGCACCATTCAGGTTACTAATGTGATTCACACTATACGCGCTGTGAATCTCCAGAAGTGAAAACCCAGGCCTGAACCACCTTTTGCAACTGCCAAGAACTAGAAACGGTAACAACACACATATATTTGAGGAATTGATGTCTTTTTTCCGTTTTTTGTACCCTGCCAGTTTACAAGACAGAAACGGCATGCATCACTTTCTTAATTCTCCGGCCAACCCTTCGCATTTTCATTGGGATTCCACCACTCACTAGTTAAAGTTACCATACTCTACAACGACACAGATAACTGTCCAAACATATAAATATCTGAATTATTGTGACCAAGGCTTGACCATTATATGGCGGGCTTAATAAGCTTTGCTTACAAATGTGTCTCAGCCGCATTGGGCAATGCAGCATGGGCGCAACCGGTGTTACCGCATACGGAAGGATGTATAAGCAGCGTTCCTAATGAGTCAGACACGCTGCCACTTTTTAATAAGCAGAAAATGATATATAAGAGCTGCTGTGCGCCGATAACGATAGTGTTAGGTTATCAAATGGGTTTACTGACTTTTGTGCATCAAAGTTTCTGGGGGAGAGTCTTCTACCACTTTTCGGGAGGGAAGCTCTTTTCATACAAAGAAGAAGCACCCGACTATATAATACCCGACAAATATCTAGATACGAAGAAATCACAGATTGAGGAGTCAGAAGAGACAGTTGAGGATTCGGGAAGCTCGGTGTCCAGTTCTAACTCTGCTAGCGATTGTGACACAGAAACTCTACAAGTTGGCGATAGAATCCTAGTGACGTGGGACGGTGAGGATGATCCAGATAATCCTAAGAACTGGCCCTTATGGCAAAAGATTATATTTATGTTTGAGATCTCGTTCTTGACAGTTTCGGTGTACATGGCATCGGCTATCTACACACCTGGAGTTGACTATATTATAGAAGACTTAGGGGTTTCTAAGATAAAAGCTACTTTACCACTTACCATGTTTGTTGTTGGTTACGGTATTGGTCCAATGATCTTTTCCCCAGCATCCGAAAATGCCATCTTTGGAAGAACAAACATCTACATTGTCACATTGTTCATCTTCTTTTTGTTGCAAATTCCAATTTCCTTAGTGAACAACCTTGCTGCCTTGACAGTATTAAGATTCATCAGTGGATTTTTTGCATCTCCTGTTTTGGGTACTGGTGGTGCTTCTATGGGTGATGTTATAGATAAACCTTATATGCCCATAGCAATTGGTGTGTGGAGTATGGGTGCAGTTTGTGGTCCTTCATTGGGACCAATGTTCGGTTCCATTATGATAGTGAAAAGAAACTGGCACTGGACTTTTTGGTTGATTTGTATGCTTTCAGGTATTGCATTTGTCATTTTGAGTTGGTTTTTGCCTGAAACTTATGAAAAAACTTTGCTTTTAAGGAAGGCAGAGAGATTGAGGAAACTCACGGGCAACGACAAGATTGTTTCTGAGGGAGAGATTGAAAATCAAGGTCTTACTTCTCGTCAATTATTTATTGATACCCTTTGGAGACCATTTGAAATCATGCTCTTTGAACCAATTGTCTTCTCCATTGACATGTACATCGCTTTAGTCTATTCAATAATGTACCTTTGGTTCGAAGCTTTTCCAATTGTTTTTGCTGACCTTTACCATTTTGCTTTGATTCCTTTGGGCTTGTCATTCTTGAGTGTTTTGGTGGGGATTTGTTGCAGTGCTGTGGTTTACGTGTTTATCATGCACCGAAAGTACACAAAGAGAAAACTACGGGGAGAATATGTTCCTCCGGAAGTGTTTTTGCCAACGATGATACTTGGTAGCATTAGTATGCCAATTGGTGTTTTTATATTTGGATGGTCTGCCACAGCTAAAGCCCATTGGATGGGACCTATGATTGGAGCAGGTATATTTTGTTTTGGTGCTTTCATCAATTTCCAGACGTCGTTTAACTATTTGGGTTCTTCTTTCCCCAGGTATTTGGCATCCGTATTTGCTGGTAATGCATTTTTGAGATCAGTTATTGCTGGATGTTTTCCCTTGTTTGGTGCTCCATTATTTAACAACTTAGCTACTCCAAACTATCCAGTTGGCTGGGGATCGTCGCTATTGGGATTCATTGCAACTATAATGATTATCATCCCAGTGGTATTTTACCTTAAGGGTCCAAGTATAAGGGCTAGATCCAAATACTCAGGGGATTAGATGGTTATCTATTTATTTATATAATTAATAGAGATGATAATGAATATAGATGATAACGAATAGACATCTTGATCCAACTGTTAATGCCGTATCGGATTGACAGTCAATTGATATAATTTTTCAGATCTAAAGCAACTTAGCTGATTAGAGTAACCAAAGCCCATGAATTTGTGGTGCATATTTTTTCTTTATATCCTGATATCATATATGCCGATCCTGGCAACAAAAGGCTCCAAATCGGGCATTATGCACGGAAAGTCGCTTTTCTTGGTGCGACATTAGCTATTTGGAGTTCGAGAGTCATTTGCTTACAGCAATTGTGTGTTTGTGAGCCTCTAAAGTCGGTGCTTAGCTACTGGTATCATTACATACATCTTTTCGGAGCATACTCAAGGCGATTACGTAAGGAGGCATTTTTTAATTTGCCATACGGCATCGGCACTTATATTTGTGAAAGAAATTACTATCCGTTGCACCATTGTCTTAGAGCACTTGACCTGAAGCTATAACTCAAATGTGTCGTTTTCGTATCTTACCACCACGGCTAGTTTTTGCTGCAAAATTTTACACTTTTCATTTGACACATGCATACAAAATACTTGTCTGTCATATTTGTGATACTTCTTGAGCAAGAATATTAGTTCGGTCGCATTCTTCTTGTAAAATCTATTTGCAACCACAATCAGATGATTCAAAGTACTGAAAAGATCAGCGACACTCCGCAAGATGAACTACCAATGGACGCTGAAATGAGCTGGGTACATCAAAACCACCAAGATCCCGAGTCTCTTCTGTGGAGGAAAGCTTCAAGGCAGCTTGTGGGAGAACATTTCTGTATGGGAGGTGTACAAACTCTTTCAAAGGAGGATCTTGGAGGCATCACTAATCAGCCTTTGTCGTTCATAATGTCACTTATAACAAGTTAATTATGATATGACATGTATTTATTACACCTGGTACTGATAAAAAATTGGCAGTGGAGGGATTTTAGATGATTATATAATCAGACGAGTTGAGAGTTGAGTTGTGGCCCAATCCTTATTTTGGCACGAAATCACGTCTCCTTTTTTTATCAAGTCTTTAGTTTGTATACCGCAACCTGTTTTGTTTGTCTGTCTCTGTATTAATCTCTTTTGCCTATTAATAAATATTTTGCTTCGCTAGTTGCGCGTCAGCCAATATAGTCGTGTCTAACACATAAAAACCACTGCTTCCTCTCGACACTTGTGCCATACAAATGTCACCCAACCGGAGCCAAATGGCTGCAAATTATTTTACGCTCGCGTCTGGGCACTTACAAGATAAGGCCGTAGAACCGGTATGGCAAGCATGCAGCAGGAGAGATAAAAATGAAGTCATTTTTTACCCCGCCACCCAAACCATCTCTAGAACCTTACCACTACTATCGGTGACTATGATAGGCATTTTTGATGAGTTTGACGGTGTTGGAAGTGTTGGAAAAGGCTTTGGACTTAGTTATATTTATAAAAGCTGGCGGGCGGAAATGGACGTTCGCACCATCCGAAATTAAAAAGTGCGACCAATCGATTTCAAATACTGTTTACTTGTCAGTAGAACATTGCAAAAATAACACCCAAGGTCCATCGTTGGTGAAAGACAACCCCAGTCGTCGAGTGAATTAATCTTATTTCACTGTCGACTTTTTCCAGCCCTTAGAACGTGAATCTTCGCGTCTTGTAATATTACCCTGTGTGCTAAGCTTATTCAAGATTTTCCTTGTAACTTTATCATATAATCAGTACAAACACCAGTCAATGAGCAGACGGTCCAGAAACACCAAGCCGTCCATTTCGGATGACGAAGATGACGGGTTCAATAGTCAGGAATCCGATAAAGATGAACTCGAAGGCTCAGACTCCATTCCCTCCGACAACGATAAGGACCAGGACGACTATCTTGAGGACGACGAAGACAATGAAGACGATGACGAAATACGCACATCTCGTCGCAGGAAGGCAAGCCGGGCCCGGGCCTTGAGTCTGGATTTTGAATTGGACGAAGACTTCTCGGAAGACGATGAGTTTACCAGAAAACTCACTGAGAAAAGGTTCATTGCCAGTGACGAGGATGTGTCAGACGACTACGAGTATGGCCAGGAACCTGTGAAGAAGAAGAAGAGATCAAGGTCTCGTTCGGTTGAGCCGGTGTTTTTACCTAAAAGAGGCAGGTTGAGAAGCACTCGAAACTCAGAAGCGGTTGGAGCTGCTGAAGAAGCCGAAGCAGGAGCCGAGGATGGTAAAGAAGAGTCAGAAGAAGAGGTAGAAGACGATATAAAGAAGGAGCTTGCGGCATTATACGACTCATCTCCAGAGCCCGAGCTCAAACACAAATTGAGAGAAAGAGCTCCGGTGGACTATGCTATTCCTCCTCCCATCACAAATGACGCCCAGCTCGAAGCCGGTGCACCCATAACTCCCTCTTTTACCAAAGGAAGAAGAGGACGCCCTTCAACCAACAAGAGCGAATATAGAAACTTGTTGTTTCCCACTGCCGGTCCGTTTGGCGGAAGTGATGTGATTTCGGTGTTTGGAACCAACATTCCTCCCGGAGGAATCCCCATTCCAGGAATGAGTGCAACCAACAACAACATGACTGCCATTGGCCAAGCTCTCAGTGACTCTGACTCTTCGGATGATGAGATTGCTCCAATAAATGGTGAAGCCACCATTACCAAGAAGCAGCCAAAGGACAACTTCCTCAACCACACTAAGTTGATTGGTACATCCACGGCGAAGCACCAAAATAAGAAGAAGAATAATCTCAGCGATACAGACCCCTTGGGAGTTGACATGAACATTGACTTTTCAGCAGTCGGAGGTTTGGATGAATATATCAACCAATTGAAGGAAATGGTGGCCTTACCTCTACTCTACCCTGAACTATACCAAAACTTTGCCATCACTCCACCCAGAGGTGTTCTTTTCCATGGCCCCCCCGGTACTGGTAAGACATTGATGGCCAGAGCTTTGGCGGCTAGTTTCTCTACATCCACCCGAAAAATCACGTTCTTCATGAGAAAAGGTGCTGACTGCTTGAGTAAGTGGGTAGGTGAAGCCGAAAGACAGTTGCGATTATTATTCGAAGAAGCCAAAAACCAACAGCCTTCTATCATTTTCTTCGATGAGATCGATGGGTTGGCCCCAGTAAGATCCTCTAAGCAGGAGCAAATCCATGCGTCTATCGTGTCAACATTGTTGGCTTTGATGGATGGTATGGATAATAGAGGTCAAGTTATTGTCATTGGAGCCACTAATAGACCTGATGCCATTGATCCAGCTTTGAGGAGACCTGGTAGGTTTGATAGAGAGTTCTATTTCCCATTGCCAGATACGAACGCTCGATCCCAGATTTTGAAGATTCACACCAAGAAATGGAGCCCACCATTAGGAGACGAGTTCTTAGGTAAAATAGCTGATTTGACCAAAGGTTATGGAGGTGCTGACTTAAGGGCTTTGTGTACTGAAGCTGCTTTGAATTCTATCCAAAGAAAATATCCACAAATCTACCAGTCAAACCAAAAGTTGGAAGTGGTTCCTTCGAAAGTAAAGGTGATTGCTAAAGACTTCATGAATGCCATGGAGAAGATTGTACCTTCTAGTGCTAGGTCGACTTCTTCTGGTTCTGCTCCCTTGCCTCAACACTTGAAATGTCTCTTGGAGCCTCAATATAATGAGATTATTTTGAAGTTGAACAACTTGCTACCAAACTCAATTCACTTGAAAGGTGAAAAGAAAAAGACTCAGCTTGAGGATGCTTTGTATCTTGATCCAACAATTCATGATGAAGATGGAGGGTTTGCAAGACAAGAGTTCTTGAAGAATTTGGAGAATTCCAGAATCTGTAAGCCTAGTTTATTGATATCGGGTGAAAGTGGCTCTGGACAGCAATATATTGGTGCTGCTCTCTTGAATCATCTAGAGGGATTCCAGGTTCAATCCTTGGATATCGGAGCCATTTTCTCGGATTCTACTAGAACCCCAGAACTGGCTATTATCCAGACGTTCATTGAAGCGAGAAGACACCAACCGTCGGTGATTTTCATCCCCAATATTGATATCTGGTATCATATTGTTCCTCCCACTGCAAAGGCTACTTTGAGTAGTCTATTGAAGTCTTTGAAAAGCAATGAGAAGATTTTGTTATTGGGAATCAGTGAGTCTTCCCAAGAAGCCTTAGACTACGAAGTGAAACTTCTCTTTGCTTCTACAAACGAAACCAACAGTGTGACTTTACACAATCCTGATGTTGGCCAACGAAGACAGTTTTTCGGAACTTTGAAGAAGACGTTGTTGATGAAACCTTATGAGTTTGTCAACGATTTTGAGAACAGACCAAAGAGGAAATTGAAGCAGTTGAAAGTGGTGGAAGAAGTTGTTGTTGTAGACAAGGACTCGGAGAAGAAGAAGCTAAAGGCGCAAGAGTATCAGGATACTAAGTTGAAGAACACATTGAAGATCAAGTTGGCCAGCTTAATGGACTTGTTCAAGGTGCGATACAAAAGATTCAAGAAGCCGATTATAGATGAGAATCTATTGAGCCATATCTTCTACCCCGAAATTTTGCTGAATCCCCTTAACGTCTATGAAGTTCTCTACGAGAAGGCTGCCGATGATGAACATAAAGATATGATCAAAGAGTTGGCTACCGGAAAATATTACCATAATATCGACTTGGATATTATCGAAGAACGACTCTGGAACGGATACTATTCGGAACCTCGTCAATTCTTGAAAGACATCAAGATGATTGTTCTGGATTCCATAATGTCTGGAGATAGAGAAAGAATTTTGAAGGCCAACGAGATGTTGACGAATGCCCAGTTTGGTATTGATGATATTGGCACCCCCGAGTTCTTACTGGCTTGTAAAGAGATGAGAAAGAGAGAGTTGGTTAAACAAGCCCAGGTCGTAGCTGATTACCAGAAGTTGCAAGAGGCAGCCCAGAAGCAGCAAGAAGCGAACGGGCTGCTTCAAAATGGTAATGCCGTGAACGGTGAGCCAGAGGAGATATCTGTTGAAACACAAGATGACCAGGAACCCGTGGTGGCTACAGATGTAAAAATAGTTGCAGACGTCGAACAAGAAACTGCAATTGAACCACGAAAAGAGCAAACGGCTGTAGCTAAACCACCAATCCCCGGGTCAGACTCCGAATCCGAAGCAGAAGACTCACCCATTGATATCTCCCGGCAGCTCGTTCTCGGTGGAGACCACGAGGAGTTCTTCTCCAACCGCATCATCGAAATCACCAGCAATTGCAACATCGAACGACTCGAAATCGTCATGGCCCGTCTCATGGATATCATCTGGACCGATCGAAATCAATGGGACAAGACTCAAACCATCAAAAACCTCTACAATGCCGCCGACTCCATCGAAGCCGAAATCTCCTGAACGTGGTTTATGTATTTTTGAGTATTTTTACAAACATGATAATATACAAGGTTTTCTTTTTAAGTGTCTAATCTTCAGCACTGCCGTCTCTGGGTCTATAGTTGACATTCTGCTCCAACAAGTCACTAACTATATGAGGCGGAAGCTTCCCGTTGATCTTGACGGCGTAGAGGGCCGGCACGAACGAGTCTATTCTCAACCATCTGGCGACCCATGACTGTTTGTTGTCGTCTCCCAAAGCCACCAAACCTTCAAACGATGGCGATGTGCAATCCTGGATCTGGTTGTCGTCATTGTCTTGATAGTGCAACACACTCTCACAGTTGGGGCACCCTTCATCGACGAACTTTCTGTATGTCTGGATGATTCCACACAACATGCACGCTCTGTCAGATCTAGATGACATGATGGAGGTTGGAGTTGGTCAAAGTTTTCAAAATTTCGCGCACCAAATTGAATCGTTTTCGCACCAAAAGTTTCTTCAGCAGATGTTTAGGCTGCACATCCTCAAAACTAAAATCCCACCACTGCCCCAGTACTGGGGACGAAGGTACTTCTCCATCGAGCCCCAAACCATAGTCATGGCGTTGGGAGAAACGTTACAGGCCGTACATGCCACGAGCGGTCTCCCGTGGTGGGCAGTGATTCCTCTCTCCACATTCGCCCTAAGAACAGTATGGACGCTACCGCTTTCTATACTCCAACGAAAACGGCTCCAAAAGCAGAGCGAGTACAAAGCGATCATCTCTGGTACTACGCCGGTGTTGAAGCTCAATCTTGGGCAACGGGCGCAGGAAACTCGAAATCAGCTTGCAGCCCCATCGTCCTCAGACTCCGAACGAGCAGTACAGCTCCAATCTCCACTAGCTAACATCAAGTACGAGGAGATCCTCTTGCTTTCGGCCAAGGAAACCCGCAAGCGTCAGAAGGCGTTGTTCAAGAAACACAAGATCCAGCTCTGGAAGAACTTTGTACTTCCTGTGTTCCAGGTGCCGTTGTGGATTTCGCTTTCGTTGACGATGCGAAACCTCTGCGGGTGGCTATCGTGGGACAGCTTGGCCAACCAGCCGCTCGACCCGGGGCTCTACACGGAGGGCTTGTTGTGGTTCTCAGACCTTACGAGTTATGACCATTATCATCTCACACCGGTGATATTGGGAGTGATTTCGCTCTGTAACGTGGAGTGGTCCTTCAAGACCTTCGAACTTCTGAGGTTGGCACTGCGGCCCACCCTCCGGCCGACTTTGGCTGACGCATTCGCCAACCTTTCGCGGATGGGGGTGGTATTTATGATGGCTATCGCCATGAATGCCCCGGTGGGTCTCACACTTTTCTGGATCAGCTCCCAAACGTTCTCATTGGCACAGAACGTGGTACTCGACATGGCCTTCCCGGTGGCCTTCACGCCACGGACGCGGGTGGCACCATCGGTTGCTTCTACCGACTCCACCCCCATAGTCAACCGTAGAGGTAGGTGAAGGTGGTGAAAAATGGAATTCACAGACATGTAAATAGAATAATGAATACCTAGACAAGTATTAGTACGTGTTGTGTCCGACCTTTTGGACCACTTTGTGGCATGGGCCTTTGTGGAATGGAACTTGTCGTATCACAAACATCAAGACATCGAGTCGCGCTTGCGAAAATGGTAATGATCTCCACCATATCCCACGCTTCCACACATCTATATCCCACCATCACGGCGCTACTCTCAACCCGCAAGGACAAGAAATACAACCGGGATCGGTGGACGTTGCAGGAGTTGGACAACTGGAAGGATGTGGAGCTTCCGCAGATCTTGAAACGACGGGTCGAAAAACAGGACGGCTGCTATCTCACAGTACCGGAGTTAAAGTTATTAATGGACTGGAAGTTGGCCAAGGGCAAGTTTCGGCCAATGCTCCCCAAGTTGATTCTGGCGAACTTGGCAGACGATGTGGAGCGGGTCACCCGCACGGCGATGATGATGTTTGTGGATGGGGTTTGTGAATTCGAGCTGCTCGCAGGTGAGTCTCGTGAAAAGTATACTCAATTGGTGAAGAAGGCGATGGTCGAGCTCTGCAGATTGAAGGGGGTAGGACCGGCGACTGCCAGCTTGGTGTTGTCGCTTTTGTGGTCGGTTTCGGCTCTTTCACCGCCATTTTTCAGTGATGAGTCGTTCCTCTACTACGTGCGCCCGGCCACCAAGATCAAATACAACTTGAAGGAGTACACCGACGAGTACTTGCCGGTGTTTTTGGGGATTTTGGAGCAAGAAGACGAGGTGACCATGAACAGCCTTGAAAAGGGCGGTTGGGCTCTCAAGATGTTGGAGATCCATCGAGATGGTATTCTCAAGGGCGTAGCGGTGGGGCCATACGAGGGCTTTTTGGACCACTACGCCGACAAGACAAGGACTACCAAGAAGAGAAAATTGGTGGACGACAAGGTACCGACGACGAAAAGAAAGCACGCTGCTTCGTAGAAACAGGATATTGCTTTTCATATAAAGTATATGTCCGTCCTTTCGGTCATTTACAGAGGCACTGCGTCATTCAAATTGGGAACAGATACCGCTGACTTATATTCATACTGAAGTACCTATAACTCAAGTTGGTCTCTCTCAAAGTTGATCAACGAAAACTTGTTGTCACAGTGTGTGAGTGTCAACTCTTCGACATTTCGGTCGACTCTGGTCACTATACTCTCTAAGTTCGAAGTCTGGTTGAAACTCAATCCTTTCAAGATCCTCTTGTTCACCAACTCGAAGAGTTCGGCTGTTTTGTCCTGGTATTTCTCGAGTACAACGTGTATGTGAGGAAGATTGTTGTATCCCTTGATATCCTTGACCAAAAGAAGCACCACTGCCGATCTGATTTTGTCGGTCTGTTCTTCGTTGTTGGCGTACTCTTTCTGGATACTTGTGGCAAGATTTAATGCCTGCGTGTATAGTTCTGACAGTGATAAATTGGTATCGTACTCAAACTCAAACTCCCGGCTTCCCAAGTTCAAGAGCTTTTCGACGTATATCTTGAGGCAGTGGATCAACTTGTATAGCTTTATGTCGAAAATCAATATCTGACCCGCTTTGTCGCTGAAGAACCGCTCATATTTGGAATTGAGTATCTCAAGAATGCTGTCAAATCGGTTTTGCAAGAAGCACATCTTGAGAGCATGCCGCTCTTGGGCATGAGACCGTTCTATTACCTTTGAGTCGTTATTAGGTTCGTTTTTTGTAGCCGTGATGTCGCTCAACTCCTTCAAGTCTGACGCCAATGCGTTGAAGGTCTCGGTGTATCCTTCAGTATATAAGTACCCTTTTATCAAACGGTTCAACAAGGCCGAATTATCATGAACGTTCAATAGCTGGCCCTCAAACACATCATTTGGGTCACTGGAAGAGGCGGCGGTTTGAGACTGCTGAAGAAGCCTCAAATTGAGATCCTTCTCATTGTCCCTTTTATAAAGATTCACCCAGTGGTTGATGTTGAACTTAAAGTCCTTAAACCCAAAGTTCCCCCGAACCGTCAACTTCGTGGGTGCAATATCGGTCTTGTCGTTTATCGAGACGTCGTTCAATTTGAACCCGATCATAGGGTACACCAGGTCACCTTTGGGGTTGGAAGAGCTGAAAAGATTATCGTTCAAAGGGTTACTTGACATGAGCTCTTGTTTGGAGATGGTTCGAAGTAAAACCCCATTCAATGTGATAAAGAGACTATTGTCGATATAGTTGATTCCGAAGCCCACCACATCGGACTTCAAGATCTTCTCGGACTTGGACTCTCGGACCTTGTTGGTTGAAAACGTTACCTCGGTATCAATTCGGCCTGAGTCCAACTCAGCAATGCTCTGTCTGCTCAATGACGAGAGTCTTCTGTTCATGGAGAGAATGGTTGTGCGTTGGGCAGACTCGCTGCCCTTGATGGAGTTGTAAAAATTCAGGTCGCCCAAGTCCAAGGCAAAACTTGCCTTCATTTCCCCTGGTTTGTCGTCTATTAAAGCCTCGATGCTCAAGTCCAACGGTTTCTGGATCATTTTGTCCTGGCTAAACACGAGTTCGTCTTTAATAGTCTCAAGATCCACCAAATTGGCATCGTAGCCCAAGGTCGCCGGTGGAGGTGAAGAAGGGTTTCGCGGCCCGTGATGGAGGAACCGCTTGACAAATCCCACGCAGAACTGCGAGGCATTCTTGGACGCCAACGAGGTGTCTGAGTTAGCCAACAATGGAGCCATATCGGTGGCCTGAGTACATTCTTGGACGATTTCCACCTCGTAGTAAAAGATTCCTGACGACGGAGTCACCGGGTTATTGGTAATGAAGTTGAAGTACGTCGATGGAATCGCCTCCAAGTTGGCCTGGGGGTCCTTGAGAGTGGCTACTTCGACCTGGGCATACCCATCGCCGTGGGTGCAATCGATGCTCACTCTGCGGTTGATTGAGTTCAAACTAGAACTGGGAATAAGCGACACCCATGACGACGGAAGCAGGTAGTCGAAGTACGTGTCGTCAACTTTCAAGAACCTTGTCTGTGACGGGAGCTTGCCGTTTTGCTCGAGCTTGGTGTGAAGCAAAAGGTCCCTTAGCAGGTAGGACAAGTATTTCTGATATTTCAACGGAACCCCTGTCGACAACAGCACCTCGCCGAAGGTGTCGCTCTCGATTGAAAGCTTCTTGTGCCTGGTATTCGATCCAGGGTGTGAGCCATCGCTGGCGGTGTCGCTGGCGGTTTTGGCCATGGTTTCGTCTGCCAATAGCTTATGTTCAAACGTTTCGAACAATTCATATACCTCTTCGTCCGAAAGCTCTGAGGGTGGCTTGGGGCTGGTGCCCAAGATCCCGATGATTTGGAACTTGTAGATTAGCTTATCCCGGATGATATTGTGGATAGTGGGGTCTGCAGAAAAGTGGTATTGGGGAATGGGCTTGGACTCAGGGACCGCTTCGTAGTGAGGAGAGCAGGTTGGCATGGCATTGGAGTTGGCAAGTTCTGAGCTGATGAGGGCCAACTGGCGGTGAAGCTTAGCGCCCAAGCTCGTGTGGAGCAAGTATGGGGGAATAATGTACACCCAATCGCTAGTTGGAAACATGGTCATGGTGGGAGAGTATGGGGTTGAAATCATATTTTGGAGCGCGAAAATGGCATTTTGGAACTGCGATGACGGACAGAGTGGTACAGCTAGTAGAGGATATCCTTCCGGGAATACCTTTGCAGGTGGTGTCCCAGGGGGCTGAGGCGGTGGTATTCCGAACAGGGGTACACCCTTATACCGCCCATCCGTCCTTGACCAACCCCAATCAATTTATCATCAAGTACCGTCCCTCGAAGAAATATAGGCACCCGAAGATTGATGCCAGTATCACCAAATCACGGACGGCTGGCGAGGTCAAGTTCATGCACCGGCTTGCCAAGGCGGGTATCAATGCGCCGAATGTGGTTCTGGCCGATTTCAAGCGGGGGCTCATCTGGATGGAGCATTTGGGCGAGGTTTTACCGTCCGGCGAAGTAAGTTCTTTCAAAAACCATTTGTGGAGCGTGGAAAGAACGAGACTGCCCGACGAGTGTGTGTCTGAAGACATTCAGCGTATATGTGAGCAAGTGGGCCAGCTAATTGGTCAGTTGCACCATAATGATATGATTCACGGAGACCTCACATCTTCGAATATTGTGTTACAGAAAAAGGTGCCGTACTTGATTGACTTTGGGCTCTCATCGTACTCAGGACTAGCTGAGGATAAGGCTGTAGACTTGTACGTTTTGGAAAGGGCGATTCAAAGCACACATTCGATGTATGCCTATAAGTACAACCAGTGGCTTCTCAAGGGCTATGAAGCAGCTTACGGGACGAACAAGCAGAACAGGAGGAAGTACGTGGAGGTGATGGGAAAGTTGGAGGACGTTCGACAGCGTGGCCGGAAGCGGAGCATGTTGGGATGAGGTAGAGTGGAGAGAATGATCATGCAGAGATGGCTCTGTGTGGTAGTGAATCAGCGGTTGCTATAACTGTCAGATTTCAGGTTACATAATATATACTTTATTCTACTTGTACTTCGATGTTAACTCGTCAATTGCCATTATGCTGTCAGTTTCTTTGGACCCGAATACTTTCGAGGTATGGAAAGCAATGCAGAAATGCAAAATTCTGTTGTACTTTCGAGGAGTCAGCACTCGGGTTGTGGGTTTGGGCAGTGAATCCCCAGCAAACCCATGATCATACCGGTTGCCAATCAGTATACAGAGCGACTTGTATATCTGGTTATTTTAGTAGTTCTGATGGCTGCAAAATGTCGCATGGCCATCTCTGGCAGAACCTCCTCTGGCAGGAAAAAAGTATCCTCCCCCACATCTTCTCCTTTCATAGTAGTGTACATGTACACCATAGCCTCTGTTCGGCAAAAATACCAGCCATACAAATCCTAGTGAACCTTTGCCTGGTAATATATTTAATGTTCCTACACAACCTACAAGTATTAAACGCCTATAGAAAGAATATGGATGAATTAATGAAACTAGATACCAATGAGAGCCTCTAAGTTGTCCTCATGTAAAGCACTGAAATCGTATACAAATGGTCCGTAGAGCAAACTGATAGATAGTAATTTATCAGTGTTCTGACCGTTTTGAATATACTGCCATGCCTGTCATAAATACACTACCATTCCTGTCATAAATATACTACCATCTAGCTATCGCGTTACATGATTGTACTAATCTATTTAATCTACCCCAGTTTCGTCTAATCTCCCTTGTTGAACTCTCTCAAGGTTTCCAACGCCAACAAATGATCTTGGTCCTGAGGCAACCCACTGATAGTCAAGGTTCCCACCAACCCATCAAAACCCTTTACTTTGATAGGAACACATCCACCATGCGAAGCATAGTCCCTAGATGAGATGAACAAGGCGTCTTCCATCGACGTCTTCTTTTGTCTCAAGTGTTGGCCCACCACAAAGCTGGAAGTACCTAGGCGCTGCACCGTCCGCTTCTTTCTCTCGACCCATTGGTCGTTATCCAACGTGGTACCAGACTTGGTGGTTGCGTGAAATAAAATTTGATTGTTGACCAACGCAATGTCGATGACAACGGCACTGGATGGGAATTTTTCAAGACTGAGTCTACGGGCAAAGCAGCCGAGTTTCCAGGCAATCTCATTGTCGAATTGACTGAATTGAAGAGCTTCATCGGTTTCTAAGTCGAGCAATTCAGGGATGGTGTATTCAAAGATGTTTGGACTAGCCATGGTGTAAGGTAATGGTGTAATGGTAGCAAAACGAACGGAATGCGAAACTCCGACCGCGTTGAGCGGGTGGGGGAGAGGTACCAAGTTAGGAGTGGGGGGGTTGGTTAACTGACAGTTGGGAGTGGATTGGATAAAAGTGGGATGGCTGAAAGGTGATTCACTGACAGTAGGTGTTGTCAGTCTAGATTCCCGATGGGATGGGTCCCCGTTGTGGTTGAGATTGGGGGGTAATATGACCCCCCACCGTACTGAAGCCTAGTGCCCTCCACTCACATATTCCCTATATACACACCGACTTCCCTTTACAACCACAACCCATATAAACTCAACCACCCGCCTCCTCCCACTATCCAAAAAACCATGACTATCAGCTCCCACACCATTCCCGCAGGGGTCTACACTCCTATCACCACTTTTTTCAAAAGTGACTCTCGCTACACTTTAGACTTGGAAACTCAGGCCCGACACGCCCAGTTCCTCTATAACAGCGGTATCAAAGGCCTTGTGGTGGCAGGTTCCATCGGGGAGGCTGGTCACATGACCAGGACCGAAAGATATGCGTTGGTGGCGGCTATCAGAGCAGCGGTCCCAGATCCCGCTTTCAAACTTATTGCAGGAGCGCCTCCATTGGGTTGCGTACAAGAAGCCATTGAAGAGTCACATAGTGCAAAAGAAGCTGGTGCCGACTTTGTTATCCTCTTGGTGCCTGGGTATTTTGGCCCCCATTTGACCTCCCAGGAAGGAATCATTGAATATTTCACCCAGGTTGCCGACGGCTCCAGTTTGCCGGTGATGATCTACAATTATCCAGGAACTTGCAACAATATCACTCTCACTATCGAGTCTTTCAGAGATTTGGCCAAACATCCCAACATTTCTGGTGTTAAGTTAACCCACTTCAACTTGGACTTGTACGCTTTGTTGGGTAAAGACAAAGAGATTTGTGAAGCTAATAACTTCCGGCCGTTCACTGGGTTGGGTCAGGTACTTATTCCTGGTTTGTCTGTAGGACTTTACGGCACCATCGACGGGTTGTCAGGGATTTTCCCCAAGACGATGTTGAAGCTCTACAGCTTGTTTCAGGAAGGTAAATTGAAGGAAGCAGCTGACTTGCAGTTTTTGGTGACTAAGGCTGACCAGATGTTGGCTGATTTGAACTTGGTAGGAGCTAAGGTTGCCCTTCACAAGTATTATGGGTTTGGTGACTGCTTAACGGGAAGACCACCCTTGTGTCGTGGGGTGGATGAGAAAGCTTACGCAAAGTACACTGCCGATATGGATGCAATTCATGCTATCGAGCAGTTATTGTAGACGTTTATGTATGTCTAGCATTAATATAGAATGAAAATATCTACTATTGAACTTTAGTGATACCTTTCACTCAATGGGAAACTCTATTAACCAGACAATGCTATCATTATACTATATATCAGGCTAACTATGTAGGGCTGCAAAATGGCTGCAAAAGTCGCATCACCATCCTCAAAGCCTCACCATCCCCTGGCAGGAACCCAGATGTCCTCCACCACGTCTCCCCCATCCGTCACGTAGTACCACGGGTACGCCGCAGCAGTGATACAGCTATGCTGGGGGTATACAGAAATCTTCGTTCCGTGAGGAATGAACTTCGTCTCCACGTCGCTGTCCAAAGGCACTAAGATCCCGTGCTCCTGGCTCAATCTTCCCACAATCCAATTCTCGTATCCCTTGGGTTCAACCACTCTTCCATGGCCAGGTAAAGGGCCAAACTCCCGGGCCAACGCAATAACTCCCGCGTTAATCAACTGCTCACCTGGACCTTTATCTCCTCTTGTCTCGTAGGTAGATACCACCTCAGCAAGGACCTTGCACGAGACATTGTCGTGGGTCACACAGCCAGTGGCCACCTGCTGAAGGTCACAGAACGGATAGTTACCGGCGTGCAACTCCAAGTTCCCTGACAACTTTTCACCAACTGCTGCCTCCAACTCTTCCACCGTCAATATCTCAGAAGCATGGGCAGTGGGGGTAGCCCCCACCGATATCTGCAAATGGAGACTAGGATCTATGCTCATGGCAGCCTTGGCAGCCTTGTTGGCGTGTTTGATCTCTTCCAACAAAAAACTCTTTGCCGTGCTTTCAGAATCAGATGCATAGGAGTGCCCAGCATGACAGTAGAATCCGTAAACTTCCACCGCTTCCTTAACATGAGCTTCCGCCAACTTCTTTAAGGTGGTGGCTAAAAACTCCGAGTCGTTGATCAATCCAGCTCGGTTGGTGCCCATATTGATTTTGACAAATACAGACCACTTCTTAGTCCCAGGATTTTGCTTGTTAAAGTCAGCCAAAACATCCAATTGGTCGGCATTGTCCAACATCACCCGTAAACTTGGTATCTTGTCCGCCAATTGGCTTAATTCAGTAAGTCTTGATTTCACCACTGGCAAACTGAAAAGGATATCTTTAATCAAACCTTCTTCCACCAAAGGCATCAAGCTCCATGCCTCCAACAAAGTCGAAACAACAATCTTGTCGGTTGTCAATTCAGAAGATCCCAATTGCAACCGTGTACCTTCCACCGTCTTGTGAGTTTTGACATGGGCTCTGAAATCAGCATTTAACTTGTGGGCGTTGGTGAGCATCTTTTCGCTATTAGTTTTGAACCGGGACTTGTCGACAATAAACGAAGGAGTCGGCAAGTCGGCGAGTTTCTTGCCTTTGAAGGCTTCGAGGAGCTTGGCTTTGTCGGCCAAGGGAGTGAAGTCTGCTGGAAATAACATTGATGAAGACTGAGACTGGAAAGACTCGCAGGTTAAATCAGCGCGAAGAAGGTTGAGGCCCCCCACTAATCAGCTGCGATAAAGAGCCCTCCACCCGTATCGCGGAATTTCCGATTGCAGGCTGCGGGTGATTCGACAATCAAGTGGGGGCGTCCACTTCCACCACCGTCCCGCGATAAGACCTCCTGTGGAGAACAATGCTCTCACAATATAAAGACTCACCTCCACCGGTTTGTTCTCCAACACCTTCAAAAAAAATGGCCCAATACAAGTACACTCTCCAGGAAGACTACTCCTTTGCTGGAGGCATTCCAGAACCCCCATTCACCATCCACAAGTCTATGCAAGGAAAGCTTGACCCCAAATATGTGGAGTTTTTCAATACCAACTTGGCCCATAATTCTAACCTTATGGCCACCCACCGGGTGCCACTTCAAGACATACGCGCATCAGGGAATGTCATTCCCGGACAGAGCCCGTTGGCAGACGTGAAGGAAACGTTCGATATCGAGATTCCGCGAGTCCACACCTCTGGTCCCCCCATTCCTGCTCGAGTATTTGTCCCCAATGGTAACCCACCTGCTGGAGGGTTCCCACTCTTTATCTGGTATCACGGTGGGGGCTGGGTGCTTGGTGGTATTAGCACTGAAAACTCCTATTGTACCAACGCAGCCGAACTCGCCCAATGTGTGGTGGTGACGGTGGACTATCGGTTGGCCCCTGAAGACCCATTTCCTGCATGTGTAGATGATGCTTATGAAGCTGCAATCTGGGGGCTTGCATCAGCCCCCACCATCTTGGGAATCAATGGCACCAAGGTTGCAGTGGGGGGTTCTTCTGCTGGTGGAAACTTGACTGCCATTGTCACAAACAAGTACGCTTCATCCCCGCTAGCACAAACCTTACCTCCATTGGCATTCCAGGTACAAGTAGTTCCTGTCACTGACAACACTGCCACTGCTGAAACCCAGCCATCATGGGGGGAAAATGAGTTCACCGCCCAGTTGCCAGCCGAAAAAATGTTGTGGTACAGAAGATTATACTTGCCCAATCCTGAAGACGCAGGTAAGCCGGAGTCTTCTCCGTTGTTCTACTCCGATGAAAGTATGGCCAAAGTTCCACCATGTTTTATTGCTGCTTCTGAGTGTGATATTTTGCGGAGCGAAGCTGAAGCGTATGCGGCCAAATTGAAGAAAAACGGTGTGGATACCACCATCGTCATCTACAAGGGCATGCCACATACGACGATGGTGATGGATGCAGTGATGGACCAAGGCCGGCAGTTGGTGGCAGATACCACTGGGGCCTTGAAAAAGGCTTTCTATGGTTAAATAGCAATATATTCAATACGGTATACGACATTTCTTACTTCGTCTGGGTGGTGTTGCCGGTGTACATGTCGTCACAAGTGATTTTCTTGCGACCCAATCCTCTCGCCATACAGTTTTGAAAGAGTTTTCCATACTCTATTCCAACCTCCCATCGGCAATTCTGGAACGTCTTGCTAAATATCTTCAAAAGACCCACCGTGTGGTTTTTGTTGGGGATTGTGGGGATGGCATTGGCGAACAACTTGATGTTTTCGTGGAATTGGCTGCTAGTAGAAGCAGAATTAGTGTGGAATCGGGTCACCTTGCTTGAAAGCTCTCTTCTGATCCTTTTAAGGTACGCATACCCATCTTCTTTGTCAGGATAGTAATCTCCGGTGATCGAGTCATATATGTCGTTTTCAGGTCCTTCAAGCACAAACGTGTAGGCAAATACCACTAAAACAGCACTGACGAGGATGTTTTTCCGGTGGAGGAAAGGATCAAGGTTTGGATCGTATGAATACGTGATATCTTCGTTGTCGGGAGAAAGTAGCATCTCACACAAGAAGAGGTAGGCGTGAACCACAGAAATCCGGCCATTGGCACTCTTAGCCCAGTTAGAAACCCGCTTTTCCACTACCGCATAGGCAGAGGTTCCAGCTATCACATTCATACGGCTTGGTGCCCCAGCGTAGATGATGTAGTCGTAGTGAGTGATCCTCATATAGATTTGGGAAATGTGATAAAGACTGAATTTGCACCGCTTGTCGTCAATTCTCAACATCGGTGGGAGTCTCTGCTTGTCTTCCTCGGAGAACCTGAGTGAATTTTCGGTATTGCAACAACCTTTAGAACATATGTCTGTTCTCCACACATCAATTGCAAGAGAAATGGTTTCATTCCACGAATCTTTCATTTGGTTCCATTCCAAAAACGAGAGCTGTAAATCCTTCTGCTGCATCTGGAACATGATTGTAAGCAAACCCGCCAACAAAATTTTTCTACCGAACGCCAGAGTCTTGACCTTCTGTCGGTGAAGAAGCTTGCGAAGAGCCACCAAGAACTTGGGAGGCTTTTCACTCACCAACGAGTCGGGTTTCTGCTTGGTATTATCAAACTCCCACAAATCATCTTCACACGGAAGCAGAAGCTTGATCTGATGGGCGTACAATATGATCACATGTCCATAGACGGTGGCATTGACAGTATCAAGATAGAACGCCATCAACGTCGCCCGTTTCATCGATTCCACCTCGATCCACTTCTTCCACACATGGTTGGGGTACGCCTCGTCGTCGACGTCGTCCTTGAGTGGATCACCTCCAAGAATGGGCGACCGTCGGAGGAGTTGGACCTTTGTGCCGTGGTGAAGATACGCCCGCTCGTGCAATGCTCGCAGCGTGCTGGTGATTTCATAGGTCTCGAGAAGAAGAAGGCTTTGGATCACCCACACGGTGGCTGGTGGCATACAAGCGGGACTGGCGAATATCAACCACCGGAGCGGCCCCGCGATGTCGTCCGCCAAGCGGTGGGGGTTCTCGAGCAACGGCTCAGGCATTCCCGTGCACGCCAGGAGACCGGCTCCTGTCATTATCATCGCCAATAAGAGCAATGGGGGCGCGGTGGTGTTATCGAACGAAGGTCGGTGTAAAATCGGGTACTGAGGGTGGAAAATGAGCCAGTAGATGTCGAGGTACCGTTCTATTTGTGGCACCCCAAAGTCGGGATTTGTGTTTAAGGCCGGCACGAGAGCCACCAACCGGTCTCGTACATTGGTGTCGATGCTTCTGCGGGTGTTGGAGTGAGGAAAGTCGGGCAGCACTGCAAACATCAGTTCGAGGAGCGACATGGGCAGAACTCCGGTTGGGAAGTCGAAGGACTGGCGGAAATCTATGGGCGAGTGGTGGGAGAATACTGGGCCATCGTGGGTATCGTGAGACCCGTCGTGGGAGCCATCGTGGGAGGTATCATCGTGGAAAAGCCATTCGATAAGATCTGACGGAGAAAGGTTTTTTCCCGTGTAGGGGAGAATGCCAGGGACACCATTGTTGGAGCTGTGCACATCCTGAGAGCTCATAGTGTTGATCTGAGAATTGATTCCAGTTCCATTTGTGGTGACAGTACGGCCTGCGTTTGTGTTTTGCAAGTTTGTTTGGTTTTCCTTTATGATGTCTGGGTGTTTTGTACTGGCGAGGCTGGTATTGTTGTACAGTAAACTCTGTTTGTCGTACGGAATATTCTGTTTGTCGTACGGTAAGCTCTCTTTATTGTACGGTAAACTCTGCTTGTCGTACGGTAAACTTTCTTTATTGTACGGTAAGCTCTCTTTATTGTACGGTAAACTCTCTTTGTCATACGGTGAAACCGGCTTGTCATATTCATGCTTCACGTACTCTGGCTTGTCGTACGATTTTTCGTACACCTTGAACGGCGTCTTCTCGTCGTACGGCGACACGGCATACGGGGCCCCATACGGTGCTTTTTGTGGACTCTGGTCATAGCTATACATCTCCATCATCGGAGTGAATCCACTTTTCTTATTCACTTCGGGAAATGCATGGTCTTCGGAGTCCGAGTCCTGGCCCTTCACCAGGTGCCGTTTCATGTGGCGTTCTCGTACGTCTGATCGGTTGAACATAAGCTGGCATCCAGGCCAAGTACATGGAAGACGGTTTTGTGGGTTGTGATTTCGTTTGTGACGGAGAAGGTGATCGTGTCGCGTGAACAGCTTGGAGCAGTCAGGGAAGTCGCAGGCAAAGCTGCCGTAGATTCTGGTTCGTTTCCGCTGCCGTGGTGGTGTTTCTTCGGCGGGGGCAGTCATAGAGAGATAGCGTTGGTGCGATAGTGCGAAATAAGATGCGAAGTTGATCAAGTCCTCAAGGCAATGGCTCACCTAATAGAGAGTTAGCAATTGAGTACCAAACAGTAAGTGCTAGTCTTCGCCTCGACGTGTAACTCACTCCTTAGTAGCTATAGTCATATTTAAGAGACACTGTGCGTGAATATGGTATTCGTATTTAAGAGATACTGTGTTTAAATACGTATGGTAGTCATATTTAAGGGAAGCTGTGTTCTTGAAATTTTATACGAACGTCTATTCACTATCGAACTAATCAGTTGTGGCAATCACCTCCAACTCCACCTTGATCCTTGCATCCATAAATGCAGCAATCACACAAGAACGAGCAGGTTTTTGCACAAAGTGCTTGCCATAGATCAGGTTCATCTCTACCGAGTATTCTGCGTGCGAAATGAACATCATCACCTTGAACACCTTATCCAAAGACGACCCACTAGCGGCCAACACCTGCTTCACATTGGCAATGGCCAATTCAGTCTGTTCTGCCAAAGTCTCAGGCACCTCACCAGTAGCATAGTTCTGACCAATGATTCCCGAGGTGAAGACGGTTCCGTTGTTGACCCAAGCAGGAGCCAACACGGGGTGTTCCTGGCCGTCAATTGCAGCCCATTCGATTCTTGTAGCACCCATTTTGAAGATAAGTGTTTGCAGTTAGAGTTGGCGGAATGGGAGCGGGTTTTAACGATCGCTCTGGGTCGATGGGGGCAGCTGGTGAGTTCTATGCAGGGGAGGAAATCCTGGGAGGAATCCTGAGATAAATTGGATTTAGTGGGGGCACGGCGTGGGGCTGTGCGGCGGTTTAAGTATATCTCCAATTCCATGAACCAGCCAATCCACCCCATCTCAAATGCCCCCCCCATCCAACCCGCACATCTACGATAACGTTCCACCCATTCTCGTTCGCAGCCTTATCTCATTCATGTGCTGATACTAGAATGACTTATAAATAAGACTCCATCTGCATCTCTGTTTTCCCATCAACAATGAAAGACAAGTCTGCAAGCGAAATCGATATCCAAGCGAAAGTGTCCCACTCTAGCCTCGACTCGGCTTCCAACAATCTCGGAGTCCACCAGATCACCTCCAATAATGGAGAAATCATCAATATCACCGATAAGTACGTCGACAAGAAGCTCGAACGCAAAGTCAGATTGAAGTTAGACCTCCACACCTTACCGTTGATCTGTATTTTGTACCTTTTCAATGCCTTGAACAAGGGAAATATCTCCAATGCTAAAACCAACACCATTGAAGCTGACTTGGATATTACCGGAGACCAGTGGAATTTGATGCTCTCAATCTTCTACATCCCGTTTGTGTTGTTTGCCTTCCCACTCTCGTTGGTTATCAAGCGGTTTAACGCCGCCAGAGTGTTGCCAGTTTTGGCATTTACGTTTGGATCCATCAACTTGTTGTTGGTGAGTGCGTTCAACTTTCTGGGATTGATGGCAGGCCGGTTCTTCTTGGGGCTCTGTGAGCTGGCGGTTTTGCCCGGAATCATCTTCTACTTGTCGACCTTCTACAGACGGCATGAGTTGGCGTCTCGGTTGTCTATCATCTACTCATTTTCGTCAATTGCCAATGCCTTTAGTGGGTTATTGGCTTTTGGAGTTTTCCAGATCGAACACCTGGTTTTGCACGGGTGGCAGATCTTATTCTTGTTGGAAGGACTGTTGACCATCGTCGTGGCCGTATGTGCGTTCCTTTTCTTGCCCAGAGACATCCAATCGGCAGGCTTTTTGACTGAAGAAGAGAAACAATATGCCCAGTACCGGGTAGAAACCGACTCATCGGCGGCTCAGGGAGGCACATTCGAGTTCCGGGATGCCATCAAGGTGTTCCGCAGTCCCGTGACGTTTGCCTGGCTCTTTGAGGAATTATGTATTGGGGTTCCATTGAACTCCATCAACAATTGGTTCCCCCAAATCATCCAGGCCATGGGTAAATCTACCGTCCAGACAAACTTGTACACGGTGGCACCCAACATCTGGGGAGCGGTCATTTTGTTGGTGTTTGCGTTCAGTTCGGACCACTACCGAGTTCGTTCTGCGTTTTTGGTGGTGGCCATCGCCGCAACCTTGATTGGGTTTGTGGTTTATGGAGCCATTGACATCACCAAAGATATCGGCGTGGGATACTTTGCCTGTTTCTTGATGACCACCGGGGCCAGTGCCTCGTCGGTTTTGACTTCCACCTGGTATAACAACAATACTCCTAATGAGAATAGGAGAGTGGTGATTTCGGCCGTGGGAATTCCATTGGCAAATGCTGCTGGGTTAATTTCCACCAATATTTTCCGTCCTAAGGATGCTCCTAAGTATCTTCCAGCTCTTGGTATCACCGCGGGTTTTGGAGGATTGGCCATTGTGGTGGTGGTGGGAATCACTACCTTTATGGTGTTTGACAACAGGAGGAGAGACAAGAAGCAGGGCGTGACTTTAAAGTACAATGACGTTCCAACGGCCGACTTGCGTGAAGGGCCTTCCAACCCCAATTTCCGGTGGATGTTCTAGGTGTTAGGTTGGTGTTTAGGAGTGTATTTGTGTATATGAATGGATTAATCAAGAACGAGGAGTTCCTCTTGCCTCTCTTTCGATTCCTGCCGTATGTATGACGATAATATTGGTCATTTTCTGATCACACACCTTACATCTTCTTTTCTATATTTTGACAAGGGATCCGATTGAATGTGATGTACCACGGAAGTTTCCCGAAGCTCTGACCATACGGTCAACAACGTTCTGACCCATACACCCACAGAATTCCTGCCCATACACCAACCAACCAGTCCTAACCATGAACCTCCTTGTTTGCAGCCACTACATCGGCGCAAAGCCCAATGTCGCGCAGTGTCGTGACGTGTCTCCCTGGGCACCAGCCAATCACGCGCATTCAATTGTCAATTTGTCAATTTTCCCGGGGTTTCAATCCTTCTCATATTTAACCTCAAGTTTTCTGCAAAAATACACATTTTTTTCTCTCCTCCAATAACATCACCAATTATTTAAAATGTTCAAAGCTATCACCCGTCTTAACACCTTGGGTTTAAGAAGAACATTGGCCACCAGCGCCCAAGAACAACGGTTAAAGACATTCCAAATTTACAGATGGAATCCGGACACTCCTGAAATCCAACCCAAAATGGAGTCATACCAAATCGACTTGAACCAATGTGGTCCCATGGTGTTGGACGCCTTATTAAAGGTCAAGAACGAGCACGACGCCTCGTTGACGTTCAGAAGAAGTTGTAGAGAAGGAATTTGTGGATCCTGTGCCATGAACATAGGAGGTACAAACACATTAGCATGCTTGTGTAAAATAGATCAAGATGCTTCTAAGGACTTGAAGATTTATCCATTGCCACACATGTTTGTTGTCAAAGACTTGGTACCCGATTTGACCCATTTCTATAAGCAGTACAAGTCGATTCAACCATACTTACAAAGAGACACACTTCCAACCGACGGGAGAGAAAATTTACAAAGTATCGAAGACAGAGCCAAATTGGACGGGTTGTACGAATGTATTTTATGTGCCTGTTGTTCTACGTCGTGTCCTTCTTACTGGTGGAACCAGCAAGAATATTTGGGTCCTGCTGTGTTGATGCAAGCCTACAGATGGTTGATTGACTCGCGTGACGAAGCTACGAAGATCAGAAAGGAAATGTTACAAAACTCCATGTCGTTGTACAGATGTCACACCATCATGAACTGTGCCAAAACCTGTCCTAAGGGATTGAATCCTGGAAGAGCCATCGCAGAAATCAAGAAGCAATTGGCGTTTGATTAGGTTCCATCCCTCTCCTCGGTCCCTTTTTTGTGGGGTGCGGCCCCGTAATTTATTATCACCAAAAGTGCATGATGTATCGTCCCTATTTATTCATAATAATACACATACTATAGTTATAATGACCCTCGCGGTTCCGAGTCGGGCATTGCTCTACTCTCCAGGTTTCGCCGCGGTGCGCAGCCAATGGTGCGGGTGTGTCGGGCCTTGCTTGTCACAATGTCGTAAGTCCACTTCCTAACCGGTGCACCTCCTTCCCCTTCCGAGTTATTTAATAGGCGGGCCAACTGGCATCGGATAACTTTCAAATGGCATGGGATGATGTGGTAAATCTACCGGACTTCTTCGGCTTTAGTTCATTTTCATCACGGTGCACTCCCATATGCCCAATTGGTGTTTACCAACCCCGTTGGTTCTCGACCTGAAGATTTGCGACTTCTATTTTCTATCTCTCCTCGCGTACATTCCCACACTCCGAAACTCCCACCCACTTAACTTCCGGACACTTCCAGACTCTCTCATTCTCACCCTCTCACATTCTGGCCCTCTCATATTCTGATGCTCAAACCCACTTACACTCCCACTTAACTCTTATCTGCCTCCCATAGCAACTCGGCACTATTTCTCGGATAAACCCAAATCGACTCCGCATTTTGCAACTTCGCCAATGACAGTCCTTCCCCGTTAAACTTTTCCTGGTAGCCCCATTCCCAGCACATTACTGCGTCATTTTTCTTAACAGTGCTGAATCCGTTGTCGGGGGATTTTCCGAGTGAAAAACTCGAATCACTGCAATAGCCATTTTTGAACTGCGGAGTTAGCAGTTGTGGGGGGAATAGTTATATGGCTATTAAATGGCTATTGTGGGCCCTTTCAATATGAAAGCTTTTGATATAAAAGGCCTTGTAACCACTTCATTATTTCAATCATCAGTTAGTGATATTTAAAAATGGCAAAAGGAAAGGTTTTATTGGTTTTATACAAAGGTGGACACCACGCAGAAGAGCAGAAACGGTTATTGGGATGTGCTGAAAACGAATTGGGCATCCGTAAGTTTGTTGAAGACCACGGCTACGAATTGGTCACCACCACCGATAAGGATGGTCCAAACTCGGTGGTAGAAAAGGAGATTGAGACAGCTGAAATCGTCATTACCACTCCATTCTTCCCAGCTTACGTTTCAAAGGAAAGAATCCAAAAGGCCAAAAACTTGAAAATTTGTATCACCGCTGGGGTGGGATCTGATCACATTGATTTGAATGCCGCCAACCAAAAGAAGTTGACAGTGGCTGAAGTCACCGGTTCCAATGTGGTTTCGGTGGCCGAGCATGCAGTTATGCTTATTTTGAACTTGGTGAGAAACTTTGTTCCTTCTCACGACATCGCTTTGAAGGGTACCTGGGATATTGCTGGGGCTGCTAAAGATGAATATGACTTGGAAGATAAAGTTATCGGAACTGTTGGTGCCGGTAGAATTGGTTACAGAATTTTGGAAAGGTTGGTGGCTTTCAACCCCAAGAAATTGTACTATTTCGACTATCAAGAATTACCAGCGGCTGCCGTCAAGAAGATTAACGATGCTTCTCAACTCTTCAACGGTAGGGATGCTATTCTTGAACGCGTCGAGAAATTAGAGGATTTGGTTGGTAGATGTGATGTTGTAACCATCAATTGCCCATTGCACGAAAAAACCTTTGGTTTGTTTGATAAAAAGTTGATTGGAAAGATGAAGGACGGAGCCTGGTTGGTCAACACTGCCAGAGGAGCCATCTGTAATGCTCAGGATGTTTCTGACGCTCTTGCTTCAGGTAAGTTGTTAGGTTACGGTGGTGATGTCTGGTATCCTCAACCTCCACCAAAAGACCATCCTTGGTTGACCATGAAGAATGCTCACAATGGAGGAAACGCCATGACTCCCCACATCAGTGGAACATCTATTGATGCTCAAGAGAGGTACTCTGCTGGAGTCAAGTCGATTTTGGAGAGTTATTTCTCTAAGAAGTACGACTACAGGCCTCAGGACTTGATTGTGTACAACGGAGACTATGCCACCAAAGCTTACGGTGAGAGAAAGTGAGACTCATCCAGTTGTTGTTTATACTGTGTAGCTATTCTCAATATATGGTTTTAGTTATATTTTCGTGTAGCTGTTCTCAATATATGGTTTTAGTTATATTTTCGTGTAGCTGTTGCTCTACATAAAGTTTGATTAACTAAGGAGATGTCATAAAAAAACGTTTTACTCTTGTATCATCCAATGTATACTAGCTGTGTTCGGCTGTCCAATCCCGGCCCTTCTTCCATCTCGTTAGAATTTTTATTCATATATACAAGTCTATCATACATTATCTACTCAGAAATGGCTTCTTGAATAGCGAGTTTTCTCGAGTGGTTGTCAAAATGGTTGCTCAAGTCAACAAATGAAGTTGTTTCGGGATCCACGCTCATCGTGTGCTTGTCCTTGAATGTCACTTGCACTATTGGTTTTTCTTTGGAAGCAGCCGTTAAAACCTGATGGTCAACTGTACACTGTGCTTTTAAGGACGTAGGTATTCTGGACAAAAACAACCTAGCAGGCTTAGCGCCTGGAGTGAATGGGTTGAACTTTACAGTAACTTTGTTAAAGTATTTGGTAATCATAATGTTGTAAACCGGACCTTGAACCACTGAGTTTTAAAATTTTTCTTTGGCCGCGAACACAAAACTTGTAGCTACAATTTAGCAGCAAAGCCCTGTGAGAAATTCAGACTAGCTGAAAACACTTATTTTGTGGCTAAATCACTACAAACTTGGTTGTCGTAATCTCACATTCTGATTGTATATTGCCAGATTTTTTCATGATTTTTAAAAGGCTTTTTGGTGTTTGTGGATTTTGTGCTGATTTTGCAGATTTCACAATTAAAAGAGGTTTACAAAAATAGATCATAGTCAAATAGAAAACATCCACAATAGTAGACAAAGAAGAACTATGGCTTAAAAAAAGTCCACATTAGCCGATACGACAGTATATGACGGACAATCTCAAGTTTCATCACATACCATATAGCAAAGAGATCTTGCACGATTAATAACTACGTCAGTTTATGTTCATTGCCGTGATCGGCTGATGTATAGTAAACTACTAGGAAGTGGAGGACCAGTGGACAGAGTTTAAGGTTTTCTTGTCAGGTTTGTCTAGATTGCTGCAAATCGACATTAAAGCCTATATCCGCTCACCAGGGACACAAAAGCACTGATTCCAGGATCTCCGTTAAAACTTCCCGCCCAGTACCAATTTCTTGTCTATAAAAGTGATTTGTAACGAGCTACCAAAGAACAAAGGGTCTTTTGTGCAAGGAACGATAAGGCCCAAACACTTAACAATATTGAACATCTACTCAGGTTTCAGGCGGTCAAGTATTTACCATTTTACTATTAAAGGACACCGAATTGCTCCCTTGATTGTCTTTGTTTTAAACTCCCGGCTCACGCAGATTGCAGTGCTAACAATGTGTCAATTGTGACGTAGAGTCGCGCAGCATACTCGTGAACCGTCTATTCTTGATGAACCCACCGATAATAACAGCTGCACAACGTCTAAAGGCCGAAAAGCCTCGGCTCTAAACTCGTAGGCCCCTATCTCATAAGCTTAATCTTTCAGATGTGAAAAGATTGAGTTTCAGCTAAAAGTTGCTCTTCTAATATCGCATATAAATTTCGGAAACTAGAACCCATATGCACCCCTGGAAAATGACTCCACAACAGCAAGGGGGAAAGTGTACCCACTGCAAACCTTAAGCTTTTGAGCGTGGGCTGTATGGGTCAGAACTTCAGCTTCGGGCCCTTGCACTGAGTATCTGGTTCTAGAGGGTCCGGTCGATTATGATTACAATTAAACCTTAAACATGGGTCCCTGGTCTAGCGTAAAAAAAAAAAGTTAGCCGAGGAACCACAAAACAACAACATCATCATCGTGGTTCAGGACGCCTCCTTTGCAATGTCGCCACTGTATTATTAGTCCTGAATGGCCGGTAGAAATAAGGGTTCTGACGCGACAATGTGCATTGTTGGACCCGGCTGCAATTGTCGACGATCGCGCAATTCCCCAAAAAGGTCGGTTCAGCACAGAAGTGGTTAGCTCGCTCGATGATCATAATGCGATTGTTGCACTATTGTTTTGCGAGCCTCTGGCCATTGATATCCTGGAATTGAACCACAAAATTCTGTCATACAGTACTATTATTGGCAGCTGGTAATATAAGCTAAACTGTGTAATAGCGAACAATTGAAATTGTTATTTCACCTTTATTGTTGCAATCCTCCCAACCTATGAAAACATTGGCCTGGTTGTTGCTTAAGCCGATGCCACAATGCTATAAAAGAAGCCCACTGGCCTGCTGTTCAAGTTTTCTTTATAAATAATTAATCAGAACCAATCTTTTCGAGACCTATTAGCTTTTGGGAAAAGTTACTATTAGTTCTTAATCACACATCTTTCTGGAAAAGCGTCAAAAGACTTCAAGTCCTACCGTTCAATTCTTACTATCATAATTTCTATTTTTGCAACTCAATTCTCAATGATCTCTTCAAAGAACGTTATTTTAGCTATTGCTGTATCTGCTTCCCAATTTTTGGTTGGTGTAAACGCTGAAGAATCAAAAGCTGCTCTCTT